AACGCCTAACCCTAACCCTAACCCTAACCCTAACCCTAACCCTAACCCTAACCCTAACCCTAACCCTAACCCTAACCCTAACCCTAACCCTAACCCTAACCCTAACCCTAACCCTAACCCTAAGCCTAAGCGACGGCTATATATAGGCATACTTTAGATCGACTAAGTAGCGGCCTACTTAATTACGTTCTCGGAAGGCTAAGATAACCTATAGATATATAGTCGAAGTATTACTTTCTATATTTATTAGAGAGAGAGAGCCTAATAGCGACTATTAATACGAGAACCCTTAACTCTAACCTAAGGTAGTAGTAATATCTACTCGAGTATATATTCGGCGTTAGCTAAACTATAGTTAATCGACAGTCTAAGCTAAGCTTACTAAATTATAACGTTAGTAATAGAGGGTACGGCGTATACTAGGATTTAAATAGGTACTAGATACTAGTACTTAGTAAGAAGACTGTTCGTCTAAAGATTAATCGAGGGAGCGATATAGAGAAGAGCAACTAGATAGCGAGAATAGTATAACATCGGGGAGCTGTAGACTAGGCTTGTACGTTGCCGCGGTTAGTACGGCTATTCGCTAGATAAAGAATGTAGTCAAGAAATAGGATGAGGTTAAGCGAGGCTTCACAAGATTCGGACATCCGCGAACTAATGCGATCCCAGTCAAGGTACACTCATTTGGAGCCCCGGAATTCAAGGAGGCTCACGAAGGCACATGACGACGACTGACTTCACGTATGAAGCCGGACAGGTGACAGAGAGTGCAGTGCGGGCATAGGGGAAGTACTACTCCGTGGCTGCATCTGCGCACCATTTGTCCGATCGCTTCCGCAGCGTAGTAGAGGTCACAGCAGCGTGGACGCTCGTTGTAGGCCTGGCCTTCCGTGACTCGCAAGACAATGTGACTCAGCGCGCTAAAGTCGACGGCTGACTCTGCAGGCAGCGGCTGAATCTGGCCTTGTAACAGCCATACACCCCGCCGCTTGCAGTCAAAGCACTTTCCACGGCTTCCGCGGGCCGGAGAGAGATGGGCTCGATATGCAGACGGAGGGTGACTGACCTTGGTCGTTTTTGTTGACCGCAATCTTCACGGACTTGCTCCGCCACTGCGCCGACTTGATACAACCATACAACGCCTTCTGAAGCCCTACTGCATGCCGCAGCACCCTCAAAAGATCACCCAGGCTCTACTATGCCTGCTGGGTTGCTCACAAATGCACGGCTCGCTCCTGAATACGGAGGCACAGGTAAGCGGTCGTGGGAGATGGATGCCATGGAGCTGTCAGAGAAGCATGTCGCTTGGCTACTCATACACGGCGCTAAGGAATGCTTTGCACCTTGCAGAAGGTAACTGCCCAGCGCTCTACGCTGTCGCTGTACTACGATGTCATTGCCCTAGCCTTGGGGAAAGTCTGGGCGCAAGGAGAATGTCCGCTGGAGCGTATTCAATATTCACGGAATTCGGTCGAGTCTCCTACGACGACAGCGCTAACTTCCCAAAGCCAAGTACGCTCCAGTCGATCTTCCTACGGGTGCTGAGCCTCCTCATACCAGATGGACTACGACTGAACGCTCTGTTTGAATGGACAACTACTGCTAGGCTGTAAAGGCTCTAGTAGAGATATCAGAGGGCAGTAACTCAATGACGCAAGACTCACTCATAGTCAGACCTACTGAACCATCTCGAACGGACTCAATAGTCTTGTCTGCGCCCAGTTTGACTATGACTGATCCCGCCATCATTGACAAAACGAATACACACAGCTCGCATACAAAAACCGACACCCTGCAATCTCGTGAATGTGGCCGTCATCCCTAGTCATTCCTTGTCGTACGTAGGAAGGACACCTTGAGCACGTTGATACAGTCGATGTGACAGAGAATGGGGCTTCGGTTGACGACGACACGGTACTCTTCGCCAGCTCATACAAAACCGACACGTACCGGATCTCAACAACGCGCGGCTGGTTGTATAAATTTCAGCCTCACGGAGTGAGTGCGATCTTTGGAGGCTTATCCGAACACTCTTTGGCTTCGTGCAGCAAGGTGCTCGTCGAAAACGTACATCAGCTACAATGCATTGCAAAAGGCGCCGTAGTATAGCATCCTCTAGGCGGTTGCGCTTAGTCAAATGACAAGGACTGCGGGCCGCCTGGCATTTGGAGGCCCTGTACGAGCTGTTCACCGGCATGAAGCTTCATCAATGGACAGTCAATTGTATTCGAACTTGGATGTAATTGAGCCCCTATCTTTAATGCGTCGGGTGGACATGGTTTGGTATAGGCTGACTACGACTCCGCCAAGATATCACAATACACAGTTGGCCCATACAACGCATATCTCATCGTCCAGGCACCCAACCCCAGTCGCACTTGTATACGGATGGAGAGTCCTCCTCGAAGACTTTTCTGGTTGGTGTGTGACAATGGGAGACTAAGACTTGACGAAGTTTCATCGCTTCGACCCTACGGCGGACATCTGGCCGGCAGACCCTCAATCACCGCCCACGGGCCTGCACGACAATATCCACCGCCTGGCAAGCTTTCTCCTACTCATTCCCGAAAGGCGCTGGTGCTCGGCGGCGCTGTCAGCGCACCACAGAGATCGTCAACCAATGGAAAGCCCACACCAAGTTCCGGCAGCAGTACGCTCAGCCTGGCTCGCCCCAGGCGGCCCCGGAATGGTCACGCAACCAAGGATGATCTTCTACAAGTCCTAAATGATGCTCGAGACAGGCAAGTAACAGGGCAGCTGTATGGCGGGCTCGCCGGGGTACACAGACGCATCACCGGTCCACTCACCAGCACACTAGTGTTCCCACGACAGCCGCAACACGCCAGACATTCCCAAGCTGTCAATTTCCGGTGCTTCAGTCATTCATCGACTCGACCGACGACGAGAACACTCTCTAAGCTGCTGCGCCGCGGGTCAAGACACAGTACAGCTGCCCATCCATCAAGCGCACCCCTGCGTCCGAGCTGTCCACATGCTCTAGTACGCACCGCACCTGAGCGTACGCATACGTCTGCCGGATCGTCCCAAGTTTGCTCCTACTACGAAACAAGCAGCATGTACTTATCAATTTGAGCCGGTTCCGAGACATGAACGAAGCACGACTACCACGCGCTAGAGAGCGGTTATCTTACTGCTTTAACACCTTGGAGGACAGCGCACATCCATCTTGCGCTCCACGCTGCCAGCTTCGACCTGCACCCATGTGAGAGTAACGACAAGGAAACACGCAGATACGCCACACAGCCAACGACAGTGAAATTACGGGTCGGAAGCCGGGATGGATGACGGGGAAAAGTGCGAGAGGAAGGGTTGCGCACGACGAAGGCTGCACAAAACGAAGCTTGCGCACGAAGACGGTGGCGGCCGAGGATGGTCACAGCGAAGGCGGAAAGGCAATTGCTTGTTCATCGGCAGCACGCATACGACAATGGTCATCTACGGTACCACTCTGGTGGTCGAAAAAGGCGGGCGTCGGTTGTGGTAAACTGCATCAACATCGGAGCAGCGGTTGAGAAGCTCGAGGCGACATAAGACGCAGAAGGTCTGGAAAGGAAGACCTCAGCGGAACAAGAAGTGGAGCTGTAGTCGTAGAAATGGAAGAACGAAGAGAAGAAGCTGCCAGCGGCGCCATTTCATTGCTGAGATGCATTTTTTACATACCTTATATGACGGCCTGTCCCTGCACCGTTGTTACCTGCCCAACGTTAACAGAAGCCTCCACAACCGACTGACGGTGAAACGTCCATACAAGTACCGACTACACGACCCTCATAGGAAGGGTCGGCTGGCGAGGGCATTCCAAGCCAGTCAGACCTGTTTCGCTGATTATGGACGAGCGAAAGACGTTTGGAGACCTTCATCGTAGATTGGTAGAGCGTCAAATGCTTCGGCAGACCTTCACCAACCTCAGAAACGATAAAAAGGGGTGTAGGTTGGTGCCCCACTGGGGCGCCCCATGGTGCCCCAATCCGGAATTTGAATGGTTGTCACCCGCTTCAGGACACGCTCTAACAGCGAGTTATCAACGAACAAACCCCACGAGCCTTCTCGTTCTCTAGACATATCTCAACCTTGGTGGCGACGCATGATCAGCATGTCAAGACTGGCTTGCAAACGGCGAACAGAAACTTGAGTAGATAGAAGCATAAGCGCTCGGAGAGGTCCGTAAAACGGAAGTGGGTCCTAGAGGCTGCAGATGCGAAGCCTTCGCTGCTAAGCACAAACGAGTAGTCAACACTAAGCGCTAACCAGGACCAACAACCGCCTGAGAGAATCCAGAAAGTGCGACTAACTTGGACGTATCACGGGCATAGGACCGAATAAGAGGCCACAGGAGTGTGAACACAACATCGACTAAGCGCAGGCGTGGCAGTCGATCCAGAAATCTTGTAAAGAATTTACAGGGTTACTGGAAGCGGCGCGCAGCCTGCAGGATCGGCTTTGATGCTACCAAACGCAGCGAGAGCGGCAATGTGGCTAAAAGCGAAGAACGGCATGAGTGCTGACAGGAAAGGGCCGAACGTTGCCAGAGGTAGCGCGCAAGTAGCAAGGGATGCTTGACTGTGGAAAAGGTTGCCTACAGTCTCAGGCGGGTCACCCTCGGAAGACGTGTGAAAGCATTGACCGCAACACTCTGGGCTGGATGTGTGCGCTCGAGAGCTCTTCACACACAGCCGCAATCTCAATCCCCTGCCTGTCGAGAGCTTCTCCTCATGGCTGCTTGTGATCCTCTCCCGGCCGACGTCCTGTAAAGGCGCTCCTCCCGCGGAGTATGACCCCACCCGCACACCACCGAGCCTTTGTCTTTAGGACCGTCTCTCCTCTTCGTGGCTGCTTGTAACCCTCTTCCGGCCAAGGTCCTGCAACGCCACTCCTCTCGCGAAGTAACGACCATCCCCATCAACTGCAACGATGGCCAGGCCCATTGATGAGCTCTGCCTCCCGGTCCGCCGTCCTCCTCTGCTCTGCCGCAACCTGGTTGTGGGCAGCGTCGGGTTCTCGCCTGACGCTGTTGAACCTCGGGAATACGCAAGCTCCGCGCGCTAATTCACGAGGCTGCGTTGTTTGGTCCTGGACCACTTCGTGGCTGGCTGTGATCTTCTAGGCTTCCTGCAATGCCGCTCCTTTTGCAACTAACGACCAACCTCATCCACTCCAACAATTGCCACCCCATCAATGAGCTCTGGGGATTCGGTCCATCGCCCTCTTCTGCTCTGCCACAAGCTGTTTGGCTCTGTCTGGTAGATTGACATGTGACGGCTAGATGTCAGCTCCCGGCTTCTGGGGCTATCAGCGACGTCCGTGGTGCCGCTGCGCTTCTCTAGCGCATGCTGAGATTGGCGTTGATGGCCGTGGTATGCCTTGCCAACATGTTCAAGACGACACCGGAAAGCGCTTGGTTTCTGTCGTTGAGCGACGAGTGATTGGCCTGAAGTGAACGTACGATGCGGCAGAGGTTCTCTTTTACGGCTTGAGTACTGTCAATTTCGGCGGTGAGCAGTGTTTCTCGTTGGTCAGTTGCTCTTGCTTAACGTTTGGTGACCATTAGGTGGTGTTGGTAGCCGTGGCCGCTTTCCCGCAGCCGTGGTCGTGATGGTGAAGCGCTCCCGTCCGTACCACTTACTAACACGGACGGGGACAGAGCATCTGCTCACACAACGCTTAGTGAACTTATCTTCACTAAAGCGGAAGTAGTCACCACGTTGATCGTAGTGAGGAATGTTTCAGGTTGGTTGGTTGGTCGTGGTGAGCTTGTGGGTCGTGGTGAGGACCTCTAACCACGAAACCCGACCAACAGGAACACTCCTCACCAAGCGGGTAAAGCATTGAAGCGGCTGTCATGGTCGTCTTCTGGGGTGCTAAGACGGTCGCAGAGGTCTGCGATGATGAGCTGGTCGGCCGACAGATCAACTCGGGCTGTGCATCCTGCACCGGCAGACTTATAGTGACTGTCCATCGCCACATCAACCTACTCCTCGCACGACGCCACACCACAGCTTTGCGGCTCAACCACTGACGGCTGATTTGGCAACCGAGCAGAAGATATCGGAGCTCAAGGTTGGCGAGAAAGCTGACAAGCAGCAACCAAAGAAGAGCATTCGAAAGGCTTCATCATCTGCCACCTTCGGTTTGGGTAAATCATCACCACCACCACCTCCAAGTACACCAGAGGGCCGTATGAGTGGAATCTTGGGCGCCGAAGCCACATAATCCTAGTGAGTGGGAAGTCTGCATTCTGGAAATGGGTGGTCCGACAGACTGCTGTGCCGGAAGGCCTGCAACATCTGCGCACCAAGACACCACAGGCCATGACTGATGAAGCCGAGGTCGACGCCCATGCGACTGGGTCGCCTCGGAATCCTCGACAAGGCCAAAGACGTCGAAATGACGGACGTCGGGACGTCTAGCGCGGACAAGGCTGATACCGTAAAAGGGGCGGTCCAGGACGGCAAGGAGAAAGCCTCGTAAGACTGTTTACTCAGATTAGCGAGGAGAAGGCCCACCTCCACGGAGAAGATTGATTGTGGAGCGTGGCGAACCGTGACCTGAGCTTCAGCCATCATCGAGAGGGCCATCTAAAAGCCAGCAGAAACACCTCACTCCATCAACAAGCGGGGTGTAGGTAAGCAGCATAGCCACAAAATTCCACCAACCAGTCCAAACCGTTCTACTTCCTGATTTTGCGTCTTCATCTTAACCTTTCGTGATCGACCATCAACCAAGCAAAACCAACAACGCGCTTTCTGAGTGCCCCAAGGCTCCTTCGCCATGTCGCTAGACGAGTTTCTGTCCGCCGCCCAAAACATCGCCCTCGCAATCTTCGGCAAGTGCTCTTTCTCCTATTCTTGAATCTATACGTATCCATTCCTATATGGGCTCCAGCTAATACTCTTGCCCTTCCTCTGTATGCACCATGATGACGAGCTGCGCCGGTTTCCTGGGCGTCGCGCTGTTCGGTGCCACCGCCTTCGTCTATAACGAATACGTTAAAAGCACCCAGGCGCGGGATGAGGACGGCCGGGCGAAAGAGCGCGCAGAGTTGCTGTGGGAGGCAGAGCATGGCCACCTGAAATGGCAACACGAACAAGCTCGGGAGCCGGACAAGGCGGAGGGAGAACGGGCCGAACGCGCGTGGGAGGTGAAGCAGGAGCACCAGCGTCGCCTGAACGAGATGGAGCTCGAGCAGAAGCGGAGAATCGGGGAGATGGACCTCGACGCGCATCGAGCCGCGAAGGTGACGCGTGGTGAGCCGGGCTGTATCAATGCAGGGACTCGATTCGATGCCGTCTCCGAAGTGTCACACGTAGACGCCGACTGGAGCGAGGTGGACGCAGCTACCGCACGCTGAGAGGTGCGCTTCACCGCAAGAGTGTTTCTTCGGAGGATCGCGTTGGCCGACTGCGCAATGTTGGCTAGATTTACGGCGACCAGACCAAGAAGGCCCGTCCGAGGTAGACGCCATCGAGGCAATATAGTTTACACTTCCAAATCTATCGTACAAGAGAAGAGGAAATACATTAGGCGTCAAGACGGCGCGTCACCGCCTCGCGTTAGTACAATCCAAACCCAACACTCCCGAGCTCTTCCCTTGTAGCGACTCGCCCACTCTATCTGCCAGTCCTTTTAGGCCAGAACTTGTCGTTCGTTTCCTCGGACTGCGACGAACGCTCATTTGCGCCTTCGCCTCCTCCGCTGCCTCCTCCGCAAGCACAGAGACACCACCGCCTTGTCGGTCGTCCAGGATTTGCTGTCGCGATCCTACGGCCTGCTGCGAAGCTTTTCCAGCAGGTATGCGCGGCTCGCCGACCGTTTGCGCAGAGCGAGCCGTCGAGCTCGCCGCCTCCGTCTCACCCGCGTACAGTGCATCAGGGGATCGTGCGCTCTCCTCCACTCTACTCGCGGTAATCGGCTTCGCATCCGCGTCCACTTTCTTCTGCGCCGCCAGCCTAGCCTTCTCATACCTCGCACTCACATCGCCGCCCGTCCACTTCGTCCCCAGCAGCTCATCCCAAAAGGTGAAGTAGGGCTGACTGAAGTTCGTTTTGATCCCCCAACTCTGATGATGCACATCATGGTATCCCGCATTGTTGCTCGTCAATTTCTGCAGCGGATCCCACGGGAAGACATACCCGCAATGGTCGTCGACGGTCTTGATGGTAGTCATGGTGAAGAACCACATGGACTGTCGCACGGTCATGCCGGAGACTAAATAGGCGATGCAGGTGCCAAGGGTGTCGAGCAAGAAGCCTTCGAAGGGGTGGTTGTACAGCGCACCGTAGGCGTAGGGTACGTATAGGCGGTGATGGCGGGAGTGGAAGGCGTTGTAAAGATAGCGGGATGTGTGCATGAGGCGATGGAGGAAGTATTGCCAAGTGTCAAGGATGCAGATGGCCAGCAAGAACTGCATGCCGGGGATGGCGAGGTGGTAGAGGGCTTTTGCGGTGAAAAGTTCCCAAGAGGCAAAGGCCGGGGCGATCGTGGGTTGGCCTTGAACGATGAATTGTTGGGTGAGAGTGGGATAGGTGCCGCCGGAGATGGCGCGGGCGAGGAGAGGCCGGGCGGTGATGAGACTGCTCGCGAGCGCGGTGACATCGATACCCATCAAGGACAAGGTGATGGGAATCGCTCGCTGCGCCAGTCGTATCCTTTGCGCCCAGACTGCGACATCATAATCGGCCTTTCCGCACATCTGCGGTGCATCGATGAGCGCCATGGAAAGGCCCATCGCTGTCTGAATGGCCTGCTGTATGAGCACGTCTCGCAGTACGTCCCATCTCGTGGCATGATTGCGCTTCAGCACTTCCGCCGGGGTGTGTAGTCGGTACTGCGGGAAGAAGTCCCATTCGTCGATGCAGTGGAAGAGCAAGGATACAGCCCAGTATGCGATCAAGGGTAGTCCAAGGGCGAGGTAGAGGTCTGGTATGCCGGGGATGAGAGGCGGGAGAGGTTGGAGGGTGTAGTCGGGCAGGGGCGGTAAATGGTATGTTGTCGTCGCATTGAGCATATCCGCCATAACCTAACGTGTGAAGGGGGGGATGCGGCGCAAGCAATGTGTCCCGCCCCGCGCACTCACGACCACTGGCCCTTTCGCCTACGGGGACTTGTACTGTACTCAGTTATGGCAATTTATGAAGGAGTGTATATGGGTCAATCTGGAAAGCGTGTGTAAGAAGGAAAGGAGCAAAGAGCAGAGCAGAGGCGAGGGCGTGACGTGACACTCGAGATTGCGGTTGCGGCCTCGAACGCGGCGCGGAAGCGGAAGTGGCCGGGTGGCAAATCTGCGCGCGCGAGAGAGAGAGAGAGCGAAAGAGAGGGAGAGAGACCAAAGCTTCGGCAGGAGAAGCCGAGATCGCGAGCATATCGATAAGGCACCTCCAGCGTCATCCATTCGCCGCATCCATCTCTTCCATATCCATATCCACATCCACCTCCCCTTAGATCGTCACTGCATAGCGAGGCGTCGGCTGGTATTAGACAGTAGCTCGGGGAAGTAATAGTCATGGCAGACTCATGCGCAACCTGCGCCTCAAGCTATTCTTCCCACACCCTCCCCGCCTCCGAGAAGCCACTCCTCCCCGGCCGCCACCTCCCCTGCTGCTCCCGATCCATATGCTCCCGCTGTCTGAATCAGAACAAGCGATACGAAACCTACTGTCCTTACTGCCAAATCTCCACCGAACCCTCACTACTCCCACAAGGCCTGCGAGATCCACCCGCATATGCATCACTCGACGACCGGATACCGCCACCCCCGGAGAAGGGTGGCAGTGATGAAGACGAAGACCTCCCCGCGTATTCTGCGCATCAGGCCGTCCAACCCGCAGATGAGAAGCGAAGGGATGAAGACCCCGCGCCGGATGTGTTGCACTTTCTCAAACCGGAAGACAGCATGCACGCCCTCGCCCTCGCTTACGGCGTCCCAATTAACGCACTGCGAAGAACGAACAACATCTTCTCGGACAACCTAATCCAGGGCCGAAGAACTATCTTAATACCGGGAGAATACTATAAAGGCGGCGTCTCCCTCTCTCCCTCGCCACCCGAGGGCGAAGAAGAGGAAATCAAGAGGAGCAAGGTGAGGAGATGGATGACAACGTGCAAAGTCGCGGAGTAAGTTCACACACCCTCCGACGTGAAGAGGTTGGGGCTGATGGTGGGCGCTGACATAGTATTCCGCTTCGTCTTAGGTACGACGTCGCCCTTCTCTATCTTCAGCAAGCGGACTGGGAGTTGGATCTGGCCATCGATGCGTTTCGAGAAGACGAGAGATGGGAAAAGGAACATCCTCTGTCGAAAGCAGACGCGAAGAAAGGCAAGATGGCGCAGAGGGTGGGTATGAGACGATTCGTAGGCGCGGATGGGGCGGCACGATGAATAGTCGATCGCGACCTTGTATCTCCCCGTTGTGTCGATCTGACAGCTCTCGGAAGCTGTCGTTACGGACCGAAAGCCTGACCCTCGCCATGTCTGGATGCCCAGCAGCCGCCGATCCCTACTATGCAGCGAGGATGATGTTGGATCTGCCATGCTGTTAGACGCCCAAAAGGCCCACTGCTGCGCCTTTGCCTTCGACTCGATCGGGCTCCGCTGCGCTCTCAACGAACTGCCTCTGCGAAACCAAGTCTTGAACGTCGAGACGTCGAATCACCACAAGCGGGTTCTGTGCATAGGGTGGCATGCGCATTCTCCGCACTCCGGAGCGATTTGCAGCTCAAAGCAACCTACGATGCCGGCGCGAACGAGCTGCCTCGCGGATCTTCCCGCGATCTGCAGTGAGTCTGAAGCAGATAATGTTGGAGTGAAGAATAGGCTATGGTCGACGCTAGGTCGGTGGGGAGCTATGCACGTCACGGTAATGAGAGGGATGTAGCCGATCAGCGGACGGATATGGCAGGTAGAAGTAGAGGCGTGCTTCACGCAATATAGAAGCTTATACTGAAAGATGGTCTGTTTACTGGTGCATCTGCACATGTACATGTTAGCCAGCTGTGAGGCTACCCGCACACCATACCTTCTCTCGGCACCTTCACATCCGCCTCGCCCACACCACCACCCACCTTACTCTTCTCGGCCACCTCGACTTCACTCCGCACCGCTTCCGGCACTGTCTCTACCTTTCCACCAGGCTCCAATCCAGCCTTCCTCACCACCTCCGCATCCTTCTCCGCCTGTACCACCTGCTCGTCTCTCCCCGCCTTCACCAGCTCAGCATCTCTAGCAGCCTTCTCCTCCAGCTTCCGCCTCTCCTTCTTACTCAACTGCATACTCCCCTTCTCCAGCGCCTCCGCAGGCAACGGTCGCACATACGGCTGACAAATCCAATAAGGGCGCTTGCACCGCCTGACCGCCGCATCGCTCCTCTCCACATCTACCCCAGCCACCTTTACATCCTTCCCCTCCTTCCCGCCATCCGGCTCCACTTCTTCAAACTCCGTCGGGTTTCGCTCGTAGGCTAACAGGCCGACTTTGACAGCTTCTTCAGTAAGCGTGAGCACATTCTCGAATGCGCCGATATCGCCCGCTCGACACCTGGCTAGCGCGTCTCTCACATCATGGTGGACGGCTACGAGAGGGCGGAGGAGATGGAAGCAATGGGCTTGCATGCCTACGAAGTTGGGATCGTTCGTTTTCTCAAACTTCTTGTTCTCACCCTTCGCACCCGCTTTCTGCTGCTGTCGAGGCTGAGATTGGTTGGTGTTGGGGGTGCGCTGCTCGCTGAGCTGGCCGGGAGGCTTGATGTCAAGCTTTTGACGCTTCGCTGGTGGTTGCTCGTCTGCTTCAGGGCCTGCAGCGTCGGTTGGTGGTCGAGACGGTGCAGCAACGTCCCTCACAGACGCGTATAAATCGCTCGGAAGAAACAGCGGTGCCCTCTCCGGCAGCCGCTCACCCAACACATGCTCATGCACAATATCCAAATACCGTCTCAACACCGCATCAGCCCTGTAACCACCCTTCCCATCTCGACCCCTCCAGTACTCTCTGCCTTCTTCACCTGGCGCAGGCGGGTCAGCAAAGATACTCGGATCATACAAATTGCCCTCCGCACTCATCACACCGTCTGCCTGCGTCTGCTCCAGACATGCTGCAACATCCTCGCGCTGCAGTATATTGCCATTGGCAAAGATTACAGTGTCTTTTGGTAGGCTTTGCCTCAAATATCGGAGTACGCTCCAATCCGCCAAACCGGTATTATGCCCCTTCTGCTCCCTCCTCCGCCCATGCACCGTAATCACACTCGCGCCCGCATCGAGAATCATCTTCGCGTACTCCAGCGTGCGCTCCTTGGTCTCCAGAATGCGCATCTTGGCCGTCACGGGTATATCGAGGCCTTCATGCAACGTCCGTATAAGCTTATGGATCGTGCCCCAATCCTCCTGTAAGAAAGCGCCATAATGTCCGCGCTTAGCTATTCCTTGCGGACAGCCCAGATTCAGATCCACGGCGTCGCAGTGATCCTGCACGTGCCTCGCCGCCTCCAACAACACCTCTGGATCGTTAGCGCAGAACTGCACGAACAGCGGCCGATCAATCTTCGGATTGCCATCCAGGTGCGGCGAGTCATCATCTTTCAGCGGCTGAAAATGAGAAGCGCGATACTTGGGCGCGTCGGCGAAGAGCTTGGCATGCAGCATGGGACTGTAGCAGAGGATGGAGCGGCGCAGATCCGGAGGGAGGAAGGAGCGGGTGAGAAGACGCCAGGCAAATTCGGATTGATCGACCATGGGCGCCACGATCTGCTTAGGGGAGCCCAAGGATTCGTAAAAGGCGCGGCCGTGGAGTTTGGGTTTGGAAGAAGCCATGCTGGTGAGAGACGAGTAGGAGAGTGCTGGGAGGACAGAGTGAAGACTTGGGAGTGGGAGAAGACCTAGCCTGCTTCGCCCAGCGAAGAGAGTGTTTCTCGCCGGGAGGGTAGAGCGCAGACGACAAAAGCTGAGCATACGAAGTGGCGGGCCATAGTCCAGGCTGTCCAAAGAAGATATATCGACAGAATCGCACATATACTGCGGCTGGCGACATGGTGCGATCGACCACGTCTACGGAGATAAGAACTAGCCGAGTCATGCGCTTGGTCCTTTCCATCTGTTCTTACCTGTACGTATATATGAGTTTCACTCAATCGCGGCATTGTGTTGAAACACAACTTTCCAGCAGTCTGCGCGGTGTGTCTGTACGTCTGCTACCACGCTCTATGTGACAGTCTCGCCCTTCCATTCTGCGGCCGAACGGTTGCCGGGAATCCGGTATGCGTCCCGTCTCTGAATCTCCTTTCCAAGGAGCCACCGCACGGCATCCGTGCCTCGCTTGTACAATGATAATCTGATGCCGCCAGCCACCAAAGAGGCGTTGGAACTCGATGCCGGATACGCGTGCCCAGACCTTACATGTAGATGCACGCCACATTGTCGCTACGATGAGACTCGCCTGACTTCGCCAGGACATACGCCACCATCTGGTCCTCACCTTTCCCCTGTTATACAACAACACGGCCACTACGCCTGCCCGGTGCCTGTTATCCAGTCCTCTTCGCCCGCTCCGTGGCCGGTATTACCACATCCTTGAGATTGATTCATCGACATGGATTGGTAGCCTGCACCCTGACCATGGCCTGGAACATTCGCATGGCTCGACCGTAGAGCGTCTTGTGCATAAAAGTGTACGCATCGCCGGTTTAAAGTATGGCTATGTTGCCCATCCGTCTGCTCCACTCACATTTGTACTTCAATTTTCCAGCATGCTTTCTTTGATACGATGGGCTGCCTTCCTGCCGTTGGCGGCGGCAGCACCAGGCCTTTTCGAACGAGACTCCCTCTTCTGCAGCGCCGTCGATCTCCTTGTCACTGTGGCGAAAGAACAGGCTGCCGCTACCACGTTCTGTTCCTCGTATCTTTGTACGTCCACGTCCAGGTTGACGGACCGCAAATTCGTTGCTTATGATGCTCGCTAGCCATTCCGGTGCGGACGGCCACGACGACTTCTACCATCGTTAGGCGAGTTAATGTCGGGGTCGATGTCGCCTACAGGTTCTAACTTCGGCATCAGCACAACAACGAGCACTTTGACAACCACAACATCCGTGACAACAGTACTATGAGCCTGCTTGAATTGCCGTGCACTGCGCACAACGCTGATAGACGCCTTAAGATCACCGCTATGACGAGCACTGTCCCTGCGAATGCGTAAGGGGTCTGCTTGTACCTATCAATGGCTCCCTACTGACGAGACACAGCACCATCACTTCCGTTACTACCACGTCTGTGCCATTCAGGTCCGCATGTTGGGCGAACTTGCCTGACTAATGTACATAGCACAATCACCACCACCGATACGTCAACCACAGCCACGACCACCATAATAATAGACTCTCAGGATGTGGCGCGCTGCAACAACCCCTTCACCACAGCCGGGAACGTTACTACGCCCGCAAAATTCATCAAGCGCGCTACCACAACGTCATCAAGCAAGACTTCGACCAGGTCGCTGCCCTCTTGCCTCGCTACGTACAGTCCTGGTGCTATCCTCTCTTCAGCTTGCAGTTGCCTGTCAGTGCCTACTTCTACGATGACAATCACCGCCTCTGCTGCGTCAACGCAGCTCATCACGACAACACTGAGCGTAAGCCAGGTCGTTCGATAGAAGCTTCGCCGCTGACTGATCGACAGCTGTTGGGAACAACTACGACAACGCCGTTGAACACCTCAACCTCGACCTACACTGCCACACAGGTCTCGACCGTCTACACGAACACAATCGTCCGTGTCCAAGCCACCGTCACAGCCACGACAGTAACCGGAACCTTCCAACTCGTTGCCACAGCAAGCGCAGACCCAACGATCAACGGCGCATATGCGACAAACATTCGCGTCGGTCCAACATACCAGGGCAACAACCTCCTTTTCGGCGCCACGCAGGCCCAGGGAGATCTCTTCCAGATCGATTCCTATGGCCATTTGGGTGAAGAAACTGGAACTCAAGCTGGTAATGTGGCAGCCAGCTTCTCCAGCAACTCCAATATCGACTACATCCATGTGAATTCGGCATCGAACATCAACGATTTTGGGTTCCAGAGGCCGATTTGCTCAGCCGTCGTCGCGGCTGATGGGACCTGCCCGGTGCAGTGTTCAGTGTCTGGCAGGACAGTTAACTACGATACATCAAAGTCTTCCGTGAGCGGCGCATATGCGATTACGGGGTGCGGCGGCGGTTACTGGGCGCTCGGGACGAGCACCAGTAGCACTTGTCCGACATTCGAGATGCTCGTGGTACCGCAAAGTGGCTAAGCCATTCAACGGATATAGTCGCCTTGGACCAGCTACCAATGCATTTCTGACGTGGCACATAGCTGAGCCATTCGCTGGCAGCTCGCGATGTTATTGCCACGCTGTTACTCCTCCCACTGGAGTTAGATCTTGTTCGAACTTACATTTTACAAATATCCAAATTTCCGGCAATCCTTGTTTCTCACATTAGCGATGAGTCGCGAAAACTGACTTCCAACTTTGGGACCGACGAATTAACCTAGCCGCTGTTTTAGGACCAGCCTTTCTCCGCGACCCCCCTCTTTCAAGCCAGATATCTGTTCACCATCGTAGATGTTCAATGTCCGGTGGTCGCCTGCGAACGGTTGTACTCAGCTTCTCGGTTGCCCCTCGCCTTCAGACCCCCGTTTCCGGACTGCCGATGATCTAAACCTCGAGAACGGTTGCGGCTCTGTAGGTAGAGTTGTATTGCTGAAACTACCAGCACAAGCAGCCTACAATCAATACTCGTGCCCTTGGCGACACCAGGCAGTCATGCTAGCTGATCGAATGTAGGCTACGGCAGTCCCAAGTCGATATCTGGCCCAACGGCAAAGAGTTACTAATGCCATGCTGAACGCAAGTGCCCCTAAAACTAATCCGCCATGGCAGCTACACCCAGCGAGCGATCTATGCAAAGCACAAGAGACTGGTTCTCACTCACGATACGTTGCCATTTTGCCGCTAGCGAGAGAAACTAGGCTTCGGAGATGCCTACGACACCGTCCCATCTGCCTTCACTGGAGCTCAGACTCGCCTTCGAACCTTGACCTGAAAGTCACCACCCGGCACCAACCCGCCACTACCTGGGAAAGCCGTTGCAAACCCTGGAAACGCGTCCGTCGGCTTCTTCTCTGCATCCAAGTAACCCACAACTTCGAACTCGAAACGCAGCAATATGAGCGCCAGTGCACCGATCGCTTCCTGCTTGGCAAACACTCGGCCAGGACAGATAGTTCTGCCACCTCCGAAAGGGAAAAGCTTCGCCGCCGTACCCAAAGTGCTGAAGATAGTCTTGCCCGTCTCTGGATTTTTGAAAAGGAAGCGCTCCGGACAAAAGCGGTGGTAAGGCGCTTTCTCCGACCATGAGTTTGGGTTGTGGCTGCCCAGCCAAGACGGCGCGAAGATGTTATCACCCTTGCGGAAGAGTACTTGCCGCTTGCCCTCCTCGTCAAGCGGAAGTGTAATGTCTTCGGGCAGGTTGCGGGTTACAAGGATGTCGACATACATGCGCAGAGCCTCAGTCCAGATGCACTGCAGCAAAGGTTGAGCGATCAAGGTTGGAACGTTGAGCGTGCCGTCTTGCTTCGTTGAGGCCTTGATCTCTTCCAGCACCCTCGGTAGCAGGGTCGTGTCGCCTTGCGGATCAAGTACATGCATCAACATCCATCCAGTGACTGGAATGATATTGCTCGCAAAGGCAAAGGTGAGACCGAGGTCAAAACAAGCACTTGATCTCCAGTCCAGTTTCCGTCTAGTATAGTCAGTGTGTCTTGCCCGATTCAATCTGCTACCAAACAACGGCTCCCAAGCTGGACCTTCTGGATCTACTGGCTTGCCACCGCTGAGTCTATGCATCTCCCTGCTCCAAGCCTCCAGTTTCCGAAGGATCCGAGCCCTCGCCTCGTACGCATCGCGCATTAGGAAGTTCGGAATTCGAAAATAGAAGCTCAGAAAGGCATTGTCGAAGACATAAAAGTCTCTGCAGTAGTCAGGATACATCTCCAGCAACTCTTCGCCCATCAAAGCAATGGTAGAAGCCGTGAACATGCGATCTCGCAGCCAGACATAGAGTCCGAGGTCACTGGCGCCGGATGTTTCCTTGATATCTCGATCGAGAACCTCTCGCAAGACCTGGGTGAATTTTGCCGTCAGTTCATTGACCCGCTCACTTCTGATGAGGTATGCGACATTGCTCTCATGCTCCATGTGTTTCGAGGCTTCGGTGAGCTCGACCTGCTCTGTAGACATGTCGAACATCTGACGGTACAAGTCCCGGTCAAAGGCATCTCGGGAAGGTTTCCTTGCCTTGAATATAGCTTGCACCAATTGTGGAGCGAAGAGAATATGGAAGTTTCGGCCGCCAATAAGCAGCGTGAGGACACCAGTTGAGCGAGGATGCCAGGCGAAGAGATTTTGCCAGTAAGCGCCCGGTTTGGTGGACAAGAAAGACAGGGTGTTTCCGAGAAACGGAAGGGTATATGGGATCTGTGGAGGCGTGACAGGTTTCCCGGTACCATTGGGTGATGCATACTGGCTCATCGCGTGGTGGTAAGTCCATGTTGTGTACAAGCGGAACAGAGACAGCAAAATTGCGACGGCGAGGAATGGTACTGCCACGTATAGCATCGCGCTTCCATGTACTTGAACAATGGACGTTTGCTCCATTGATGTCCTTACACCAGATAGGCGTTTCACGCGATGATAGTATGGCTGCAGAGGATCACCGTACAAGATTCAGAGAGCCCCGAGTACAACTGACACGCTAGGGACACGCACAGCCTCTTGACGCATTCATCGCTTGATGTCAATTTCGGCTCTCCATGGCAAGGAGACGAGTCTTACGGGCAGTGGCTTACAGGTTGGCTGTGGGTGAAGGATGCGAAGCCTCGGACGAGAGGTCTGGGGCCAAGCTTCGCCTTTCGAAGCGACAGTCAGTGAAACTGTGCATAGCCATCACAAAACCCTCGTAGACGGCTCAAAGACACTACTTCCGGCGCAGGCATCAATTTGCCCACGCAAACGACAATCTAATGGCACACAGCATACTAGTGTTCGGCGGATCTGGCAAGGTCGCCCGTAATCTCACACGTATACTCGCGGCCGACGGCCATACAGTCCATTCTGTCATCCGGAATGCGGATCAGAAGTCAGACATCGAATCACTCGGTGGCAAGCCAATCATTCAATCTATCGAGGAGTCTTCCGTCAATGACATGGCCAAGACAATCACCGAAATCAACGCGACAGCAGTGGTATGGTCTGCTGGAGCAGGCGGTGGCAATCCAGCGCGGACCGTAGCGGTCGACCAAGAAGGTGCCATCCGCAGTATGGATGCTACAGCCCAGGCAGGCGTGAAGCGATACATCATGGTTTCCGCCATTGACATTCGTGACCGTGAAGGCAAGCCTGAGCCAGAGTGGTATAACGACGACGATCGAGCACGCAGTGATCGGATGTGGAGTGCGATTGGTGCGTATGCAAAGGCTAAGTTCACCGCAGACAGAAATCTTGTCACAGAGAACAGCCGCCGAGGGCTGGAGTATACGATTGTGAGGCCCGGAAGCCTTAGCACGGAGGCCAGCACAGGGAAGATTGCTGCTGGCAAAGTGCACATTAGTCCGACCATACCGCGCGAAGACGTTGCAAAAGTGATTGCAGAGTGCTTGAAGAACGACGGCACGAAAGGGTTAGCCTTCGACTGCGTCGGCGGAGAGACACCCATCGCAGATGCAGTCGCTGAAGTAGCGAAGGCGAGAGTTGATGTCTTCGCGGGAAGATACTAGTGTAGCTTAGCTGTTCCGCGGTGAGTGACAGGAACCGCAGTTCTGACTTCATAGCTAGCCTCACGCTGCTCACGATTTGCTTGCGCCGTTGCGAATCAACTGCAGCATCTCCTCGCCTTTGGGTGCCGTTGTCAGAACCTCGTACCCGTTTTTCGTAATGAGGATATCGTCCTCTATGCGGACGCCACCGACAGGCATGTACCGCCGTAGTACATCCTCGTCAATATGCTTTGCCAAGTCCGGGTTCTTTAAGAAAGCGCTCAGCAGGGACTTATTAAAGTACACCCCAGGCTCGATGGTTATCACCATGCCAGGTTTCAGCATGCCGGGAGCATCCTTCTCTTCCTTGCACCTTTCTGGACCTGCGGCAAAGGCTAGAGGGAATGAAAAGGCAGGGGGGAGCGGTAAGACGCCAAGTTCGCGCCACCTTGCATCGTCCGCAGTGATCTCCGAGTCCTGGGATGGTAGCGGCCAGACATCGTGAACTTCCAGTCCCACCTGGTGACCAAGGCCATGCGGGTAGAAAGCGAACCATGATCCCGCTTTCAAGATGTCTTCTAGCTCGCCCTTCAAGATGCCCAGCTTGATCAGGCCGATCGTCACCAAACGTCGTGACATCTGTGTGATCCAAAGGAAGTTTACGCCGGGTTCCATCATCATGTAAATGCATGAGTCCTGTACACTTTGAACGAGAGTATAGATGTCGTAAGCCTCTTTGCTTGGCCAATAGCCGGGCCGCTTCTTGTTCAGTGGCAGTGTTCGGGTGATGTCTAGAAGTGTTGATCGCAATATTAGCGTTGTCTCAGACAGGAGTCAACATATTGGTGGAGAGTTGTGCAACGATTCATCCCAGTCCAATCGGCTGCATGCGCTGGTGGCCGTTATGGGCACTTCTGACGACCGCTGTTGGGTTGAAAAGTGCTACATAGCTGGTGATAGCGTCAAGAGATGAAGCAACATACCAGATGCGTAGCACTTCCACTCGCAGCCGGCATCCAGCACAAGTGTCTGGCTATCTCCAAAGTCGGCATCGTTCCTGACATAGTGGAGAGTGCTACCATTTGATCCTGCGCCAGCGATCGGACTGTACGCCTGCTCCCTGGCATGCCGAGCGATGCAGACTCGCATGAACTCGGCTTCGACTTCCGCTTCGTTGCTCAGCTTGTGCAGATGCGTGAGTACTGCCTTATGAGCTTCGCTGCTGATGTCTGCTGCTTCGCGGAGCAACGCGAGCTCATGGGCATCTTTGATGACACGACAGCAATCGAAAACATATCGCAAGTGTGCACTGTCCTTGTCGTCGAACTGCAGACCATGAAGGGAACCGTCCCAGAAAGAGGCATCCATTGAGTCGAGACAGTACACAGCCTTGGCGCGCGACTCTCGGATGATCTGATCAACTGGGTAGTCCTTGATATACTTCGCTTCGTCAATGTCGTACCTACGGCTCGATGGGTAACACGGTTCAGCTCTCAGGTTGTGTAGGTGGGATTACTGATCGAACAACTTACTTCTGGAGTGCTTCCTCGATTGTGCTACCCCTGCCCGTCCAGACAATGCGGCTGAAGTCAATAGGAGGGAGGTATCTGATGGTCAATGGTGGGAAGGGTCAGCAATGTCCCGGACGACCATGAGTGTACAACGAGACGTTCACCGCTTACAGCGTGAGATGGTCTCGGCCAACGTCGTACACCACATAGCAATTGGGCTCGTTGCAGCCCGTTATATAGTAGAAGTATCGATCCTGCCGGAATGGTATTGGCATGTCGGAGTTCGGCCATAACTGCGCTGAAGTTGCTTTGAGAATGATAGTACCTTCTTTGCGGCCAAACCGGTGGGCGACTCGTTGCGCGTGTGACTTGGCAGGATACTTGTCCATATGCGAGCCTTTGACGTGCATTGAAAGCCTGCTATTAGCATGATCCTGAGCTGACCTAAACGGGAAGGCACGCTGGCACCCGGATAGTTGCTGAGAGGCTGACATCCTGGTATCACAGAGTTTGCACTACAAAAGCCCACGAATTCACGCCGGAAGACTACACGAGGGTGGATATGGCGAGCGTGATCAGGAGGCAATGGCTGTGGCACGCATGGACGCTCGTTATCGTTCGGTCTGACAATGGTGATGCGAAGATTTGGTGTCAATAATCGTAGGGTTGTCGTCCCTGTCAAATTGGTTGCATGTAAGGAGGCAAGCCATCCACAAATTGCATACTGAGCTGCTTCACACACGCCCTTCGGTATAGACACATATTTCGGCGCGTGGTCTTTGCATACCTTGTCGCTGAGAATTCCAACACATTGCCGCGCAGTGTCTTCGCAAGCCTAGACGACCATATTGCTTATCCTGTACATGTAGACAGCTGCAGGTATGTGGGTGGGGAAAGTGGCGTCAGGATGAAGCTGCTTGAGAGCTCCTTGACAGATATTTATCGGAACCATTGAATTGTTCGCTGTCTCTTTCTCGGTGAGCTTGTTGCCCTTCCATCTTGAAGCACATCATCCGCGCACGTCAACCGCAACCATGAGTGCTGCATACTACGCCTACCGTATCACGGTAGCCTTTGCCGTACCCCTCCTGCTCTCCTCCATGATACCAGCATCTGATCACTCACCATGCGCCGCAAAAGCCGAGCCGAGCATCCATCAACAGAAGCAAGAGCAGGTAGAGGAAGCAGTTAAATCCGACCCTCCTACCCCGATCCGGGTCACGCTCAAGAGGGGTTCGCAAAGATTGCTTGTCCGCAAGCGCGAGTGAGGAAACCGGTTGGCCTGGAAGGATGAGAGACCGGTCGCTACACCCGTCTCGCCTCAGTAGCTCTTCATGCACCGCTCGGATCTCTTGGACAGTCCGATCTAGCTGGAGCAGAGCTGACGGTGCTGTCATGGCCCGAAGGTCCACTCCTTACGCATCTAAGAGTCCATTTGCTGCCAGAGTATCCTCAGAACGGAAAGGAAGTCCTCTCTACGTGAACCCGCAGATCACCCGTACCGTAACATGCCGAGAGGCGCAATGTCTGAGTGGTGAAAAGCCGCTGAAGAACCGTTGCCGCACTTCTCGACGGTAGACGTTGCAATGTGGAATCCGGTCTAAATCAAAGGGATTGAGGTCGTTGGACATCACCATCGACCTCAATCCACTCATAGACACCCGAGTGGCCAGCCCGCTGTTCGTAGTGCATACATACCTACCGTGGCATCAGTATAATGCGACGCATGTCACCGCCGCCTGTTTGTTGCCAGTCACACAACTCTCTCGGGAGTAAGCGCAATCATCCTGGGCTCGGAGAGTATGAAGTGGTTCAGCTCAAACGGCAAAGTGGAGGCCACGTCGTAGTCAAACAAGGAGCACGCTCAACTCTCCCTGCTCGACAACTTCGGATCGCATGACTCGACATCGACGGTGTTGTGTTCGGGACATTGTTATCTCCCTATTGGCGACCCTGCAAGACTCTTGACACCGCTACATGCAAGTACGATGGACTCGCATGGCAAAATCTGATGTTGAACGACTCATTGCTGCGAAATGTTTCGAACGTGCCGAGATTACCCACATGGATGGAACGCCCTCAAAGAGCTCCTTGTTGATGTTCAGGCAGAGCTCTACCGGATGGCGCAGGAGCGGCCATTTGGTACGCACACCTCGCTGCGGGCGGGCTCTGGCGCTTCTGTTCACCAGTACGTTGTGCGGCCACAAGAAGGAAGGGTTCGACTCGTCGGTACTTGAGCTAGTGGTGTAAGCTCCTTAGCGAATATGGCTGACACCGCCGGAAGTGTAGTTCGACCGCCAGGCAGGACGAAACCATGTCAAAACCAGACTCCGGTGGGGTAAGAGTGAATTCACGTTAGAAGGCAGGGTTGAAGATAGAGTGGCGTGCTTCACGCTTGCCTTCACTTGCTGGCAACGAGTGAGTCACGAACGTCGCCGTCACCTCGTGGTAGGCGCGGCACAAAGTAAGAGAAAGCGTAGTGCGAAGTGAATGAGCAAGACAAGCTTGTCTTATGCGATAAACATTCGAATCCAACAAACACAATGCTCCATCACAACTCGAACCGACGACGCGCAGGCAGACTCCAAGCAACCAATCCACGACCAATTTCAAGCCGAGCGGTAATGAAAATCAGAGCGCAACGCATCTTCAGTCTCCGCGGCAATCTTCAAGCGAGAACCTCTCCCTCGAGAGCATTGCCTGATGGCAACAACGTCGCTTTGATCTCTTCCTCCCACTTCACCAAGTCCGCGCAGCTAGGAACAGACTCATCTCTCGCAACAGCGCTCATAACGGCCCGGCCCATCCCCTCCGAGTTGATTATCAGCACCTCAATCTCGCACATATTCACATCTTTCAACATCTCTAAACCCGCAAAGAGCCGCTGGCGTGTCTGCCGGCTTTTGATGTTTCGACCCGACATCAAGTCGCAACGACGCACCGCAACGGTCAGCACCACGCGACGCAGTCCCGTCAAGCTGGTTAGAGAACGCGTCAGACCCGTCCCCGCCCAGGTGCGCTCGCGCTCATAGCCCAGGGCATACAGCGTCACGTTGCGTATTGCGGCGTGTTGGTGTGGAGCAATGGACGCCACAAAGCTGGCGAAGGTGGCAGCATTCTGAAAGGTGAACTCGTTGCTCGCGAAAGGTATCCCCGCGGCCTCGTCGTGGATCTGCTTGCATGTCCGGAGCAGGTTGAGCTCCTTAACATGGGAGTAGCCGCCGAACTGGCAGTACTTGTGGCGCGACTCGAATCCTCCGTAGCCGAACACGTCGTCGCTCTTCTTATTAAGCGGAACACCGAACGCTTTTAGCACTTTTTGCCGCTGGATTGCGGCCTTGCTGTCAGCCGCTACGGCTCTGTGATGCATCGAGCGGCGGTGATCTTTGTCCGATATCTCAGCCAGACATTCACCGACCTGGCGATGCGAGTCGAGCTTCGAGCCAAGACTCGGCCGGCCAACATGGATTGTGCGTTTACCAAACACCAGACCATAAATCTTGTTGCGGAGCTCCGGTGGCAGGTCGAGCAGCGGAGAGGCGTCGCTGTTGCCGACTCGAGGAGGTGCTGGCGCCATGCTGGTCGATGTTGCAGCCAGGTGTCTTCGTTGCTCTGGAATACGATGAACGTTGACTAGGTGGCGTTCACGGAGCAATATGCAAGGCAAGAGATTGCAAGATGTTTGTATGATGTAGATGGTAGAAAGATGTTCAGAAGGTGCTCGGTGCGGGTATTGGACTTTGAAGGTGGATGTGAGGTTGCTGGAGTGGAGGTGAGTCTGCACCAGAGGGAAAGGAAAAGTTCACGTAAAGAAAAACGCAGCTACCTGTCGTTACCTTATTGAATCGTGCGCGAGCGTTGATGTTACTTGCCGACGTCGTGCTATAGGTGCTGTATGTCTTCGAGGCAAGGTAAGAGTTCGACGAAAGGGGAAGAAGTGGGAAAGTCTAAACTCGAAAACCAGGAATGTGAAGTCGAAATCCTAGCGCGCTTACCTTCGCGCCATGTGTTATTGCGACGGACAATAGCAGCAGAGAACTCAGCAGGTGAGGATGGAAGCGCACTGCGTTGCACAAGATGTTGCATTTCTACCGGAGATACTCTACAGCTCTTCGTGAGGCCTGACTGTCGGTTCCTCATCGACTCCCGCGGAGTCGCCATCATCCCCCTTCGCCTGGTTGATCATATCCAGGAGCTCCTCCTCCGTCGGCATCTCCTCGCCGGAAGTTATCGTCATGACCTTGGGCTTGCCCGCCCCCGTTGTCGCGCCCGCGTCTGGCGCAGAAGTCGTGCTCTTCCCTTTCTTCGCACTCTTGCTCTTCGTAGCCTTCGGCTTCTTCGACGACGTAGTCGACTGTTTCTGCTGCCGCATCTTCTTGTAGACGAGATGACTCATGACACGGCTCAGCTTGGCCCCTTTGACCTCGAGATCGCTCAGCAGAAGAACTGGATCCTCATTCGAACCCAGCTTGTCTTGCTCCGCCTCCTTCTCAGCGAGCCACTCCCTTGTCTCAGCATACGCTTCTTCCAGCTCGGTCAAGTCAGCCGCAGTGTAGGGCGTGAAGTCCGAAGGGCTCGAGTACTTTGGGCCATCTGACTTTGTTTTCGTCGAGGAGCTCGAGGCCGGCGCATCATCCGCTTCAAGGTCGGCAAAGTCATCTGCAGCGGAAGGCGAGCCGGTTTCGAGCAGGTCATCAGTCTCCGAGGATGATGCTGCGGCAGTTTTGCTAGCCTCAAGCTGAGCAGCCTTGCTGCTTGCCTCGCTACCCTTGGCGATCTGCTCCTTGATCATGCCAATGAGCCTCTCCGTCTCGTTCAAAGACGTTTTGAGCAGTGCTACCTTCTCCGGTCGCGCGAGCTCCTCCTTCCGCCGTGCCTGGATTGGCTCAACGAGCTTCTTGAGGTCCGACAATCGATCTCTCAAGGTAGCCTCCGTCGCTTTCGACACGTCACTCGAGCTTTCCATGAACGAGCGAGTGGTGTCAAGCAGCTTCCTGATCTGCTCACGCACAACGTCCGTAGCGTACGAGGTGTATTCGGAGTTACCCAGAAAGTCACGGACGTAGTAGGTGTAGGACTCGAGCTGGTTGAGCGCTTCTTCGCGAGCCAGCCGTGCCTGGTCGGAACGGTCAAAGGCGGCGAGACGATCCTGCATACGTTGGAGCTCTTCATCCGCTGACTGGACGTTGCCCTCTGGGGAAGTGGTGAAGGCGATAGGGGTGCTCTCCGTCCGCTTCTTTGGCTTCTCTGGCACCTTGGGTGAGGAAGTGCTAGCACTGCCTGAGGTTGCCTTCGCAGACTCATCGGCCGCTCCGGATGTCGAGGAAGCCGCATCAACCTCCTCTACTGGCCCAGCATCCTCTGGATCATCTTTTAGCGGGTCCTGGTCTTTCTTCCCACCAAAGCCTAGCCAATCCTTCGCAGAGTCGACAAGGGACCCACTCTTGCCAGTGCCTTCGACCTCACAACTGACCGTGCCGCCGAGAACCTCCGGCAGACCATCAACCGAGCTAAGCCTGACGCTGAACTTTGTGGCAATGTCATCCTTGTCGCATCCAAAGCGCTCCTTCAGCTCTTTGATAGAAGCGGTCAGATTGCTTGTCTGGATCCTGGTGATCGGCCGATCCGCGCCGTCAACAACCTGATACAACGCGAACGTGAAATCTTCCTTGTCCTTGAAGGTGATCTGTTTCGTCGTACTACCACTACCAACGGGTGATGTAGCCACGAATAGCTGTTGTCGCCGGTCCTTGCCAGCGTCAGTGTAGGTCATGCCAGCCGCATAAGCAGCGATGTCCGAGTCTCTAATCTCCTTGACTTTGAATGACGGAGACAGCGTGGCGCCCTTGAATGACGCGCCGAAGACGGCAGACTCGTCCGCGTTGACGTTGGAGCGAAGCTTTGCGCTTCCGCCTGCAATCTCTTCCAGTTTGCGATGCACGAATGGTGTTCGGAGTGCACCACCAAATAGAATGATACTGTCAATATCAGCCATCTCCATCTTGGCTGCGGAAAGAGCGTCTCGAATAGGCTGCGTGACCCGCTCAGCGAACGACTCCATCAACTCCTCGAAGCCAGACCGTGTGAGCTTGGTCCGGAAGTCGATCTCCGGCATTAATTCCTCGAAGCTGCTGCTCGTCTCGGTGTTGGCGGAAAGGACTTGTCTTGCCTTCTCTGCCTCCTTCCATAACCGCGACATTATCCTCCCATTCTCCTTCACATCGTTGATCCTCAAGCCTCTGCTCTTCATGACCGGCTTCGTCAAGAACTTCGACACATAGTCGTCAACGATCACCTGATTCATCGCATCGCCGCCCAAGGTACGATCCCAGCCCGCACCCACAACTGCAACCTCCTGCACCGTCTTGTTGAATCTGCCCACATCTTTGACACTCCTACTTTGGAAGCGTAAGAGCGTGGCAGTTGTGGAACCCGCTCCCATGTCGTACACAATATGATACTCCGGCTTCTCACCTTTGCTCACATCCGGAAACGTCCTGCTCTTCGCGTAGTCTAAGCCTACGGCAAGTCCGTCCGAGATCAACGCATTGACTTCAAAGCCTGCCAATGTCGCAGCTCGCTCGATCGCTCTTTTCTCGTCTGCCGTGTAAAAGACTGGTATCGTGATAACCACATCTTCCACGCTGCCACCAGCCATACCCTCCGCGTTCCGCCTTACGCTCGCTAGCTCCATAGCCAACAGCTCCTCCACGCTCCATGGCACCTCGCCTTCCGCAAATGCAGAGCTCTTGAACACAGTGGTACCCAACTCCTTCACCTGCACCACCTGAACCGCCGGATACCGTCCCTTCCAGACCTCCACTGTCTTATGGCTTCCGTCCTCCGTCCACGGCAGCCCCAGTAGAGGCTTCAGATTTGGAAAGACCTCTCCCGGCATCCGACCCTGAAGCGCCAGCGCATCGGAGCCATATGCTCTCTCCGGAAAGCTTCCGACTTCAGCAATGACATTGTTGGACGAATCGCGGCGGGGCTTGAAGGCCACAGCAGCAGTCTCCTTGCGTTTCGAGTCCTTGGTCAAAACGATCTCGTTGGGGACTCCAGGCTTGATAAGGGCAGCTTTTATATTGAGAGTGCCAAAGTCGAGCCCAAGGACTGCACCTGCCGCTGATGCGGTTGTCGTGAATACAACAAGTACGAGAAGTACGAGCAATGGAAAGACGTTGCCGGCATGACGCCGCCGACCAGGTGGAAGCATTGTGAAGTGTCTGCAGACCAGAAAGTGGTTGTGTGCCTTTCCAGATATGTCGATCAAGGCGGCGCCGGAGGTTATGAGCTGATCAACATGGTTCGGACTGAGCACGACGCTATATACGCTGCAGCATGAGAAAGGACACGCAAGAGCCTGACAGGTGTATTCAGCCGGGATATGTCGAGATGTTCTGCCATTGACAGCTGGCTTCAATATGTGAAACTCAATGGACCCTGCGTCACACTCGCGTGACTCGCCTCACCCCCGTCGAGGCTCCGCAGACTGATAGCAACAACAGCTCCTCTTCATCCAATTGTTATCACCGCTAGCAGCGCCTCACGTCACTGGATACAAAGCGTAAGTACATGTGTGGCTTGTGGCGGCTTCGATCATTCCGGTAGCTATTGCTACTCAACGTAGCGTATGATTGTCCTTCCCTGGCCCTTCATGTTGATCGAAAAAGACGTTACGAATAATGGCGTTACAGCCATGTAATGCCCGCACTTGAAGAGAGTGGTTGGAAAGCCTTTAAGCGCAGACACCGCCTGCAGAAACAGCGCGAGCACGAAGGGGCCGTTGAACGCTTTCATCGTGTTATAGACACTTACCAAACACCCAAGACGACGCCAGACTTCTCGAGTGCGTTCACACACTTGCCGCTACACCATTACATCGGCCGCTAGCTGTCGAACACCTTCTCCGCGCGATGGAGTGCTTCACCACTTTCATGATCACGAATCGTGTAGAGTCTGTCTTGTTACTGACTTCTCCTGGGACTATTGAAGGTGAGTTTGATGCGTTTGATCATGTTCTCCAGAACGATATCCTTGCGTCGAAGTGGAATCATATTGCGTACGGGGGGCAGAATGGGGCAAGGGCATTGAGGGACTTGTGGCAGACGCTCGCGATGAATGCAAGGGATGTTGAAGAAATGCTTGGTTGATCTTGCACCCTCTTATCACGCAGCTTCAAGCTTTTGATGGGTAGATCAAGCAGACGAACGGCGTTGATGCTTGCGCTGAAGGTGGCTGGACATTTGCCCACGGAGTTGATGGAGGTGGTGGCGGATGCGTTGTATCGTGAAGATGGTATCACCGAGATGCTGTTCCCTCGGAGGGCCATCACTGGGGTCGGCGCTTTCCGCGTGGTCACATGACTGGAGGAAATCTGGCTTCAATCATGTATGGCCGGTCGTTTACGCTGGCGGGTAAGCATGTCAGTCATCAGTGGCGTTCGGTTTAGCGAACTGCAACCACAGTTGAGGTCTCTCGATCTTGGGGTCGTAGCAAGGGTGAAGACTCTGCTTGAATCTCTGAGTACGTTCTTCGCCAAACAGTGGTACGCTGGCAAGTGGCTCAGCCCTACCTTGTCGGTCTGTGACGGCGAAGTCGGCTCTACCATTGTGGCTCGGCTTGTACAGCTTGAACAGCGCCTACCGACTGAAACCCTCAGAGCGCGAGCCAGGTCGACGAGGGTCGCAGTTGAGCAAGGCGTTCTCGACGTCTTACCCGTGACCCTAACCCATGGTGACCTCATTCCGTCGAACATTATGGCCGATCCCAAAAATTGGCAAGCCAATGGCTACGTTGACTGGGCCGAAGCTGAGTGGCTACCTTACGGCCTTTGTCAATATGGTATCGAACTGCTCCTGGGTTACTTGCAACATGATCTGGTAACAGGGCGGCCTCGTTTCCTTTGCTACGTTCAGGCGGAGGAGCTGCGAGCAATTTTCTGGAAGACACTGTATGAACAAGTACCGGAGATACAGATTTCCAAAGTCCGCGAAGCTATTCGGGTGTCGCGAGATGTAAGCATCCTACTCTGGAAAGGAATTGCTTGGGACGACGGTGCCATTGATAGGGTGGTGAATCTGCGTGATCACGCAGACGAGCTTGCATACTTGGAAGCGTTTCTTGGGTGTGGAACTGAAATGTATGTATATCTATTAGTCGGTGAGCGTACGACCACTGACCTACCGAAGCGCCTCATAGGACCGATGAAATTCATTGACCATCAGCTTTCGGCTTCGCAAGGCCTGCGGGTTCTGCCTCCTTCCTAAGCTCGTCCCATTCTGGACGTGGTAGTTCGACTCCTTCGAGCACCCGACCGTACGTGATACCGCCGAGTCTGGACACTGGGCGGAGGACCTGCGCCAGTCAGCATGTAAACGTAGACAATATATTTCGGCACTTACAGCAGGGTCAAGGATATTGCGGTCTTCATTGATGGCGTCTTCGCGTGCCCAAAAGCGAACACCTTCTACGATTGCGAGCACGCCGGTCTTCTTGCCTGGCGTTGCTCGACTCTCAAACTCTTTCGTCTCCATGAGCTTGCATTCAACACTAAAGACGGATTCCTTCACTCTGCTTGCTTTGACATCCTTACAAGGCGCTGGCGTGAGACCGGTCAATGCCCATTCGGAGACGCCGTATGGAGCGTTGACGGATGTCGCGTTGGCCGCTTCAAGAAAGTGCTCGGAGATGATGTTGATCACGCATTCGCCGCTATCAACCAGGTTCTTGAGGCTGTCCTTTGCGTGGTCAAAGCCTCCCGCGTAGCCGATAACAAAAATCGGCGGATCATGGTTGATGAGTTGTGTGTAGGAGAAAGGTGCCAAGTTGGTGCTGCTGCCGTCTTTTGATCGTGTGCTCACGAAGCCAATGGGTCGCGGGATGATAGCGGAGATGAGTAGCTTGTAGTTGAATGTTGCTGGCCGGCCGTCCTGGTACGGATCGATGTCTACATGGTTGTGCTTGAGACATTCGCCGCCATCATTCGCGCCTTGCCCAGGTTTCCAGTTCGGATCTCTCGTCTTGGTGAAAGTCCAGCCTTCTTGCTCCCGCCATCCTGGTCGGGAACCCTCAACGCTTTTGAAGTCAGGATGCGGATTACGCTTGACATGCGCCCTGGTTTCTGTGAGTCTCGAACAACGCGCGTTGGGAGTATATGATCATACTCGCTGTCCATCATCTGCTCGTGGGCAGCTGGGTCCTGCTCACGCTGTTCATGATCGGTCGACATCGCCGGAACGCTTGTTCGATTCTTGACTACGTGAAACGACTGTTTATCGAGAAGAACTTTGAGGTGGGTTTGTCAGCCAATGAAAGGCAGGATGAGTTGTCCCTATTAAGGTGTTCAACTACGGAATAAGTGTGATGCTCATTATACATCGACGTCATCGGCCATTGGGCATACAGGCTCAAGGTACTACTGATGTCTATCTACGCGACTTCATCAATTCATTCCGAGTATTTGTACGAAAGCTGGGCTCTGTGAACAGTGCAAGATGCTTTCCAATAGATATCACGGTTTGCACTCAGAGCCATCCGGTAACGTTAGCCACCAAGAATCGACATTTAGGCAATACTTGACATGCAACCCTCGGCGAATGTTGTCCGAACATGACAAACATGACCATTAGTAAGTCGCGTGCGGATCCACGAATTTGGACATGTGTCTTGAGACCAGTATGGATTGTGCGTTCTATCTTACAAGCGAAGGTCAAGGCGGGGCATTGTGTTGGGTCTCTGACCTGATAACTGTTACTCTTTCCGTCCATCAACCGGATATCAAGCAAAAAGTTCTGTGAGACCGACTTCTGCTCCAAATTCACATAGTTCAGTCCAAGGAGTCGTCGTGATGCCAGCCGATTACGAAACATATTCGCTTGGCGACTTCAAGCTCAAGAGTGGAGGCACGATCCCAGACGCCCACATCGCTTACAAGACCTTTGGTGAATCCAGCAAGCCGGCTATCGTCTATCCGTGAGTAGCTGTGACGGGGGACTAGACAACCACAGAGGGTGTCCTCTGAAACTTACCTACTCCCTAGATCCTGGTATTCCGGTGCAATTGGTGACAACGAATGGCTCATTGGCACCGATAAGTGCTTGAACCCGGACAAGTATTTCATCATCATCACCGCGCTATTCGGCAATGGTCAATCCTCATCGCCGAGCAACAAGCCAGAGCTGAGACCGTTTCCGAATGTGCTGTTTTACGACAATGTCCGCGCTCAACATGAGCTTGTAACAAAGAAACTTGGCGTCCAGCATGCGCGAGCTGTCCTTGGCTGGAGCATGGGAGCTGGTCAAACGTATCAATGGGCGACGCAGTTCCCGGATTTGTGCGTAGATTCCTACCGTTGACCGAGCCCTGCTGACCGGTGACAGCATGGATCTTGTCGTCCCATTCTGTGGGTCCGCAAAGACTTCGCTGCACAACCAGGTCTTCCTGGAGTCAGTGAAGAGCGCAATACTGGCCGCGAAAGGCGCATCGTCTGCCGGAGTCTGCAAAGGCGAAGCAATCCAGGGAGGATACCGCGGTTGGTCCGACGAAGAGCGTACTGTGGGGTTGAAGGCCCTTGGTCGTGTTTACGCAGGCTGGGGTTTCAGCCAAGCCTTTTATAGAGAGAAGCTGTACGAGTCAGTGCTCGGCTTCAAGGATTTGGAAGACTTTATGGTGAATTTCTGGGTTAGTCAACATAAGCGGTTTTTGTCAGTGAAGCCGTCGCTGACACGTGAGGGCGCTGTCTGTAGGAGGCGTGGGCCCTCTCAAAAAGCAAGACACCGTATCGCCGTTGGTGTTAGCCACTACAGTCTGCTGACAAGCACAGATCCGGAGAACATGCTCGTTATGCTGCACACTTGGCAGGCCGGAGATTGCTCGGCGCAGGAACCCTACAATGGCGACTTCGAGGCTGCTATGAAGGGCATCAAAGCCAAAGCGTTTGTGCTACCGAGCAAGACAGACTTGTACTTCCGTAAGTCCAGCAAGAATCGGAGACCCGAACTTGGATTGACGCAGTCGCAGCTCCTGAAGACTCGGAAAATGAAGTGGCACATATGAGCTCAGGCATTGGCCTTTGCATGGCTTTCCCGTCGATCTGGGGGTTGGTAGTTTCGTACGCAAGCGCATTCAGTAATGAAGCTAACGTGTTGTTGCAGACACTGGGCCGGTGGTCCTGGTCAAAGCACGGAGGACGTTAAGTGGCTGGACAGTAAGCTTCGTTGGTTCATCGACCGCCAATGAGTTGGTAGCACGCGCTTGAGGGACGTTGGCAGGCGACATGTACGGAGTGGTAGGGGCAGATGAGGTACGAAACGGTGAGAGTACAACGGGACAAAATCGCGCCAAGCTTGCATTGAACGCGTATGCCATGTTCGGGCTAGCTTAACGTCCATGCTTACCTAAATCGTGCCTCTTCACGTGCTCTCTTCCGCAAAGCAGAAATCCCCATCTTCACTTCCTTCCCGTCGCAGCTTGTCATCGCAAGACTCTACCAGCGGAGTCTTGTGATCGCACTCTCATGCGGAAATGAACCCTTCTTCCACGGTGTGGCGGCGTTCATTACCCGGGTCTGGCCGTCACCGCAGCTGCCGTCGCTGCGTGCACCATCTGCGCCGCAACCACAGCTTGAGCTAAGAGGGTGGGAAGCCTCATATCCTCACTATGGCGACGGAGAAGCAGTGGGGAGTGACGCAGCCCTTCTCAAACGATGCGCCGACTCCGGCCGACCTGAAGCTCAACGACTCCCTCATTGCGGAGCTGAAAGCGCAGGACAACTTCCCGCCGTCAAGCGACACGGAAAGGCGAGATGCGGTCATCGCGAAGCTGAAGGGACTGCTGAGGCAGATGGTGCAGATCGTGGGCAAGAAGAAGGGGCTACCAGCGGGCATTCTGGAGACGGCAGGCGGCGAGGTGTACACTTATGGCAGCTTTCGGCTTGGCGTCTACGGTCCCAACTCCGATGTGGACACGCTCATGGTTGCGCCGAAGCACGTTACTCGGGAGGAGTTCTTTGAGTACATGCCGGACCTGCTGAGGAAGTCTGCCGCACCAGGCGAGATCACGGAACTGGTCCCAGTGCCGGGTATTGGTACACCCATCATTAAGCTCAAGATACAAGGCGTCGACATCGATCTCATCTTCTGCAGTTTGCAGGTCCAGTCTGTACCGGACAAGATGGATTTGGCAGACGACAATCTGCTGCGCGGTCTGGATGACACGGATGTGCGATGCGTGAACGGTACGCGAGTGACGAACCGTATCCTGCAGCTGGTGCCGCAGACCAAGACTTTCCGGTACGCACTCCGCGCGATCAAGCTTTGGGCGCAGCGGCGAGCTATCTATGGCAACATCGTTGGTTATCCGGGCGGCGTGGCTTGGGCGATTCTGGTGGCCAGAGTCTGCCAGTTGTATCCGAAAGCCGTGGCGCCGCTTATTGTGCAGAGGTTCTTCTTCATTGTCAAACGATGGAATTGGCCGAAGCCGGTCTTCTTGCAGCATAAGGTGGAGTCCTCATTGGTGATACGCGAGTGGGATCCGAACACTTCACGGCACGATGCAGGGCACTTGATGCCCATTCTCACACCAGCCGTACCGTCCACCAATACCGCACACACGGTCGGGCCGTCAACGAAAATGGTCATGATGCGCGAGCTCGAACGAGGCGAGCAGATCATAGCAGACATCTACAGCAAAAGCAAGCCATGGAAGGCTCTCTTCGAGAGACACAACTTCTTCACCACAGCGTACAAGCATTACATATGCGTGGTCACGGCGTCAAAGTCGAAAGACGCTCAAGATGCTTGGGCAGGGCTAGTGCAGTCTAAGATTAAGTGGTTAGTTCAAGGTATCGAGAGCTCGGACGCTAACAGCATTGAGCTTGTGCAGCCCTTCAACAAGGGTTTCGAACGGGTGCATGACTGCCAAGGCGAGGAAGAACTGCAAAAGACGCTAGAGGGCAGTCTTGAGTTCCAGGTCAAGGGCGTTAAGACCGAGACCACGGATCAACTCACGGGTATCAAGACGCAGCTGGTGGCCCAGAGTGACACGGATGGAGTCGAGCCACATGCAGTAAACGGCACTAGCGTTCTCAAGGCGGAAGAAGCCCAACCCAACGGTGTCAACGGTGCATTCCAACACGAAGGAGCAGCAGCGGACATCACTGGGCAGCAGCCCAATGGAGATGCTTCAAAACAAGAAGGCACACCAGGACAATCCCAGAAGGTTTACACCACAACCTACTACCTCGGCATTGGCCTCGTGAAGGGCGCGACCAATCTTGATATCTCCGCGCCCGTCAAGAACTTCACCGCTACGTGTACGAGCTGGGACAACTTCGACGAGGCTATAAACTCCATCCGCATCAAGCATATGCGGAACTACGACTTACCCGCAGATGTCTTTGTGGAGGGGGAGACGAGGCCGAGTCGGCCGGCCAGTAAGAGGGCGCCTAAGCGGAAGCTCGAAGAGGCCGGCTCGGGAGTTGCGCAGCAGGAGCAAGGAAAAAAGCTGAGGAAGGACGGCAAGATGCCGAACGGGGATGCTGGATGAAGTGAATCATACAGGATCTGCGTGCAAGCACCTGTCATGCGATCGTACAGATGTACGGCGGAGCCCTGCGTAGGGCTAAAGTACACATGTCGACAGCTACCAGTCATGGCATGGAGCACTACTGGCTCGAGTGTCGCCGGAGTGGGCAGACGATACGATGCCTGCGTTCGAGGTTACGTAGGAATGATTATTGGCCAGCCAGCCTCGTTTCCGATACTGATGTCCGTCATGTCATATGCTACCGCACGTTAACAAGATCGCACCACTTCTTACAAATGGTCAAGGGAGCCCATGCCGTGGCGGCTTCAGCCACAGCGAATTCAGATAATAGCGGGCAATGCACTTCAGGTAGAAGCTGACGTCTTGAGTCCTCGCTTCTTTGTGTGAGCTCTACTTTCGTAAGTCCGGACATCCAACCGGCCCTCCTGGTGTGCACCGTCTGAAACAGCGCTGACAGCTACCAATGAGCATCTTGTGGACGCTCGCTCAGGCACTCAATAACAAGCGCTTGCCAGAACCTCTCGAACACATCGGCATCGTTTGCACGCGTGGAGCATTCGCCTTTCCATGGCCTGACACAAACTGCCGTCGCGAATGCTTTCACTTCCGCGCCCGAATCTCGTCGAATGTCAGGCCGCCCATACATAAGACAGGCCGCCAGGAAGTCCACAGGAGGGGTCCGCTCGGAAGGAGGGTCGCTAGGTAGCTTTGACGGAGGGTAACCTAGGTCCTCAAGTTCCCAAAGCCTATTCGTAGTGGTTGCGGCGATTTGGCATCCATAAGGGTTGCGCTAACCGTCATCTTGCCTTTTTCGACCCCGCTTCCTGGCTCACGCTCCGCCATTCGTGCGGAAATAGTGAGACGCTGAGCGACAGTTGTGATCCAAGAGATGTGTCTCTATCATATATATACCATCCCAGTCCCAGACGCACACGACTCAGTTCGGACCATCAAGGTGATTCGCGATAGCCTAGCAAGCCCGAGCTTTTCCCGACGAACAGCCAATCAGCACACGTATCGACTCCATTCCAGAAACTCATAATGCCTGAGGGAGGATGCTTCTGCGGCAAGACCCGCTACAAGTACACTGGTGATGTACAGGCAGCTGTAAGTCTTCCGTGAACAGTTCGCAATAGGCGGGATAGACTGACCGTTGGCAAAGGCGACGTGTCATTGCCGGGACTGCCAAAAGATCACCGGCAGTGCCTTCTCCACCAACATCATTGTCCCCGGCGACGGATTCGAAGTACTGGGTGGTAATCCCAAGAAGCACACCGTGAAGGCCGACAGTGGTAACCAGATCACCTCCAACTTCTGCCCTGAATGCGGCTCCACGATGTGGCGTGAAGGAGACACATTCGGGACAGCCAAGGTCATCAAAGTCGGCACGCTGGACGATCCGAAGGCTTTGAACGACGCGAAGCCCGGGGTTGAGCTGTATGCGCCAGAGCGTGTGAACTGGGTGAAGCCGGTTGATGGTGCGGGTCAGAAGCAAGGGATGCCGGATAGCCAGGCTGTGTAGGTGTAGATAAGTGTAGCGCCCTGACGCTGCTCTTTTTCCATCTTTCATGGAGTGAAGAGGTTGCAGAGACGGGGCGTCAGATCACGCCACCGTTGCGTCCAGCTAGTTCCTAAGGATGAGTAATCAGACAACATGCAGCACTCCGCAAGTTAGTGGTTTCCAGCAGCCCATGCAGATGCCCTAACGCAGACCGTACAGAGTCCGTCGTTGTGGTGCCGAACGTGCATGTAGGGGTGAATGGTAGATCACGAGCAGGTCCCAACAGCAGAGAAATCATCACTCTGAGCCGGTCGAACTGTCTTCGGCCTCACGAACGGTGTCCTTGAGTTCCTATAGAAGTCAGTGAGTACGTTGCTTGAAGAAGAAACATAATATTATACGGACTTCTTTGAGCAGGATCTTGAGCTCTTCATGCTTCTTTTGGTTGATCAAGACATGACGATCGTCAATATTCTCGATAATGAATTCATGACTATGCTCAGCGTCGATCTTAACAATCGTAGCCTTGATGGACTCATCGCACTCAACGAGCACGCCTTTACATGAATCAGCTCATGTCCGCTCTACTTCTCTCATAGCGGCCTTGAGCTTACCCGCCATCGCTCGCGGAGGCATCTTGGTCAGTAGCTCACCGCGCCGTGATGGTTGCAAGCCTCCCAGTGGTGCTGCTGTGCTGCCGAGACAATAAGCATGCTGCTCGATGCAGCCCTATATGAAAGCGTTGTGCATGTGTACACTCGCTACACTGTAAGCTTTACTAGTGAGACTCCTGCAGTACGTGAGACTGGCCCGTGCACACTGAAGCACCTCGGCTCGCTTCAGCACTGTCTCTGCAACTGATGTGCGTGCCGAGCATGTAGCGACGTAGGTTTTGAAGGGTAGTGGTAAGTACTGCTCTTCTTTGTCCCTCCTCACCTCTTCTTATTATTGTCTCCCATCATGTCAGCAAAAGCGGATGTTCAATTGAAGGATTTCGGAAGCATCTTCCGGCTCGATGGCAAGGTCGCAGTGGTAACTGGTGGGTCACGAGGCCTTGGGCTACATGCTGCATCTGGGTACAATACCTAGGGTCTACTTCGTTCCGAACATTGGACCTGACCGTTGATTGCAGTCTCCTCCAAGCCGGCTGCTCGAAAGTCTTCATCACCTCCCGCAAGGCGAAAGCTTGTGAGGAAGCATGCGAAGCCCTCAATGCCCTTGGCTGCAAAGGCACCGCCGTCTCCGTTCCTGCCGACCTCGCTAGGACGTCCGAGATCGAACGATTGGTGAAGGAAGTCGAGAAGCATACAGACCGTGTCGATATCCTGCTGGCCAATGCGGGTGCGACATGGGGTGCAGGTTTCGACGAACACCCGGAGAGTGCGTTTGCTAAGGTGATGGACTTGAACGTGAAAAGCGTGTTCGTGTGCTGTCAGAGGTGTGTATAGCAACGGCATTCGTCCCATGCGACTGGTCATGGTACTAACGATCTTCAGATTCGCTCCTCTGCTTCGCAAAGCAGGTACACATGAAGACCCATCACGTATCGTCATAACCGCCTCGATCGCAGGTATCGGCATCGGCACCCTAGGCGCGAACGCAACGTTCGGCTATTCTGCTTCGAAGGCCGCAGCACTACATCTCGCACGAAACCTCGCAGTTGAGCTCGGGCCCCAGAACATTCTCACGACAGCAATTGCGCCTGGTTTCTTCCCAACGAAGATGGCGAGCGGGTTAATGGAGCTCAGTGGCGGCGTGCAGCAACTGGCCGATGCTAACCCGAATAAGCGCTTAGGTATGCCAGAGGATATTGCTGGAACAATCGTCTATTTGTGTAGCCGAGCAGGCAGTCACGTCAATGGCGGTCACATTGTGCTCGACGGAGGAGCTGTAGTTAAGAGCTCAAAGTTGTAGACCGTCATGTTGACATCTGTCTGTAATTCATCGATCATGAAACTTCATCAATCATATACAACGCTTTTCGCCGTCCCGTTTCCCCGGCACATTTCCAGGTGATTGCGCACTATGAGCCCGTAGCCTTCAGTTGCTGGCCAGCCCGCATGAAAGGACTTTTCTCCCTAAACCATCTACCCTTCCATATAAAGACCACTGGCGCGAGACTCAGCAGCAGCGCCAAGCATGCCAACAGTGTGCTCGCCCACTGGAAGCCCAGTTCTGTGTACATGCTCTGCGCAGCCAAGGGTAGAATGCCGGCAACAACGTTCTCACCTGCCGCAACTGCACTGACCGCCGAGCCCGCATAGTTCGACGCAGCGTATGCGTCGAGTATGTAGTCGGCAACGGCGGAGACGACAAGTTGGATGCCGAAGCCCACCATAGCCAGACCAATTGCGGGTGCGATCCATGGTATAGATGGGTATGCTGTCCATGCATAGACGAACATTCCGCCTACAATACCGCCGAACGAGGCGAACGCACTGACGTAGAGCCTCGCTTCGGGAATGGGTGTGCCAGGCGCCTCTGTATTGCGCTTCGCTGATGCGGTGTATAGGTAGATGGAGTATCGCTGAGCGACCCAACCGAGTAGTTCTCCTATGACAACGGCAGTCTGTACGTAGCCAATGCTGTACTCCTCCCAGCCGTACAGACCTGTGAAGACTTGTCCGACGGACTGCGTGAAGAGGAACACGGTACCGAAGCTGAAGGCTGACCACAGCGTGCTGGCGAGCAGAACAGGCTCAGTCACCAGCAGGTAGATTGGTCGCGTGCTGGACTTGTAGAGGCGGTAGTAGAGTGGAGGCTGGTCAAGCTGCTCGGCGGTATATACGAGTCTGCCAGTAGTCTTTCGGATTTGGTTGGCACGGCGGCGCAATATCACGGACCCTCGTGTCTCGCGGATGAAGAGAAAGAAGAATGGGAGGAGAGCTCCATAGACGATGAGCTGGATGTAGAAGATCCTGAATTGGTGTTAGTGGGTACCATATCAAACCGTACACATCTACGATTACTTACCACCTCCAGTTACCGATATACTGCATTACCCCAGCAAAAATGGGCGGCGCAAGTGTAGACCCCATCAAGTACGTGATGATGTACAGACTCACGGGGAAGCTTCTCGCCCAGTCCTCTGCCCATAAGTCGGGGATAGCAGATCCGAGTGTGTTCGCCAGCAAAGCCACGCATCCACCGCTGAAGAACCGCGTGACTATTAAGGTAGCGAAGTTGCGAGCAAGCGCTTGCGGTATGATCATAAGCAGAAAGAAGACGTAAGACACAAGAAATCCGATGCGAATGCCGACATCCTCCATGAGCGGGAGAAAGATGATAATGAACACTGCGCCTCCCAGACTCCATGAAGTGACAGGCCAGTAACTATTTGGGAAATTGGCGTCGCTAATGCCGAACTGCTGGTTGATCTCCTGCGCGGCCACGGTGATGGAAGTACCATTCCACGGCACTGTGAGTGTGCATAGCAGAGCTGCGCCTATGACCATCCATTTGCGAGACTCGGGCCAGTTGAACGGATTGGCGGAATCGTTCGGTCCGTCCCAGTCAAGTATCGTAGCAGACTTTTCGGTTGATGCGGCCTGGCTCTCGAAGTCATGATGGTCGGGATGAGACCGCGCCTCGACATCATGGCGCGGCTCTATCCTAGCATCTGCGTCATGTGCGGTCATTGTGACTTTTTATTTAGCAGAAAGACGAGCAGCAGCGAAAGGCAGAGAAAAGAGCACAGGAAGCCTCCAGCGCCATACAAATGAAGGAAACAGAATACTCTGCTGAAGGACAGGGCAGGCAGAAGGACGTGCAGTGGAAAAGAGAGGCAAAGCTGTTATAAGACTTTGAAGGTTTGCCTTCGCTGAGCCTGGGTATTACCTAACGGTAAGTGGCCGGATGGAGACGTCTCGGGGTGCAGGCTTGGTCTTTCAACTTCAAGGAGACGGCCAATAGAGAAGCGCTATGTGCCATAGTTGCAGTCACGGGACGGTTGACTGCTGCGGGCGGTGGTGTGATGAGCACAGTGAGTTCGCAGAATGTTATACCGCGCAGCCGCGACATGCGCGAGGTCGTTTTCCCAGATCTGACATCCGATCGACGTAAGGCTGACCCTTGCAGTGAGCCGGAGAGGCACCGGTGAACCAATGGGAGCTGGTTGCGGTCTGCAACGATGACATCCCTGCTCGTTATTTCGGCGCGATAGGCGAACGTTCAATTTGGGTGGGGCGGAATCAGTGTGAGCGGGACGAAGCGATTCTGAGGTGTCCAAGTACCAGTGCTGAATAGGCATTGGCGTGTGTTGCGTACATATCAGCTGTTGTAAATGATGTCGCCCGATTACGAGAAAGCACGCTTAAAGATCTATAAGGCGCACGATGAAGACCCGAACAAGCACACAACCAGCGACGGGAAAGAGGTACCTTATGAGACGCATTATGCAGAGCAAATGGAGTCCTACCTAGCGAAACGAGCGCCAGATGCCTCGGACGTCCTCAAGCTCGCAGTTTGTGGGCAGCATTTCCGCCGATGGGAGGTGCCTCGCGACAAATACCCCATGACGCGAATTGGCTACCATACCTGGCGAACTCACCTCAAAAAGCGACAGGCACAGCTGGTGGGGCAGATACTTGACGAGTGTGGTTACCCTCTGACTGACACGAAGAGGTGCATGGCTCTGATCGAGAAAGAAGGACTAAAGCAAGGCGAGGAGGAAGTGCAGGTGCTGGAGGATGTCGCTTGCCTTGTCTTTCTGGATGATCAGTTCGATGAGTTCAAGGAAAAGCATGATGAGGAAAAGATTGTCAACATCTTGAAGAAGACATGGGTGAAGATGTCAAAGGAAGGGCAAGATTTGGCGTTGCAGATTCCCATGACGGACGAATGCAAGGCACTTGTGCAGAAGGCCTTGAGCGGCTGATCGGATCGATCGCATGCTGGGAGTGTCCCGCCTCTGCGACTTTTAGAGCTGAATGGGTTTGCAAATCGACAACCAGCCAGTCTCCAACCAGGACACGGTATCTGCTTTCCTCGTGGACTATGTGAGTGGTCACGAGGCTCTTAACGCCAGCATACCTTTTGCGGCACATCACAACTTTGTCAGTCTCTCGAGACACCGCAGGTTGTGGTTTCTATGACATGCGCCCGCAGCGCCAGCACCAGCAGCCCTGTGCGCAATGTTTTCAATGTGTCTCTCGGTGCGAGTCTGCCGCACCCGGAGTTCTGCCAAAGGAGGAGCATTGAGCTGACGGATGCGTGAGCACCGCTCGCTTCGCTACCGCTCCACATTACACTGGATTGACTGTGCCATGGACGGGAATAGTGTTCGAACCACTGCTCGACGCAGATCAAAGAGACGGAGGGAGGCAGTCGGAGGCCCTGAGAGGGCGAGGCAGGGTATCACGCTGCTTGGTCTGACACACTTGCACATGTACTCGGCAGACTATGCCGGGCTGGTGGTCATATTGGCGTAGTTAAAGGCTGAGAACAGCCTTGACAATCCAAACAACATTACACCGGGGTATGTAATTTGCAACTGTAGATTGTGTCCTTTCCACTGTCGATCACGTGTTGATGCCCGAAAAGGCACTCCGCGGATTTGCATTACTCTTTGAAGTTAGTGCGCTATTCCAACGTGCCCCTCCGATCTGTAACCGTCTTCGTAACCCACAAGCTGTGAGGCCGCGGTTGCAACCAGAATGTGAGTTCATTTTGTGTGAAGAATGCAGCGTGCCTTTACCTAGGCGCATCGTGTTGGCAGGTCACCGGCTAATCTGTGTCAGGAAGGGCTAACATCACCTGCTGTACTTGAGCTCCATGCAGGCTAAGTCACTTCTGTCCCTTCCTTCTTCTCCTACTCCGTCGTCACGGGCCTCTCCCGACTTGCATCCTCCCTCCATTCTTCTTATCTGTGACTGAAGACAGACCAGCATGGCAGTGCCTCTGACCGTTCGTGAGCTTGGCCAAGGCTGGCAATTCAAGCAGACCGATGTGGAAGAGTGGTTACCGGTGGCACGAGTGCCTACTAATGTCCATCTCGATTTGATGGACAACAAAATGTGAGTCTACACGAGCGTTAGGATACCGCTGGCTAACACTGCCTAAGCATAGAGGATCCTTTCCTCGGCTTTAACGAGCTCAAGTGTGAGTGGGTGGGAGAGAAGTCATGGAGCTATAGGGTCCAGCTGCCGGACATCCCCAAGGCAGATGAGGGCACGAAGCATGTTCTGGCCTTTGACGGCCTCGACACATTCGCGACTGTGATGCTCAACGGCAAGGTGATTCTAGAGAGCGACAACATGTGGCTTATGCATAGGCTAGACGTGACGAGCGAGCTGAAACACGGGAACCTCAACATGCTGGAGATTGAGTTCAAGCCGGCGCTGCTCGAAGCACGCAAGATCAAAGACGCACATCCAGAGCACAAGTGGGTTGGCTTCAACGGCGACATGGCGCGTTTGGCGGTACGGAAGGCACAATACCATTGGGGTTGGGACTGGGGCCCGGTGCTGATGACTTGCGGTCCCTGGCGTGCTGTAAGAGTGGAAACCTACCAGGCACGTGTGGAAGATCTTCGGGTCGACTACACCGTGCATGACACGCTCGACAAGGTTAGCGGCACGATCACAGCTATTGTGGAAGGCAGCTCGGCGAAGGCAGTCGACTTTTCGGCGTCATTCCAGGGCAAGGAGGTGTTCAAGGGCTCCGCCGACGTCGATAGCGATGGACAGGCCAAAGTAGAGTTCCATGTCAACGAGCCAAGGCTATGGTACCCGCATGGCTATGGTGAGCAGCCATTGTACACCGTGACTGCCACCGCTTCCACTGGACAGCATGACCTTCACTCCCTATCGAGACGCACTGGATTTCGGAAAGGTGAACTTGTGCAACAGCCAGACGAGACCGGCAAGACCTTCTACTTCCGCGTCAATGGCATCGATGTCTTCTGTGGTGGCTCTGATTGGATCCCGGCGGACAGCTTCACGCCTCGCATTACAGAAGCCAAGTACCGTAAATGGCTGGAAATGATGGTGGATGGTTATCAGGTTATGATCCGCATATGGGGTGGCGGTATCTGGGAGGAGGACGTCTTCTACGACATCTGCGACGAGCTTGGGATCCTTGTGTGGCAAGACTTCATGTTTGGCTGTGGCAACTATCCTGCGTTTCCAGAAATGTTGAAGTCGATAGAAGCCGAATGTGTCTGCCAGACGAAGCGGTTACGGCACCATCCTTCCCTAATCATTTATGCTGGCAACAACGAGGACTATCAGGTGCAGGAAGCATGCGGGCTGACGTACAAGTATGAAGACAAAGACCCTCAAAGCTGGCTCAAGACAGACTTCCCTGCGCGGTACATCTACGAAAAGCTTCTGCCTGAAGTTGTGGCTGCACACTCGCCGCATGTACCGTATCATCCAGGCTCGCCGTGGGGAGACGGCAAGATCTCTTCTGACCCCACAGTTGGCGATATGCACCAGTGGAACGTCTGGCATGGTACACAGGAGAAGTACCAGATCTTTGATAAGCTAGGAGGCAGGTTCAACTCAGAGTTCGGCATGGAGGCATTTCCGCATATTGACACGATCAAGTACTTCGTCACTGACCCTTCACAACTATACCCGCAAAGCCATATGATCGATTTCCACAACAAGGCGGACGGCCACGAGCGACGGATCGCCACGTACTTGGTTGAGAACTTCAGGACACATACGGACCTCGAGAAGTTCATCCATCTTACCCAGTTGAGCCAGGCAGAAGCGCTCATGTTTGGATACAGGGGCTGGAGGCAGCAGTGGGGTCAAAAGCGTCACTGTGGTGGAGCATTGGTGTGGCAGCTCAATGACTGCTGGCCGGTAACTTCGTGGGCAATAGTCGACTACTTCCTGCGAAAGAAGCCGGCCTACTATGCGATGCGGAGAGTGCTGGCACCTGTTGCCGTTGCGGTGAAAAGAGCGCATCATGACTGGAGCGTTGTTCATGCGCGTCCGGCGAAGACCAGCGATTGGGAATGTTGGGTGGCAAGCAGCAAGGCCACCGACGTGACAGCAACCGTCGAACTGCGCTTCATCAGCATCGCGAGTGGAAAGGAGATAAAGGAGAAATTTGTGAAGCAGGACATTAAAGTTGTGCCTAATGGTACCACAGAAGTCCTGACAGGCACGATCGACCATGCGAAGGAGGAGCCGCATGTGCTCGCCGCACGTGTATGGGTGGGTGGTGAGATCGTCTCGAGAGACGTTGACTGGCCGCAACCGCTTAAATACCTTGACTTCAGCGATCGAGGGGTTGAGGTGGCGCCGAGCGGTGATAAGATCCTGGTGAAAGCCGCGAAGCCAACTAAGGGACTTGTCTTCGAAGAGCGGGAAGGTGTGCTTGTGCACGACAGCGCTCTTGACATTGTGCCTGGCGATGAGCAGACCATCAGAGTCCGGGGACTTGCTCGGAACGCCCAGGCTCTAAAGTGGACGTACCTCGGAGAGCCATGATGATTAGGATGCCATTAGCAGTGGACTCACGAGCGTTGTTCTCGACTGCGACCCGCCATGCTCAACCACTAGTCTGTAGGCTGTACGGAGACAGCCGAGCCAGGCAATCTGCGCTGGCAGCGTGAGTGGTGTTCCCTGCCACCTCGAACTTTGCTTGCTTAGCAGTAGAAGGTCAATTCAATGATTACGGGCTATGCATATGATTGGCCCGGCACCGCAACATGGACGGGCTCTACGTTATCGACCACGATTTTCTGAATGACAAGGGCTAGCTCCCCTGCCCTTTTGACGCGAATGGCACAACTCCTGATCGGTAGCAGAATTCGTGGCGACAGAGAAGGGTGAATGACGGAGTATCAAAAGCTGATGGAACTTACCGTAGAATCCACATATCGCCTCTTTACCTCGTCAGCGGCATGACCACTGATCTGCTTGACCCGAAACTTTCAGATACACTCGTTACGGTAGTAGGCGTGCAGGCCTGTTTGTTAAAGTGACGACGCTAAGAGTAAAGCGCATCGGACGTCAATACAAGGTAAGGCGCTCCGAGACAAGTATTTCTAAGGGAAAGTTTTGGCCATCCCGTTACTTGGTATGGACTGCAAGCTTGTGATCTTCAGACACTGCTTCCCTTTGCCCTCCTTCGCCCTTGCTTGTCGAGTTCTGGCAGCGAAGCATAGCCCATCCGCAGGAGACACTTGCTTCTGTCTGTCTCATCCTCCCCCCGTCATCACATGGTTGGAAGCGCTGTTGTCGCATGCACATCTTTCATTAATAACCGACATACGCCGCCCAGTCGCCTTCCTTGCGATCCCGCTGAAGACGGACATTCGACATTCCCGCTCACGTAGTGAATCACGCACATCTGAGAATGCGAAAGAACGTGTGAGCAAGCAGATCTATACTGGCAGAGTAAGCTCTTCGAGGTCCGCAAGCCGGTTTTCGAGCAGGTCCGCGGTGGCAAGGTTGGTGTCTGAGTGTTCCCAACATGAACAGGAATTGAGCGGACGGCCTGAGCTTGCGACGACATGAGATACTTGGCAAGGACGCCCAGCGCACCAGTTGACTGAAGGACGAAGATGCTGTTGTGAAATGGCAGGAGGGTAGCCTATTGCTGAGTTAAGCAACACGATTGCAGCACTCTCGCCCAGCGCTTCTCAGTATGCAGACAGTCATGCGACAGTACTGGTGAGGACGGCAAGCAAGGCCTTGACGATCATCGCTCGGTCGCTGGGCCGAGGGCTGTTGAGAAGCGATCTTGGTGCGTTTGGCGAACGCCATGTCGTCCTTCTCCGACACGCAAACGAAAGGGCGCCATATAACGGCGCCATTCTTATGACTGAAGCTAGTCTTGACGTGTCTGATCTTCTTGGCGCGAATGTACGTCCACAGATGCTGTTGCGAAGCTCGGGAGGAAGGATTGTGATGCATTGCTTTTGTATCTGTGGTGGAGATCAGCGCAGAACACCTAGCGGGACAGTCCAGTTTGCTTACCTATACATAAGGACGTTTGGGAGCACCACCGCAGAGAGCAGCTTCCTTGTGCGACGCTTCGATCGATGAGAAACTCCCAACCTGATGCATGGTCTGGCACGCGGCCGCTCTGCTTAAGCGGGGTCCGGTCACAATGCCCTCGACCTGTCGCCAAAGCGCCCACAGGAAGTGTCGATGGTGCGCCGTCTCCAACGACTCGATAGTCATCGTGTGAAGGTGCATCCCTTCCAGTTCAGGACTTTACTGCGCGGTTGCTCGGCGAGAATTTTGCGCGCAACAAAAAGTATATCATCTTGCAGGTGACTGCCGCAAAGTCTTCGTGATTGGCGGCCTGACAGGTTGTTTGCTCGCCCTTTGTGGTCGTGCAAAAGGGTATGGAAGCCTTCTCCAAAAGCAATCCTGAAGGTCTTCAGTGGTCCAGGGGAAACACCTGCACAATATGCCAAGTTGAGAGGCGCTCTGAGGGATGATCCACCCGACGATCGTTGCTGGCTGTCTCCAGCGTGCAAAAGACCTCACGTACCTCACCTCATGACTGGCGGTCTAGCCTCCTTGTTCCACTTGACACGACTACACAACCACTCCACCGCCTCCTTCACTCCTGTTCCCGTCAATGCACTGAGCGGGAGCACTCTGCTATCTCTGACATTCGTGCCCTTCTCGCCCTCAAACACCTTCCTCACTAAACCTTCCTTGATCCGCACCACCTCCACACAGTCCTCTCTGTCCTGCTTGTTCGCCAGCACAAGCACGGGCACACCCTCCGTCTCCTCATTCTGCAACACATCTTCAAGCACAAGCTTGCACTCTCCCAAGCGCCCTTCGTGCTCTAAGCTGCCACCGTCCTTACCAAGCCGCTCAATATCAGCATCGCCAACATCACTACTGTCAACGACAAAGACTATGGCGTGCGCACTGCCGTAGTAGCTTTGCCACAGTCCCCTCAAACTGTGCTGCCCGCCAACGTCCCAGATACGGAGGTAGCAGTCCGGTAAATCTATCAAGCTGACATTTTGACCCACAGTCGGTACCGTGTTGAGGTTTGGGTGATGATCTGGGCTGTATATTGCTTTAATCTGTTCTAGTAAGGTGGTCTTCCCGGCGTTGTCCAGGCCAAGCAGGAGGACCGAATACTCTTCCTTGCTGGTAGCATGGAGGTAGATGGACTTGAACAGATGATACATTGTCCACTATCAGCTATGCTTCGCGCCCGAAAGCATCGTGTGAGATCACCCTCATACAGCCTTCGACCCTACCGCGATCGTTCCGCAGAAAATGGCCCCCTTGGTACAAGGTTACCATAGCTGCGTTGTCCGTACTTGATGTGCCTTAGGCGACAACCTCCACGTGAGTCTCCCCGCGCCAAGGCCGCACTTTGATTCGAACTCGCCGTCGACGACAACTTCATCATCAGTCCCTCAGCACAGCAGCACATCATGGCGCCCGCAGCAACAGGAGGCAAGAAGCAAAAGAAGAAGTGGTCAAAGGGAAAGGGTATGCGATCATGCACTGGACCAGCTGCGCACGACGCACACTTGCTGACATACTGCTGTGATACACAGTGAAGGACAAGGCACAGCATGCCGTTGTCCTCGACAAGAACATCACCGACAAGCTGGACAAGGACGTTCAATCCTACCGCCTCATCACCGTCGCCGTACTTGTGGACAGACTCAAGATCAATGGCTCCGTGGCGCGGAGAGCGCTCGCGGACTTAGAGGAGAAGGGTCAGATCAGAAAGGTTGTCGCACACAGTGCTTGCAATGTTTACAGTGAGTCTCGGTCGTTTAAGTGCTTTACTTTGAGCGGTCGCTGATATTCGGAACAGCACGTGCGGTTGGTGGTGGAGATTAGGCGAACGAGGATGGATGGCTTCACGCATTACTTTGATGGTTCTCATGGCGCACATTCGGAGCAGAAAGATCGTAAGCGGACGTAGTCAGGCTGAGCCCCGGCACTGAGCACAGCTGCATTTGAGTGGTAGTAACGAGAGGCACTTCCACCGAACGTCGCTCCATCACAGTTTGCTCGCTACGTCAGAGATGTCGCCGGAGTCTTCCCTGCCTTATGAGCTCAGCAGAACGCGGCCCACACGTCTGATTAGGACCGAGAGCTTAGGGCACGGCTACGACCTCTCCTTCTGCGTGAAGTCAACAACCTTATCCGCGTCCTCCTTTACTGTTGGCTCATTCCAAAGAGCGTTCAGCTCTCGCACGACTGACTCTTCCAGCGGCCCCTTACCAAGCAATGCAGTACCTCTCTCGACATGCTCCGGCTTACTTGCGCCCAATATGATGCCATGTTCATTGCCGAGCGCAGAGTGATACTTCAACCACCTCAAACTCAAGTCGTCCATCGCCAGACTGGTCGTCTCCGAAATGGCTCTCAGCTGCTTCATAGCTGCATGCATGGCGGGCGTGCTATACCATTTCACGTAAGGACTTGCCGGATTGGAGTAGCGCGTCCCGCCCTGCAGTCCATCTTCAGTACAATTGCCGAGTAGAAACCCGCCAGCAAGGGGAGAGTAGGCGTTATAGACCATGCCATTCTGACGAAGAAGTGGCAGAAGCGTGTCCTCGTGGGTCCGGCAAAGGAGGTAATAGTGACCTTCATAGACGGTGGGTTTGATATAGTTGTTCTTGGAGGCAATGTCGAGCCATGTCTGGACCCTTTCGACCATGAAGTTTGACAAACCAAGTAGAGTGAAGCGGCCTTTCTGATACTGTTCATTCATCGCCTTAGCAGTCTCCTCCAACGGCTTGGCGTAGTTGGACGCATGTCAATATAATACGTTGACTTTCTCGGTCCGCATGACTCGGAAACTATTGCAGAGGCTCTTCTCGATTGCTTCAGCAGTAAGTGTGCCACTGCCGTCACGCTCGTATAGGATCTTGGTGTCGAGAATGAAGTCTTTGGCGAGCTCGGCTTCGCCAATACGGCGCTCAGACTCGCCGTTGACATACCGGGCGGCGGTATCTGTACGATTCAGGCCTGCAGCTTTCAGAGTGGGACGCATGACTTAGTGGCGAGGCCGCGGACATCGCCAAATATGGTTTCGGCTGGCATGAGAGTAGTGTATGGAAGAGGACGTCAGGGGAGCAGTTGTTGACAGTAGGAGAGAGTCGCGACAAGTAACACTTACACCTCTTTCCAACTCATTCACAACGCGTTGGGAGCCGTAAACGTCATGGAAGCGATCCTCCTGGCGGCTTGGACTAATGCTCTTACAATGAATATCAACACTCATAGCACCGATAGTAGTCATCGGCTCTGGCGCAAGTATCTCGAGAGCGGTGACAGTCTTGGTAAAATATGTTCACATTTGATTATCATCAAGCGAAGTGAAGAGCGGGCTTGCGCACTGCCATCCCACGTTGAGCTCGAGGAGGCACGACTTATGGTGCTCAAACACTTCACGCTCATCAAGGGTTAGGTTCAGCAATGGAGTCGGTATCAATCACCATCGAAGCCACTCCAGTCATCAACGTCCGCTTCGGCACTCTGCGCTGCAGTCTCGTGAACGGCATCTAGTCTCGCTAGGTGCGGTCCGACGTCTCTCACAAACCCAGCGACGAAGAAACCCATCGTCCCGTCTTTCCCGTTCTTGTCACATCGAATGCAGGCTTCAGCGACTTCAGCGACATCCGAAGGCCTTAGTGGCTCTGCATCAATGCCAGGCTCGTTCGCGAGCGCTGTAAATGCAACGCCAACTGCGTTCTGATGACCGCGAAGATGCCATCTCTGCATGCCTTCAACCTGCTCATGGCGCTTCATGATGCGCCAGCCGCACTTTCGGGCTACGGCGGAGTATAACGCGCGAATGACAACGTGCTCATTCTCCTCGGCGTGGATGGAACAAGTGCTGTAAGTGATGCGCTGGGCTGTCGGAAAGCTCATCGCGTGCTCCAGGAGACGCAGTTGGAAGGCTGAGAGGTTGGCTAATCGAGACTTCAGCTTCTCGCCTTCTTCTATATTCGGTTGCTCTTCGCTCATGTCGACGGTGTGCGCTGTGTCCTCCTCCGACGGGATCGTCTTCGGATCATCGTCACGACCTCGTTTGCGTTTCTTGCTTCGTTTTCTCCCTACGTTTGTGTCGCCCTCTTCGGCGTCAACATTGGGCAGATGTATCGGGATGCCAACACCATCTCGACCTACAATTCCCGAGCCCGAGCAGCTTGGGTCCAAGAGGAGTGCTTTAACGTTCGCGAACTCTGGTGTTGTTGGGTCCATTTTCATGAAGTCTTGCCGCGCCTTCACACTGACCACCCGATCAGCCCCAGCCAGCAGAAGCATCTTTCGTAGTGTTTCTGAGCGAGTGGCATCCTTCTCGCATGCGATCACACGATTCTCTGACCCTCTGTTGCACGTCTCGCCTGGTAGCGTAGTCGAGAGTGCCGCCAAATGCGTCGTCTTGTTGCCGGGTGCCGCACAAGCATCGATTACGTCGCCATCTCCTGGCTGCGGGTCGAGTAGGTATGCCGGGAAACAAGAGGCTTTGTCCTGCAGTATAAGCTCGCCCGCTCGGTATGCTTTGCTAGTCGTAAGATCGATGCCGACGGAGATGGCAATAAGGTCCGGAATGTGCTCGTCGATGTGCAGGATCTTCGCATCTCGAGGGGGTGCTTCGAGCACATCGGACAGTCTAGAGACCTGTTCGTACTCTGCGAAAGTCGAAGCAAGCGCCTGAGCAAGGGTGGTTTTGAGAGTGTTGATCCGTATCCAGCGCGGACGTTTGGCCAAAACACTGTTCTCAGGAATTAAGCCAGAATCGCTGCCACTAGGTCCGGATGTGCGTCCGTTGATGCTGGCGCGGAGAGCATCGAGCGTAGCAAAGCCTCGTCTCAAGCGTGCCTTCGTAAGCTCAGCTGACAATCGTACTTTGTGCTTTGATACAGCGAGATTTAGGCCATGAGATGCTGGCAGTGCTATTCCTCGCTTGGAGAGGAAGAGGTCATGGACCAGAACGACGGCTAAAGTTGGCTTCAGCTGTTGAGAGGATCAGTCACACTATCCTGGGTAGCGACTATGGACCTTGCTCACCTGCTTCTCAACCTTGAGGACGCCACTCCGCTCCAGTACCTCGGACAAGACCTTGCTCCATTTCGCCGCCTCAGTAGCGAGGGCGAAGAGTGTCTTGCTGTCGGTCTTCCAGTCTTTGCGACCATATACAAGTGACTTGATGGAAACTCGCTCCCCTCGGACGTCATCTAAAATCTTCGCAGCTTCATGATACAGAGACATGTTGCATGTAGCCGATGCAGCAGCCTTGGCGGGCAGACTTATTCCGCGCTTTCGCTTTCGCGTCGCCAGAAAGGCCGCACGGATGCGACCAATGAGCGCCTATCGCGCCTAATGTACACACAATGGCCGGGAACAGATTGGGCCGGTTAAGAGCACAGCTGTGCAATGGCAACCGTGGATGAATGCATAGTGTTGCATTTTAGTCTACTTAGACAGTCTCTATATAATTGACCACCTTCAGTGCACAGGTGATTGTGGTACCGCACCAGTTCATCAGCTCATCCACCAACAAAATCCTTGACGCATCAACCACTGACGACAACTGCGATTTAGCAGCAGCTGTGGTTTAGTCGGATTGTAAAAGAGAACCAACATGGTACTACGAAGCATCAACACGGCCGGCGGCACGCTCGCCGTAGAAATCGAAGGGGAAGGACCGCTCGTAATCTGTTCGCCAGGGATGGGCGACACTCGAGATGCATATGCGCCATTCGCTAAACAGCTAGTTTCGCAAGGGTATTGCGTCGCCAGTATGGACATCCGAGGCCACGGCGACAGCTCGACTACGTTCACGCAATATGGAGATGCTGCACAAGCCGAAGACTTCCTCACCGTCGCGAAGGAGTTAAACAAGGGACCTGCAGTGTTAGCCGGATGCTCTTTCAGCGCTGGTGCTGCTACGATCGCCGCTGGGAAGTCACCGGAGTCGGTTGTTGGCATTATTCTGCTAGGACCGTTCCTGCGCAATCCCATGGGAGCGGTGGGCATGTGGTTCATGCCGCTTCTGTTTCGATGGCCTTGGGGCCCAACCATGTGGCAGATGTACGTACCTACACTCTGGCCGGGTCTCGGCGAACAAGCGAAGGAGCGGGCAGCTTCAAGCACCAAGTCGCTTACTCGTAGTGGTCGATGGTCAGCTTTCTACCAAACCGTATGCGGATGCAATCATGACGCGGTTACCCCATGGCTCGGCAAAGCGAAGTGTCCAGCGCTGGTTGTTATGGGCGACAAGGACCCGGACTTCTCGAAGCCGAAGGAAGAAGCAGAATGGGTGGCATCCAATTTCAGTGACGCCAAAGTTCTAATGCTGGAGGGTGTCGGACATGCGCCCATGTTGGAGCGACCAGAGGCTGTGAGCAAAGCTGCGTTGGATTTCCTTGGAAAGCTGCGTGATCAGGTTGCGTGGAAGAGCGCGACAACTTAAGCATTTGCCATCACCTCATGAATCGGCTTTCCAGCTATGTTTTCGAGGAATATGGCAGAAGGCCAAGGTATCGCGGTGCTCCTCCACTCGCGCCATGTAGATAACATCGCCGCTCAGGTCGCAAAAAATGTCAAGTCAGAGCGCTCTCGTTCGATGAAGGTCCTAATGGTAGGGGACTTGACGTGAGAGCGGTGGGAGTGCATCAAACCACAGAGGACAAGGTTCCTGTTCTACGACGCGGCGCGACCCGCCGATTCCGCCATTACCACGTCAACTGCTTCATTGACCATTTTCATCAGCACGCTTTCGACGCAATCGTAGGACTTCAACGACCCAGTGTCCGGCTCGTTCCGCGAAAAACGAGTGATCAGAGAGTCGTTGACGGGGAACTGGATGCCGTTCACTGTCCATAAGGTCGGCGGGTTACTGGCAACAAACGACGAAATGCTGGTGGAGACTGTACGCGTCAACCACGAAATCCCACGACTAACCACCATCCTTTGGTGAGTCAATGGCCGCGGGCTGTCAACGCCAGCTTGACGCGTGTCACTGCTTCGACGCCACTGTAAGTTTCGCGCAAAACAAGCGGTAGGTTCTATATATCGCTCTTCTCCAATGTGGTAAGTATCAGTTCGCCGCTGTTGTAATTGCGTTTGTCGCTGTTTGTTCGTCTGCGGACTGCAACACTCTCCGCATATTTCGGGCATGTCGTACTTCCAGGGGAGTCTAGGGGGTGCATCAAGGATGAGAGTCTACGGCGAGTCGCCCTCATACGATAAGCTACAGAACCGTCAGGTCTCGCGATGGAAACCGAAGACCTGGTCATGGAAGATATGGGCAGCTGCTGCCTTTTCTGTTCTCGCGGTTGTTGCCATTGTCGTCGGTGCCGTGCTTGGAACAGAAGATAGCGCGTATCCCAAATACAGCGCCCTTACATATACTCTCCAAGATACATACAGCGGTACGGACTTTTTTAACCAATTCGACTACTTTACCGGCTACGATCCGAGCTTGGGATTTGTGCACTACGTCCCATACGAGACGGCCACCTCTCCGCAATATAACCTGACGTATGCCTCCTCAAGCTCGGCTGTGCTGCGAGTGGACACAACAGACACAGACGCCAGCACTGGCCGCTACTCTGTGCGGATCACGTCGAAGAAGCAATACAACTCGGGGCTGTTCATCTTTGATGTTCTAAACTCGCCGTATGGCTGCAGCACGTGGCCAGCACTGTGGCTTACCGATCCCAACAACTGGCCTTCCCACGGTGAGTAACAACGATCATCAATCATGTCGCCAGGAAAATATAGCTGATGTTCGCTCAGGTGAGATTGACGTTATGGAAGCTGTCAATCAGGCCACTACCGGGAACCAAATGACTCTACACACGACCGACGACTGCAAGATGAATGTGAAGCGCAAAGAGACCGGCGAAGTCCAGACAAGTAATTGCTACAACGCCACAGACGAGAATGCCGGATGCGGCGTGCAAGGTGCTGCAGACACCTTTGGCGAAGCTTTCAATGCCAACGGAGGTGGCATATACGCCATGGAATGGCGCAATGCCGGCATCCGAATCTGGTTCTTCCCGCGCAGCAGTATCCCATCAGACATTCCGACCGATGTTAGCAATACGACTGCGCCAGATCCAAGCAGCTGGGACGAGCCGCTGGCTGACTTCCCAAGCACACATTGCGACATGTCGAGTCACTTCCAAAACCAGAGCATTATCGCGAACATCGATCTCTGCGGAGCCTGGGCCGGTGCAACCAGCGTGTATACGGCAGCGGATCAATGTCCGGGCACATGCAGTGAGTTCGTGACCAGTAACGCTACGGCGTTTAAGACGGCCTACTGGGAGTGGTCAAGCTGGAGGGTATATACAGCTTCTTAATATCAAGGTCAGACCGTTTGCGATCGGCCTGTTAGCTGGTGGAGCCACAATACTGTACTATTGCTGGAGTGCACCCATGGCACGCCATTCGTCCGTTTGTACACTCGCACGATCGTCTTCCATGCTTGCCGTATGCGATTTCCCTCAACTCCATGCTCTTCCGACCTTCGGCGGCAGATGATCTTGTCATATGCGCACTTTAGAACTCTGCAAGGGTGTCCCCTCGTAGCTTGCCGCGCATTTGGTATTTGCCCTACGATCATGCCACCGTCAGCCTTCTTCGAGCCGAGACGCGCGCACATGCCTCATGACACGGTTGCTGCCAACAAAGAGTAAGCCCTCACTCACATCTGTGGCATAGGCCATGTAGAGGAACAGTGACGGCACCGCAATCACGTAGGTGACGGTCAACCAGGCGGTACGCGGCGTCCATCGGAAGTACTCATGCCGCTTGACGTACATATCTGTGCATTGCGATCAGTTCTGGACTGACTGCTGCGCGAGCCGATTCCTACTTACTAGCGTACTTGACCAACGCCGGGTCCATGTGCACGCCTGCGCACTTGGTCAGCTCAACTAGGTCCGGAGAGGCCGCTAATGGTATGCTCACTGTCGGCATGGCCAGCCATCCTCCGGAATGTGGGCCTCATCTTGATGTGATTTCAACCTGCTCGCCAGGCCACGATCGTTCAGCTGAAGGGACAGTGGAGATGTCGTGGCAGATGCAAGCCGGAGGCGGGATCTGTATGGGTGCCTTAGGCATCAATGAGTCCAGAACGAAAGCAACCTCATCCCTTATTCTTCCTCTGCTCTCCACCCCTCACAATGCAAGCCCCGTACTGATGCTGCAACTTCAGAATACCTGCCTGATGTGCTACACATTCTCTGATCGACGCTACCACTGATATGTTGTCGACTCGGTACCAGCACCCATGTCGCGCTTTTTATCCCCGGCGCAGTGCTGGTGCGACTGCCGCTGGCTGTCCTGCCGACGCTCCATTCCACACCGAAGTCGTAGATGTGGGTCGGTGCCGACTACGGGATGGCAATGTTCGAGTACGACGTAGAACGGCCGCGCAAGTTACTACAGAGCGGGAGTCACGCTCTCTGCCTTACGTTCCGCCTGTGGACTATCTGCCTGAGCAAACTGTCCAAAGGTCTTTCCGGAGTTCCGACCACGTATTCCTTCACTCTGGGGGCCCGTTTCTCTGAAGCCAGCGCTGCCTACCCGGTATCAGTCAAGCCATTCTAGGACAAAGCGTGTGGCATCGTGCTTATGGGGATCCTTCTTCGCCCTTTGACGCATGCTAAAAGCCACAAGACAGTTCTGTGCAGGTATCTGGACGTCAGGTATGCTTTCTTGCTGATAAGGTAAGCTCTTCACCCAAGCTACGATGGAGAAAGGGGCCCCTGATGCAGAAATGGCACGGCAAGTTGCGTGCAAAAGCGTAGGGAATGACAAGCCAGTGGTTGTTTTGTTTGATAGATGTTCATCGTGCGCTTTGCGCTGCACTCTATTGTCTCCTCAGTGCGAGCTGTCCCTTTCGCTCTTCATGCTTTCCCATGTAGGACTGCTTCGGCCCATATCACGCTGCTCGGCTTCAACATTGACGTCGCGTTCGCGCAGCGTGGGATGCGATCGGTAACGCGACAAAGAAAGCACTCTATACGGTATGTCTTAGCTGCTGGATATGGTGTCCAGCCGCTCCTGGTGGGCTTTCCACCAGCTGGTGACCTTTCGTACGACCGGTGGGCATCATTCACTTCACCAGACAAAGCTAGATTCGACTCGGGCCGACACCGAGTATACCGCATCCACGGCTCCGGGATCATCTGCAAGCAGGAAGTCGCTAACACTCGCCTCGCAGCATACGAGGCCCCGCCTGCTTCTGCGTCTACTTCACAGCCGTAGCCCGGCGCCTGCAGGCCCCAAGCAAGACGCATCCGCCCTGCTTTGCCGCGTTGCCGTAGCCTGCTTTTAACCATGGCTAACTCGGGCGACGAGTACCAGTCAAGTCACGGCGGCGCAGAACTCCCAGAGTCCGACGCGACCTATGTACTAACAGGCTGGGCTGTACCGTCAAGAGAAGGCAGTGCTGCTCCGTCACCCTACCAGGAGCTTCTAGCGCAGATGCGCGTCACCCCTGCCTCGCACTTGATTCGCACAAGAGCTTTCCAGCAGTGGTGGGCTGACAACCAACCGGAGCGTGACCCGGTCGCTACAGAGCAAATTGCGGATGCAGTTCGTCTGGCGGATGGCTTTCCAATGCCAGGCGAGGTACCGGCAGGTATGGGTCGCTGGGAATGGCTCGAAGAGGCCGACAGCTGGCGCGCCCGAGCGACTGGATACGTGACCCACGAAGCAGTAGAGCAAGCTCGCGCTGCCGGCCGCTTCACCGATGGCTACGATCTGAAGGCGGGACCAATCGCTGTGTGGTACCCGGACTCGCGATACTTTAACCCGAGGAACAAGTCGATAAATATAACACCAGGCCGGTTCCAGTTCCACACCACGGCAGACCATGCGCTTGCACGGATCAATTTGGGAGGTCAAGAGGGTTTCGGCTTTGAGAACAATCCAGACCCTTCAGCGGAAGAAGTCTGGCGTCTGCAGCGGGAATACGATCAGCGCTTCGACCCTGAAGAGGGCGACCTGAGTCCAGTTGGAAACATCAACATCGTCTTCGCTCCATATATTGTCGATGTTGATCACTTCCTCGGCGTCATCGAGGAATTCCTTTCCGGGGAAGAATCGGACGACAGCGATGATGAAGTCGATGGCATAAGGACAGGCACCGCTGCCGGCCAACGTGATGCCGTCTCCGGTCTTCTTCATGATCCGCTAAAACGCGGTGAGAACGACCAGACTGGTGTTTTTGGCCGGGCACAGTATCAGACTCGCCTGCTACCAGACAAGACGCCGAATGCTAAGTCCTACACCGTCGACCGCTCTGGGGCTCACCACGGCGAGCGTGAGGATTGGAAGACTTGGGCTTGCGACAAGCGAGGCAAGTGGGTCCAGTACAAATCCAAAGAGCTTCTCGACTGGAATGATAAGGCTTCCGTAAATAAGCTCAACAAGTGGCGGGAGCAGATCTACTCTCGCCACGGATGGAGCAACAAGCGCGATATCCATCGTGTCGTTTACACCAGAAGTGAGAAGGAGTGGTTGTTCGACTTCGTTAAGAGGGCGGAAGGCAAAGAGATTCGGCAGAACATCACCAAGTTGACGAAGATGTTCAACGAGAAGTTCGCTGCATCACAACAGAAGCGCGATCCGTCCGGGATCGCTACGTGTCTTCACCGTCTTCGGCAACAGTACGCTCAGTACAGTGGTGAGATGAGACCGGAGCGTGAAACTGGCAATGGCAAGGCGACAAGACAGAGGTCTGCGAAGACTGCCAGTGCGAAAACCAGCCAGAAGAGGAAGGCTGGAAGGAAGGCGAGGCGTGGCAAGGCAAAGAAGCCAAGGGTGGATCAAGAGAGTGGGGAGGAGATTGTCTCGGAAGTGGAGGAAGGTGATGCAGAGGAGTAGACGGCAGGTAACGTGCTGCCTGCTCAACCTTGTCGAAACCATGGCCGCTATGTCTCCGCCATTGCCAAGTTGGCAGCATAGGGATTAACGAGCACGCTGGGTAATGGCGACTTGCCCGTCACTCAATAGTTCTGTTTGAGTATTGGTCTTGCAGTGACCGGCATGGTCAGCGTCGTATTACCGCCGTAGCAGCAGTTGTTCAAAGAATACATCTACAAACGTGCTCTGACTCCGGTCACTTCCTCGGCAATCTGCCTTGCGATGCCACGACTGATACCCATGCAAGTGACCATTGGGTTTACACCGCTCGCAGAAGGAAAGACACTAGCGTCGCAGATGTATAAGCCGGTCGTACCCCAGACCCTTCCCTTCGGATCCACAACACTCGTCGACGCCGAAGTACCCATCCGGCAACTTCCCATTTGGTGGGCCGACGCCATCAGCGTATCAGACAGACCGGCCTTGCGGACCCTCTGAAGCCATGCGCCAAACTCAACGTCGTTGACAGAAGGCGTGTCGTTACTTGTAACGTGCACTTTACTCTCCGGATCAGGTGTTGGGCGGACAAAGCTATCAACGCTTGGTATGGCCGTGAAGATCTCCCTTGCACCCTGGACGTACAGTAACTCGGCGAGCCGTACGACGCCCTCGAGTATATGAGTTCTGTCGTACTGGCTGGTGACATATTGCAGTCTGATACGGCCGTCTTTCGGGTCAGGATACACTCTGCCACCGTAGCGGTCTCGCGCAAGGCTGATGTATCCCGTCATCCGCTTCATCTTGGCTGCAAATTCTTTGAATTGCAGTCCGCTTCGCCACGGAAACAAGGGGAGGAAGAGACTCGGGAGCATCGTCGTGGATTCCAGCTTAGCGCCGTAACCTTGGTGGTCAAGGTTCTCGAACTCGGTGACCACACTGGTCAGTATTCCGCCCTCCCATGGCCGAACGTCCTGGTCCCAAACAGCACCGACGAACGACACGGGGTGCAGGTGCAGGTGACGGCCAATGTGAGGATTGGTCAAGCCGCTGCGCCTGAGCAAGACTGGTGTCGCGAGCGTTCCGGCTGCGATTATGACTTTGCTGGCTTTTATGATCACTTCACATGGGTCGTTCGCGGCCCCGGGAGCGCCGCTTTGGTTGTCCCGTGGAGTCCATACGCCTTCCACTCCAGTAACGACGCGCTCGCTGGCATCGGAAGATTCCTCAAAAACAACATTCCGAACCTTGAAACCCTCAATGAAGACTGCGCCGGCTCTGGCAGCATCAGGCAGGAAGGTCTCTGTAGGCCCCTTCTTCCCGCAGCTTCCGCAGCCAAGCGTGCAGTAACCGCAATAGTGGGCTTCACCAGCCGTGTTCTGCGGTACAGGCTTGGCTGCCCAGCCTAGCCTTCTTGCGCCCTCAAGAAGAACGCGGTTGGCCTTGTTGTGCTCTATGGCAGAAGTGCCGACTCCCATGCGCTCGCAGATAGCATCCAGATCTGCCTGGAAAGCGGCACTGGTGAAGTGGGTTAATCCAAACTTCTCCGACCACTCACGGCGTACAAAGCCTTGAGTCTGTATGGAGGCACTCCAGTTGACGGTACCCCCTCCGCCCCAGGTACTTCCAGCAAGGACCGCTACCCCGTTATCATCGGATTGCATTGCACCGCCATTGAGGAACAGCTCGTTGAAGCCGTCAAGCTCAGATCTAGGAAGGTGCTTTGGCGACCAGTAACTACCTTTGTCCACTACGATCACTTTCAATCCAGCTTCGGCAAGAGTCTTCGCCGCGACTGCGCCTCCGCAGCCACTACCGACGATGACAACATCTGTCTGCAAGACCACAGGGTTCGACTTCGAGGCTGACGGTATCTGCAAGAAGTTGAAAGAGTAAAACGTTTCCGGACCTTTGGGATGAGCCGGTATCCGAGGAAAGCTCAGAGTGCGACCCAGTGTAGGCGACGTTCGGATCCAGTAAAGCCGAGAAAGACTGGTCAAGGAGACATGTAGCTGTCGCAGAACGGGAACGAGCGAAGTTGACCAGCGCTGAATAATCCGCTCTCGAGTTGAAACAGGCAGGCAGTCAAGCGGCGAAGAGTACCCCGTGAGCAGTAAAGCACCAGCACGAGTGCTGGGACACGAATCAGTTTGGTTTCTTCGATGAGAATGAGGTGTGACTGTAATGGAACAGAGGAAAAGCGCTTTCCAACAACATAGAGTGGTTGATCCTGTGGGAGTTGGTCTCACAGCTACTCACTTCAAAGCCGTCAAGACTGTCGTCAGCTTGTTGTATGCATCGTCGTGACAGTACTGAGTGAGCAGTCTATTAATGCTCTCTCTGAAGTCTTGCTGCGCCGTCGCCTTCTCCCCGAGATAGCTGGCAATGAGCTCCTGAGCGTCTTCGCTATCCACCCCCTGTTGCAGACGTCTGCATGCTGCTTCGTGGATCTCTCGGCTCAGCGGATGCTGAAGGAGCCTGTTGCTTGCCTGCAGGCTGAATGATGGTACTACGGTATCTGCTATAGCCGAGAATATATCCCATTGTTCAGCTGTGAGAGCCGGACGTACAGACAGGGGTGCCATCGTGTCTGGAGCTGAGTGGCTCGCCTTTGATTGTTGTCCACTGTTCTCGTCAACATTTGCAGGGGTTATATCAGGCCTTGCTGGCGATTGCTGAGGTTGGCTCGCGGCTTCAGACGATGGCAATAAGCAATGAGGTCGTTGATCATTATCACGTGTCCTCCAGCAAAAACATTATACATATGCGGCTGCTGTAGTGATTGGGAAGTGATTGCGTGCGGCATGCCAACGAAACAACAGTCTTGCGGCGAATATCCATCAGCGCGACGTCGCCACCTCGGAACCCTGGATCATGAGTGCTCAGCGGTTTCACTACGAGCCTACAACCCCCTTCGCCGATGTCTGAGCAAACGCTTTCAACACACTGGGCAGAACTGCAGTACCAGGGTTTCGATAGCGGCGCATGTGTTATGCTCAGTCTTCGATCATGGGTCTCATCTGGCAAGTTATTGAACCATGGGCGGCTCTTGGCGCAGTGGAACTAGTCATGCAACAACCAGATCGCCTCTCATTGGTGGCGATTGAGGTCGGCAAGGTTTGGGCAGCATAGCCGGTAGCAGCTGGCACATGTCAAATATCGCCCGTGGAAAATGTTGCACATTCGCCCTTCAGCCTCTCTGGCACCATAAGACGAGAACAGGGAGAGTCGATATGCGATTACGATAGTCAGTGAGAGCACGCGACAGTAACCATCATAGCGACAAGACTGTCGTGTGCTGCCTGGGCCTCGTCGTCAGACACCAACGCCTTTATTAACCATACTAAAGCCGGTGCAAGGCGCAAGGTGACGGTTGTTAGCGACGGCGGTGGCCAATCATGGCGACTCTGCTTATCTTTGCGGCACTGCTAGCTTCATGCACAGAATTGCTTAGCCGGCAGACGCTTCGTGGATCGCCATCCAAAAAACAATTGCTGTTTCGAGCTATCGACGATGCGAGGCGTGCAAGTTGTTGGAGAGCTCACAATTGGCTGCGCAGAGTAGTAGAACAGTCACTGCGGTTCCTGTCGCATGCGCAGCCGTACTAGGTTGACGAAGCGGACATCACTGCATCAAAGGGCGAGATGACAGCGCGTGAGGGCCTGCCGCAGTCGTCCTAGTGTGTCTGGTCCGAGCGTCAACGGCTCTCACGGTGGGCTCGTGAGGGTGGGTCCTGTCTTCGCAAGTTGAACCCCAAGGTTCAGCGACAGACTGCCCATCGGCAGGGGGGGCGCCAGCCATATTACCTCCGGCGCCCTCCTGCAATGGTATCCGGTGCTTTTGCTATGTATGCGGCTGCTGCATGTCCATTCCTTTGATAGCAAACTGCCGAGTGATAGGCGCGAGAAGAGCAGGCTACCCGCAGCCGTTATCTATCACACCTGCGCGCATTGAGAGGTAGTCCAATTGGGAGTCTTCCACCAACTCCGCATCTACCACCGACTCAGTCGCCTTGCTGCTGCCCTGTTGGCGTAACCGGGATTGTCCAGACCGCCTCGTTCATCCTGAAACCCTGCTGTGACCACAGGCGGGCGACGGCCCATAAGTGTTTACTCGCCGCGTGATCCAACAGCGATACCTGCGGCCGGTTTGAGACGAAGACTGCGCGTTATTCGGAAGCGATAGAGATAGACTGGCAGATGAACTGAATCGGGCTCCCATTGATACTCGCGGTGTTCGTCTGCAATGGCCACGATGACCCACCAACCCACCGTCAACAGCAAGTACTTTCTCAATAACCGAACTGAGCCATCACCACCTGAAGCGTATCTATATGGACAGGGGGCATACGCAAGTCCTATGTCTTCACCACCATCCGCAAGCATCTCACCAACAAACATCCACTCACCGTACGTCAATGTGCGACAACTCCGCCAACCTCGCCAACCGATGTACATTCCTGCCGCATTACGCCCGACCGATCCTCCGTCGAGGCCCACGGATGTACCGATAGGGCCTCGCGCACTATTGACGCCGCCTACAAGCAAGGATAGTAGCTTCGACAGCGCGAAGTCGAAGGCAGGAGTTTCGACTCGGGAGGTTGCCCGTATCATTGTGGACAGTCCAGTCGATGTTGGCGATGTGGATCTGCTCCGGCAGGGTCTGAGTCGGGCTGCTAGCGAAGGTCTCGACGACGAACCAGGCGAAGTTACCGGCCCGCCGACGACCGCGCATTGGAAGCCTGACGTATCAGCGAACGACTGCGCAGTCTGCCATCAGACGTTCACGTGGTACTTCAGACGCCACCATTGCCGGCGGTGTGGTGACATTGTCTGCGACACTCACATCGCTAAGAAGGTGCCGCTCGACCAGAATGCTCGATATCATCCAGACGGCACCGAGAGCAAGGCTTGTGATCCGTGTTGGCAGGAGTGGTGCGTTGTCAAGCGGATCAGGCACTCTCGCAACAGCAGCATGGCCAATTCGATAAGCAGCTCGCAGGGTACAGCCCTGCCGGCACTAGAAATCCCAAAGTCGGCTCGCTCCCAGGATGACGTCCGGGTTGGCAGCATGGCGCGGTCCGAAGGAATGGTCTGGAGCACATTCTAGGCCGCTTTGAGCCTTCACGAAGCATTGCACATACGAGACCCGAGTCCTCTTACATTACGCTGGACCGGACATTGAGACGTCGAGATGACAAGGGGGTTACGGCCGTTTCCTGGAGTTGGGCTATGTGCCGCGTTCAAGCGCTTCGGTTCTTTGGCAAACTCTTCTGCATTTTAGCGTTGGAGCGACCTGCTGGGATACCCTATAGATCGCGTTAGCGAATTTGCTATAGAGTCACGGTGTTGGTTATGTGGCGATGGGGATGCTGGACCCGTGTATAGTATAGATGAATACATGTCCCAACGGTCACATTTAATTTAAGAATTACCGACGAATCTTGGACTCATGTAGAGAACGAGTGGCCGACGACCGTCACTATGCGCAGCGTCACCAGAAAAGCAGTATAGATATCAGCTGAAGAAAAGGTGTGACGACCATGGTCTCCTGAATGTGAAGCAGGAACTTGGGTGCGGCAGTGGATATATGTGGTATGGCAATGGGTGCCATTGCATCAAAATCGCCATCAAGGCGTGCTTGCCTTGGCCTCAATGGCATCAAAAAAAGGATGCCTAAGGCTCGTTTAAAGACAAGAGCGCAAGCGCCCGTGCTCGACCCTTGCTCTACCCTACGACCAATCACCGCTAGGTATACACGACCTCAACTCTACGTTAAGCGCTCGTACCCGTTTTCTACCGTTTCATCCTACGATGGCATTGTCCAATGCCCATGAAGGGCCAGCCGCCAATAGCCTGTTTACCATCTTCGCACAAGCTGACTCCGGCATGGCGGCCTCCAGATAGGCTCGATGTCTTCGCCATGTCTGGCGTTCCAAGCGCTCGAGGCTGACATGTGCTGCCGAAAGAGGTACCTCGTATACAATGTTTGCGGAAGGATTGAATGAACGGATGTGATCCGCATGCTGGTACAGCGGCAATGCATAGAGCACAGTCATTCCACGACACAACCTCTACGAGGTCACGGTAGGTATACAAGCTCCTGGTCAACCCTAACACCATATTGCTTTGCGGCCTTCAGCTCTTTCACTCTAAAAGACTCAGCCTCCCGTACTCTGTTACATTCATTTGCAGCGTTTTCAATGATGGCATCCAACATACGTGTGCCGACATTGGCGTTTGCTGGCTTGTCCATCTGTCTCAACGCAGCAATCATCGGCTGCGCAGGCCGGACACTCAACATCTTTCACCTACAGCAGAAGAGCAACGACTGGCTCTTGCCCATTTGGCCTGACCACTTCGACCTGCGAGAAGTTAACACTTTGATCGGAGCATCAGCAGCGGTGCTAGTCCTCAATGCTGTGATAGCAATGGCGGTGGTGGTGCAGAGAGTTAGTACCGATATCACCCGCCCCTGGGTGCACCCACTAAAAGTACACAGCTGCCGGCGAATCTGATCGTACTCCTCTGCTCGACCTTGGGCACAGCTTGCTCGCTGGTGGCCATCATCTTCCCAACAATCTTGCGCTACCACGCTCCAGGGCGAGACACTTTGCAAACGTGGGCGTGCCGCTGGAATGGGTCGAATGGCTCGCCCGCAATGTTCAGCAGTATATGCTCCGAAACAGTAAGCTTGTCTGCCTCATCTAGCAGTCACCCTTGCTAAGAACCATAGCGCTTTGCCTTCTACACCACGATCCCTGTTTTCGTAATCCAGCTTCTACTTCTCAGCATGGGTCTGTATGTGCTCGTAACTGGCGGGCGAGGCCAGATCTCCAAGGCCATGATCGATGGCGAGAAGGATCAAAGCCTGCATGAGTTGCGACAGGTCAGAGGCCACTCGTTCGAGACGAAGAGCGAAAGTCCACAGAGTCAGCATGTGGCGCAGATGGGCGACAAGCAGGTTCTGTAGGTGCGAAGCTCCGATCATCATAACATCATAAGCGGTAGTAAGGAGCCGGGTCGACATCCGCACGTGCCCGTGTACGTTCATTGTATGACTAGCTACCCAGTCGAGCACCGTAGCCTTACGCTGAAATATGGTAGCTTTCCGATTCCGGTCTTGTCGCGCGGCCTCATGTTCGATCAGCCAGAATTCACTAAGACATAGAAGATGGTGATGTTAGCATTGTGCCTTCCAGGCGCGGTTGGCACGAGATTTGGAACAACGTGCCTGTTCATGTCACGTCTTTCAGCATGCCAAACGATACAAGTTGATAAGAACCGAGGCACCTGTGTCGAGCGCCTTCTCGCCTTGGGCTCGAGGTCAAAACACAGGTACCGCACATGCTAATCTGTCATGTACAGCTTGGGATCGGAAACTTCTGCGCCAGTGTTCGAGCTGGTTGAGCCTTGCCAGATTAAAGCTACCTACCACACGACGCCAGCGCATGCCCCTTAGTCTTGTCCTGCTGGAAGCAAGCCCAATTGCTCAAAGGGTATCTAATCCAAGCAGCGAGCCTACAGAGCAGCGAACAAGCAGCTCCCACGCCTTCGTGTCTTTTATGCAAGGACGCTCAAGCTCTCCGGAAAGCATTGATAAAGCTCTTCCGCATACTCATCCTCGGCTCCTTAATGCTCTTCTTATCATCCGGCATCGGCGGCGGCGCGGGCATCTTCGGCACCGCCGTCGTACCAGTACTCCGCCGCTTCGCCACATTCGCCGGCGTGTCCCGATCCTTGTTGTTCTCCGCCTGTCGGTTCTTCTCTGAAGCACGAGCATCCAGCTTCGGGTCGATTCGCTGACTCATTCGACTGTCGGTGTTGCGTCCGGTATTGTTTCCTGAGATCGACACGCCATCGAGATACGTGTCTTTGGTCTTGTTCGGGGTTGGCAGTGGCGCGTGTGCGCTGCTATTTGTGTTGTGACGTGACTTGGCCGTGTCAGGTCGGGTTGAGGTGGGAACGTTGCCACTTGTCGTCCTCGACGGTGGCGCTCGTTTAGACTGCACGCTCTGCGACGACGGTCGCTGTACCAAGATTGGCTTTGGATCATGCCTGCTATGATCGCGTGGCGTCTGCGCTGCAATGGTTTTCGGCCGCTCGTCTCGGCCCGGTCGGGAGCTGGTGAGATCCTCACTTGAGACTCCGTTCAATCGCAGCCCGTTTTCGGCGGAGAACGTGCTCTGTGCTGTTGCGGGTCTGTCTGGCTGTTCAGTCGCCGGGAGCTCGAAGTATCCGGACAACGTTGCTCCCAGTGGTGGTGTGGCGGAGTGGCTTCTCCGCCGTCCTTCCCTCTCCGCCGGCGTTGGAGCACCGTTCGACGTCGGCGCACCGATTGGCGCCTTCACATTCGTGTCCAACTTGGACATGCTCTTCTTGCTGAAAGGCGTGCTCTTTCTTGTGCCAATCGATGGTGTACGCCTCGCCGCGCCAGGCCCACTGTTTGCCTGGTGTTTCTCCAGCTTCTCAATCTGGCCTTGCATGGTTGTTCCGTTCGTCGCATAATTGCACTCCTCGACGGGTTGGAACTTGATGATACCTCGGTCTGCCGGCACGCTGAGAATGTCGGCCATGAATGACTGAATGAGGCCCGCATTGCGCTTGTTGTGGGTTGGGCCCATCTGCGATGGCAGAGCTGTTATTGTAAGTATGTAACATGGGTCGAAGGTGCCTCCGAGCGCGAGGCAGGCGCTGTGGTCGACCTTAATCATGATGCTTGAATCTGAGCGAGTGTAGCGCTGGGCAAGGTGGTAAGACAAGTCCGTCACCAACGTGAATTCGTCCTTGATCTGTTCAAGCCGACCAGTCAGCCACACTTCCACACATACTATACAGCAATCCATTGCGTACAATGACATTCGTCCTCAACTCTGCAATCACCGGACTGTCCCGTTGCACCCGCTCTCGGATCGATCCAACCTCGCCGTCCTTGTATCGGAACTGATCTTCATAGTATTGTGTTCGATGTTTGGTATTGTTGTACTGGGCACCTATGCTGCCGCGGTCTCCAGCTTGCCTGCCGCCGAGCATCTCCTCGATATTGCCATTCGCGAATGTCTCTGCAGCGGAGCCTCGCTTCCAATTCTGCATTTGCATGTCGCCGCGACTATCACGCTTCGTCACTGCCGTGCCGACAGGGGAGACTGCGATGGTAGTCATGATGGTGTCCAAGGGCATCACTCGCAAGCGCGAGAAAGGCAGTCGCCGACTGATATACACTCGACTCTGCGGTTCAGAATGAGACAATGGAGCGGGTGACACAGTCAACGGTAGCCTGCAGGTGCCGTTGGTATCCGACCCGAGCTAATTAAACGTGCAGTAATACAGGTGTCGTGGAGAACCCGGAGCAGCACTCAAAGATAAACGCTGTACCTGTATCCACAAAGCCTTAACATATGCTGTCGACAGGGTGTAAGTTTCCAACGATGCAATCTGAGCCCAGCAGCTGCGTGCGAAGGCGGGTTCACCCCTCCCAATTCCCTCGGAGGTTAGATTTCGCCAACGGTAGGAACGTGTGAAGCAGTCGTGGTGCGCCGCGGTGGGATACGCCGGCCAGAGGCAGAGAGGACACTAAGGCAGAAGGCAGTGTGAAAGCAGACGGCCGGCATCTAAGAACGGTCGGAGGATTTCCAAACAGAGTGTGATGCGTTGATGGGGGTTGATAGTTAGTTACTAGCACGAATGCAGAGCGTGCGTTAGAACACAGATACGGGTGAATAACTGGGATCGAAAAGCCTCATGCAGGCCTGCCGATCGTCTCACGTCCCGCACGCAAGCAGTAGTACGGACAAGTACTGTACTGTACATGAACTGGAGGCTCGCCGGGTGGCCGCGCGCATGCCAATCTCCACTCGGATTATAGACGCAGAAAGTCTCGAATACGCCACCGTTGGCCAACGCGAAGGTTGGTTGACTATCAGACCCGCAGCGCCGTACCACGTGAAGTCTGCACCAGTATTGACGGCGCCGTTCCGCTTTGGATCGTGGTTCCACTGCCCTATTCGGACTTTCTCCGTGGCGGAACCTAGGACGAGAGCATAAAGCTCTCTGTCAGGCCAACTGTGAAACTCTCTCATACACTGGCAGTTTGGTGCGGAGTTCGAGGGTGGAGGTAGGATGAATAAGTTGGTCATCGAAACTCTATCTCCATCTGTGCATTGGCGGGTCAAGGCAGAATAATCTGGATCGAACGGAGCCTGCCAGATGCACGCTAGCAGCGCCTCAGCTGAAGTGCAAATGTCCGACTCGTCCGAAGTTCTTCTAGCGGTCCTATTTTCAGAGCAGTGCAGCGCGCGATGCGACCGAGCTCTCATTAATCGTTGTCCCTCCCACTGCGCACCCAACAATTGCAATCCAGATCCGTATAAACTTTCGCAGCGGGCGGCTTCTGATGTGACATGCTTTCAATGACGGAGTCACCTGCCTTAATGTCGGTATTCAAAACCGTCTAGTGCTCAGACACAGATCTCGCGTGAAGCTAGTGCAAGGTGTACAGATGCCGAAACTGTAGGCGAATCTACGAGTGGAGTCGCAGACGAGGTGCGACTTCTGCTGCATTGAGAGTATGCATTGTCACACACGGCGAAGTCCGCGCACTCTCGCTTCTGGACGTCTATCTGGCCGCCACCAACTGCCGTAAACTCTACCAACACTTACAGTAAAGTATTCCATTGTCTACACGACGGGAAGATACTACGGAGCGCATGACCGCCTACAGTAATGAGGATGTGTAAAGGCTGCTACCGGGCTTTCGGACAACAGCACCGGCGCTGTCATCTATGCCTTCTGCCGCCGCTACTTCACATCACCGACAAGTAGGCTTCCTCGATGCTGACGCCTGGATATAATTCATAATGAAGAAGCATGTGTTTAACATTGGCGACCGTAGCAACGCACTTCAGCTCACGATTAATCCAGCTTTCAGATAAGTTCCCGGCTACCATTAAGCCCAGCTGGGAGGTATGGCATAGTATGCTTTGAACATGTCTCGTTTTCGAGCAACATGCTGTCGTTCCAGGTGTAGTTGAAATCTCATCTACTCAAACAACCTCCAGTGGAAATGGGAAGGTACATGTAACTGAGTACGACTTCCGATGACCGAGAGGTGACGTAGCATGACGCCTTTGATCCATTCAATGGTCGAGCTGTGATGGTACATATACGTTTGGGTACGTAGTCAACAGAGTCCACTTAGAACACTCCAACACCACTTGATAAAAAGTCACTATCCAACCTAACAACACCGCAATCATGTCCGGAGATGGAGATTCCGCAGCGCGCAACATGGACAAGGGAGCTTCCGCGTACGCCACTCTTGGGACATTAGGAACAACAGCAGCAGTGTACTGACGAACGCAGGGCCTTGAAACACACAGACATCGGCGACGCCATCCACGAGGACGCGAAGAAGGACCTAGGCGGCGTACGCTAGCTCGAACCCTTTCACGCGAGCCAACTTGGCCAGGCTAAACATATCACAGGCACCGGCAGGCGAGAAGACGCAAGGTGTCGCAGGCTCGATGTTTGATACCTCGGGCAGCATCGGCAAGCAGTTCACCAGTACGTACCAGTAGTACCAACAAAGCAGGCCGGATCGCAGCTGACATCGTGGTGTACAGCCCAGGGAGCCATCGGCGGCACAGCCCAGAAGCTCGGCGGACCTTTCGATGCAAGCCAAGGGAGCATCGGCAAGCAGTTTACACCGCAAGGGAGCATTGGTGGCGCGGTGAAGGACATGCTCGGCTCGAGCGAGAAGGGTACTATGCAGGATAAGTAGCCCGCTGGAGGGCCAGATGAATGCGGGTATCAGAACGGCCTGCTGTTGGTAGTCGAGCACAAACAATGTTCCTACCGCTTGTAATGCTCTTTGGCCCAGACCTTCCTCTGTGTACTTTTGCTGTCAAACACGTTAAGTGATGGCATGAGCGAAGGTAGTGTCTCGCCAGCTTTCCCACATTCGCTCAAGGCTGTCGTAGGGTCGTAAATGTACCGGTATATTAAGTCAAGGTGACTCTATGACGATGAATTGGGATTCGTTGTGGAAATATTCCGCCAGTATAGTCGCGTCTCTGCCATGCCGACAGCTTTGAAGATATCGACTGTCTGGAAGCGATCTGAGACTGGTCAGCAAAGTATACAGCCGCTAGCGCAGATCGTGACAGACCAATGAGAAAGCGTAAACGGACCCTGACTGCTTGTCGATATGTGTCTTCCGCGTGAATTCAAAGGTATGTGTAGGAAGACCACTTAAGTGCTGGCGTCGACCTTACCACCGAGCTAGTCGATCCGATTATTGCGACCAGCCGATCTCAAATATACCGCATGGACCCAAATATCCTGTAAACCGTTCCACCGATCATTTCTACGCGACAAACCCACCGTGGGATACCCAACATGTCTTCGGAATACAACTACGACACCGATGCGCAGTTTTTCCCCTTTTTCGTCCTGACAATCACCTCTCTCGTCACGATCCCGCTCACATACACCCTGCTCCGAGCACCTTCCGATACTCCTACAGCCAACAGCAAAGCCGCCCATATCCCATCGAGCTATCAGCCCGAGCATGCTGACATTATCGATGCCCAACGGTCGAAGCAGAAGCGCAAGGAGCTGCGTCTCAAGCGCATGCTCACGGCGGCGACAGGATGGCTGGTCATGGCGTACATGATCTACCTCATGTACGTGACCGCACGCTCTCAGCCGAAGATCTGGAATCCGTACGACATCCTGGACGTCTCCTTGAGTGCAAGCGAGAAGCAGATCAACAGCCGTTACCGCAGGCTATCGGTTACCATGCACCCGGACAAGCGTCAGCCTAACCCAGCGCTCAACGAGACCATGGAGACAGTCAACGATCAGTGGGTGGAGATCGTGAAGGCGTACAAAGCGCTGACGGACGAGGATGTCCGCAACAACTACATCCAATATGGCAACCCGGACGGGAAGCAGAGCACCAGCTTCGGCATTGCGCTGCCGCAGTTGCTCGTAGCGGAGGGCAGTGGAAAGTACGTGCTGGTGTTCTACGGGGCACTGCTGGGCATCGCGCTGCCGTGGCTGGTTGGTAAATGGTGGTATGGCATGCAGAAGATGACGCGGGAGAGAGTGCTGATGACGACTGCCGGCAACATGTTTAAGGAGTGGAAGGAGCGCATGGATCCTGGTGATGTCGTCTTCGCGATCAGCAGTGCTACGGAATTCACGGAGATACTGCAAGGCGCGCGTGCCGACTCGGGCTTAGGAACGCTTGAGAATCAACTGCAAGCCTCCGATAGTGCAGAGATGAGTATATTGCCAAAGGACAAGAAGAAGCTCGAGGAACTGGACGACGCCGCCCGGAGAAAGACGCTTGCCTTACTTTGGGCCTACCTTTCGCGACTGGACCTGAACGACAAAGCGCTGGAGGCGGAGAAGTACGAACTTGCACCTACGGCCGTGCAGATGAACGACGCCTTTGTGTCGATGTGTCTCGCCTATGGTCTAACAGCACCAGTTTTGTCTGCTTACCACCTCACACAAAGTCTTGTGCAGGCCATCCCACCCATGCACAACCGCCTACCGCTCATGCAGCTTCCACACTTCACGCTTAGTATTATCCAAGAAATCGAGCACAAGACCGCCGTAAGCGGGAAGAAGGAACACCTCAGCATTCAGAACTTCATGGCTCTGCCGCCGGAGCAGCGCCAAGCGGTTGCCACAGCTGCAGGCCTGACGCCTGACCGTCTCGTTGTCGCCGAGGGCGTGGCGCGACAGTTACCGCTCATGAAGATCGAAAAGGCCTTCTTCAAGGTGCAGGGCGAGAAGTACATCATCCCGTCTTCGCTCGTCCAGTTCGTCATCAAAGCCCGCTTCATCCCACCCGGCACACCCGCATCAAGCATCCCACCCATCGAGGACAAAGACCTCGTCGACGTCGACCCGGCAGAAGGCGACCTTGCAGCGCAGAAGCAGGAACCAGAGTCGCATCCCGTACCGCTCGCATACGCACCCTACTACCCTCGCGACCGCTCGCCCCGGTGGCACGTCTTCCTTGCGGATAATCGACAGGGCAAGATCGCCGTGCCGCCTTTCACTTTCATCCAATTTGACAAGAAGGCGTTTGAGGATGATGGGAAAGGTGGCGTGAAGCCGACCTTTGCGGTGGTCACGCTGAAGATGCAGTTCCAGGCGCCGCCGCAGGCGGGCGAGTTCAAGTTTCAGATGCACGTTATCTGTGATAGTTACGTCGGGTTTGATACTAAGCAGGAGGTCATTATGAACATTGAAGATGCATCGAAGGCGCAGACGGTGGATGACGATGACGATATTAGTGAGCCTGAAGAAGGTAGGTTTCGTCTTGATATGGCGCGACTGGACTCCTCGTTGCATATGCTAATTGATCGGACAGACTCGATCGCTGGGCAGATGGCTACGCTGCGCGGACAGCCCACCGCAGACCCGAACAAGCCTCGTAGGCCACGAGCGGAGAAAAGGGCGCAGGGCGATGAGGAGAGTGATTACGAAAGTGGCACGGACGAAGATGAGGATGAGGAGAGCGAGACGGATACAGATACCGACTCGGACGACGAGTAGAAGGCCGGACTTGGCATGGCATCGCATCGCGTGCCGTGCGTTGTGGCGTGTCACATTTGCTGCAGCCATCCCCAAACGTACGCATGCACCTCGCTTTGTACTGTATTCGCTCACCGATCTCTTGTTGTAGGCCACGCTTGAAAAATGCGAGGCTAGGACTACCAACAGACGGTCGATCATCGATTGGGTGTGGCGCAGCCATGCGTGCACTTCTCAGCTTACATGTACCTTAGTCGAGCTAGCCACAACCGCATGCAGCGCTTCCTCTCCTAAGACGGCAACGACACATCATTGCAACGACTGAAACCAGGCCTGCGCGACCCAGCGGTAGATGGGCTCGTATCGCAGCTAAGCATCGCGGGCGCAGTGTCACTACAGTCGAAGCTCAAGTTTGGCACGATCTGCGCACCTTGGCAACATCATCCTTCTACCATTAAGGCCCCTACCTTCCCTGCACGACCACTCCCACATCCTCGGTATACTGTTTCGTTCGTTCGTGTTCAGCAATGGGAAGTTTCGTCCGCTCCGTCACCGTCCGCCTGCGCCGTCACGGCCAAAGCGCAACACTGCAAGATGCTTTTCACTCCGCCACGCTCGTCGCGGCCGGCTGTCCGGTGGAGGAGGAGACGCTGCCCGATTACCGACCTTGCGATTTCTATCCCGTGCATGTAGGTCTGCTGTTCAACGGCCGGTATCGTGTGCTCGCCAAGCTTGGGTACGGTGGTGGCTCGACTGTCTGGTTTTGTCGTGACCAGCTGTAAGTCACTCTGCTAGAACCGCCAAACACGGTGATATTGATGCCTACCAGCGTAAGGCGTTACGTCGCCGTCAAGGTCTGCTCTATCCGGCTTTCCGACGACGGCAGGCGCGATCTCCGACCGCGCTGGGAATGGAAGGCCTACAGCCGGTTATCAGGCATGACCACCGACAACAAAGGTGCGCAGCACGTGCGTCAGATCCTCGACCGCTTTACGATTGGCACAGCGAACGGCGTGCAGCATCAATGCTTCGTCTACGAAGTCGCCGCGGTGAACCTCCAGCAGCTCGAGCGAACGTACCCGAACCAGAAACTTCCCTTCGCGATGGCCAAGGACGTACTGAGAGCGGTGTTGCATGCCCTCGACTTCCTGCACACCGAAGCCGGGATCGTGCACACGGATATCAAGAAGGACAATATCTTCTTCCCGGCGACGGAGGCGTGCGTGGCCCAGTTCGCAAAGGCACTGCATCGCCAACGGCCAGTCGCAAGGTACGACGAGAACAGCAACCGGCTCATCTACCAGTCCGTCCACTTCACGGACCTGTTGAAGGGAAGCGAGTTGTCCCTACAAGAGCCTCTCCTCGGCGACTTGGGCGAAGCACAGGTCCTATGGGACGAACAAGCGAGCTTCCCGCCCAGCGTCGTAGGACCTGAGCCCTTCCGCTCCCCGGAGAGCATATTCGGCATGCCGTGGGGGTGTGCAGTCGACACGTGGATGCTCGGGCATCTCGCCGTGAGCATGGCTTCACATCAATTCCTGCTCGACGCGCGAAAGACGGGGGGCAGATGGTCGACCACGAAGCACGTCCGGCAGATGGTCGCGTTGATGGGTCCGCCTCCGCCGGAGTATGCCGGTAGTCGGACTGTGCATCCCAAGATCTGGGAGGAGTTGTTGGGATCGGCGAAGCTTCGGAAGTATGATGCGAAGACGATGGATGCGAGGATGGGAGTGATTCCGGATGTGTGGATGCAGGATGATTTGGTTGGGTTTTTGCATCGTATCTTCAAGTGGAGGCCGGGTGAGCGTGCGAGTGCTGCCGAGCTTTTGCGACATCGGTTTTTGCAGGCGGGGTGAAAGATTTACCCTGCGATGAAGATGTCCACACCGGAACGTTCTCAACCATCGTATACTGTCGTGCAAGCCTTGGGAAGACAGTTCACGGGGACACTCACTCTACAGTTGGGCACAGCAAACTTTTGCCACGCAACTCGACGGACAAATACCGTTCTGGACCTTCGCCGCAACGTCGTGGTCGGTAGGGCTACGTCGACCTCTTAACGATGGACTGATGTCGCCTGAGCACTGCTTGGGCGTGGACACTAGGTGTGGAGGCAGCCGCTCAGGCCACAGAGGAGAGTCAATACGTGGTCAGTAGGCAGAGAGGGGTACGACCAGGCCAGGTCTATCGGCGAGAATCATGAAACTGCTTAGGCGTCCATAAGTGCAAGCGTATTTAGCAGCGATCACATTGTCCCATGTTGTTGCATGTATGCAGGTGTTTAATCGAACTGTGGACGTACGAGGGAACATCCTTAAGAGACTTGTTGATAGGGGGTGCGGGGATAGCCGCCGAGCCGCAAAATAGGCTTTCAGCCCTTCATCAGGTACCGCTCTGGATCTATTCTCGGCGGGTCGTAACTGCTTACGACGTGTGGGAAAAAGCATGGCGCTTCACCATTATTGTGCCGGTCTGCCTTTTGCCAGTTGCATCGCATACTAACCATCGTCCTGTCTACGACTAGGCGATTACACTTCGACTGTGGGAATACAGTTCCCGAACAAAGGTAGCGCTGTCACTTGGACGCCTCGGCTGGATACCGACAAGCTGAAACACAGCGAACCATCCCTGGCGGTCGCATACATAATACCTTTAATACTGCACTCCACCCCCTCCCACCACGGCGCATATCGGGATACGAGGCACACGACCAAACTTTTCCTAGTACTCTCCTCCGACCAGGGAACAGAATATCCATCTACCTCAACATAATCCACCAGCGAGCCATGATACGGCAATAACACGGCCGCATACGCATACGCATATACACTCTTTTACACCACCACCACCACCACCACACCATGGAGGACAAATACGTGGGCCTCCTGCTGGCCGTCATGTCCTCCCTCGGCATCGGCGCCTCCTTCGTCATTACCAAAAAGGGCCTCAACGCCGCCGCCGCCGCCCACGGCTTCGAAGGCGACGGCTTCGCCTACCTCAAGAACCCCATCTGGTGGGGCGGCATCACCACCATGGTCATCGGCGAGATCTTCAACTTCGCCGCCTACGCCTTTGCTCCCGCCATTCTCGTCACGCCGCTGGGGGCGCTGTCGGTGTTGATTGGAGCGGTGTTGGGGAGTTACTTCTTGGGGGAGCGGTTGGGGGTGTTGGGCCGGGTGGGATGTGCGACCTGTTTGATTGGGAGTGTGGTGATTGTCCTGCATGCCCCGCCGGATCAGGAGTTGAGGGATATCAATGAGTTGTTGCATTTTGCGCTTATGCCTGGTACGGAAGCACATACACACCCCGACCCGCGAGACGCCCCATGAACTGTAAAACACAACGAGATGGAGGATGGGTACGCTGACGATGATGATTGCCAGGCTTCCTCTTCTACGCCGCCGTCGTCCTCGCCTTCTCCCTCGTCATGATCTACGTCATCGCGCCCAAGTTCGGCAAGAAGAACCCGATGGTCTACATCTCCATCTGCAGCGCCGTCGGCAGCATCTCCATCATGGCCATCAAGGGCCTCGGCCTCGCGCTCAAGATGACGGTGCGCGGCGAGAACCAGTTCACCAGCGCCAGCACCTACGTCTTCGGCATCATGGTCGTGGTGTGCATCATGACGCAGATGAATTACTTTAATAAGGCGTTGAGTCAGTTTAGCACGAACATGTGAGAAAACCCCACCACCACCACCACCACCACCACCGAAAACAAATACAGCGGTCCCCTTGGACATATGCAGCTAACATATGGAATGATCATGATAGAGTCAACCCCCTCTACTACGTCACCTTCACCACCTGCACCCTCCTCGCCTCCTTCATCCTCTTCCGCGGCTTCAACACCACCGACGGCACCAACACCGTCTCCCTGCTCTGCGGCTTCCTCACCATCTTCACCGGCGTCTACCTGCTCAACCTCTCGCGCGAAGACCCGGACGGCGCGCACCTGGGCATGATGAATGGCGGGGGGAAGTACCACGCCGTCGACGGCATCCCGGTGGACGGGGTGGCGGGACTGTCAACCCGGCTGAGTATGCAGGCAAGAAGAAGCGGGGATGAAGGGCATCGACGCAGCGGGAGTTGGAGTTTACGCAGCCCCATTACTGCTTCGGGAAGGGGTGACAGCGGGGTGCGGTACGGGTCGGGAGATCAACAGCAACATCTAATGCACAGCTACGACGTCGAGGCCAACGCGCTGGGGGGGTTGGCGGAGGAGGATAGCGACGATGAGGAGAGTTCCGGGTATTCGAACCGGAAGCGGACGAGTTTCGAGGACACGCGGGCATCGCAGCGCCAGGATGGAGGGGCGAAGAGGGGAGGTGCGGGGCGGGGGGGTGTGAGTGTGAGTGGCGCGCCGTCGAGGCGGGGTGGGAGTGGGAGGGCGTCGTTGGGGGGCAAGGGGTCTGATCCGGCTCGGCGGTAGCGGGAGGCTGTCCGCTCGACGACGTTGGACTTTCGAGATGTCTACAAAGCTGGGTGTGTTGTTTTGGGAGGCGGGCGGTGTTTTTACTGCATGGCGAGCATCGTGTGGGCCGGAGTTTTGTTTTGGGGGAAAGAGCACTACACGCATTATGAGGCGTTGTTTGGCTGATTTTGCTGGATTTCTACACGTAGTAAGTACCAGGCGGAAGCTGCCTCTGCGAGGCATGTGCGTTCGGAGCAATTCTGAACACGAAAGGAGAGAGGAAGAGAGAGGCAGAGAGAGGCAGGCACAGGCAGAGAGTGGCAGAGCACAAGCTGTTGGAGATACACAATCAGCATCACACGTCAACGCAGTGGACCCCAAGCAAGCCGCTCGCCGTGTGCACTGAAATATATACGATACACCCTCCCAGCGCCCACGCTTGCCAAGATACAGCAGAGAGTACAAGAACGCTTAGATCAACTGGTACACACATCGCGTCATACAACACCACGCTGCCATTCGCTCCCCAAAAGAACCTTTCAACCATAGATAGCAGTCAGCAGCATTGGGTGTTCGACCCGGAACAAGCGGTATCTCCTTCTGCCGAGGGGATCGCTAGCTGATGCTGCTCCCCAGATATCCCAATTCGGCGAAAATGTCGTCGACCATGGAGCCTCGGCTTGCTTCCGTTTCCAGACTGAGTGCCAACGCGGGCGTGAGCAGCATTGACTCGCTGTTGACTACATGCGGTATATCGCTCGGTGGCGCGAAGCTCGGCAGACTGTATGTCTCTAACCGAGTCCGAGGCGCAGAAGACTTGGTTGCTTCTCCCTCGTTCGTCCGGTGACTATCACTCAATGGCGATGGCGGCGGCAGCACCAACGACACCGGACTTTTCCGCAATTCGAGATCCTGCAAGCGGAGCGTGACGTGCTCCACCTGCTTTGCGGGGTCAGTGTCGAAGTAGCTGCTGCTATGGTAGTATTGTGGGGCATACTCGCCGCCGCTGAGCCGGAAGGGGGTATACGCGCCATTGGAACTGATGGTTTCGGCGGAGAAGGTCGGGGAGCGGAAGACCGGGCTTGGTAGAGGGGTATCGAGTGGTGGAGGAGGAGGAGGAGGCAGGAGGGCAGGCGGCGGGAGGGGAGGAAGTCTGGTTGGCGGTGGTGGTGGGACTGCCTCAACCTCAACCTCAGCCGTGATTGGAGACACCAGCACCGATCCGCGGGAGACTGGGCGTGAAGTTGGCATTTCCCATTTCTCGGCGTATACGTCCAGGAATGACGACGATGTATGCGATAGCGCGGAGATCTGGCTTCGGCGGCTTGCAGTGTTGTGGCGAGAGCTTCTTCCAACGGCGCGCCGCCGTTTCCCAGGCCGAGTCTGCAGCTCGTCACCATCGTGAGGCGATTGCGCCGAGCGGCCCACGGAGTTCGTCTTCGATCCAGCCTGCTTCTCCAACCGACCACCAAGCGCCAGGTCAGAGATACACCGCATGTGCACCTTGGACACCGGTGGTGGCTCGAGCATTACGAACTTGTCGCTCGGGTCCAGCGTCTGCCTTTGCCCGCCTCGCAACCCTCCCAGCAGCGCAGCAGCAAGACCGTCATGCCCCGCACTCCGACACCGACTCGGCGGCTGCACCACCTCCACGGGAACCTCGAGCACATTCATCATCTGCCCGGGCATCAACGGACACCCCGCCGTACACTCCAACCCGTCATCGTACGTCTCCACATCGTAGTCAAGCCGGTAGTAGTACCAATACGTACCGCCCTGCTTGAGCCCACCGGAGCGAGGTTTCGCGTTGAAGGAGGATTCCAGCCCGTCGAAGACAATGGAGGTGAATTTGAAGCACCCACTCCAGAAGCCTGGACCTCGCCGCCGGTCGTGGCGCATGGGGTATGCGCGCGCGAAGTTGTCCCAAGAGCCTAGCAGCTCGACGGAGCGGATGTGGGCGGGTGTTGTGAAGTGGAATGCTATTAGGGTTTCTGGATCCATGATGGTGTCCAGGTAAGAGGAGACCGAATGCGCCTCGTTGTGGGAGGGTGAAGCGCGAGCGTTCCTTCCGGCCTGACTTATGACCTGGATGCAGCAATGCGTGTAGATGTAGTAGATGTAAGGAAGCCTAGCTAGCTACTCCAACAATGCATTATCCTGCGATTGACGACTTTCGTTCCATGTAGGAAAGTCGCGTAGCAAGGAATCACGACTGAACGTTCGGCCTTCAACCCGGTATCGTGCGGCTGGTGGTGGTGGTGGAGATTGGAGGTTGGGAGAGCGACGCAATATTAGACTTTCCGTCGAAAAGCAGGGCAGAAGCACCGCTGGTAGTGGAGAAGGCGATAAAACAACCTTAATGGCCGCCCAGCAACGCCTTCGTTATCTGTTTGCGGAAAGGTTACTTTGGCCGAAACTGTTATAAGTAGATGGCGAGAGTGGATGGTGGTCCTTTCGCAATAAACTCACGAAACAGCACGAAAAGGTGTACATGTCCGACCGAAGCGCATGACGCAAATAGAATCTTGGTATCCAATGCTTGCGGATCTCCATACACAGCTGCTCGGGCTTCTCGGGGTAAATCGCCATGGCTTGCATCTCGACCCTTGTCCATGGAAACCGTTATACGCCAGCCAGCCAACTATTGCCCCGAGCAAAACCTATTTCGCCTATAGAAGCAGCGAGGCCAATCGGATAGGGCGTATGGCCGCTATATCTCGGCTATAGATTCATTAGTCGCCGCCGCCGTTGGACATGTCTCAAAGCGCCGACCTCCTTACACGACCCTGTTTTGGTAGCGGACGTCCAGAAAGCGACTCGAACGCAAGCCCCGACCGAAGTATAACGGTCAGCAGCAAGCCTGTGAGTCTGCGACGTGGGTCGAGGCGTGTAGCGAGCGTTAGGATGGTATGGCGCGCTCACAACACGCTTGCAACGCGTGCGTCGCGCTCGTAGGACGCGTTCCAAGCAGAACCTGCAATGCGATGCGCCACGACGGCTTCTCTTTCTACCGCGAGAATAATGGGAGCATGTACGGATGAGCTCTACCCCATATACCTTCAGAATCGCCAAATCAAGCACGAATATGGAAGGCTGACGACAGGACGACGATCTAGAAGTTGGACGTCTGACTCCGTCGATCAGCATCGGAACTGACTCCGTAGCGCGAATAATGGCGCAATATGTGTCATGTACAGTATCGAAGGCACGAGGCCGGCGGGCTGTCATTGACGTTCCCTTCGTACAGCCCACTCGCAAAGATCAAAACACGATTGTAAACTCAGCAAACCGCAGACCGCTTTATTCAAAGGCCCCCCCACCGCCCTGTAGAACAGCTCAGCCATCAAAGAGATATTCTCGTCTCCCGGACCACCAGTCGATCCACGGTCCATTGGTCAATCATCACCATCCTCCCCATCCGCTTCACCATCTTCAGCCTTCAGCCTTCAGCCTCCACATCACCGTCCCCACCTTGGCTGCCTTCCTCCCTGTTCTCATCATTTGCAACCACCGCAGCTTCTCCCTCCCGCGTGCTCCATTCCAAAACCCTACGCAACGCCTCCTCTTCATCAATCTCGCCATTGACGGAAACTGCTCGCTGCGCTCGTGCCGCGTCGTCGTAGCTCATGATGCTGCTGGCACGCGGTTGCACGCTCTCTCGTCCAGTGGGATATGGGCGTTCCGCGCCCTGGATCCACTCTTCGAAATGGCGGAGACGCTCATTACGTCGGTCCTGAGTAATGCGAGATATGTCTCGTAAGGCCTCGTCTGATCCGAGAGCCGGGAGTCCGCCAAGGCCGATGGACTGGCTTTTGTTGGCCTGCTGCGGCTGCTCGGTTGCTGGCGTGGATGGGCGGGTTGAGTGGTGGTCGATGAAGTCACTTCTTTCGACCGTCATTCTTTCGTCCTCATCATCATCCTCATCCTCGGCCTCGCTCGCTGTGCTGCCGTTGCTCATTCCTAGAAGAATTGGAACATCGCCGCCCTGCAAGCCACCGCTCATCAACAGATCATCCGTGGAGTCCGCGTACTGGCTTGAACCCTGAGAGAAGCCTCGGGCTGTGGACCTCGACTTTTTCGCCGCGGGCTTCGCACGTCCGGACGGTTTGGCTGCCGCCTTACGCTTTCCGTATATTCTCGAGGTTGGCTTCGCCGGCGGGCCCATATTGCCCTTCCTCCCTTTCCCCTCCCTCCTAGCCCTCGACCGCTCCGCCTTAGCCATCTCAACCTGGTCCCTCGACCTCTCCGCCTCCCCTTCCGTCTCATAAGCCGAATCATCCTCACTCAACTCGGAATCATACTCCAGCTCGCCCTTGCCGGCCCGCGCCCTCTTCTCTCTCACCCTCCTCGTTGCCGCCCGCCGCGCCATCATCTTCCTCTTCCACTTCTTCGCCTCCTCGAACCACGACCTCCACTTCGGCCACTGCTCATTCTTCAACCCTCTCGGCGCAGTCTCAGTCTCCATCTCCCTCACCCTCTCCCCATCCGTTTCCCGCAGATACATATGGCAGTCGTACAAAAACTGCTTCTGCATGTCCTCCCTCTCCTTCGCGGACTTGGACTCGCACTTCGCCGGGTCGTAGTGAGGAAGCCATTGCACTTCGCCGAGCATGGGGCCACGGAACTCGTCTCCGGCGCCCGTGTCCGTTGAGCCGGTGAACAGCGCGACCTCTGCCGTGTTGTCGGCCTGGACGATGTCCTCGCCGTCTTCGCCCGTTGCGATGATGGGCTCGTACCATACTGGCGTCCAGTCGCGGGAGCGGTAGCCGACGCAGAGACGACCTTTGGCCTCCGGGTTGCCGGAGTTGGCGCGCTTGAGCATGAATATGATCGACATGGTGGGTGTTTGTTATCGTCTAAGTACGGATTGGTGGTGTCGGCACTGCAGTGACAGGGTGTCGTGATGATCTCGAGAGCACCAGAACTCGTGAGATGCAGATGGAGATGTGGTTATTATGCTGATGGAGAAGCAAGGTCTTGAGAGAGAATTGAGGCGACTGATCAGCCAAGTGAAGCTTCACCGCGAGGTCCAGATAGCCGCCACGCCGGCCGTAAGTAATTCGAAGGACAAGATTGAGTAATGCAGAAAGTGAAGCTGTCGATAAACGAAGTATGGTTCCTCGGAAGTGATGGAGGATGGAAGATACGAACCAGCTCTAGTAGGCAATTTGGCTCTTGAAAGGCCGCCTTTACTGTGTACTGACAACGTTCTATCCAGATAAATGAATGATCTGAACAGGCCCAAGTCCGGAGGATGTATCTCAGACCACGCAATACTGGTGAGGAAGCTTAGAGGTGTAAGTAAGGGAAGTCGATTAGCTCACGTGCCAATGTTGAAGTCATGTGATAAACAAAAGAGGAAGGTGCGCTAATCCATTCAGATTCCAGTCGAAGAAGCACAGCCAAATGAACGCTGTTGAGGATAACGCTATGCTGCTGCTTGGTGAAGTTCCGCAAGGACCTTCGGGCCAACCTCATAGGCATGCGACTCCGCATCGTGGTTCAAGATCCATTCCTCGCGCTTGAGTTTGATAGCCTCCGGGTTCTTTCGGAGGTTGTCGAAATCTGCTTTGTGCCATTGATCGCGAGCTTCACAGGTTCAGTCAGTACACCAACCTTCAGTGCGGTCGCAGCTCGATCCGCAGATTTTAAGTGAATTTGCTTACTCTTCTCACCCGTCTTCTGAGTCGCCTTGACCCGATCATAACGTATCTTCTCATACGCCCTCAGCGCATCCGCCACCTTCTCCTTCCCGGCCAACTCCAGCATCACTGCAATGCACGACCCGTCTTCCATAGCTTGACTGGCACCTTGTATGCTAGTTGGCAGAAAAGGGTGCGCCGCATCTCCAATCAGCGCGATCCTGCCTTTCGGACTCACCCAGGTGGGCAGCGGGTCTCTGTATACGAGCTTCCAGTCCACCAGCTTTTCAGGCGGAGTCATCCGTACAATGGCATGGACAGCCGGCGCCCAGCCTTCGAGAATCTTGCACGCATCTTCGTGATTACCGGGCTCGGACCAGCCTTCGTCGACATCGCGAGTGTCTTTGTGCGTGAAGACCCAGCTGAACTCTTTGCCACCCTTGATAGCGGCCGCAAGGAAATGGATATCGGGACCTAGCCAGCCAGTATGAGAGTCTTCTTGCACGAGATGTTTGGTAAGATCATTCTTAGCAAGTTCCGAAGAGTCCATCCAGGCACGGTATATAGCATAACCGGAAGGCTTGGGTGCGTCATTGTGACCTAGCACGAGGGTACGAGCTTTACTTCGCACACCGTCTGCTCCAAGTACGACATCTGCGGTGAGACGCTCGCCGTTACAGACAACGCCCGCTTCAGTCTCGGTCTCGAAGTACTCTGTGACTTGCTGACCCAAGCGGATCTCCACGCCTTGCTCGAGAGCGTGATCGAAAACAATCTTGTGGATTTCGCCTCGGTGGCCGTTGTACCGTTTGCCGAAGTTCTCTTCTTCGCTGCCCCAGTATTGCGTATAGATGTGCTCGCCTTTCCAGTCATAGTACGTCAGATGGTCGCTGTTGTGACAGATTGGATCGAGCTTCTCTGGCACACCAGGCCAGCGCCTGAAGATGCGTGAAGAGTTGCTACCGAAGGAGATGCTAAGGTGGCGATCGGAACTGTCAGTGCTGTCTGGAGAAAGAAGCAGTATCGCAGGCAAGGGTTGCATACATGTCACCAAGCTGGACATTAGTCGACTTGTAGGACTCGAGTATGACGGCGGTATGTCCGTGACGGACGCACTCGATGGCAGCGGTTATGCCAGCGAAACCGGCGCCAACAATGATCACTCGAATGCTAGTCGGTTTGGGCTTCTCGGTGCTTGCGGCTGCGGATGACCCTATGAGGGGAGCATCGCTATTCATGTACGGAGCCATTATATCGTCGTCGCCCTGGGGAAGGGAGTGTGTGCACCGAGCGAGCGATCTTTTACCCGGCGTACACGAGTAACACCCATCTTGACTAAAATTACAGCAGGATGGGCAGCCTGTTGGGTGTAGCTCAAGCAACTGCCGACAGCCACGTGAAGTCGGCGGGTGCAAAGGTGCGGAATACGAAAGTCATTTCACTGCCGAGCCCGTCCTGTCGTTGTTGACTCGACTCGAGCTGTCACCCCGGACCCACAATGCGCTCCAGGATATCTCCGCAGTGTGGAGTCGGCCAAGTCATCTCCACCTTTCAACCTCTTCTATCGAACTCTAATCAATGCCTCACACCGGGGGACATCCACCTGAACGGGAAATAGAAGGCAGAGTCTGGCCCGCGAAGGAAGCTCAAGCCCCTCGGCAAGCTTGGCCGCGCACGTATGACATTGCGGAATAGGGACAGGGCCGGCGAGGCCACGTGCTCGAGCACCCCGGCAGATGGCAGATCACCACCTGACTCGTAAGCTGCAGCACGTCTTGAAACTGCCCAGGAGCGGTATTGCACCGCCATGCGTTGTTCGACGTCCAGCGGCATGGGTGGGTATACATTGACGATGCTCTCTCCTCGCTTTGCACGATTGAGCCCCAGAGCACAAGCCCCTTTCCTTCATCCCGTCCCATACCACCCTCTCCTAGCCCCTCAAAATGCCTTTTGGTATCTTAGAAGATCACAAGCTGGAGGTAGTACCCGGCACGGTAAGTCCGCCGCTCATCTCGAAGAAAGAACCCGCAAAGACTGATGTTCTGTAGGTGCTCCTGCGCGACCAGAACGACATTCCGGATGATCTTCAGAACATCGGTGTCACGCGTCTGAAGCATGGCAAGGGCCGCTACGAACACGTTGTGCTAGTTCCACAGCCGTATGCACGCTCTTGCCTATTGGCGTCGCTCCTGTATAAGGCATACGCTGATGGTTATGGTTAATGCTTTTAGTTCAGACTCTCCGAACGATCCGTACGTCTTGTTTTTCCTCCACTAACGCGGCCGTGTACGCTAACGGTACCATTACAGTCTTAATTGGCCAACATGGTACAAAGACTGGGTGCTCTTCCTCGTTGGCATGAGCGCCGCTGTCGTTGGTGCTTATGGTCCCATGCTTGGCCCTGGCTTCGTGCCCATTGCCGCAGAACTTGGCATCACTGTTGAGATCCTGTCTCAGTCTACCGCCTGGCTCATTCTCACACTGGGTATCTGCGTGTATGTTCCGTATCCCCAAAAGGTGTCACTTCACCTATACTGACCATGACCTTCGTAGCTTCATCTTCAACCCGGCCGCGAAGATCTGGGGAAAGCGTCCAGTCTATGTCTTCGCTAGCATCATCCTCTTCGTCGTCAGCGTCTGGGGTGCGGTCGCCACGAACTACAGCTCCTTTCTCGGATCCCGCGTCCTCGGCGCCCTCGGCATGGCTCCCTACGAAGTGCTCGTCCAGGCTACCATCTCGGATCTGTACTTCATCCACGAGCGCGCCACTCGTATTGCCGTCTGGAATCTCTTTCTCCTCTGCGGGATCTGCGGCGCTGGATTCATCTCCGGCTATATCATTGAGGACCTAGGCTACGAGTGAGTCAGATTGCTGCCAGAAACACACCTTCTCGTTGTCTGAGACAGTGCTGATGGGTTTTACTGATAGGTGGACATTCGGAGTCTGCGCCATTCTGTTCGGCATCTTTGGGGTAGGCATCGTGCTCTTCGTCCCGGAGACGACGTACATCCGCAACGAGGTTACCGCTCAAGTCCTGGCTAAGACCGGCATCCAAGACCAAGAACGCGGGGCCGTCAATGAGGAATTCGGGGACGAGAAGGGCGCAGGGACAGTTCACGTGGAATACCATAATATATCTCGCAAGATCACCGGTAACGGCTCGAGTCACGACGCAGCGACGGAGCCCAAGATGAGCTATCTCAAGTCCCTCCGCCTCTTCACCGGCCGCTACTCCGACGCGAAGATCTGGAAGATCTTCACCAGACCTTTCATCATGTTCTTCTACCCTTGCGTGTTCTGGGCATTCCTCATCTACGGCACGACTCTCACGTGGATCGTCGTCTTCTCTGTCGTCAACGGCGTCATCTTTACCGCGCCACCCTACAATTTCACCGTGGGACAAGCCGGCCTCACCTCTCTCTCCCCATTCATCCTCTGCATCATCGGCGAGGCTATCTCCGGCCCCTTGAACGACTACATCTGTCTCAAGCTTGCCCGCGCTAATCACGGCATCTACGAGCCCGAGTTCCGGCTCGTGCTCATGTTTGTCGTTGTCATACTGGGCACAGTGGGCTTCTTTGGATTCGGAGCGACTGTGCATTACGTCACACACTGGACTGGTCCCGTTCTGACATACGGGCTTGCGAACATGGCTCTGGCGTTTGCAAGTACCTGCGTTTTCGGCTACGTGCTGGTTTGTGAACCTTTCCCTCTTGCGAGGATGGACGCACAACGTGCTGACCAGACGATAGGACTGCTATCCGAAGCTCGCTGAAGAAAGCTTCGTTGCCATAAATACTCGCAACCTTCTGACATTCGGGTTGACATATTTTGTCCAAGACTGGCTGGTCAAGGATGGTGTGCTAAACGTCTTCAATGTGCTAGGGGCTTGTTTCCTTGCCGTCTGCGCCCTCACGATTCCGCTTTGGATCTTCGGCAAGCGTATCAGGGGCGCAGTGGCGAGGAGTGCTTTCCTCAACGAGTTCATGACGGATCTATAAGCACCAAGCGGAGAAGCGCGTGGTTGGCCGCTCCCAAGTCAGGGCTTACAGAGCACATGTAATTACCTAATTTACGCAGAGTAGATACAAGCAGAGTTGTATCGTGACGCTATATTACCCTTTGCTCGACAGCTACTAAGCTGTTGTCGCGTGGGCAGCGAGTGAGCATGCGTAATGACTGCAGAGAGTGGTCCATCGCTAGGTGAATGAAAGTCCGAGTGGGGCTTAGAGTCGCGAGAATGAGGTCGGGTGGCCTCAAGACGAATCTTCTCGGTCGCTGCATCTCCGCTGGTGGCTTCGGAAGCAGAGTATGCTTGTTCACTAAAGGCCACGATGGAGCTTCCTAGTCCGCTGGCATATTCTCCTGAAGCTCCAGGTAGGCTGATGTGATGGTTAACCCATGACCACAGACCAGCCATGAGCAACAGCTCGCGGGACATGGCTTTACCGCATCGAAGCTTTAGACGGTCAGTAGCCTAGCCTTGAGGTGAGTATCGAACGGACGATGTGAGAAAGAGAGGGACCAATTTCCAAAATACGTCCGGTAGTCGTGTTGAAGCCTAAGGCATCAGGTGCGGCAAAGCTCGGCTTCGATTCCGCCGGCTTGGCAGATATCGCACGCACTTCGATATGACTAGGCGGACCACACATTGAACACCATCTCGACTTTAGGCGCTCATTCTCTCCGGCAACACCACCACCATCACCGGCTCACCAACACACACGACCTATCTAGGCAGGCGGGTGCGAAGATGTCTGACGGCGAGGTCGAAGTCGAGCAGCCCCAAGGCTACCCGGTCTTGCCAAAGGACGTCGTGCAGGAAATCGGTAGCACCAAGCTCTTCAACAAGTGGAGCTACGAAGATGTCGAGATTAGGGATATCTCTTTGACGTAAGTCTACATACATCGTCCCGAGGAAGAACGAAAGATGAGGCGAAGCAAGCGGACAATGAGAGCTAGACAGTCATCTACATGCGCCAGGCTAACACTACATTCTACAGCGACTACATCCAAATCCGCCAACCGGTTTACATGCCACACTCCGCCGGCCGGTATGCCGTCAAGCGATTCCGCAAGGCACAGTGTCCCATTATTGAGCGCCTCACGAACTCTCTTATGATGAACGGCCGCAACAACGGCAAGAAGCTCATGGCTGTGCGGATTGTTGCACACTCCTTCGAGATCGTACGTCTTACTTAGGTCATGGCTGTTATCCTCTCGCCAGCCGCTGACATGCCATGCTCGCCAGGTCCACATCATGACCGACCAGAACCCTATACAAGTCGCCGTCGACGCCATCGTCAACTGCGGTCCCCGCGAAGATTCCACCCGTATCGGCAGTGCAGGTACTGTGCGTCGGCAAGCCGTCGACGTCTCACCGCTGCGCCGGGTAAACCAAGCCATTGCGCTGCTCACCATCGGCGCAAGAGAAGCGGCGTTCAGAAACATTAAGAGCGTGGCGGAGTGCTTGGCTGAAGAGCTAATCAACGCTGCGAAGGGTAGCAGCAACAGTTACGCCATCAAGAAGAAGGACGAGCTGGAGCGTGTGGCCAAGTCCAACAGATAAGCGGCCGCTCAATGTGGGGTTCCCTGGGATGGTGTTCGTTGGCTAAGGAGGCCGGTGGGTTGGCGAGAAGCTTCCTGCATTGCGATTGTGCGGCGATCGTTGCTGGAGCACTCACTTAGCTTTTTGCGCATGTATGGGCCTGCAACATGGGCTGTGTGATACTGCTAAATCAAAGACACATTAAGCGCAACAGATGACATTCCGTTCCATGTCGCATGGTTGAGGCTCGTCAAGACATCCGTGCCTCAATGATTTCGAGGTACCAACACAGTAGCAGTGTGAAGGTGCAGTGTACTCTTGGCTCAAGTCTGCAGTGCGATTGTCTCGGACACAAGCTGTAGGGAAAGGTGTCACTTGTTGGCACATTCCGTCGGATCGTATGGAACAGTGTCTGTGTCACACAGGTTGGCAGCAATGTTCAATATGAGACCACGGGGAGGACATGGCCTCAGATACTAGCGTAGCTAATGGGACATTATACGGTGATGTGATTGCAAGCCGTAGAGTCACGGCTGTAGAATAGTAGCGGGAGGTGGTTATGGCATACTGTAGGTAGCGTGATAATAGCGTGCCTATGCCGTAATCACGCCTTGGGAGTAGGACGAGAATCAGGCGAGACAACCAGAGGCGTGAGACGATTCAAATAATTCGGCCATGTTCAGGGACAGCCGCTAGCGTCCGCCGACAAGGCCCGATCGAGATATTCTACCTCTAACACTGCATCCTACTTCACAGAAAGCATATACCTGTCGGATCCATTACAGCGTTCACGACTGACCTACACGCTCTACAGAGAAGTGCGGTGGGTTCATATTGACTGTCACAACCGCAGCCTCAGCGCAGCATGCCCACCGTCTCGGCCTCGGCATCCTCCGGAAGAGGCAGTAGGAAGGCTTGGCAAGGACTAAGTGAAGATCGCACGGTGGCTGTGGTGTCAATCGAACATGAACTGACTACTCGTCAAGCGACAATGGACGGTAAGCACAAGACACGCTCTCCAGACAGGGTGCGGTTGTGTTGATTTGCTTGATCTCTTTGTACCCCTTTACAGAGCTTCCATCTCCTTGCTTCCACCGTACAAAAGCGCGGAGAGTCTTCCCTATTTGTGTCCCCTTAGGGTAGTCGTCGTTCGTCTTTGCAATGACAACAGCGTCAAACCGTGCGGAGCCTTTTTCTCTAGCACAACATACCGCTAGACCTCGCGCCCTGCCCGACTTGCACTTGGACGTTGCTTCCGTGGATTATGGCGTTTCTTCTGAAGACGAGCCGTTAGAGCTCCAGGATGGTGTCATCGACAATGCAGAGACAGCGTTGGGTATCAGTATTGGACGCGAACAGACGAGACTCACCTCGCCGAAGACTCCAGCTGTGGAGAAAGCAGCTGCAATCGAGGAATCCGGAGGCTTCTTCCCCGGTAGGGTAGGTGGTACCGTCGAGGAGGAGCGACAAGCCGAGGCAGGCGTCGAGGAGGATGCACTAGGCAAGGTTGCAACCGAAGGTGGTCATTGGAAGACAAACACACGCACGCAGACAGATGAGCGGAAGAAGGATGGAGAAGCTCGGCATCCATCGCCTTGGCGCGGCAGTGCTGCTCTCCACGGAAAGGACTCCTGGGTCGACAACTTGTTCAGTCGAAGACGACCACTCGCAAGAGGTCGACAGCGATCGCTCACTGCAGGCTTTACATCACTATCTTCACGCTTCTTCCCAGGGTCACGCCACGATGGAGATGCATCTTCAGAACTTACTGGTGACGAGATTTATGGGCGTACGGATCCGCAGTTTGAAGAGTCGCCACGGCATCAAGACGAGCTTGACGGTGTCGGTGACCTTCCTGCTAAACCGCGAGTCTTAGCCACGCGCTCTGGACACTCTCAGCTTCGGCGCTCTGCATCCGATGAGTCTCTTTTAACCAGCCGCACACTTTCGCGAGTCCCTTCCCTCGGCGACGACAGTCGGTTCGAGGATGTCCAGGAACAGATCAATGGCAGGTTGAGGGCGATCAAAGACACGTGGCGGGAGTCAAGTGTGAGGCTGCCAAGCTTCAGGCCGGACTTCTTGCGAGAAGGTACTGGTTCTTTACTTCATACACACCGCTCGGAGAAGCCCATGGATCCTATGACTGGCCAACCCTACCACGCTGCGAAGCAAGCCATCGCAGACGCTGGCTCAGCGAAACCCAACTCTCACCCACACCTCAAACACGCAATGGAGCAGCTCGAAGGCGACGTCGTGATTCTTGGAGGGTATCGGGGGTCCATACTGCGTTCCGCGCAGCCTCCGCATCGACAGTTATGGATACCGGTCAAGGCTGGACTTAACTTGCGCCGAGTCGATCTGGAAGTGGGCCTGCGAGCCGAAGATGACGGACTAGCATCAAAGAAGGTTATGCCAGACGGCATGCTCTCGCATATCGGACCTGTAGACATCTCGCGGAGACTGTTGAAGCATCTGAGGGCATGCGAAAACGCTCGATCGGGCAAGTTGCGTGTCCATGACTACGGCTATGACTGGCGACTGGACCCGGCTTTACTGAGTGACAAGATGATTTCGTTCTTGGAGTCTCTGCCCTGTAATGCGGCGGGGGTGGCACGGGAAAACCGAGGTGCCACCATTGTTGCCCACTCGCTTGGTGGACTCATAACCAGGCATGCGGTCAATCGGCGAGCGGAGCTCTTCAAAGGCGTGGTCTACGCAGGCGTGCCAAACCACTGCGTCAACATACTTGGACCACTGCGCAATGGCGATGAGGTGTTACTGAGCAGCCGCATTCTGACGGCGCAGGTGAACTTCACGATACGGACAAGCTACGCTTTGCTACCGCTAGATGGAAGGTGCTTCCTCGACAAGAATACTAAGGAGGAGTATCCGGTTGATTTCTTCGACCCAAAGACGTGGTTGGAGTACCGCTTGTCGCCTTGTATAGCCCGACCTCTTCCACCATTGATCGTTCATGAAAAGCCTACTGGATTGTCGAGCTACGTGAGCTCTGTCGCAAATGCGTTGCCAAGCTTGCCGTTACCTGGCCGAAGGGGGAGTTTACTAAGATCAAAGGCATCAACTAACGACACGGTGGAGACAGCTGTCTCCGGCGCTATAACCGAGCCAGATAGTCTTGGCAGCGCTCATTCAGGCAAAGCCGTGAGCTCTGGCAATGTCGATTGGTCAAGCACTGGTCGGGACGCAGACTCAGACGCAGAGACAAGCATCCGTACAGCCGTCACCATCCCTTTCGAAGACGCAATGGCCTACCTTACTCGCACCCTCGCCGCTGTGAAGAAGTTCAGACAAGAGCAGGCTTTTGAACCAACACTTGCCGCAAGCAACAGATATCCTCCTATCTCCGTACTGTATGGCAAGACTACGCCTACGGTGTATGGTGCCAAGGTGGATGGCAGGGAAGGCATCAAGCACGCCGATGCCTACGATCAACTGGCGTTTGCAAGTGGCGATGGTGTCGTTCTTGCACGAGCGGCTATGGTTCCCGAGGGCTATACTACGGCTCATGATGGCATAATCAGCAGCGAGCGTGGACATGTCACGCTACTGGGTGATCTGGAGGGTGTTGGTAGGTGCCTGAACGCCGTCATTGCTGCGAGAAGAAGAGGGGTCGGTTGTGGCAACGCTAAAAGCTGAGAACAATACTGTCTATATTGATTGTCCTATGCAAGCTACGACAGCGTTCTACCACTGTAGCGGATGGGAATCACAGCGTAAAGCTTCCTTGCCACTGAATATCCAACACACTCTTCCCCACCATAACCTGATACGCTCCCCTCGGCTGCACCCACGCTTGACCAACCACATCCCAACTACTCATGTCCTTCTTCCTCAACTCGAACGTAACCCCTAAACTCTGACCAGGCGTCAATCCCGTCTTCACGAACCCTCTCAACATCCTCGTTCCGGCTCCGGGAATCTGTAGGTAAAGCTGCGACACTTCCGCTGCGGCTACGCTTCCCGAGTTGCGTACGCGACCGGAGACGGTGGCAACAGTGTCGAAGAGGCCTGCTGTGCTGATAGCTGAAGCGTTGGCGATGCTGATGCTGAAGGCGGAGTAGGTGAAGTTGCTGTAGGTTAGACCGTAGCCGAAGGCGAACCGCGGTGTGATGTTGCGGGCTAGGAAGGAGCGGTAGTCGATGTTAACGCCTTCGGTAAAGTTACCTGCAGATTGCTGTTGTCAGCGGTCTGCGTCTGCTATAGGCGTAGTGGTCTGCAGAGGTTGGTCGGTAGCTTACATTGCGGATCGAGATTAACAGAGATGTTCGCCGTACAGGGACCGAGAAGGGTACCATAATCGGCCTCTGTCCTCGCAACCGTATACGGCAATCTTCCTGATGGCGACACATCACCGTATACTAGCGATGTGAGCGCTCTTCCAGCATCTTGACCAGGCAGATGAGCGAACATGACCGCCGTTACATTCGGGTGGTCGATCCACGAATCTACCAGTCGAATGCCAGCATTGTGGATAAACACCATAGTGTTGTTGCACTTGTTCGCCACATTCGTGACAAGAGCGTCGCTATACGAATCAGTCAGGCCCGAGCGATCCCAACCTTCGCTCGCAAAGGCGTTGAGGAAGACGAGACAGGCGTCACTGGAGCCGACGACACCTGGGTTCTGGCTTCGGAAATCCCAAAAGAGCTGTGTCCCCTCCTCGATCGCTCGGCTGGTGAAGGCGTCATATGGCTGTGCGGATCACCGTAATCAGCCGCTCCATCCACGGTCCAGTAACGGGTGGAGGAAAGACTTACCGTGCTAGTGTAGGGAGGTGTGTTACTGCCGCTGCCACCGCCCGTGATGAGCGTGCCGTTGATGTATGGCAAGAAGGGCACGCCGTTGAAGAAGCCTTGCACAAACGCCGTGCCGTTCGGCAGGTTCGCGAGGTTAAGCTGGAACAGGTCGTTCGCGCCGATAGGTGTCGACACTGAGTCTGTGGTGAAAAGAGCTTGCGGAAGGGCGTCATAGCCGAATAAAGAGATCACTTTTGGCCTTTTGAGTGGTAGAGCGTTGTTGACGTTCTTAACCAACACATGACCCTCCTGAGCTTGTTGTAGTATGCTCGGCGCAGACGCCGGATCGCGCACATCGCAATTCGTATGCGGTCTCGTCAGATTGGTGATCATTCCAACTCCCATCATCGGCTCTGAAGGTGTATTGTCGCCTGCCGCATACCACGCCGCGATGATACGGGTTGCCATGTCTTGCAGACGAGCCTGGCTGAATGAGCCATTACGTGCGGCAATCGCAAGCGTATTGTTGATCCAATATCTGGAAGTCGGCATAGCCATGTCCAGCCCGCCGATTGCAGACGCAAGTCCGGACGTCTGCGCGCCCCAATCCGAGACTACGAACCCGCGGAAGCCCACCTCGCCCTTTAGAAGTTGGTTCAGGGTTCGGTCATCCTGGCAGGCGTATGTACTGTTGAGACGATTGTACGAACACATGATCGACCCAGTGCCGGCGTTGACGGCTTCGTGAAACGGCCAGAGGTAGACTTCGTGGATAGTTTTATCGTCAGCATTGGAACTCAATGTTGCGGCCGATGGGTTTGCGAAAGCGATATAGCGGTTTGTCTCCTGTTCGTTGAGGATATAATGCTTCGTGCACGCAATGACTGACTCTTGCATTCCTTGCACTGTGGGTGCAACGAGTGCACCTGTGAGGTATGGGTCTGCAGCATTGCCTTCCCTGCAATGATTTAACATCCAACGCTTTCGGACTCCGCATTCTGTACTGATGAGACCTGCAACTTAAACGTGGAGACTTACCAGTTACGGCCACCTGTCGCAATCCGCCCAAGAGGACCCACGACTGGTCCCAGGGCCACATCTACACCTTTAGCGCGAAATTCAGCACCCATATACTTCCCGCGCAAGTATGCCAGCTCAGTGTTCCAGCTCGCACCGAGGTGAACGCCGGAAGCGAACGAGCTGACGCCATCCACGCCACGCACGCCGTTACCAGCATCCTGAAGGCACAACCCAGGGAAGCCGACTCGAGGAACGCTACCAGATGTGCCAGAACATGCGCTCGCTCCGCTATAACCGAGCGTGACGTTGTTCATCTCCTCCAGAGTCATCTGCGAGACGAGTGCGGATGCTTGCGCGTAAGCTGCGGTCCATGGGTCGAGCCCGGCAAGCGTTGCAGCGCTGACACCTAGGCATGTTAGCAGCGGCAGCCACAAATCATAATTCATTTTTTCCCATACCTGCGGATATTGCCCAGCTTGCCGCAACGACAACGGCAGCCAGAGGCCGTACTGAAGGAAATGTTCGAAGCATGGTGATGAGAGAGGTATGAAAGATCGATTACGAACCTGGAAAGCGAGTGCTCGCACCATAGCTCGATCTCGCGGTAGTTATACTTGATCAGTTGGTCAGCCATCGTCATGACGGCATTTGCAATCAAGCTGTCGGCGCGCTTGGGAGTCTCGGGAAACTGCTAGATTGCATGTCTACTGCACGTCGGCAGATGTTGTGCCATCCGGGAAAACACACGATCGCGTGCATTCTTTTTTGCTTGATCAGTATGACCCGCATCCCTGACGTTGGTCCGTATGTGACTACATCAGCCGTGCATGGCTTTCTTCGATTCTGGCAGCACGCTCCCTTCATTACACAATCTCCCTGGATGAGACACGCTGCGAGCCCCGCTCGTTCGCAAACTCGTCGCTTGGCGACGTTCCATGCGCCTGCAAGGACGTGTAGTCACGAGAGCATCTGCGACTAGCTCGGTAAAGCATTGCTGTGATGTGCAGATGGAGTGCGGAGGCGGAGGTGGAGTTGGGGGCGCCTCCACACCTTGACTCGAGCCGAGCGGGGTCGTCACGAGGCACGTTATGTAGACGTGGAAGACGCAGCTACTGTGCTCCTTTTTGTCAGCATCTCGTATGAGGTGGCCGGGAATGCAGTCCCCGAGACTTAGGGCCCCTCGCTGGCGAACCGAGAGTGGACCCATATAAGACCGACACCGCTTCGCTTCCTCGAGATGCAGCCAAGAACGAGACGGAGTAGAGCCTCGGCAACTCGGAGCAGGAAAGACCATGTCCTGTATTTTCCGCTCCTCGTGTGTCGACTGATGCAATAGCCGCAGAGCCTGAGTGATTCCGCCATGTCCACGACGTGGCCTTGGCGGGCTTATTCTGTGCGCAGGTGCGCATGCAGTCGTCAACGGCCACATTGCTGGACGGCATATAGATGTTGTAGTCCAGGGGTTCTATTTCCGAGCCAACTGTTCCCGGGGGATGTTTTCGATCTGATCAACAAGCGTGGGACCTTGGGCTGTGCTCTACCATTGAAACCGAGCGCTTATGTCGATACATACTTTCTTCACCAGCGCCTTCGCTTAAGACAGAAACCCCCTTGCCGAATTACGCCCTCTTTCGCTGCTGCAAGCTTCGATCTTAACGGCGCCGAGAACCACTTCCAAGCCGCTTTTCCCAGCCTGGGCGCCACCCGGCATGGCTTGTACCCTTAACCGCCATTGAGCTTTCCGAACAACCCATTCCTCGTCTTCTTCGTCCTCCGTCTCGATATATTTCCGTCTACCCGTTACGTTTGCGGACGGACCAGGATCGACGTTCATTCCTTCTCCATAGTCATCGTCGTCTTCTTCGTGCAGATCCCATGGCTTTCCGTCAAGGGTAACATCTGCATCGTCGCCAATGCGGACCTTCACCCGATCTCCACTTAGCCCACTGTTACCAGGACTTACCGGCAGACTTGCAACGCCAGCTCCGCGCTCCATCATCATCAAGCCCAGAGGTTGCATTATTGGGAGATTCATCTTGTTCGCAATGATTGAAAATAGGCTCGTAATCCGCGACAAGGCCTGGCGGTGAAACGTGGCTCGGGCGTATCGGGCTGCACTGGAGCCGGAGGAAGCGGAGACGTAGAGCATCGTAGACTCTTCTCCACTAACTTCCATGACCAGACTGTACGCTTCCGAGTCCACATAAGGTCGCTGATAGAACACCCAGCCAGGGGAGGCGGATAGGTTCGACGCCGTGCTTGCTGGTGAGGGTGCTGCCGCTGGCGAAGATACCGCACTATCCGCCACGAAGGAGATACCCGACTGTCTGATGTCCTCCAGACGAATGATGATCTCTGACGTCTTGCGTGCTAGGTTGTAGGATATAGAGTGCGGTAGCAGGCGCTGTTCGAGGCCTTTGAGATGAAAGTACCGCGCGTCTCGAAGCAGTTCCGTTCGGTGCTCTTCGTCTCTAATACGAACGGGGTAACCCTTCAGTATATGCAGAAGATCTGCGAAGGTCTTCGCGGAGCGGTTCGGGACGCTTGGAGGTAGTATTGATGGCGGCCGCAGTAGCGTACGTTGCGACAGACCCGGAAAGACATCAGTTGGCGTTGTAAAGAATACTGCAAAGCCGAGCGAGAAGTAGTTGGGTGAGTCGCCCGGGCTGCTGAACAAGTCCCTTGGTATCTGAAATTCGGAATCGCCTATGCGGACGTAGATGGTGGATGAGTATAGCTGGGACGTCAACCGTGGGAGGCTGAAGAACTGAGCATCTGCGAATAACTTGACAAAGTGCGGCCCATCGCGTGGCTGAATATGGTAGCCTTGTAAGTGAAGCGCAATGTCTTCGAATGTCGCAGGGTCTCGATCGATATACAATGTCCGCACGCTGTCAGCGCCTTCGTTCTGCCGTAACTGTTCCTCGAAAAATTGGGAGAAATACGAGGGTGCTCTTCGGTGGTCAGCGTGTCTATTTCAACAATGAATCTCGTATATGCACCTACCATCCGACGATATTGAAGCACCTGACAAGCGGAAGAGCTTGTCGCCGATCTGTATGGGAAAGACCTTCCGCGCCGGTAGGATCATGGGTGTGCTAGGGTCGGTGAGCGTACGACGAGAGTCACCAGCAGTGCCAGGCCCTGGTCTCCGCCCTTCGCCACCTGTGGCAGGAGGGTGTGGTCCGCTTTCTGCCCTTTGGGAGCCAGGTCGAGGTTGCAGCACGGCGCTGGTGCTCTGAGATCGGAGTAGATGTGGCGAGAGCCGCGCGTCTACTGGCGAGACCGTTCCACCACCGGCCTCTGACATCGTCCGTGCAAAGCGCTTTGGGTCAGGTTGCGCAGCTGCAGAGTCTTGCTCAGAGAAAGATTTCCTCTTCACTCTAGCTACGGTTACCGGAGGTCCTGCTGGTCGCTGAGGTACTGCGAAACCGTCCTGTATCAAAGGTGTCGCGCCTTCGTTGGTGAACTGCCAGCTAGCAGGCGAGTTACCAATGGTGTGCGGGATACTGAACTCCCTACTCACAGCCCGGCGGTGTTCCTGCTCCTGCAGCAGTTCACCCTGGGGCTCGTAGATGTAGCTTGCAGCTTCCAGCGCATCATCGACTGGCGTTTCGAGATGACAAATGGGAGTATCTTGCTCTACTCCCGACTGGGTATCGGAGTCGACTCGCTGCACGGCATATTCATGTTTGTGGCTCAAGTTGCCCGTCTGGGACGCCATGTCCTGTTCAGACGCCTGGGCAGCGACCAAAGTTCCTTGCCTGTTTTGGACGGCGCGAGCAAGCGCCTGTTCCGCTGACGACATATCATTGATGCCCACAGACAGTGCAGGCGTATGTGCCTTACTGGACGTCTCTGGTGCAACACGCCCGGGTTCGTTAGGGGTGGCGATGAAAGCATCTTGATGTTCGGGCTCCGCGAGATCTTTCATCAATGATGCGTCAGCCACATTTGAAATGGAATTGCCTCTGGACGGCATCGGCTCCTAAGTATCCTTGGAGGACGTCCGGACTAGCGCTCACAGCGAGACCATGTCACGGCCCTGCAAGCGACCCTGATTTGCTAACGGCACTTTAGCGCAACCTCGAGATCTTAGATGCTGCGTGCACCGACTCTGCACTGAGGCCGCAGTCACGAAACGTTTGTGTCGAGTGCTGGTGTCCAGTAGCGGAATAAAGCGGCTGAGACCGAAGCCTCACGCCTCAAGCATCGAAGTGTGAAGAAGCCACGGACGAAGGATTGTGATTATGTCAGACCTACCTTATGAGGCTGAAGACGGTTGGAAAGTCGCATAGCGACAGACAGCAGCAAGCGTTGGAACGGGAAACGCTGAGATGTGGAAGCACCGCCAATGCGGGAACGAGGGAGGCTGGAGCGATGCGAAAACGACAAACCTGTCAGCACCGTGGCATTCTACACTGAACCACTGCGACCCGATGCCAAGTGTCGGTAATCACGACCTACTGTGACAACCGTATCTGCGGCTGCATGCAGAAGATGCGAGAGATGCAGTGGTTCCAAATCGTGACGCTTCTGGCGCGGAAAGTGGCGCGCGCGAAGGAGCCCGATGGCGACAGTCTGCATGATGCGAGCGCGGAACGTGAATTAATCATCTCACGCGCTGCTGACATTTACTACGCATATATGTATGTAACGTGAGATCTACATTCATCCGCCGTGCGGCTTAGGTCTCTCGGATGTGCCGTTTTCCGTCGGCACGCGGGACATGTTAAGGACATCGTTTCATTATCCGAGAATCGCTTCGAACATGCAGGTACTCTGGACAATGACCATCTTATTATTAAAGTCGTGACTGATACGGCTCGCCGCTAATCTCTTCGATCTGCTTGACGCTTGCCTTGTAGCTCTCAAGCCCCTCAATCATGTCAATGTAGGCATTAAGCTTCGGATACTGCTTAGCTTCAATCCTGCCTCTCGCGGCAATGAGCGGAAATGACAGCAAGATGTCTACTCCCGTCAATGACTTGCCGCAGAAGAAAGGCCCATCCTCAGGCGCAGTAGCAATCTGGTCTTCCAAGAACTTGAAATGCAGAGCCATCTGCGGTCCGAGGAATGCTGAGTTCACACCACCAACGATCATGCGAGTGATAGGTCTGATGAAGAAGGGCGTGCTGGGGTTGTTCCCAATCACTGACAGCGAGTCAGCGTTTGCGGTGATCAAAGGAGGCTGCGGCTGGTCACTTACTATCCATCACAACAGCCAGAATCATCACGATCATCAGCGACCCCTCCGCATAGTGCATGAAGTAGCGGTACCGCAGCCATTGCTCAGTCTCGCCACCAGCCTGACCCTCCTTGCCGTCGCGATAACGTTTCGGAATGAGATGTGTCGCGAAATGCTCGCAGAGATATTCCACAATCATCGCAGATTCCGCTAAAATTAGAGGTTTCGGGCTTGCTGGCGCTTCGATTGACACAATGGGAGATTTACCCAGTGGATGGATCTCTTTCAACTCGGGCGGTGCGAGCTGGTTAGATTGACGTTTGAAGATCTTGACGTCAAAGTCAAGGCCTTGACACTCCCGTAAGAGCCATAGTATGCGCTGCGAGCGGGATCGATCGAGCCTAGTCGCATTGTATTAGCGAATACACAGATGTTGTCCCATTGTTGAGCTCTACGAGCTCGTTTCGCGGTTGGCCTTCTACACACCAGTAGAGCGTTGCTTTGGGCTTTACATCCTCGTTATCAGCCATGATCAAGGTGTCTGCTCCTGCCGCAATGACAAAAACTTGATGACTGCACAGTGGTTAGGCTTCGATGATCTATTTCGTAAACGTGGACGGACTTCAAAGTCCAGTTCCTAAGAACACTGACGCACATTAGTGCGCGAGGGGTGCATTGCCGAAAGGTGCCGGGCCGAAAACGGAACCTCAGGCATCGACACTGTGTCAGTCCAGCAGGTTGAGCCGACAGCTTCCCATTGCTGCCAGTGAGACCAGGACGCTCAACGCCGTGTCTTCTGCCTGACCGTCCCGAACCTCTCCAAGACCACCTCCTCGATGCCGAAGGTACCGTCATCTGCACCCATGACTGGCCACGGCTTACATACGTCGATGCCTTCCCGCGGATAGATCAGCTCCAACACGCAATAGATGAGATAGTCCACCACCACCACTACAACAAACAGCTTGCCGGCCCAGACACCGCAGCCGAAGTATCGCTTCAGCCGATCGATAAGTGCCTGAGACTGTGTATGGGCCATCTGACCATAGTGCTGCCATTCCTCGTCATAGTTAGCTATGTTGTCGGGCGCTGAAGGACAGCCAGTAATGAGGTCGTAGACGCGCTCGGTGCGGCGGGCAATGTCTGACCACGAGTACATGTTCTTCACCAAGTCGTGAAACTTATCTCTTCGCACCGCTTTCGATATGAGCAGGCCTACTGCTTCGGTGACGCCGCGGACCACGTCTTCGACTTCTGGTAGCACAAAGATGGTCATATTTCCAGGTAGAACCTCGGGTACGCCACCAACGCGCGTTGCCACGACCATGAGACCGCAGGATGCCGCTTCCACAAGCACGGTACCGAAGGCTTCTGTCAAGCTCGTAGACAGGAGAAGGTGGCCTCGCACCATGACATCCCGTACCTCTTCGTGCCGGATGCTGCCAAGCAAAACCACACGTGGCGAGCCGCTGGCGGTGTAAACGAGCTGTTGCGGCAGCGAGTCCAGTGTCTGCTCAAGATCAATGGCTTTTGGACCGGAGCCAGCGATGATGAAGCGCAGATTCTCGTGGCGACGGAGAAGAAGCGGCAATGCTGAGATGAGAAGGTCGGTACCCTTGTTGTAGAATAAGCGAGAGATGACAATGATGGTGATAGGGTCATTGGGACCGACAGGTTGGCTCGGATCCGGTGGAGGTGGTAGTAATGCGCCTTTGCCGCCCTGTGTTAGCAGCTTTGCTTCGTGCGGCTGTAGAGGCCGGAAGTTGCTCGCCACCACTGCATTCGGGATGACGGAGACGGCGAGCGGGTTCAGGGAGGCTCTGAGAGTGGTGTTTTCCTTGCTAAGAGCCGCCTGTCAGTGATGGAGCTTCAACAACATGGCGCTCAGACAAGTCGATGTGCATACCAAGTGTGGCTGACACAGATAACGTGGCCTACATCACTTAGACTGAACTTCAGCAACTTGTTTGCCATGATACTCGCCGCATCGCTGAACCCAAACAGGCTGTGATCGGTAAACACAGTCGCCAGACCCATAGTCCGCGCATGCAGCAGACCTTCATGGCAGAGGTTGCTGAGCGACGCATGGCCATGAACGATCTGAATCTGTTCTCGGATGAAGATCTGACGGAGAATGGGAAAGGAGCTGAAGACCGTGGGAAAGGTGGTGCTTCGATAAACGACCCAGTGCGGCAGATGGTACACTTTGAGCCGATTCGTTAGGTAGCGAACGCCAGAGCGAGATGGATGAGGCGCGGAGTAGGCGTGGGTGATGATGATGACACGGTGACCGCGGTCGATGAGCTTCTAGTTCATCCTTCAGCCCCGACCGCCGTATGATTACGAAACTGCGAGAACTGATACAGAAGAAAATAATCTTTTGATAATGCTCTATTCCCACGCAGAAGGGAAGGCCAAGAAAGCGAGCACTCTTTTGAAACAAACGATCATGAAACAGAATGGCCACGAATGAGATCTTACCGTCGACAATTGATATATGTGACTTTCCACACCACCTGGCTGTGGATAGAAGAAGTCGGAGATCATGCTGCTTGCGTTAGTCTCACCTACCTTTACCCATATATGAGGAGTACGGCAGAGACGTACGCGATGTTGTACGGCATTCTCACGTTGAGCTGCGCCCCGCCGGCGCCCAGGATTCTTCAACTTTGCATGGCACTTCAAAGAAGGTGAAAAGTCAACCTTGCGCAAAGGTCACTGACTGTAGTTGTGTATTGCATATTCAGTCTTGGTTTGCATTCCAAACGAACAACGAGGCTGGCGAAATCTTGGCATTGCCGAAAACTCCGCAAGACAACACAGTTCAAGATATCGCATACCCGCGCAATATATCATGCTGGACGTAGGTGCGCACGATGGCTGCCTTGTACAAACGCTATGTTCCGCCGAAGCCTTCTGTGCCGACTGCGGCTTCAACAGCTTCGGTCAAGGATCCTACAAAGACAGCGCCGGTGCAGAAAGATGTACCTTTGTCTGTTCAGCCAGAGAAGAAGCGTAAGCGCGAGAGATCAGAGCAAGAGACTACTGAACGCAAGGCGAAGAAGCTGCGGAAGAAGGGGATCGAAGCACCTGTAGAGTCCGTGTTGCAGACACAAAAGGCTGAGAAGGCCGCAAAGCCTGTGAATTCTGCTCCGCCACCGCAGCAGAATGGGCCAGAACCACTGAGTGCTCCGGAAGCTGTAGACTCGCATGCTGGTACCGACTTCGCCAGCATCAAACAAGGGCAGAAACGGCATCGTTTAGAGAAGGAAGCTCGTAAAGCACGTATCAAAGCGGAGAAGGCAGCCAAGGGTGCCGGTCACGTAGCGGAAAAAGCTGAGGCTGTTCCTGGCGCGGCAGATGCAGAGGTGGTTGCGGCCGTGAACGGTGCTCGTGGTCATACTGGGCGGCGCAGCGATGGTGCGCAGCAGCTGGACGTCGTGGAGTCGGAGTCTGCGAATTCTGCAAATTCTAGAAAGCGGCGGCGGGAGGATATCGAGCGCGACACCAACGACTTCCAGCTGCAAGACAGTACTGGAGATGATCTGGCTGGACGATCGCTTGGTAAACCAACCAACTCGATCCCTCCAATCGAGCAGCTCGCAGATAAACAGTCTCAGCTCGTACATGATGTAGACGAGCCTATGCGAGCTACCACCACTGATCCACGTTCAGCAATGCTAAAGAAGCGACGGCATAAACTGGAAGCTGTGTTGGAGCAATCATCCGATGATCCTGCCATTGAGAGCGAGCAAACGCTGAAACACAAGGCTGTGCTCAACAAATTTCAAAAGGCTACGAAGCATGACCCGCACGAAGGTCCTCAAACAAAGGACACGGTAGAGCAGCGAAGTAACGATAATGTCATACTCCGAGACTTAGTCCCTCTTCCGCAACCAGAGAAGGCGCCAACACCCGACTTCAAGCCAGGCTTCTCGGCTCTACCACCCTGGCTTGCCAATCCGACATTCATCCCCAGCAACAGTATGAGGAGCTTCTTCGAGACGGGCTTGGAAGAACCGACAGTGACGCACCTAGCCGGCCTCGGCTTCCAGAGTGCCCTACCCGTACAGCACGCCTTGATACCACTCTTGCTTCCTCCTGGCATGCCTGGAGCAAGATTTCGCCCAGGCACTCAGCCAGTATTACCAGATCTTGCTGTGAGTGCTGCAACTGGAAGTGGCAAAACCATTGCTTATCTGCTACCGATTATGGCAGCACTGAAGCGACGACCGGTAGCTGGAAAGCTTCGTGCGCTGGTCGTTGTACCAACACGTGAATTGGTTGCTCAAGTGGCTGATGTTGCTGCAAGTTTGGCAAGCGCTGAACATCTCGGTGGGTTAGCAGTCGGTACGGCTACAGGCGCGGGAAAGTTGAAGGGTGAGCAGGAGAGGCTTGTGCGGCAGTCCCAAAGGTACGACCCGGAAGCTTATGCTGAGGCAATGAAGATGGCTCAGAAGCGCAACTACCCGCCCAGTCAGGAAGACGATGGTTTCGATGACTACATCAACGCAGCGGAACGCGAAGATTCACGAGACGTGCAACGGATGAACGATGCAATTTCAGCTCGCATCGATCACGTGCCCGTCTACGGTTCTGCCGTAGATGTACTTATCTGTACACCGGGCCGACTTCTTGAGCATATGAGCAGCACACTCGGCTTCACCCTTGCTCATCTTGAGTGGCTAGTGCTGGATGAGGCAGACAAGCTTCTAGATACGCAGTATCATGGCTTTCTTGAGCGTGTCAATGACGAGATTCTCCGACCGCGAAGTGCGGAGGAGCAGGACGCTCGGGAAACGTACCTTCGCTCGAGATCGCTGTGGGATGAGCAACGCGAGCGGCGGGTGAGAAAGGTACTACTTTCTGCGACAATGACGCGGGACATCTCCAAGCTCATAGCGCTCAAGCTGCACAGGCCGCAGCTGCTTGTGGTCAGTGGTCAGGCTGGAGACGTTCAGGCTACAGCGACTGCCGATGCCTCAACCAACGATCAAGATGTACGTGGGACGGGTGACCACTTTGAACTACCGCCCACCTTGACCGAGTTCTGCATACCTGTTGGTGATGGTAGTGAAAAGCCACTGTTTCTTGTGAAGCTGTTAGAGCAGAGGATTTTGCCAAATAGCGGCCTGCACGATGCTTCCACGAAGTATGTGCCTGAGCCTGAAGATGCGGAAGACAGTGTCGATTCTTCCGACGACGATTCGAGTGTTGTGTCTGACTCAAGCTCGAGCGTCAGCAGCACGTCAGAGGGGAGCGAAAGCGGCAGCGACCAAGATATGAATGCCCCCGGTAGCTCCGATGAGCAGGGCGAAGCGGACGCTACCATTCAGCTGGCTTCCATGCATCCGGCAAGAGCAGCGTTGCTTGGTAACAAGCCTGGCACTTCTCTCGACCGCGATAGCATTCCGACGGTCCTCGTTTTTGCCTCCAGTAACGAGTCCGCGCATAGGCTCTCGCACCTTCTACGCAAGCTTCAACCTGCGTGGTCCTCTTTGATCACCACGCTTACCAGGACTCAATCCACCAAGCGTAAGTCCTCCAATACACTGAACGACAAACCCAGCATAACCATCGCCACTGACCGTGCCGCTCGTGGGCTTGATCATCTTGCCCAGCGCAACATCACGCATGTCATACAGTACGACGTTCCGCGGTCTGTGGAAAGCTACGTTCATCGCGTGGGCCGTACGGCAAGGGCTGGCCGGCTGGGCGAGGCATGGACGCTGTATACGCATACCGAGGCTCGTTGGTTTTTGCATGAAGTCGCACGGGCAACGCCAATACGGAGAGCACAGGCGGTGGAGAAGGTGAAGCTTGATGAGTTCGAGAAGGAACTCAGCCTGAGGTATCGGGAGGTGCTCGAGGCTATGCGACAGGAGGTATTTGCAGGATCCAGGAAGTAGACTTGCTAGCTCCTTCACCATATCTACAACTGCGTGCAGCTTGTACACTACCATCACGCCATGCTTTATGCTTGGGAACCATGCGACTCACTGCTACATCTCCTCCTCGTCCTCCGCCTCACTCTCTTGCTCCGGCGTTCCGTCCTGCGTGCCTGTCTTCGGCTTCCGATCACCGTACTTCTTGTACTGCGCGATCAGACGGTTAACGCAAGATTGGACACCTGAGTCCGGTCGCTCCTCCTTAAACCGACGATTGAACTCGGCCGCAAGCTTCGATATGCGCATCGTGAGCTTACCCTTGCCTTTCTTGATGTCGTCCATCAGCCAATCAAGCTGTCCATCCGTATAGCCCTTACGTTGGACTGGCGCTGCCGTTCCAGCCTCGGCGCGCTTGGCAGGCCAGCCGTCTCGGCTCAGCTTCTGCACTCGCCATTTGTTCATCCTCTCAACCGCGTCCTTAATCGACCAGTTGAGAGTGCCGTAGCCGGGCCATTGCATCCAGTGGCCGCTCTTGTCCACGACCCACGACTTGTGAGGCTCAGCGTGGTTATGGTGAGCTCTCTGCCGGTCAAGGGTGTACGCCCGGCGGTTGATGGACCGGGTGTAGTAATCAGCGTTATATCCGCCGGTCTGGTCGTTCTCGCCACGATTGAGCGGGTTGTGGATGAGGCCGGAAAACGGATCGACTTGACCCAGCTTATGACCAAAGGGGATGAGCTCGTTGCCGTCGTTGTCATCGCTGTCGCTGTCTTCCTTTTGATGAGGGATCCAGACAAGATCGACGTTCTCACTCCGAGGGTCAAGCAGTTGGATGCGGAGATGCCAGACGTCCTTTGCAGTTGGCTCACGACCAAGCAGACCTCCGAAGAAGCTTTCCGCTTTCTGCTTATCTGAGTTGGCCGGATAGCTGGTGTGAAACGCCCATTGACCCGGAACGCCTGGTTCACTGTCCGGATTGAGATATGGACGGTAAGGATACCACACAGTCATTGGACTGTCTTGTGGGTACGGACCGCGGGAGAAATAGCCTGCGCCACGCGCCTCTTCGATTTGAGACGGGTCGGTGAAGCCGATTTGCTGTGCCCAAACGTCGTCAACGTTGAGCTCTAGCCATTCAAAACGTCCCAGACCCGATGGAATCTCACCAATGTTCACAAAGCCACCATCTCCGAGGCTGGTGCGCTCATTCACCGCCTGTTGAATCTCGTAAAGCGTCTGACGTGGATTCGGAAACGGGTCTCGCTGCTCACCAAGACGGTACAGGTGGTACATGGCAGTACCGCCGAACTGATCTAAGGTCGCGTTGACCCACCTGGGCGGTCTGTTGTTGTGAGAGGTCGTGAAATCCTGCTCGAGGTGTTCCTGACGAGGGTCGACAATCATGGGTGAGCCGCTACCACCCAACGAAGGTGTTTGTAGGTCTCCTGTATCGGAATTGAAGGAGCATTCGGACGCCATTGCTAGAAGAACTAGCGGTGATGCGTTTGCCGGTCAGGGATGTCCTGCTCAGAGTGTTGTACGCAAGTTATGCATGTTCTAGATGACCGAAGGCTGTTTCAGGCGCACCATGCTTGCTAAACAAAACAGTCGAAAATTCGCAGAAGCCTGGGCCGAGCTTGCAGCCTTGTAGCACGCGAACAAAAGTGGAAGAAAGAGAAGCGTTGCTGGCTTGTCCAAAATTGGCCTTCCACGCTTGGGGCGAGCGGGCGGTGGCTAGGAGACGCCGTAACAGACTCGAAGTAGCTTGTACGGGTATTATGGCCTTCCGAGTCACAATGCAATGTTGATGAGAATGAGCAATTGCACGTCGTCAGCAGCGTCGTCAGGTCTGGATGCCGGTGGTAGCTACTTTATAGCACGACGGTCACGAATTGACAGCGGTGCTGACTTGAAGACGCCCGTCCGTAGTGTATGAAGCTGGTTAAGTACAACAAGCCCTTGAAGAACGCGGTGTGCTCGGCAGACGTGTGTGCAAGTGTGGTGGAAGGAAGCCTGCAAAGCTCCAGCGTGTCGTGCGTGAAGAATCTGGGCGCCCAAGAGGTTCACATCAGGTGATACGGCGCGATTGCCTCATTAATCGGAGCCGGTGATCAGCCGAAGGCACCTACGGCAAGCTTGAGACCTGGCAGATGTTGTGAAAGAGCGGGCGGGCGATTGATCGCAGCCTTCGGTGCCGAACGGCGGTGTAGGGATGGCAGGAACAAAGATTGCTTCGATTGAACAAAGGCGTGTCGGCAGCCTCGACCTCGCACGAGGTTTCTTTGCGCTCTATCGTCCAGCAACACGTAAATGCAGCAGCAGAGAACAATCGCAGGTTGGCTTTCTACGTTCCACTTCCGCCACTAGTGCTTCACGTGCCCGGTTGCAATTCTCATATCGTTGCCCCCGATGCACACGATGAGAGCAAGGTCCGCAGATCAAGGCTTGACGCTGCAGAATACTCTCCAGGCTCGTAGGTATCCAGTCAGACCGAGAACCAATCCGTGTATTATTACTTCGTGGTCGCCAAGCGCGTCGCAAGCTGTCACAGCGCATTTCCGCACCACGACCAAAGGATATACGGCGAGCACGCTTGATATAGAAGATTCGAATGGCTGAGAAGCACCCAAAGAGTATGACCTCTGAACCATCGAACTTATTCGGGGTCCCCTGCAGTCGAGTGGCTGGCGCCTACCAGTCTACGCTATGACACCAGCACGAGAGCCTGATGCGAAGAAATCGCCAGCGTGGGGCATACGGGATGGTTGTCGTCAGAAGCCTGAGCAGATAACTCTCAGCGGCCTCAGGTCAGCCGTAGTAACTGATGCCGGATGGTGACAGTAGAGCCAGAATCCTATCCGTGAGGACGTCGGTTAGGAGCAACGATGGCAATCCTCCAGATGCAGCAGATGCTTAACGCGAGATCGCAACAGCGATCCCACTCCCACGGATGATCTGTCTGGGCTTCATCGGTCACAGGCGCCGATCCCGTGCTCTCTGTCAAACGCAGAGTGACTGCCCTGAAGTCCGAGTTCTGGTCAAGCGGGTAACAAAAAGCACTCAACGGAATCTAGGGCAGGTGATTCCAGCGGATTCAGGGACTGCTCGCGTACCAATAGTGTGGACCATGCCATAACAGACACCGCCAGCCAAAGCGAGCTGCCACCTGCATGAGCTGAGGACATGAGTTATCGACTCGCAGAGACTGGGCAAGCCGGAGCTCCCCGAGCTGTCCACACTGTCACTATATTGGCCACGATGTGGACTGGCGTCCTCGGGTGTCGGACTTTGCGTGAGACGGCGTCATGTCCTCATTGCTGTCCTGCGGTAGGGTGTGAAATACTCGTATACAGATGGTCGGTGAGGATAAGGTTGTCGGTACATACTGGGCCACATATGCTGCGCGGTCAATCACTTCGTGGATTCGAGAAGGATAAAAGGTCCAACCTCGGGGTGAGCTGCATACCGTTGCTTATATGCTACGCAGCATTGGACATACTAATGGCCCGCTAGCATGACGGCGTTGTATTACGCGACTCAGCCTTGTGAATTTCTCCGAGGGAATCCTAGAGCACCAGGTCAGTTTGGAGGTGCGCTGTGGTCATGAAGCATTCTTCTCATCCAGGAAGCTTGTGCGGCAGCTGACGGGCACTACCTGGAATTTTGGCACAGGATCATACGCATTATATGCGGCAGTGGCATGGATATCTTTTTGTTCCACCTAGCAAAGTAGTCAAACAACTCGCAAAGGAGGACGGGCTCTTTCTCCGACAAAAGCCTACGGGTAGTCTTGCAAAGCCGATTGTGCCGCCAATCAGCAACCTTTCATCATAAGGATGGCCTTGCTTTCGAGGTCAACGAGCAAGCCAGCATCATAGTCTCAGCACTAAGCAGGATTTCGTAGTGCACCATTACATTGTATTCCGGCCTTCTCAATCCAACGCATGCCTACTATGGCGTTAAAGGTCGCAGAACAGCACCTGTTCAAGGTTGAAAGGTGTCGTGCTATTCCCAACAACTTTCGCATCCGAGCGAATGGGCTGTCAGACATGCTCTGACCCTTCTGCAGCGCCTCATGTTTCACTCTCCTTCGTGCTTTTACGTGCAATATTGTACCGCACGAGCGGCCGAATCGCGAGGTAAAGAACCCGCTGTGTGTTGAGCTTGCATGCTCTAGAGACAGCATGAACGCATGGATTACAGCAGGGCATGCGAGAAGGCGAAAGGAGCATTGTACGGTTACGGATGCGGTCAACAGGTTGATGCCTTAGGGTTGGTTCTAGAGTTAGAGGCACGACAAGTGGACCACACGAACTTGTCTATGCTCTCTGCTCACTAGCTGGCCATTAACAACCTTGTGACAAGCACCCTGCACCGTCCACGTCTATATCGCCACCATGTACACCTGCAGTCTGCTCTGCCCTGTGCTCCATGTTAGCTGATGTCAGGAATGACCTTCCACCACGGACAACTCGACAGCCCATACGCCGTCACCCAACCGCATGTCTTGCACAGCAGTAACAGTACCTATTGAGCAACGCTAGTCCAGGCCGACAAGTGTTGGATCTCCTCTCTGCACGCCTGAGCAGCATAGACGGGGCGCACCGCGAGCCTTGAGCATGCTGAGCGTCCGCCCTGCCGTGCAACTTGCCAAGCAGAGCCTTTTCCGAGGCTTCATTCTCGTCCACGACACCGTCAACTGTAGCCAGAAATACGTGCCCTCAACTGTGTTCGACAACGGTGGCTTTTGCTCTCCACGTTTCTTCAGACTCCAGTACGTGACAACGGTCTGAAGCCCCGCCGACTGTGAGAGGCGATTCGGCCGTACCGCCACCGCGAGAGCGTTTCCGGCAATGAACATTTGCAATGCGACGGGTAATTTTGCATGGTCGGATCAGGTGCGCGATTGCTGAGCCTACGCAATATGTTGTTGCTCGAGTTTTCCTTCGGCACCCGCCCCAGCAGGCTACAATCTAAACATGCTTTCCGTGTGTCTTCCAAATCCCAGTGCTGCTGAATCTAATGCGATGACCTTCAGGTCCAATATGTCACCCATATGCTGTAGCTCGTGTCGGAGGTACCTGCATCAGGGCCATGCTCAACTGACGCTGCAGTGACTGGAGCACCCCAAAGGTTTGCTAAAGCGATCCGTGATCCAATATCGAGACGGCACATCACGCTTGGCGAAAGCTTTCATACGGTACCATATCGCCTTGAGCTGTTTAACCGTTGCTTATACAGAGTACGAACTTAGCAGACATCAGTTTACGACGGCCAATTGTAAGGCGAAGAGAGAAAGGTTTCGACGTGGTATCCATACGACCTGCAAGCGACCCACAACACGGAAGGTCACTCGCCACCGCCCGACGACATAGTTGCTGGCCCGTACAGCCTGACCGCTATTGATCAAGCAGTGTACAAAATTCGCAAGATGCATAACTTTCCGGATGATTACGCAATATCATTCCAATTGGTTTGCATGGGCCGCCGCGGACACTTACAAGCTGCAAAGCAGCGGCCAGATGCCACTCGTCTCGGCACCCATCCGTTTGACCCAATGCGGAGTCACATTGAGATCCGCATAGTATGCTGTGAAGCTCACGCTTCCCGTAATCATTGTACTGAACGCTATTCTGGCCTGTAAGGTCTTCCTACTTACCTTGGATTTACGCACGGTAACTCTCCGCAACAACGCTTTTGGGACTGGATGGCACAAGCATGGGCTGCTTTATCGGGCACACGATGCGCGATGCCGTGAAGCGTCGTCCCGCAGCTGCACTTCGTTATCGTTGCGACGTGGAAGACAACACAACCGTTGCCATCGTCTCTGATGTATATTAATCCAAAGGTAGGCGCTCGATTCTTTCACATGTCTCTCCCTGGATATGAGCTAGCACGGAACTCGTACGTTCTGAACACTCGTTATACTTCGGAGTCAGCAACTTCCTGTCATTCGCTTTCATCATGTTGTCATTGACGAAGCTGTTGACGATATGCCTTACACTCGGGCAAGGCCCTGTCGAGCGCGCTTCACGATCAGTGGATCCATCACGTAAACAAGGAGAGCCTGCTGATGAGATACATCCGCTGACGCAGCCAGCGTGTATCGTTGCCGATAGCATTCGACTCTCGCTCCGTGACCCAGCGTTCGCCGCCGAGTGGATTAAGCGTTGCGCACCATCTGAGTTGCTTGAGCAGGCTTTGGGGAAGCGTGAGCCGGATCTTGTTGGCTACGGTCCGTCCTCGACAACGACAACGGCCACGCCGGCCAAGAGTGAAACCGTGAGCAGCAAAGTGACTTCCTCCTCTCCGCCGAAATCTGCAATGTCCTCGTCGTTAGCCTCGGTCTCTGACAGTAGCTCTAAGTATGCAGTCGTCCATCTATGGCTTTACTGGCGCTGACGAGTCTAAGGACCTCTTCCTCCACCTCGAGCCCCTCGACTGTCAGTACTACCAGCTTCTCATCAACTCCGAAACAAAGCAGCAGCAGTTCTTTCATCACGACCACAACCACATATTTAGCCACCACGTCTTCAGCCACCACCTCATCAGCTAAGCCGTCCAGCAGCACGTCGAAGTACGTGATGCGTACTAAAGCCGGGATGTCGCTGACAGTCCAGGAGATCTCCTACTACCGCAAGCTCGTCGATGCGCAGTTCAAAGCAGACTACGACCTTGGCCAGCGAGACAAGCTCATCAACAAGATCGCTAGCTGCTTCGTCGCTCAGCACTCCCTCTGGCATCTCTACGCACACTACATCGTCAGCCAGCAGGACCACTTCTTCGACATTATCGTCAACCACTTCGTCGCTCACCACTCCCTCTAGCAGCTCTCCATACACTACGTCGTCAGCTAGCACGACAAGCTCACCAAAGAAATTGTCAGCTTCTTCGCCGCTCAGCTCTCCCTCAAGCAGCTCGAGCAAGTACGTAATGGGTAAATGACTACAAGAGAGCTATGCTGATCTGCGAAGGACGTCCTTCTCCACTGCCAGAACGAGCAGCTCCTCCGCCAAGTCTTTCTCCACTTCCGCAACGTCGCCTTCGTCAAGGTGCGTTATGCCAGCCTTAGCCCTCTGTGCTTGACTTACAAATCTGGCAATGCACCGGCTACCCAACTCGCGACCTTTACGCCGTTCTGGCGTCTGGTTTTCGCTTTCAGATAAGACACCTATCGTGCCCAGCTTCCCAGCCTGCCATGGGCTCCCCCCGACCTGCTCTGAATGTTTGTGCAACTGGCATATCCAGCGACGGCTGATTCAAGGCTAGTTCCACTCCATTTACATCCAAGCCCAACTCATCGACATCGCTATCGGCATCGAAGAAGTGAGTACATCTCTGAGCTTCCTGGCTTGCTCTTGATTCTCCGGAGGGGCTCGTGTACATACTGCCGCGATGCATTACCGCCTCGGCACTCTCCGCAGCCTTTAACTCTCACCTGGGTAACGGACTTAGGATGTATGCGATATTGCACATGCTTCCCGAAGCATTGTCATCAGCTATATGTCTCCATCAGTCTCTTATTCTACTGTATGGCATTTGCTGACATAGATGCTTCACAGGGCTTCTTCGGTTGCTACCACGTCGAAGTAAGATGCCATGAACACCGTTGTTCTGCTACTTCTGACACCCCGTAGAAAGACTTCATTAACTTCCGCCTCCACGGCGAGCATTACGCCGTACAAGTGCGCGACCACCGCTGGACTGCCGCTTACGCCAGGTGCTAATCGTGAATAGGCCATCCACGAGCGGCACGAGCATTGCAAAGAGCTCAGGTACAACAAGTAGTAGCACGAGAAGTTCGAGTTCGACGAGCGATACGGCGAAGAGCTTCAGCTCGAGCAGCAGCCTCCAGGGCTCTAGTACGACGTCCCCCAGCGTCAAGACTTCCAGCACAACAGGCAGCAGCCTCAAGTCCTCCAGTACCACGTCCATCGCCAGAAGTTCATCTTCAAGCACAAGTACCAGCGCCGTAAAGGGCTCCGCAACGTCAAGTACCGCCAAGACCACAAGCGCCGTCAAGACCTCAAGCACCGTCAAGACCTCAAGTACCGTCAAGACCTCAAGTACAACGAGCAGCAAGCCGTCAAGTATGTCGTCAACCTCGAGCATGACGAGCAGCCACTCCTCGGCATCAACCACTCATAGCACATCGACCACAACCAAGTCCAGCTCGTCCCTGTCCAGCCAACACAGCTCAACGATGTCAAGCACACCTAGCTCAACGAAACTGGCCAAATCTAGCTCGTCGACGTTCAGCATCCACTCTTCCGTGTCAAGCACATCGAGCTCAACGGAAATAGCCCAATCTAGCTCGTTGACCGCCAGCACTCACTCCTCGACGTCAAGCATATCGAGCTTGACGCAATCAGCCAAATCTATCTTATCGACGTTCACCACCCACTTCTCTGCGTCAAGTACGAATAGCCTGTCGAAACCAGCCAAATCAAGCTCGTCGGCCTCTAGCACTCACTCCACGGCGTCAAGCATATCGAGCTTGACGTTGTCGGCCAGGTCTACGTCGTCACTGTCGGCCACACGAGGCTCGACGGTCTCAAGCTCATCGAGTTCAACGCAATCGGCCAAGTCTAGCTCTTTATCATCTAGTACAGGCAGCTCGACGGTCTCAAGTACATCTAGTTCAACGAAATCAGCCAAGTCTAGCTCGTCATCGTCAAGCACACACAGTTCGCTGACGACAAGCAAATCAACTTCCTCGCATACCAGCACACAGTCCACAAAGAACACACCGTCATCTTCTAGCACCCACTCAACCCTGAGCACCTACATATCGTCATCCGCGCAACCGACAACAAGCAAGGAGAAGAAGACATCGTCCTCAACTACCAGATCGACAACAAGCACTACCTCTCCCCAGCGCTCAAGCTCTTCTTTGTCATCAACTCCAACCGCGTCGTCCACCAGCAAGGAGAAGAAATCTTCATCGACAAGCACGAGCACGGCATCGCAGAAATCATCGTGAGTTCCACCAACGCCTAATGTATCGGGCAACGTGCTGAGTGACTGCGCAGGACGTTAAGTAGCTCAAGCAAGACTTCGTACACTACCACGCCTAGCACCTCGGAGAAGACGAAGTGAGGCCTCTCTACCCTTGTATCGATATTTTCGTTTGCTAACGCGGACTTCGGTAGAATCTCTAGCACATCGCAAGCTTCCACGACGCCTTCATTGACCAGCCAAAAGACGAGGTATGGCCGGCCAATCGTTTCGTACTCTGAGCATGACTGACGACATTGTAGACCAACCAGCCTGACCACAATGACTCCATCTACCTCCACAAGCAGTAGCTGCAAGTGCACCAAAACGGTTACGGTGACCATGGCAGCGTACAGGTTCTAGGCTATGACGACTTAGCACCAGAATACATGTTGCAGCACACTCCGCTGTCGGTATGATTGTAGTCAGCGGTCATACTCCAAGTATTTTCTTTGTCAATCAGACTGGCTGTGCGGTAAGGTCGCACTAGAATGGCCTCTTCGGAAGGCGCGTACATTTGCGATTCGCGGCAATAGTGTAATGAACGTGGCGGGGCTATTGGAAGTACATGCTATGAGATTGGAGATTTCCGATGTTGTTGGTTTCGAGTCACGACTCGAGGTGTATTTTACATAGCTTGTGACGCCATGTTCATTGAGCGCAACGCACCAAATTAAAAGTGTATCATAACAGACCATCCCAACAGACGCCGGTCCAAAAGCCGCGCTAGAAGATTTGGCTGTCGTCCAGAGGATCTCTCTCTGGTTCAGTGACCGCCGCTGCTCGCTTTCCACGGAATGTGTCGTCCAACGCAACGGTGTGGTCCTCCTCGTCTGCTTTGTTCGCCTCGAGGTCCACCATCTCTGTGTATGAAGGTTCCGTCTTCGGTGGCAACATTTTCCGCCCAGATAGTACGTCAAGCAACGAATCCTCGCTCACGCCGTCTTCGTAGGCTTCCGCGCCTACGCTCACAATTGGGCTTGGTGCGCGATCCGTAAGCGAGTCGCGCCCCTCTGGGTATACCACACGAAACGCAGACCTCGTGGCGGCCAGTATGGCTATCTTGTCTTCCGCCGAAGGAACTAGCCAGGACAATGTTGCGGTACCTGGTAGCGACACTGGCACAAACGCAGGGGCACTGAATGCGGTAACGTCAAACAAATAGGCAAAGCCTTCGCCGCAGTCCAGCATAACCACGTCCGGCTTGGTAGGATGCCATAGCATCTTACGTACGTTGCCATGCTGAAGGACCACCGCATGCGCCGATAACGTAGCCATACTCCAGATCCAGACTGTACTAAGCATACGCTCATCTCGCGATGCAAGGTAGCTGCCATCGCAGCTGAAGCAGGCCTCTGCCACGCCAAGATCTGAGGGCTCATCACTGGGTTTCGATCGAGACAGTGGCGGAGATACCGGCTGTGGTGCAAGAGAGTACGATCGTTCACCTGCTGCTGACAGAGCTTCTCGCCATATCAACGCTCTCTGCTCCGGTGCGAGGAGGCTCTGATCGATCGTACTGGCATGCTCTACAACGGCTACCGCTGCGAACGTGCGTGCACTCAGCAGGACGATCGTTCCATCGTATCGCGACAAGCCCACCATGCGAGAGTCACCAGACCATATCAATGACTTCACACCAAGAGTGAATGACTCAGTCCGCGGCGTTGGCGAAATTGAGCGGAACAGATGACCGTCAGCGGTGTAGAAATGTACACTTGGGTTTGCAGTAGGCGTGTCCAAAATAGCGAGCCATCTGCCGTCTGGTGACCAGGATACTGACTGCGCGTCTATAGTAGGCAGCTTCACAGATGGCAGACTTTGCTCTTGATTCGGAAAATGCAAGGTCAAAATGTCTTCGGCGGTCGACCTTGACAGCATGGCGACTGACCTTGTGGGTTCGCGGCCCGGAACGGGAGGTCGTTGTTGCCAGTTGCTGCCATTGCATGTTGATTTGAGATCTCCATAATCGATACCCTTGCCTGTCGACAGATTCCACAACTTTGCTCTACCAAACTCCCAAATCGTTAGAATGGTGTCCGTGTTGATGAACGCAGCGGAGACGAAACGGCCAAGGCCGCCGCTGCCATTATCTATGCGGACTCGGTAGTTCTGGTCGCCAAAGCATAGTACCTCAATACGCTTGCTAGAGAGTAGTGCAATTCTATCGCTGTCAGCAGACCAACTGAACGCAGTGATGTCCTTCGGCGGGATCGTCGTGTTCAAGGTTTTTGATCGCTCCGGCTGTGCGGCGTGAATCAAGCGCACTTTCCCGTTCGCAATACCGGCTATATATCGCGCGCATGGCGACAGCGTAGTCACTGAAGCCTCTACCCGCTCTGACGCCTCCATTCTATATCTTCTCGCGGTTCGTGCTGCGTAAGTGCTGGTACATGTACATAAACATGTAAACATCGCATTTGCGGGGCAACGAAGCATTACTAAGCGGGAATCACGAGAAGAAGAGTCACAAGCGCCGCAAGTCTGTTAAGCGCATCGACTTCGATAATTGAGCAGACAGTCCAACATTGCATGTGCTAGATACCTCATGGGCACGATACGACCCGTGTGATGGCGAACTCCAACGGAAACAGCAGGCCATAGTGCAAGCGTGCTTAGCGTGGTTAAATTGTTTCAGCTGTTTGTGGGTAATCAGTCGCCGAATGGCCGTAAAGCCACATACTTTGGTATACTACGTCCAGCATAACCATCTCGAACAAGGCATATGCCATACACAACGCCGAGCACCACGCCTGCTAAACAGAGTCGCCCAGAATGTAACCACATCACTCTTGTCCAGCGACTATTCCATGAAGATGCAGCTCAGGCTCCAACAATGCATTTAGCCTCTCCACATCGTCCTCGGCTGCTTGCTCACCTCCGCCTGGGTCGATCTCTACGAATGGACTTCCTGTTGCGCTGCTTGTGGGCTGCTCGGTCAAGCCACTCGTGTACTCCACTGAGCCCGCAGTGACCGCCATGGTCAACGTGTCATTGGCCTGCCAAGGACCAGCCATCTGCGTGGGCAGTGTCGCCAGTTTCGTTATCCCTGTAAGGCTTCGTACACCCAAGCAGAATGCAAACATGGCTAAGAAGAAAATTGTTGCGTTTCGACGATCTTTCGCAAGCAGGAAGACGTAGTTGCGAAGCAGGATAGTGATTGGGATCTCCGCCCGGCGGTATATTTGAGGCAGCTCGGTGGGTAGGACCTTCTTCGGAGTCTTGCTATCATCCGATGATGACGTTGGTCGTGACGGCTCAGTTGTTGACGGACTCTCTACGTCGGCAAATCCCTCTGCTGCGAACGGGCCATTCTGCTCGACATGCGTCGTATCTTCGTACGTACGGATGTCAAGCTCTCGTCGCAGCTCATCGCTAACCCATGGTAGAATCTCAACATCGACGCTCTCCATCTCATCCCACGCAGCTGCCCAAGCTCCCGCACCCAGAAGCCCGTTCGCAGCGTAGACCTTGATGCTCCATTTCCGCCCGCTCTCGCCTGCGCCGTGCTGAGACTCTCCGAGTGGCTGCTGGCAGGTGGCACAGAGATTCTCATCGCTGTCCACGCAGGAACCGTCCACGCTAGATCCCAAGCCGGAGTCGCTACCTTCTCCACTCGAAAAGGAATCCGATCGAAAATGACCGCACTTGGTGATTCGTTCCGAACGCAACTCGAGTGCTTCCAGCAGACGCTCTTCAAGCAGGTCGTACTCCGCGTGTGGATGTGGGATAAGCAGGCCGCGCTGCAGCAGAGTATCTGTCACCTTAGTCCGCAATAGCTGCAATCTCTGGGCAATATCCGCTGGTAGCAAGTCATGCACGGCTCCCCTGCTCCATGGGAACGTGGTGGGTAACAACGTGATATGGAGTAGCACAAGCGGGTAGTTCTTCGCCTCGGCTGCATCTTCTCCATCGTGGGCGAATGTCCTTCTCGGCAGAGGGCTTCCGTGTGCTCGGGCTGAGCGAGCCGAACGTGGTGTGCCGCTTCTCGAACTAGTATGTCGCACTACGGAATGGCGTGGGCTTCGGAACGGCGGTGGCGAGCTCAGCTGCAAACGCCGTACAGATTCCGGTCGTCTGAATGAAGGCCGTATGACAGGCGGCTTGTAAGGCTTGACGTCGTCACGATTGGATCTTGGGAAAGAAGAGATCGAAGTCTGGGTCAGGAATGACGCTCGTCTAGCTCCGTCGTCTGCATTGTTGGTCTCTTTGTGTGAGAACACATCGTCCTCGTCTGTCTCGACCGCGCGTCGATCTATGCGTTGCTCTGTGTCGAGTGTGTCAATATCGTACGCAGAGTTCACTGCTTCCTCGAAGCTCGGGTGTTGGAATGTGTCTGGCGTAGGAATGCCAGCGTCCTCATGGATAGTGAACGATTGAGATTTGCTCAGACGAGCCATGTGCGAACGGTATACGCCTGCTGCAACGTCTACGTTGATCTTCCCAACATTTGCAACGTCACCTGGCATCCACCAGATGGACAACGTCTTCTGCAATTACCCGGAGTCGCCCACTGACGGAGTGGAGTAGAGAGTTTATGTTTACGGTTCGATCGTCACAGCAACGCTGCGCCACCCGCGGCCCAATGGCTTCCAGTCCCCAGTCACGATGAACGGAGTCGCGCTCCGTCGTGCATGTCATTCTGCAGGTACCACATGACCAATTTCCCACTTGCGCCTTGACAAACTGCTACGTTTCCTCCCCAAACATCCCTTCTACCTTCCCACCGCAAACATGGCAGAACGCCTCGTTCACGCAGCAGCCGACACCATGAAGAACGCTACCGTCCTGGCCGCAGCAGTCCACCCCTACTACCCTCTCGATGCCACAATCATAGGCTGGGCAGCGAATGAATGGAGCGTACCTGCTCTCCTCTCAATCTTCTTCGGCGTTTGCGGTGTCCTGTTCACCTCCACCTACTTCGTGACCAAGCGCATCCAGCCTGGTCTGACTACCGGCGAACTCCTCACCACCATGTGGTTCGTCCTTTCCGGCTCCATTCACCTCTTCTTCGAAGGCTACTACGCCGCCAATTTCACGAACCTAGGAAGCAAGCAGACATTGATAGGACAAATGTGGAAAGAATACGCCTTCTCGGACTCGCGGTATCTCACGCAAAACAGCTTCGTGCTGTGCATGGAGACGGTGACAGCGGTGTGCTGGGGCCCAGGGTGCTTGGCTGTGGCTGCCATGATTGTGCTGCGACATCCCTTACGCTACCCTATCCAGATGATCGTGTCTATGGGACAGTTCTATGGAGATGCGCTGTACTATGCGACCAGTATCTTCGACCACTACATCACGGGTGTAACGTACAGCCGGCCGGAGACCTTCTATTACTGGTTCTACTTCGTGGGCATGAACGCCTTCTGGATTGCCATCCCTGGATGTAAGTATCATTTGGTCTTCTCAACCGGTCGCGAACGTTGTACTGACTGTGAATGGCAGACCTGATCTACCAAAGCACAGTCGAGTCCGCCAAGGCTGTCGCACGTGTGCAGCAAATCGACGCATCGAAGAAGGCGTCATAATGGCTCGTCCAAAAGCTATAGTACCCGGAGCGACCGGGTTAATGTATATTACTGAAGCGTTCAGCATTGCGCCTGGCGCATATCAGTCATGGGTCGCTCCTATCTCGATCACATAATCATCATTTCCAAGGCATTGATGTTTATTGCAGCATGCCTTCCAGGCTCTCGCCCGTAACCTCCTCAATCTGTCTGACCCACCTCAAAGTCTCCCTCTCGACATGCTCATCATCGTCTTCCTGCAATTCACTAATGAATGGCAGCATCTCTGGCAACAAAGCCAGCCAGTCCAAGTTGAGACGCTCCGTGATTCCACGCTCGCACTTAACCGCCGCCAATCGCACTTCTGCGGCTTCGTGACGCATGTATTGCATGATTTGCGTATTCATGACCTTGTGGTGGTCTGGCGATGCTGCAGCCGCGGCAAAATCAGTGATGGTAGGAATCACGTGCTCCGTCACGCGGATGAACTTGGCTTTGGTGAGCATCTTCAACAGAGGTGAAGCGATGCCGTCGAAATGCGAGGGCGATTGCCAGAAGTCCTGCTCGTCATGTTGGAAGCTGCTGGATATCGTTCGGAGAACCTCGGTAAGTAGGCTGAGCTCGCGGGCGTTGTTGGGTGACACGACGTCTAGTACGTTCGCGGCGGGTTCGATCAAGTAGCTTGCATAATTTGTGACCAATTCTTTTAGCCGGTCGAAGAATTGGAATGCGAAGCTGAAAAGACTTGTCAGGCGCAATGTACGGCCTTCGTAATCCTTCTTCGGCAAGCCTGTGGTGGCCCATTCGATGAAGCGGACAAAGAATGGCCTGAACACGCTGTCGTCGAGCTTAAGCACGACATTAATGGTCACTGCATCGACCAGTGGGTACACATCGCTGTAGTCAGCATCGTCGGGAACGTGTACCGCCTTCGTCCGGCGCAAATCGAACGCCTTGAGCAAGATGCTGAACAAGGGCTGCGCGTTCGCTTTCAGCTCGCCTTTAGGGTGTCGCTGAACGCTGCGCAAGATATGGAGATGCTGTACGGCCGCCGCTGCGCCAAGGTTCGTGATGCCTTCGAAGGTCGAGTCAATAGTACTGATGAGCGTGTCCAGTCGAATTTTCCCAGCTATCAGTGAACAGAATTGTTTCGCGGCAGCCACATCGCCGTCATGCTTCTGAGGATGCACTAAAGCTTGACCGGCAAGATGTAGCGCACGCTCTAGGTCCGAGAACATCCATGGCAGATGGTCAAGCACTGCATTAGCGAATGAGAAGACGGCGCTTTGAAGTTGATGGTTGAGTCTCGGAGCTTCCTGCGCCTCGGACAAGTAGTCCAGCGTTCTCGACAGAACAGTCGGTAGCAGCGGGATGAACCCATCACCAAGCACATCAACCATAGAAGCGAGGCAAAGTATCGAGATAATTCGAAGGGAAGCGTCTTGGGCCCCTAACGCAGCGTCTCCGGCCACGGACTCCGCAGCTTGCAATACAGCATCTCGGTCGAGCTTGCCGTACTTGTCAACAATTTGGTCGATGCACGCAACGGCGGCGTGGCGCACATCGATGGGCTGGCCCTGTGTAACGAAAACGCAGCAATTGGGTAACACTTCAAGGAATGTGCGCTGTAGCGCTACATCGCCACGTTTCGCTTGCACGACTCGCGCTTCGAGCGCGCGGAAGACCTGCTGCCTTGTCTCGTCAGAGCCTGTCTGCATGAGTTGTGCGCTTGACTCGATGAAGTCTTTCGTTGGTGTCAAACCGAGCAACGACGACAGCATTGATGCAGCCGCGTCACCCAGAACCATGTTTGACGCCAGGTCTCGGGAGAGCTGCATCGTTTGATCAAGCAGCTGCGAGTATATTGTTCGCAGCGTTTCGGCAGCATCGGCGGAGCTTGCGAACTCTTTCGCGACTCGTTTGCGCAAGCCGACATCTTCCATTAGTTCACCGAGGCTCTGGAGGAGATGGTCGACGGACTGTTCCACTTGCTCTGCGCTCTTCTCGCCAAGGGCAAGCACGATGTCGGACAGTGTTCGTTTGGGCTTCAAAGCGTCGCGAACAAGATCGAGGAATTGCTGAAGAGCTCGGACTTGCGTGGCAACTGAAAAGTGTGCCATAAGACTGCCGACAAATGGTAGTACACGCTCGTCCGTCGGGTATCGCTCTATCAGCATCGCCGCAATCGCGAACAACGCTTCGTCGGGGCCGAGCGTTTGCACAAGATGTCGAAACAACGCGTCACGGCGATGAAGCGGAATATGCTCGAATGCGGCCGTAAAGCTGAGCAATAGCTCTGACGCGCCGCTGATGAGATCCTTTCCGCGCTTTCTCAAGGACGCAGCCAGCGGCGGTACTATCCGCGAGACAGTCTGATCCGTGACATGCGCCGAAAAGTCGTCGCTTTGCCGTAGTAATGTAGTACTCATGAAGGTGAAAAGGGGCATAACGCTATGCAAGACCAAATCGGGCGCCCAAGTGGCCAGGCTTGAGATGAGCAGAAGAGCGGTGTTGTGAAGTTGAGCGCTAGAGGTCGTCCTTACGGTCTCCACTATAAGGTCTGCTCGGATGACGGCGCGGTCAATGTTCGCAGCATCTGCGTTAGTCCTCATGCCGTTTACGACCGACAGAAGGCAGCCCAAAAGCAGAGCCTGCAGGTAGATCAACTGCGAGCCGAGCAGTGTCTTGAAATGATGCAGCTCCCCAAGCATGTGAAACAGGGCTTTCAGCAACTGCGGGTGCCTCTCCGGCTTCGCTCCTTCGACGAGCTCGAGCACAACTGTAACCCGCCTTAGAGCAGCGTTGACCCTGGCCAGATCGGGTTTCCGTGTTTGCTCTTGGTCCGCCTTGCTTATCCGCTGCTTCTTGGCCGATGAAGGTTCGTCTTGCAGGTCAAAAGCACTTGGCAGAGTCTGGAGTAGATGCACAAGGACGCTTGACGGATACTGTAGGTTGCGCAGAGTCTCGAGTGCATTACCCTGCTCATCCGAGTCACCAGCCGCCAATTCTAGGAGCCAATCAACAAGTGCGCATTGTGATGGTGGATTCATCGAATGCCATAGGTGACGCAGACGCTCGAAGGCGAGTGCTCTGAGCTCAACTTGACTGTTAGTATCGCCAACCGCAATGCTTTGCAAAGTGCTGACTTCCTCCGCACTACGATAAGAGAGGCTTTCCATCACAAGGTGGTCAAGATCCTGCTTCTGTAAAGCTTCCGCAGCACACGATTTGCGAAGCTTGTCGGCGTCTTGCGCGACCCACGCTTTGACAAAAGGAATTAGAACACTCTTTCGTGCATCACTTGCAGGCTTGCCGACTTTGTTGAGCACTTCCAACAGCTTGCTCTTCACTTGCAGCACAGGCGTGGCCGCAACATGGCCAGCGAGCCATGTACATAGCTCAACCCGGAGTGACAGTTTCATCGCTTTGTGCTGTTTCCCATCATTGGCTGGAGTAATGGTGTCTGAACCCTTCAAAGATTCGGTCAGGCTTCTGCCAATGTATTCGCTATCAAGGGCGCAGTCTTCGAGTACAGGTAGGATGGCTAAATCCAAGAATGTTTCTGCATCCTTGGCCGATAGATGTTGGACTGGTTCGCTTCCTAAGCCATACACATTCTGGCGACTTCGCTTCTGCGTCTTCGCACTAGGGCCAGCTTTGATTGCATCGTACATCTTTCGGACCAGTCCACAGACTTCACCCGCCAACTTTCGAACCTCGGGCGAACCGTCGGATAAGCCGATGATCAAATATGGCAAAAGATCTTGTATGTCAACGGAGAATCGATCGGGTCCAGCCTTAACGAACGTTGACGTTCCTGCAACTACATGTTGCAGTGCTGACACCCGTGCAGCCGCTTGTGTGCTCGAAGTCCAGACTCGCGCGAGAAACCAGAAGTAACTAGGAATTCCAGAGTCAGATTTCTGGTTCAGAGGTGGAAATTTGAACAGCGGTGAACTATTGTCTGCGGAGCAGGCGCCCTGGAGCCAAGGAAGGTAGACCTCGTAGATATGATTATTGTGAGGATCGAGCAAGGATAGATGGTCAGGATCCAGCTCAGGGAGGCCGCTGAAGGAAGGGCCGTCAGAAGATGCGTCATCGTCGACTGCCATTCTGACAGAACTAGCGCCAGTCATGCCTTTCTCTGCAGCGTCATCAACCGATGATTCGACAAGTAGCTGCAACGACAACTCTCTCAAATCCACGCCGATTCGTTCCGCAGCTTGCTGCAACAGGCGCTGATGGCTGTCTGAACGTCCTATATGCTCGAGTAGATTAACTGTACTCTGACGTCCTTGCGGCTCGGATTCCGCTAGTCCCGCTACCAGTGATTCGAACAAAGCCAGAGTATGTGCTTCACTGAGCATACTATCAAGAAGGCTGCGAAGTAGCTCTACGCGTTCGTCCACAGCGATACTAGCGCTTGATGCGGACAGATTGAGCGCAAGACCAAGAGCAAGCTTGCCAGTGCGGTAGCGATGTGACAAAGCCTGCAACCTCTGCAGCCAATTGTCAAGGCTGAGAAGCGCGCGTGAGACCGATTCGGGGAGTAGAACACTTTCTTTCTCCTCGGAGATGATAGCGAGGCACACCATGCCATCCTCAGCAGTCTGCGGAGTCCAGACGCCTGCGATGGCTTCCATAATGGCGTCGAGCACTCTGTCCTCGAGCGATGCCTTGGTCACGAGAATGGTCATGATCATGCAGCAGGCCAGGTAAAGCTCTGGCACGCCTTTGATGCTGATGGCGGACTGCAAGACTGGAAGCACCCGAAGCAATAGGTCTTCTTCGCGCTGTTTCCGGATGGCTTCTCGGCCAGATCTGCTCGAATCAATCATACCGTTGACCGCTTGGGCCGTTATGCTTGCCCAAAAGCCTAACAAGACAGCTGAATGGTGGCCCACTTTCGCAACACTCAGCACGTACTGACTTAATGCAGCAAAAAATCCCTGGTTGCTAATTGCGGCTGAGAGGACTGCATGTCGTGGCGGACTTTGCAAGGAGGCCACATAGGGCTGGAGGAACCGGAAGATGGGTGGTAAAGTGTCCGGGAGGATTGACAGGAGTGTCGGGAAGATGTGAGATGAATGGTAGGGTAGAAACGTCAAGAGGACGGTCTCCGTGTTGTAATCCTGCACTCTGAATCTCCGGACGAGCCACTCTACTGCCTTCATGGCCGGCTTGAGCAGTAGTCTGCTTCCCACCAGACCAAGGAAGCCTTCAATCGTCTTGTCCAAGTCTTTGTTCTCCTTCGCTGTCATCTGCGTTCGATCCTCATTCTTGCTCTGTTCGCTGAAGATGTTGCGTGAGAAAGCAGTGAACCTGGCGTCCAGCATGCATAGCTCGTCAAAGCCCTCAATACAGATCTGGTATATCGTGTCGAAGCCTTGCGACGCAGCTTCTCGAGACTCGAACAGGAGTGACTTGCTGTGGCGCGCCTTTTGCGCCTTCAAGTCGAGCTGATGAGTGCTGTTGGCGGCGATTGCAGCCAGCTGCTGCTGAAGTGCGGTCGCCATGATGTTGTCTTCCAGTATCAGTCCCGATCCATTGCCTTAAACTTCCATGTCAACTGCGACGTGCAGCGAAAGCTTCGTCACACGAGGGACGGATGAAGTTAACCGATCAATCACTTCAAAAAGTTCGCCAAGATTTCGCTGCAAGCCTTGACCAATCGTACCGCGCGCTTTGCGGCGAAGAACCGGAAGTCCTCCATTTACACTATCGATGGCTCCGGGGGTTTCGTTTGTGCTCTTCACATGTACGTATTCTTCTCTCATTCCGGTATTGACTGGTACTTGCTGACCATGAGGTGCAGAAACAATGTCACAAGTCCCCAAATTTGGCAGCTTCCGGCCAAAGGGTACTAAAACTGGCGACGACCAGCAGCATAGAGCCCCAGAGCAGGCAGAGTCCGGCTCTGAGGGCCATCAGCCACACGACGAACTTTCTGCGCGCAAAACGTCTAATTCACGATCGTTAGCAAAGCACAGTGACCGCCTTTCGAAATCAAATCATAGCTATCATCATCGCCACAGAGAGAGACCGCAGTCTGCGTCTTCATCAAGCCACCTTTTAGTATCTCAGAGTCTGAATGTCGATTCGGGAGAAGTTTTTACCGACAAGCATTTCATCGTTGACACCCGTGGAGATGCGAAGAACGCCGAGTACGGCAGTCTCCACCGCTATAGTGTCCCTACATACCATCGCATTGGCTACGGCCGACTGGTAGGTGCGCCGCCTGCTGCCAAGCTTGACCGTGAGCAGAGTAGTACGACACAAGCAGTCTTGACGATTGATCGTCAAAATCAGACGGACCGTCCTTTGAGGTCTCGGAGCTTGACATTCCCGCGAGAACGCCGTATCCACGTTGTTGCACGAGATGGTTCTGATACCGATATCGAGCTTCAAGCCGACTACATCACGCTGTCGCAAGCGCTTCTCAAGAGAAAGCGAGGCTCAGAGTCACCAGATGCAAGTGTCGAAGCGGTCAGTTACCGCTCAATCTATGGTAAGGCTACTACTCGGAGCGAAGTATCCGACAACCATGATCTGAGCGACCTCTCGGAGCTTGAAGGCGAGAGTCGCACTACTCAGGCAGAGTCGCAAGCACGCGAAGAGCATACGGCTTTGCTCAGGCGCACGAAGGACAACCCAGCTGATGCCAATACTTGGTTTGCATTGATCGACCATCAGGTCTCCGTAGTAAAGCCTGGTCGTGTTGACGAACCACTGACAGCCGGTGAGCGTCGTACTCTTGCCGAGATCCGCTTGACGATACACGAACAAGCTCTTAAGCACTGCAAGGACTTGTCCGAACGTGAGAAGCTATTGCTAGGCATGCTTGAGCACGGTCGCATAGTCTGGGATGCCGCTAAGCTGGAAACGAAGTGGAACGAAGCATTCCGACAGTGCCCAACAAGCGTCCAGCTATGGTTGAGGTATCTCGATCATGTGCAAACCGCGCAAACAAACTTCCGCTTCGACACTGTCAAAGCTGCATACATTCGCTGTCTTGACAGCTTGCGCGACGTCAAACCGATAGCCGCAATAGACGCAGATGATAAACCCGGCGTCGCCAGGTTTCACGTTCTGCTTCGACTTACTTGCTTCCTCCGCGATGCTGGTCACGATGAGCAGGCCTTCGCGCTGTGGCAGGCGATACTGGAGTACCACTTCTTCAAACCGCCTGACGTGCGGGACAGAGAGATAGAATTAGGACTGCTCGAGGCGTTCTGGGAGGCGGATGTTCCCCGCATAGGAGAAGAAGGTGCGCGTGGATGGAAAGAGTACGCCATGACCCGGTACAAGACCGCTCGCAAGCCTTCCAGCGGCGTTGAATGTTCTCCACCCAGCAGTGACCCGCTTCGAGGCTTCATTGACGCCGAGACCGCAAGCCTCAGCAAGGTGCACCTGCCTGCTGCCACGAATGAAGACGATAGCACAGATGATCCGTTCAAGTATGTGATGTTCTCTGACCTGGAGCCTGTATTGCGGCCCGGACTGCATGATTTGCCGTCGCCAGCCGTCGTAGATGCTTTTCTGGCCTTCATGCAGCTTCCACCTATAGCGTATACGAAGGAGCACGCTTGGCACATCGACCAGTTCGTACGAACGAGCGCCAACACTAACAAGTCATCGGTAATCAACGAGTTGTTCACGTCATACTCGTTGTTCGAACGCGCATTCGAGGACTGCCCTTCGCTTGTTGATCCAGAGAAAGTCCAGTTTGTGGAGAGGGTCTTGGAGGCGTTAATCGTGGCACAGCCGGAGAACGACACTCTTACAGAATATTATATTGCTTACAAACTCCACGCCCAACCCAAGGAAGCAGTCAAGTTGTGCAAAAGGCTACTGAAACAGAGACCTTCCAGTCTGCGTTTATATAATGCTTACGCACTGGTCGAGGTGAAGCTCGGCTGCATGGAGAAGGCAGCACGAGTATGGTCTGCAGCACTTAAGATGAGCATCAGTCTAGGCGTCGACGGCAAAGATGAAGCCGTTCGATTGTGGCACTGTTGGGTTATGAGTCGAAAGCACCAGCTTACGGACGAGAAAGGAGCGTTGCAATGCTTGCTTGCGGTGTGCGAAGATTTACCGGGCGACGTCGCCATCGAACCCGACAATGGAATGGACATGGAGATTCCCGCCGCTCAGAAGCTGAGAGCTAGGCAGCACTTCGAAGCTGCATGGGAACGTCTCGCGCACAAACGCAAGCTCGAACTCGCTGTTCTTACCGCCGAATGCCATATTTGCTACACTTACCTCATAGGCGGTCACTCGATTGAAGCGGCCGTGAACTTGACAGGGAAATACAGCGACCGCTTGAGTAGAGCGAATGCACCGCAAACCGCACACGCACTCCTACTCCAAGCACAAGCACGCCTAATCCAACACCACATCAAGCGACACCGACCCTACCGCCCCGCACTCCTGCGTTCGGTGCTCGAGGAGAGCGTCCGCTCGTTCCCACATGATAGCCTACTACTCTACGGCTATATCCGCAACGAAGCGCACTTCCGCCTCCAGGACCGCATCCGCCTTTCACTTCGCGAAGATCTGCTGACCGGTCGTGATGCGAGTATAGTCGGCTGCTCTATTGCGATCAATGAAGAAGTGCGACGGTTCCGTGAGCAGACGGTGGGTGCGACGCAGAATGCTGTGCGTGCTCTCTTCACGCGCGCGCTGGTGTCTCCGGATAGCGGAGTCAAGCATTCAATCGTGTTGTGGACGGCGTGGTTCGAGTTTGAGCTTTCATTGTGTGAGGAGTCTACGGGGGGTAATGGGCAAGAACAGGCATTGAGGAGAGCCAAGCAAGTGTTTCTGGATGGGGTACGCTGTTTGCCGTGGTACAAGGGGTGGATTGTGAGGGGGATGCGGGCTTTTGCGGTGAAGGGCTGGATGACTGATGATGAGTTACGGCAATTGTATGATGTGTTGATGGAGAGGGAGCTGCGGGTAAGGACGTCGACTGAGATGCTTGATGAGATATGACCATCGCTAGCGTCTGTTCGTTCAGACCACCTATCGTGGCATACGACGAAATGCTGTGATCTCTATGCTTACGCTGGGCTATGGCTTCATGGACAAGCAACCAACGATCAACACTGATGTACGACGACGTCACCGTGCATTCGCTCGCGCGTCTGGGGCGCGTGCTTGAAAGCTGGTGACGCCACACTGTCGCAAACCAGCCACAGCTTTATTCGCAGGCGTTTGCACCAAGACTGAAGCGTTCATTGTTCCCCTCACCACAACTTCACTTCCACCACGAACACCTTCCCTTCTCCACATTCATTCCAACGGCGCCAAGCAAGGTGCAGTGACGGATATTTGGCGGTAGTGGCCGCATCATCATCCCTCGCCCCGGTTGCTTCCACCCGCATACCAAGCCATTACCATGTCGGGACCGCAGATCTACCTCACTCTCCCACCGGTGGAGACGTGGAAGATCATCCCCGCCAACCTTCCCCCAGCCCTCCCTCCCCCCGTGACAGAAGGCAGCTTCCGCTCCCCCTTCGGCATCGACAAGGACCTCTACAATGCCGCGCTCGAGCCGTGGGTGCCCTTCCTCTTCGCCGGCGCATACCTGCTCGTCGTCATCGCGCTGAACGCGTACAACAAGTCGCGCGATGGCAAGGCGTGGTGGATCGCGAGACAGGCGCCGTTTCAGTGGTTCGTCGTCGCGCATAATGTCGCCCTTGCCATCTACTCCGCTGCGACGTGTGTGGCCATGTACAATGCCATTGCGCATACCTGGCCGGGCTTCGTCGGCAACCCGAACGGCTTGGCGGGTGTCGCGGATGCGCTGTGCAAGTTGCACGGTCCGCGCGGTCTCGGTGACGCGACGACCTTCAACACGACGATCAACATCTGGGAGGTGAAGAACACGGCGATCCATCTAGGCTACGATGGCAACCCGGACCCGACGGATGTAGGCAGGTTGTGGAACGAAGGGCTGGCATTCTGGGGCTGGCTGTTCTACGTCAGCAAGTTCTACGAGGTCATCGATACGCTCATCGTGCTGGCCAAGGGCAAGCGCAGCCAACTGCTCCAGACGTACCACCACGCCGGCGCAATGCTGTGTATGTGGGCCGGCATTCGCTACATGAGCCCGCCGATTTGGATGTTTGTCTTCATCAACAGTGGCATCCACGCCATGATGGTATGTCAAAGCAAGCTTCGTATGACATCGTCGTAATCACTGACAGTCTGTAGTACACCTACTTCACAGCTTCCGCCCTCGGCTACAAAGTCCCCAACTCCGTCAAGCGCACAATCACGACTTTACAAATCGCACAAATCCTCTTCGGCGCAACATATGCCGCAGCCCACCTCTTCATAGCCTACGACATCCCCATCTCCACCCCCTACCAAGTCGCATCCACCGTCCAACGCGCCGTCTCCAGCATCAGCTCTGCCGCCTCAGTCGTGAGCTCCACCGCCACAGAAGCCGCCTCAACCGTTTCAACCCTCATCGAATCCCCCTCCGCAATCGCCACAATGGGCACTCTAATCAAGAAGCTCCTCCTCCGCGCCGCGGGCGAAGAAGGCCTCGCCGAGCGTGTCCGCGGCCGCGACTCTATGGGCGAACTCCTGCCCATCCCAGAGAAAGTCCAAGAGAAGATCGAAGAGTACGAGCAGGCCTTCGAAACGCGCTACCACACCTCTTGGACCAAAACAAACTGCATCGACACCTCCGGCGAAGCCTTCGCCATCTACCTCAACCTCCTCTACCTCGCCCCACTAGCCTGGCTCTTCCTCCGCTTCTTCGTGCGCGCGTACACTCGACGCGACCGCCCGCGTAACATCCAGCAAGCGGCGAAGCAAATTGCTGACTCGAGTTTCGAGGCCCAAAAGCGCGCGCAGAAAGCTGTGGACGAGAGCGCGGAGAAGGTGGAGAAGGATGTGCAAAAGCATGGGCCCGAATTTGCGGAGAAAGTGCGTACGGAGCTGAGTGGGTTGCATGAGCAGTTACGTAAAGATGTGGAGGAGATGAAGCAGGGGAAGTTTAAGGGGAGTCGGAGGGTTAGTGAAATGGCGGAGAGCTTTGAGAAGCAGGGAAAGGCGGTTGTGGAGAAGGTGAGGGAGGAGGGGAGGAAGGTCGTTAATGGGGGTGGAAGTGCGAGTGGGAGTCCGTCCAAGAAGAGGGAGGAGAGGGTAAGTGAGGAGGCGCAAGAGGAGGATGCGGGCGGGAAGCAGCAAGGTGGCCACTCGGGTAGGCAGGGCGAGCAGCAGCAACCTGAGCAGTCGAGTACAGGTGGCGGGAAGCAGGAGGGTGAGAGCAACAAAGACGCACAGAAGGAGGAGAAGCAGGCGAGCGAGAAGAGCGACCAGCGGACCACTCAGCCGGAAGAGAAGCAAGGCGAAGACAAGGAGAACCAACCACCCTCAACCCAGCCGCAATCCGACGCCAAGCATGACGAGCAGCAATCGAAGGGCAACGGCGACCAGCCCGGCAGCGGCGCCAACAACGAACCTGAAGAGAAGCAAGACGCAAACATGGCCGACTCCCAAGCCATGCGACCTGGCGCCACCGAGGAACAGGATCCCGAGAACCCCACGGCAGCTGACCGATCGAACGCGCCTTCCAACGCGCAATCGAAGCACGACGAAGAAGGCGACAGCAAAGACACAGACGCCATGGGTCAAAGCGGCTCCATCATCGATATGACTCGTGAGCGTGCAAATGAGGCTATGCCCTCTGACGCACAGCAGCAAGGCGAGGGAGGCAAACCGGACTGGAAGCCGCTTGGCTCGAATGGTTCGTGAATAGCCGGTCGGCGGCCTTCTTCTGTTTCTGCGTCGCTACCCGACCAGCCACCCACGGGTGAGGGAAGAGCAAGGCCTGGGGTAGGACGCGCGGGTTCCCAAGAACTCGTTTTGCGTTCGACCTCTCGGCCCAGCTCAAAGTACTTGCAGGAGGGCTTTAGCCTGGGCGGCGGCGGGTCCGCCTCATCGTCGCGGAATGTGAGTCCAGTCCGCCATATGCTCCTGGCGGGCGATCGGGCGGAGAGTCCCGTGCGGGCGGCGAGGGCGGCAGGGAGTTCGACTAGTGTTGTTGGGTTGCGGTGAAGGGTGATGATACCACTTGTTGCGTTGGATTGTTTATGTAGATGTAGTATAGCGTGGTAATCGAACGTAATGTACACTGAGCGTTACTTTGGCCGCGCAGTGCGAGCGTAGCGCACACATGTGAAGTCGTTCTGACTTCGTGGTGCTGTGTGAAGCACAGCTATGACTTGTGCCCTCAATTCTCAACCTCAACCGTTAACCCCAAGTCGAAAACCGTTGGTTCATAGTCATGGCCTCCCCGTATTTCTACTCGCATGCCTAACACTGCTCAAATGATCACAGCCCCAGCAGGCTGCGAACGGTCGGGCACGTTATCTTTCATTCCGTGTTTCTCCAACCCGCCGAGACTTCGCTGGTGTTTACATTGCCGGCCCACACTGTAGCATAGAAAGCAAAACGGAAAAGGTAACGTCAGGGGCGCGTTCACATTACTATTGTATCTGGACAGTTTACGATGGCAGGGGGTTTTGTTCGTCGTACGGTGTCTCAAGCCTGCGGCCAACCGGGTGCGCCATGCTTGCCTAGCTCCTCGGTCGTCCACTGCCACAGCGCGTCCGCAAGATCTTGCCTCATCGCATTCTCACTCTTCCCCGTAGCCTCGATGCCGATGGGCTCGTAGTATCGGCCGTTGTCGATCCCGTCACTGAGCGGCGCCGTGGCGCACCATAGCTGCGTCTTTGCCCCTTCGTCGGTCGTGACGCCGGTCCACCATACCACCGGCGCGAGCAAGAGTACCATCAGCTTCATCCCGTCCGCGCGCGCCCAGATCTCGGAGCGCACGGTACCCGGGTGCGACGAGGTGGAGGTGATGTGGGGGTATTGTTGCGCCAGCTTGCGTGCGAAGAGAATGTTGGCCAGCTTTGAATGGCCGTAGCGCGACATGCCGTGCGAGAGGGCATCGGGCTTGTGCATGTCTTCGAGCTTCAGACCTTCCTTGGGCGCGAAGACGTGCGCTCCGATGGAGGCGGTGACGTGGATGCGCAGGTCGGCATCGGGTTGGCGTCGAAGGGTGTGCAGCATTTTCGGAAGGAGTAGCTGCGTCAGGAGGGCATGGCCCATGTGGTTCACGCCGAATTGTTGCTCGTACCCTTCCTGGGTCACGGTTGGCGCTGTTGCGGAGATGCCCGCGTTGAGGAACAGGATGTCGAGACGGTCCGCTTGGGTGTTGAACGCGTGGGCGCATGCCTTGATGCTGTCAAATGAGCCCAGGTCCAGCTTCAGGATGGTAATGTTCGCCTTGGGCTGCTTCTGCTTGATCTCGTCCACGAGCGCTTCCGCGGAGGATATATTCCGAGCACAGAGATAGATGGTCGGGTTGTGTGGCACCAGCGCACGTACGGTTGCGGCACCGATGCCTGCGTTACCACCGGTCACGCTGATTGGCACCCAGTTGGCGAAGTTCCACTGAATGGATGGAGGAGACTTACAGCACGACTTTGCCGCTGAGATCAGGGATGTCTTGCTCTGGGTTGAAGGTTCTAGGCGGAGGCTTGCCACCTCGGAAGGGAGACAGCGACATGTTTTCGAGATAGAGGAGAGTAAGGGTAGGAGAGTGGCGAAGTGATACAACTGGAATGGCTTGTAGGGAAAAAGACCTAGTTTGTACGCAAGTATGCTCGTGGCTGCAATCTCTTATTGCGCCCTTAGTAGCACTGCGAGGAGTAATAGTTCTGCCGTCGGTGCAGCTTGGAGGCGAGCTGAGACGGCGCTACGGCGTGTTGTTGCCATTGTGTTGGCACGCGACGCCGCCCCGGAGATCAGAAGCGTCCATTTATGTCCGGCTTTCAACCTCCCTTTACCATTTTGCCCTTCGCTGAACACATGCGCAAGTCGCGCAGTACGGCGCAGAAGTCCATTCGGTGTTTCGTTCATTCCTCAACCCGCCACATTGAGTAGGGTGTTAAGTGCTCTTCGTGATCTGTAGTTAAACGTCCGCTCGGATAACTCATCAGCTTACCATTTAGTCAAGCTTCTACACAGGATATGCTACTCAGTGATCGATGGCCGACACGGATTTGTCAACAGTCGCAGGTGTTGTTGGCGGCCCGCACGCTCGATGTATGCAGCGAGTAGCCAAGTAGGAAGATCACCGCCATGCGCAGCGATTCGACTTACTCCCAACAGCTCACGTCGGTGCCCGAGCCACGAGACCAATTGCCTTATCAGCAGCGGGGACGACAGCGAAGTGTGGCAAGCTGCAAACTGTCGGCCACGAGCAGCTAGCGCCACAGTTACGTGTGCGATTATGAACTGTGATCAGCTGGTGATACCATGGCGGAAACCCCTGATACTCCTAAACTCGCTATCACTTGGAAGCTACGCTTTACCGTAAAGGGCTCCTTATATAACGTCATTAGGAGCCGGATCTAAGAGCACTTTGAAGATATCGATTTAGTCCAAAGCCATGGGGGCGCAATGATCATAGCGTTTAGTCAAAATTCAACTGGGCGAAGGCTCTGGTATCTCATCCGTAGCCGCGAAACCTTTAGACAAGGCTTGAGGTGATGGGAGGCTAGCGCCAATCCGAATTTCGGGCAGGTCATGTCACCAGACCCAGGAGAACTATCGAAGGGTCTGGGAGCCCATTGGAGGCTACAGCAGCTTCAGGTAGAAGACTCAGGCCTCCCATCGTCAGTTACAAAAGCTTCAGTGGAGGATCATCGCGATGGGAAATTGGGACTAATGGACGAATCAAGAGCTCGTCACGATACCGTGCCGAGCTTCGCACACGTCCAGCGGGTGATGGAAGACGGTCCGATCGCCCACGACTGCGACATGCACGCCCTCGCCAAGGACAACATTCCAAGAGCGCAAGCCAGCGAGAATGAGCTGGCTGAGCAGTTGAATGACAAACGTGACCGGAATGGGGCGCTCATGGCCGTCATTCGGGACAAGAACCGCGATCTCGCGCAGAAGGAAGGCGTGATCGCGGAGAAGGACGGGGCGATGAAGGAGTGCGATCGCATGATAGCAAACTTGAGTCGGTCGCTCGCGGCAGGCGGGAGGTTGGAGCTGGCCTGAGACCCTGAGACGAGTGACAGGATGAGCAGCACAATGATTCGAGTGAGCCTTCGGTTTGAGCATGGCGTCAGGAGTGTGGCATGCAGTGTAGGCAGTGCGCTTGCATCTTCGTTCGTGGACCACCCATAGCTACCTTATTCGCCTTCCATGAAGTAGTGACGTGCTGATACGACCATAATTGCAAGGGTCACGATGTCCCTAGTTGCGTACTCATTCTTCCGAATGCATACTACCTTACTGTAACAATGGGTTTGTGCAACATCCCTGCCAATGCCACGCTTCAGACATCCGAGACGTTGGCACAGCCAATCAGCGCAGCGCAAGCTATATGACTTGCAGTTGTAAGCGCAGATGAGGTGCAGCTGGCCTAATGACTCGACTTCAGTAATCAGATAGGTATACACAGGTATCTAGGTGCGTACTCGAGAGCATGGCAGACGAAGCTACGAAGCAAAGATGAAACGAGTGGATCCTTGGCTGTTGTTGTGCGGCGTTGGAAGTTGGCAGTGCAAGGGTACATGTACCTTATCCCGCGCCATCCCGGCTGTGGCGCACGAGCGCAGGTCCACCAGCCGATTGTTTACTTTGCGCCGGACAACCTTGATTGCTCTGCCGTCTATACCGTGTCTGGATGTCTGTGAAGCAATCGCCGTCTCTATCTGTGTTATGGCAATAATACTGAAGCAAGCACCGCACTACCACTTTCATGGTTCCCAGTATCAAATGTACAGTGCTGCGACGGCCATAGCAACGACCCTGGGCTATAGGATATATCGCCAACGGTCCCCAGCGATGTCTCAGGTCTAATATGAACGACGGCTATGCGATGGTACGAGCTGGGATTGAAGCAGCAGAAGTCAGAAGAAGCTCGTAAGCTTCGCCGTACGGCCAGCTTGGTGCTCCTAGGTATGTTAAGCTTTCACATGATAGGATGGGTGGTGGATATGCGCCCATGATATCAACCTGAAAACATGTGGTTGGCACGCAAAAGCTAAGCATGCAGCAACGTTGGAGTGCTGGTGTCCGATGTCATTTTGCAAAAAGAACGAGTTGCGGTCAGCACATGATTCTGACTGACTTGACAGCTCTAACTTCAACAAAAGGCTAGATGCCGTCGCCGAATGGTGCGAATAAGGCGCCCGCAAGGAAGACGCCGGAGCAGAAGGGCGTAGATCTTGCACAGAAGCTTGCAAGGAAGAGGTCGCAAGACTTTACCACGAAGATACAGGGCTGGAACCAAGGTGGTGCGGGAGTGGTGCAGAGGCAGGATGAAGTTGTCGTTATACTGGACGACGATAGTGCATGTGCGCTCAAGAACGCAGTCGTTCTAGAAGTGACTCCGAAGAGTGTGAAGACTGGCAAGGCACCGGAGTCTGCAGAGGTTGATGGCGGGGATGAGGCGCCATTGACACCCGGGTCGCCAGAGTCTGCGACAGCGAAGGGCAGCCCCAAGCTTGCATCATCCGCTCGGCCTTCCAAAGAACTAGATCTTGGGCGCAAGGCATGGGTACGACGAAAGAGCAAGCCACAAGCGGAAATAGCAGAAGATATCAAGCATGCGGGGACTCCGAAGAAGCGTGTCGTTAGTGACGGCCACTGGCGCAGAGACCGAACGGCAAAGCCAGAGACGGCAGTGACTCCAGAGAAGGAGGTGACGCCAAAACCGATTACGATCAAGCGTAGTGTGGTGACTGTAGGGTTGAAGATCCCGCCTTCGGTCCAGAACTTTTACGAAGATATTGAACCCGCGCCCGTCAAAGTACGACCGCTCCGAAAGTCGCGATCCCGATCACGGTCGAGGTCGCGAGAGCGCGAAGTCACGCCAGACTATGAGGATAGTGGCGTCAAGGTGTACATCAAGCGACGGAAACGCTCGAAGACTTTCGACGAACATAAGGCCTCGAGCACGTCACAGAGCAGTCTAGCGGCCGGCTCATCTGTCGACAAGACAGCCTCAAGTACAGATATCACGACACCCGCCCAGTCTCCGAGAAAGCAGACACCACCAAGGCCTGCGACCGCGCCGAAGGAGAAGGCTTCGCATCGGTCGTTGGAGGCAGTCGAGGAGCCTCGTCACGTAAGCCAACACCGAGCGGGCGCAACTCCGGCGGAGGCCGCGACACGTGCTGGGCCAACACCGGCTGGTCCTCGCGTGTATGGTAGTCGTATTGAAGGCTGGCTTGCTTCCACGCAAGACCCTTTCGTAGAAAAGCGAGAAGCGTCGGATGCTCCTGAGCCACTGCAAGTCAGGCGTAAAACGCCAACGAAGCCAGTAGACACCGATACGAACAATGACCGACAGGCAAGCAGCGCCAGGAGACAAGGGTCGCGCACGACTCTGGAACCGGTGGACGCTGAGCGCTCCTCGCGTTCACCAGACGATGTCTCGCGAGGTTCTCCAACTTTGCGACGTCATGGTGCTCGACGGTCTTCACAATCACCAGTCAAAGGCCGTGTGGATCGTGATTTAGATCACCAACCGCGAGACGCCAAGACAGAGACGGTCACAGACGCAGAACTAAGGAGGCAGATGTCCAGAAGAGCCAACAGCCGATCTTTCCCAACTCTCGGCAGACAATTGTCTACAATTGCGTCGGTCGACACATTTCAAGGTGGCAGACCGCGGGGATCTTCCGATGCATCTGAGCATCCGACCATCGTACCAGAGGGAAGCGTGCTATCCCGGGCCAGCGATGGCGATGAGCCGCGCCGTCAAACCAGTCTCAAGCGCCGGCTCACAAAGCACTCCGACCTCATTTCCGTACTGTCGCTTCCCCGAGGAGACCCGGGCTTGCAACCGACTCGGCGAAGTACGCGATCACGGAGGCCGCAAGCGGAGCTGACAACCATCGGCGACATAATGAACGAAGTCACCACGGAGGAGCTAAAGTACCAGCGAGAACTTCGCACGCTTGTCGATGGCGTCATCCCCGTGTTACTCACCTACGTCTTGCAGAAGACCGATGCGACGGGCGCGAAACGCTTGTTCAGCGGCTCCTCCCCAGATGGTCAAGCGGTCACTCGTCCCATCGTAGAGATGGGTGTGGCGCTCGAGAAGCTCAAGGCCGCTCACAAGCGCATACCGTTGCATGATGCTGACGGGCTTGTGCGATGGGCTCAGAATACAGCTGGCAAATACGCGGAGTATCTGAAAGCGTGGAGGTTGGGCTTTCAGGATGTCGTCGTTAACCTGGCGCCGGCGCAGGAGAATGAAGGCGTGCCGAGGAACAACAACGGCGACATGCTGAAGGGTGATGGTGAGCGAGTGGACGTGCAGTACCTCCTCAAACGTCCGCTTGTTCGGCTGAAGTACCTGACTAAAACGTTTAAGAGCATCGACCAGCTCGCGCCATCGCGGAGCGCAGAAGAGATGGCTGCGAAGTATCATGAGCTGGTTCAAGAAGCTCGACAGCGCTCTAACGACGAGCGCGCGCGTCTTGAGGACGAAGGAGCCGCGAACATCGACCCTACCAGAGCACGAGATCCGCGCAGTCTGGCACCGCTGGCGGGAGTGACCGTCGATCCTACCAGGAGCGTCCGAGCACGGGATTACTACGACTTGGAGCTCATCCACTCCACGGGTCAACAGCTGATGTGCAAGACCGAGATCATTCTCCGTGACGATGCGCCAGACCGAGGAGACGCGAGCGATATACTAATCTGCGAAGTCTCGCTGGCCGGACGATGGCTGTTGTTCCCGCCGATACCCGCCTCGAACGTGTCCGCAAGGTCCGGCGACAAGGATGGGGAGATCATCGTCATGGTGAGAGGTCTGCTTGCCAGCGGTAAGGAATGGCGAGAACTCATGTCATTGCGATCAGAGGATGAGGGTGCCGTGACTGAGTGGCTCGGCATGCTGCGCTCTAGTCCTGCACCTCCACGGTTGACCAAACAGTCGAGCTTCAACACGCTGCGGGAGCCGTACCTCATGAGTGGAGGTCTAGGGAAGGCACCTTCTGCAGCTAGAGCACCTTCTCCTAGCGAAGTGGATGTACCGATAGGCGAGCAAGCGGACGATAAAGCGGAGAAGTGGGATGGCAGTGAGGTCAACAGCGTAGTGGGCGACCTGTCTTCACCGTCTGGCCTGCGTAGGACCAAGGCCAAACGGTATCGAAGCTCGCCCGCTTCACCAATCACCGAAGATCCTTATGAACAGGTTCGAGCTCGCGCGGTCCACATCAGCAAGCAGGAACGGTACGTTGAAGATGCTCCCTCGCCCCTGCAGTCGAGGTATCGCGGGAGGCCGCAATCCAGCTATGTGCCGTCGACCTCCGACTGGACGTCTACTTCCGCTCCCTCGACGCCCAGGAAGGAGTACAGTGTCTGGTTGCCTTCAACGGACGGCGGGTCCGTGTCGGAGTCTTCGAGTGGTGAGTCGGAGGATGAACGTCATACTCGTCGACCACAGCGCCCAGGCTTGCATCGGAGGACGTCATCTGTGCCCTCGTTGGAGCTGCCGACGATACCCAAGCTTAGGAAGCCTCAGCCTAGTGTTTCGCATAGGGTACCGGACAAATCACCGCCACCGTCCATCGAAACGCCGAGGTCTGCGCCATCGAAGCTGCAGAAGAAGCGTGCGGAGCCAGCTACTACTGATCCGAAGAAGATGGAACAGGCACCGTCGGCGCGGCCGACTTCTGTTGGTCTTCGATCAAGCATACTGCCGTCGTTTACTCCAGCCTTCCTGAAGCGGAACCGAAGGTCATCGTCACCGCTCAAGCACGAATACGAGCCTTCCACAGCGTCTGGGTCGCTTAGCGAAAGCGAGCTTTCAGAGGTCGACGCGGTAGAGTCTGCGACATCGGAATCCGAAGAAGAAAAAGAGGGTACATCTACGCTCGGCGACTTGCAAAACTTCCAGAAGCGTGGCCAATTCCGATCAATCAGCCATCCTGCACCACCCAAATCTATCTACTCTGCTGGTGGAGAGTCTGTAAGACCTTCGGACTCGGCTTCGCAAGGGCCGTATCGCACAGTGCCGCCAGTTAGTGGTCAGCCGAGCAAGACTGTCGCGTCCATCTTCGCCTGGTCTGATCGCGGGTCTTGGGATAGCCTGCACCCCCAAGAATGTAGCATCTTCGTTACGCCCGGCCTGATTGAGGCTTTCGACATGGCTCAAGCGGCTGCCGTGATTGCTAATCTTGCAGAGGGCACACGAACGACCCCTTCTCTGCACGGTGTCAAACCGCTTGTTGCTCTTGAGCTCACGCCTCTGGTGCCTTTGCGACGGGGTACGGCAGTCGACATCTCAATCAGGTCGCCACCAACCGCCAGCTCGCTCCTTCGAACTGGCAATAACGTGATGTTCCGCTCCCAAAGCCCGGAGGAGTGCGAGAAGCTGTACAACATGATCAACCGAGCACGCATTGACAATCCCACCTATATTGCGCTGCAAAACGCACGAGGACCAAGAGCAACGAGCAACTGGGCTGAAGTCATGGATCAGAGGAATGCGCAGCGTTCCAAGAGCGCATCTTGGATTCGACTGGGCACACGAAGAAGCAGCACCTACCGTTCCACAGGCAGTCGTGCCGTATCCGCATCTACAGTCGCCACGGAGTCGTCGATCGGCACGACGAACTCTGCCTTCTCTGCCCTGCGCAGGTTCAGCAGCGGCAGCAATGGTATCTTCAACATCGCCAAGAGCACCCTCACGTCCAGAGAAGGCACTGGCACTCGCAGCACCTACAGCGACTCACTGTCCTCCGGAGCAGCAACCCCAATGACCTTCGATCCAAGCTTGGGCACGCCTCTTGGCATCACCAATGCGAAGATCCGGCTGTATATCCGTGAGAGTGCGTCGAAATGGCGAGACATGGGCGCGGCGCGCCTGACGGTCATGCTGCCTCCCCGCCACGATCTAACTGCGGCAGCGGATCCGAGAACGACAGGCATGGACAAGCGGATCATAATCTACGGGAAGAGTAAGGGAGAGACTCTGCTTGACGCGACGCTGGGTGAGAGTTGCTTTGAACGCGTCGCGCGAACAGGCATTGCCGTCAGCGTTTGGGAAGAGGCTACGGGGCCTAATGGCGAAGCGGTAGTGGGGGCGCATGGCGGTGTCAGTAATGCGCGATCGAAGGTGTATATGGTTCAGATGAAATCGGTATGTGCTGTGCTGTTCATGCGGAGTTCCGAGATCGCTGTTACTGACTTCTGCGACAGGAACGCGATGCTGCGTATACGTTTGGTTTGGTCGGCAAGCTGCGATACTAATTATACCCTGTACAACTTGCGGATGGGAAGCATGTGGCGGTTGCGTGATGTTAGCGACTGGCGTTCGGATATCAATAGACTTTGGTGCTATGCGATGTGCACACCCGTAATACAAGGTCAGAGAGATGGGTGTACACCAAGGCGTCTACGCGTCTGGCTGCGGAAGCAATTCCAAGCGGAAGCCTTTACTGTTCGGCACTTGCTACCGAAGCTCTCATGTACACTTCTCCGCAACCAGACATCGGAGGCTGCTGCGCCAGTACATGATCCAGTAATGGCACGCTTATATGGACGTAGCAGCCAAAGGTAAGTTGTTCTTCAATTCAGCTGCTCTCACTGTTCCGTTAGTCCACTTGATGCTATGGCGACAAACGGCACTCACAAGGCTGCAAAGATTGGCTACATCGGCTTAGGCAATGCTGGCTATCCATTGGCCTCGACGCTGTCCCGCGCAGGATACACGCTGGTTGTCCGGGATGCAGATGCAGCCAGAGCAAAGCGTTTCGGGTCAGAACATCAGCACGCAGTGGCTGCCTCGGGTAATAGTGACTTTAGCGATGTAGACGTGCTAATCACAATGCTACCCAATGGCGAGATCGTGCGAGACGTCCTTCTCGGCGACGGGAACTTGGCGAAGACGCTGCAAGATGGCGCAGTCATCGTGGACACTTCATCATCTTCCCCATTCCACACAAGGGAGACGGGCAGACTGTTGCACGAGCTAAATCCGTCATTGACCCTTATTGACAGCCCCATTACCCAGGAATACGCCTTCGCGCTCGCCAAAGGAGACGCGACGTTGATGGTCGGCTGCTCAAACCCGGCAGCGTTGGAGATCGCGATGCCTGTGCTAAAGACCTTGGGCAAGCACGTCTTCGTTATGGGCGAGTTAGGAGCCGGTCACGCGATGAAGACACTCAATAATTACACCTCTGCCGCGAGCATACTGGCCTTGTGTGATGCGCTGATTGCGGGCCAGAAGTTCGGGCTCGACCCGGCCAAAATGATCGATGTGATGAATGTTGGGACAGGGGTGAACTTTAGCACGAAAGAGAGCTTCCGGACTGATGTCAGTGCTCTCTGCCTAGTGAAAGTTGGGTTTCATATTGACGCTGTATCGCAGGGTCTCACGCGCCGCTTCCAGTCTGGCTATCAGCTGTCATTGTTGGTGAAGGACATGAAGATCGCAAAGGTCGTCATCGAATCCATGGGCGTGCCGTCATCGCTACCTGCATTGATTGTCGATGAATTGTCAGAAGCGGATCGCGTTGCAGGTCCTGGCGCTGACCACACCCAGTGCATACAGGGTTGGGAGAAGAAGTCTGGGGTGCAGCTTAAGCAGAGCGAAGCCGTAAATTGAATGTATTGAACACCTTTCTACTCATGCTCGCTTGCAGGTAGCATGGGTCTCTTTTATCAGCGGCCAGCGGCCTTCTCAGCAGCATATGCCTTTTGCTGCAGACCCGGGAATGGATTAAACACGTTCCGTGTGAGCATACGCCAGACGCCGGTAAATGCGGGTATCATAAGTCTAGAATTGATCTGCGAGCTGTCAGCGATGCGTCGTCATAGTCTGCAGAAAGTCCAACGTACCCAAAGTCATGCTCATGCTTACGTCCGTGTTCTCTACCATCTTCGTGAACTCCTCAAAGCTGATCTTGCCATCATGATCCAGATCGGCCTCCATGATCGTCTTGTCAACAATCTGTTGCAATTGCTGATCCTTCAAGTTGCTGCCGACCATCATCTTCAGCACAATGAACAGCTCGCCATTGCTGATGTAACCGTCTCTGTCAATGTCGTAAACTTTGAAGGCAAAGCGGAGCTTCTCCTCCTTGTTACCCTTTGAGCTGAAGGCGCTCAGACCGGAGACGAATTCCTGGAAGTCCACATCGCCGCCACCGTCCTCGTCGAATATGGCGATCATACGGGTCGCTAGTGGATTGCTTGACACTTGAGGTAGAGAGAGGAACTCATCGCGCTCAATGGTGCCGGAATTGTCCTGAATACCGCACTTTAGTTGTCGAACACATGAGCCGATCGGAAGTATGTACCTTGTCAAGTTTCATAAATCGTTTCCGTAGCCTGTCGACTTCCTCTCGGTCAACTGTGAGCATGTACCGGTCAGCATGTGCATCGTAGGTGAGAGCGCCGTCCTGGTTGATGGCATAGTTGTAAGCGTACAATTGCTCCCTTGCACGATGTTCTCGAGCATCGCCGAGTTGGCGTTCCCCATCTTGTCGACTGTCTGATCTCGTATTGTGTCGCAATGGTCCGGTATAGCGCAAGGCTGAAGAGGGCTGGACTTGAACAACTGTGTGGGGCGCTCTTTTACGAGACGGCGGCACGGCCAATCAATGTTCCGTCAATGCCTCGTGCTCCATTACCTCTACTAGCGACAAGCTATTGACTTACAACTAGGGGCACTCACGACACCACCTCTTCAGCTCTTCCAACTTCTCAAACGCGCAGTGATCAACCATGTCAGGACTACAAGACGCGGCACTACAAGCTGCAGAAACAATCCAGACGGCCCACATCAACCCAGCACCCTCAGTACAACACGATCTTGCACCGTCAACCGCGGCAGAGCGCAGACAACCTGTCGAAATCGATGCCGATATGGACGGAGATGTGGAACCCGACGTACGAGACGATGAGATTCCCGTATCCATCCTCCGCCCAACACCTCGAAGGCCACAAATGCCACCCTTACCGGACCTTCGGTTTGAGCAGAGTTACCTGGCCAGCATTAAGGATGCCAAAGGTTGGCAAGGCGTGGCTATCATCACAATCCGCGATCAAGTGAGCCTAATCTGTATTCAAGATTATCCTATGGCTCGCTGACTGTTGCTACAGATCCTCATGCCCCTAGTTCAAGGATTGGCGTGGACTCTCGTCGTCTCCGGCTGGCGCTACGTAAATCGCGACGTGAAGCTCTCTGGCCAAACCATCGGCGCCAAGATTAGGCGTTGGTGGTGGGGTGTCAACAACTGGCACATACCGGACGGTACTGGTACGCTTCGAGATGAAAAGGTCGCCGAAAGTGTAGAGGAATACGTGACCACGCAGTTCTCAAGCGGAGGACTGGCCGACGATTGATCTCAACAACGTACTGCTATCTCCAAGACGGCTGGAACGTCGTTAGGACACCCTTGCATGTGGTGCAAGCAATGGCGACTGCTGCCTTGGCGCAACCTGGCCCTCATCCATGTTGTGCGCGAAACGCCAGCGTCAATTCATCTTCGATGAAGTCTACTCACGCCTCACTTGTCCCAAACGGCGCGTCCTGACTTACACAAATACTCAGGACGATGAGGTTCGCCTGCCGAAGGCCGTACGGTTACTGTCACAGGCCGATCGCTGTGGCGGCACGCGGCGCCGTCCCTGCGACTTTGTTCGACGGCGTCATCGTTTCCGACGAGCATGTCTTGAGATCGGAGTCGTGGGACCTGAGTTGCTGGGTTTCGCCGTGGTCAAATGAATGCGTGTTTGCGTACTCTTTTCGAGCGAGTCAAAATCCACGACCGGACATCTGGGACCCAATTCGACTCTATGAATCTACTGCTCAACGGTCACCGGCTTGCTCACACATTGCTTGCCATTCCGATTAGTAACATGACAAGCACCTCGGTCGCCAAACGGCATGTAGACCATACCATGATGTCTAGCCACGCACACGGACCGAAAAAAGCCGGAGATACCGCACCGTAAGAGGTGGCATGGTTGAGCGGTCTCCACCCCAAGTCTGCTCGTCGAACATACCGTCCGTTCGATCCAGCCGATTGTTGGCCACCAACATGTCTCCCCGCCAAGTGAACGTCCCTTTGTGCAGCAGCTTCATAGCCACTTTTTGCCGACTAAGAACAGGTCATCTTAGGGGAGAGGCGTGTGAATACCAGGAACAGAGAATTAGCGACGTGTAAAATACTCTTCTCGAACTTGGACTGACAGCACAATGAGCTGGTGGTGGACTCTGCAACATATATGCATTGGGCCACAAGCTGAAGCGTACGAACCTCACAATGCTGCCATGACAGCATGCCATTCAGACCATGCAATTCGCAGACATGCGAACCAGATATTGTAAGGCCGCGTAAAGACGCAGGCAGAGCACAAAAGTGGCTCACTGATTGTGAGCCATCGGCAATAAATTATATGGCTTTATTGGCGCAATGCTCCGATAGGCCGCAGACAGTGGGTGGATGTTCCTTGGCCACAGTACTTCGCCATGTACACCTGCAGGTCCGCCGCAGTCGAGACCCTGAGTTCTCACGTTGTCACGTCACTGGCGCCTCCCAAGAGCGGAGCCTCTCCGTCCATTCTCGTAACAGCTTCTTGATCGTGCCTACTTCGGGCGAAAGAGAACCTAGTGTTACAGTAGGCTTTCGTAGACTTCGATTCTTCTTCAGTACCACTTCAATCCTTTCCCAGCTGTATTAGTAGAAGATACACTTAGAACATTTAGACCACCTTGAAAGCCTTGCAAAGGCCGAGACCGGCGACTGCTTGCCAAGCGGAACAACCACAGCAATGTCGAACAGACCAATCTTCGTCGCTACCCATCCACGGGCATGCTCGACCGCCTTCGAGCGGGTAAGGATAGCAGTGACGCTGCAACAACAAAGGTTGTAAGCTGACATGTAGCTAAGGTCTTTATGACCCAGCGTAAGACGCTACGAACAATCCATGAGCCTTTCGGCGATGCATTTTACTATGGCACCGAACGGATGGGTTCACGATTTGAGAATGACGAAGAAGCCCGCAAGAAGTCAGGCTTCGCAGAGTCAAATTATAAGACCATTTTCGACCACATTATGGAAGCTGCTGAGGTGTGATTCTTCCTTCCCACAGCATGTTCCTTGCTTTGCTTTCTGCGTGAATTTACCATTTCCTGATTCCGAAGTGGATTGCTCAACGGTGAGAGCGACGACGAAGCGGAAGACGTGATTCTGTTCAATGCTTCGCGCAATGTGAAGCTAGAGCGCAGCTTCAGCCCAGTTTGCGAAGCTACCGCAGCGAGTGGCACGTAGTATTCGTTGCGACTGCACGCTCCTCAAATCTCGCTGTCACCGCTTGTCGAGACAATGCTTACCCATCCACCAGGGTAAGCGTGTTCTGATCAAGGACATGGCTTACTACATTGTCCCACCCGACCAGCAAGAGGCTCGCCTCGCGCCTTCTCTTCTCCAACTCAAGCGCGGCGTCGGAACCGAGGAAGACCTCAACGAGCAAGGCGGCCTGGGCCTTCGGTTCGGCCACGACTCCGGCGTGGACGTCAACGCTGCTGCCCCGAAGCCATCCAAGAGTCCACCGTTTCCGTTCGAGACACGGTCGGAGCCTGGAAACCCGACGGTGATACCGCGTGAGATCCTGGAGCGCTTTCATTTCACCTTTTTGATCCGCCATCCCAGGTCATCGATCCCGAGCTTCTACCGCTGCTGCGTCCCGCCGCTTCTGGAGAGGACCGGCTTTCACGACTTCATGTCCGCCGAGGCCGGCTACGACGAGTTGAGGCGTTTGTTTGACTACTGCAAGGACACCGGGCTCGTTGGTCCAAAGGTGTGCAGTCCAGGAAACAGCGCGCCCGAGCAAACCAATGGCCACGTAAATGGATCCAACAACATTGAGATCTGCGTGATTGATGCGGATGATCTACTGGACGATCCTGAGGGTGTGCTCCGGAAATACTGCCAAAGTATCGGCATCGAATTCAGCCCACAGATGCTTGTATGGGATGACGAAGAGGACCACAAAGTCGCGAAACAGGCTTTCGAAAAGTGGAATGGCTGGCATGATGATGCGCTTCATTCGAAGGACCTGAAGCCCAGACAGCATGTAAGCTATTCCGCCTGGTAATATTGCACTGCGACTGCGAGACTGACAGACTCTGTGACAGAAACACAAGAAGACGGATGAGGAGCAATATAGCGACTGGGTGGAGCGGTACGGAAAGGATGCCGCAGAGACGATCAAAAAATGTGTTGCGGATAACGTCGCCACGTACGAATACCTGAAGCAGTACGCTATACAGGTATGAGTTGGTAGGAGTCTCCGTCAACAAGCAGTACTTTTCATCTCTACATAGTCAAACCGTGCTGTATCGCAGCACAAAGGCGGAATGCCCATGAATTGTGTCTTTTCAAACGTAAATGGTAGAAGTGTCAGTGAGACGTTCTATACCGGGTCTCATGCGAAATCCAAAGGATTGCTGAAGCAGTCTGGATCTAAGTACATCTCTATCGCACAACAGATCATTACCAGCGGCTTCGAATACAACCGCCCCGCCTCCCTCCCAACTACCGCCGCGAACCAGCTCCCTTGGGCAGCATTACACGCGCTCTGAGAAAGGAATACACCTACCATCCCAAGCCCTCAACCACACCCCTCTGCAAGTAAGCGAACGGATTATAACCCGCGCCACTCGCAGTTGGCTTCGCCTGCGCAGTCGTGCCCCATCCACCGCCACCGTTACCCCCGGCAGTCGAAGTTGGCTTCAACTCCTTAGACGTTGTCGTGTCCCATCCACCACCGCCACCAGCATAGTAGTTGTTGTACGGGACGGGCTGTGTGGAGCTGCTCGTATATGGAGAAGTGCTCGGCTTGGTGGAGGAGGTGGTGGACCAGTACCAAGTTGGCGTCGTCGACGTTGTGGTTGGCTTCGAAGACGTGGAGTATGTTGTCGGATAGGTTGGCCATGTTGTCGTACTCGTGGTGGTCGGCTTAGTCGATGTACTAGTTGTACTTGACGTAGTAGGCTTCGATGAAGAAGACGATGTTGTTGGATAGGTCGGCCAGGTGGTTGTGCTGGTCGACGTTGGCTTCGTGGAGGTGCTGATCGTGCTAGTTGAAGTGCTGGTCGTGCTCGTCGTCGTTGGCTTGGTCGAAGTGCTGGTCGTGCTGGACGTTGTTGGCTTAGAAGATGTAGACGAAGTTGTTGGGTATGTCGGCCAGGTGGTTGTGCTCGTCGTTGTCGGCTTCGTTGAAGTGCTCGTAGTGCTTGTCGTGGTCGGGCTCGTTGAGGTGCTGGTTGTGCTCGTAGTCGTCGGCTTCGTCGAGGTGCTGGTTGTGCTCGACGTCGTTGGGATCGTAGAAGTCGTCGTCGTGGTGGTGCTCGTCGTGCTGTGTGTCGTGCTTGTTGTGCTCGTCGAGGTAGGCTTGGTGGATGTAGAAGTCGTCGACGGCGTAGTGAGGCTGCAGCTCGACGAAGTCTGGCAAATGGAGCTGGTGAGAACCTGCGTGCTGTACCAGTAACTTTCGTAGGTGCTAGAGATGGTACTGGCATATGGCGTGCTCGTGGTGTAGGTCTGCGGAACGGTAGATGTCCCAACGCAGGTCGTCACGGTCGGCACGATGTGGGGCACGGTAGAGGTGCAGGTGGAGTACGAGGTGGTGGAGGTAGTGATCGTGGTTGGAAAAGTCGAGCAGGTGACGGTCCAGCTAGTGATGGTGGTAGGAACGGTGATGGTTTCGGTGGAGTATTGGGTAGAGACTGTCGAGACCATGACTGTTGTGCGGGTTAGCGTGAAGACTCTATTGGGTTGCTGGGAGGGCACGAACTGGTTTGGTAGGAAGTAACAGAGGACATGATGGTAGTTGTGTAGGTCACCGGCTTATAGGTAGTGCTGACGATGATCGTCGGGACCGCAGTAGACAGCGTTTCGGTTGACGTAGCATAGACGGGTGTGCAAAGGCTGGAGAAGAGCCAAATGCAGCTGCTCACCGGCGTGCTGCTGGTGCTCGTCGTATGCGGATTCACGGAAGTGGACGTCGTGGTTGGCGGCGTCGGCGTCGTGGACAAATATGGCGGAGGCACCGGAGTGGGTGTCGTCGTGGGCAACACACTTGGGGTGGACGATGACGACCAGCCATAGCCATAGTCGATTGGCGCGCTGCGCTGGCGGATGGCGGCGGAAGCGAAGCCGCTGGACGCGACCAGGGCAAGAGCAACTGGAATGAACTGCATCTTTGCGGTTTTTGGACACGAAGCGACTGTACGATGTGTGTTGCGCTTGGTATGGCGAAGATGTACGAAGTCGGAGGGTGAAGGCAGGATATGAAGCTTGTTGCCGTTTGCGGCGCCCTGCTGTCGAACACAAAGGGCGCCTGCATCAGGGATGGGCCCATTGATTCAACCTTCAGTCTCGACCTCAAAGCGAGACGATCCAGTGCACGGTGAGTGGTATGCTCAATGGATTGTCGCTTAGCGTGGAGATAGTCTTGATTTCGTGATGCTATTCTTGAGTGCACCAATCTTGGGAGCTTGAATTGCGCTTTGTGTGAGACAAAGCCGACTGTCTTCCCTAACGTAGTCGTCGTTACACCATTAACGTCCAATTCAACTTGCTCATCAGTGACACTCATCGGAGCATCGCTTGAATACTGGTTTGTGCTGTCGCGGTACGTTGGTGGTTGTGACGGTTTCGCGTAAATGCCAAGATTAGCCCACCACCACATCAAGTAGACACTCGTTGCACGTGCACAGAACTAGTATGGCCGCCCTCTGCCTCTTCCGTACCCACCATAGCTGCTTGGCGGTCGCTCTCCTCGCCTCCAATCTCCAGGCGGCGGCGGAGCGCCAAGCCCACCTCCTCTCCCAGCATACCCTCCTCTATCACCGTAACCCCCTCGATAGCCAGACCCGCCTCTGCCATATCCACCACCGTAGCCATTCTCCCGCGGCGGTGGTGGGCCTCGCATACTGTACGGGTCCATCCTCGGCGGCGCTCGTGAAGGCGGTACAGATGCTACTCGGCCGTCCTGGCCTGGCGGCAGGATAGTGCAGACCACGTAGTCGCCGATGACAAAGCGCGCATCCCCTAGCGTGCGTTCCGAGTCACCTTCAAGATTGTCTTTCATCTCGCCGTTGGTCTCGTCGTCGTGATGTAGCTCCGCATCGCGCCCGCCAATGACCACGCTGCCAAGTGGTTTGTCGATCCACTTGCCGCGACCGCCTTCCCTAACTTCGGCGCGGGTGTCGGGAAAGACGAGCTTGTAGACGAGACGCGTGCCTACTGCAGGAGTGGCCAAGATGCCGGGCGGGAGGACGCTGGTGAGCAGGCCTGTCAGCTCCCCAAGGGAGCAGGTAGGCCAAGTGTAGATGGAGACGCTTTGCTGCCGAATGTTATGCGGAAGGAGGTTAGAGTAGTCGCTGATGCCTGTCGTGTCTTCGGGAGGGGCTACGGAGAACTCATTGGGAAGTAGTTCGCGGTTCTGTCTCCAGAACAGGCGCAGTAGGAACGGTGCGGTTGACGTGCGGTCGACCTCGCGGTTGGTCGGTTGGAGTGACATTGTGGTCTCCTCCCACTGCTAGTTTGCTGTTGTCGTAGCCATCACTGATCACTCAGGCCAAGATATAGCAGTATGGACGGTTGTCGCGTGTGCGAGAAAGTGAACCTACTTCACTGGCACGAAGCTTTCCAGCCTCGGCGGACGCGGAATCACTTCGGGCGCAAACCAATTCACTTGTTCACTCATATCTTGCGTGCAATCCTCGATATCAGCATATAGCATCCACCCAACATGGATTTCGCCAGCTTAATGCAATCGCAGATCACCTCTGCACAACCTTCAGACACCAACAAGAAATACCTCAAGCGCTCGGAGGTAGAAGCGCAACGACAAGCCGACTACCTCCGCGAGCAAGAGGAATTGGAACAAGCCCGCCTCGACCGTCTAGAGAAGAAGCGAAAGCGGGACGATGAGGAGGCGGAGCGTGTGGCAGCTCGTGAGGCGAAGAAGAAGCGGTTAGCGGAGGAGAGCCGGAAGCGTGCCGAGGAGGAGGCAAAGGCGGAGGAGAATGCGAGGAGGAAGAGGCTGGGTTTGCCGCTGCTGGAGGGGAGGAGTGACAGCAGGGAAGGCACGCCGTTGAAAGAGGGCGAGCAGGATGTCGTAGATGACGAGCTGCGGATGAACCTGCGCGATATGGGCGAACCGACTGTACTGTTTGGCGAAACGCACCTGCAGCGACTTCGACGGTATCGGAAGCTCACAGCCGCCGCATTGGCGCCCAAGATGAGCAAAGGACCTATACCAACCACCATCGAACTCCTCCCGGAAGCCGAGATGAAAGTGCCGGCGATCATCCCTACAGAGAGCGAAGCGAAGAAATACCTCTCCCGCCAAATCGCCAGCTACTTCGACATGGTTCTCACTGAGTGGCTCCTCGCCCTCTCTCGCCGCGACGCAGCAACAAAGGACTCCTTCTCCGGCAAACAGGCGTACAATAACTTTCTCTCCGCGCGCGAGAATCTGACGCCCTTATTTCGCAAACTAGAATCACATGTCTTACCCGACGTGCTTTTGCGCTCGGTCAACGAGATCGTGCATCTTATGCAGCTGAAGCAGTACGTTCGCGCCAATGACGCGTACCTGAGGCTTAGTATCGGCAAGGCTGCGTGGCCGATCGGAGTGACGATGGTAGGCATCCACGAGAGGAGCGCGCGGGAGAAGTTGCATGAGACGGATAAGAATAAGGATGGGCAGGCGCATATTATGGCGGACGAGACGACGAGGAAGATGTTGCAGGGGATCAAGCGGTGTTTGAGTTTTGCGCAGACGAGGTGGCCGCCGGAGGATTTGGGGCAGTTGATGGGGTGATGCTGGCTGTACTGATCTGGCTAGTGGTGCCATGCCATGGAAGCTGTGACTTGCTGTGACAATGTCAATGCATTTGGGACGCGGCGGTCGCTTGCCGTGATGCTTCTGCATAGCTTCTCTCACTCTGATCCCATCTCTTCACTTCATGAGCCTCCATGACCGCTACCGATCACACAGCCACAACTTCAACACGTCCCTGGGAGCGTTCACTAGCGCAAGATGCAACGTACTCTCATGATTAATCAGCGTTGGTGGACATGAGCGCCCGCTCCATGCGCGAAGACCATTCGACTATTACTCTGCCGTCAGTACTGCGACTAGTCTTTTGACTCTTGTACGGGGCTTCGAAGACTGCCACCGATGCGAACTGGATCGGGCATCCCTGAAATTGCAGGAGTGACTCCTCCACCTTCTGCACGAACCTGAGCCTCCATTCTTCTCCTCCACCACATAGATCTCTGTCGAAGCCAGGCATGAAGCAGGTGAACTGCGTGAGACCGCGAAGCTTGCTCTTGACGAGCTTGTCAAAGGTGCTCGTGTAGTACATTGAGTGGGCGTGGCTCAAAACGACCGATCGAATGGCATGAGTCTGAGCGGGAAACAGGGTTTTGGCGAACCACGCAATATCCGCAAACACTGCGAACTCGAAGTGGTTCTGGTGGAATGGCAACAAAGCTGCTTCCTGGTGGATCTGGCGACAGGTTGCAAGAATTTGCACCGGCAAGGGGTTTCGAAGCTCTCCGTCAAGACTGCAGTCGGAATGGCGGTCGCTGTAGAGCTTGAAACCCTCAGACGTGCCTAAGCCTTCGTTATACCTAATGATCTGCCGAGCTTCAGCGGCATCATCGGTGGAGGAGGAGCAGATTGAGTGACAAGGCCGGCGGACGCTTCTCTCCCATAGTGAATGTGGTAAGTACATGTGGACGGTCTTTCCACCGAGCAAAAAGCCCCAGATACGGTTGCGTACATCTGGAGGTAGGCGGAGGAGCGATGAGTTCTCGGCATTCTGCTTGTAGCTGAAAGCTAGTCAGGGTATGTCCATATGTCTGGATAGAACTTCACTGACAGCGCCTCGTTGTCCTTTGAGACTGTCTTGGCGCGTAGCATGTTCATCCGGCGCACTCTCTTTGGAGCGAGTGTTGGTGGTGCCACCAACTCCTCATTGGAGTTCCTCTTACGCGAGCGAGTCATGCGAGTCATACTGTTGCGAGATGATGCTGGTATATGGTTGAAGTTGAGAAGTGAGCAGGCAGTCCGAACGTGAAGCGCATGCCTCATTTGGGCATTGCTGTGTTCGGTGAGAAGCGCCTGGCACTGTATTGGCTCAGGTAGTGCTGCGCCACGTACATGCATGGAGATTGGGCTATCTATGGACTGAGATAAAGGGCGACTCAACTACATAGGTGAACGTTGCCATTAGCAAAACGAACAATTATCAGGCTCAATTTCGCCTGGGCTTTACGATCATATCGCATCACAACGATCATTCAATGCCGTGGTGACGTTGATGGTGCCCTGTCTTTATCATGCTCTTGTGAACCTGATCAGCCTTTGACTGCAATCGGTCCATGAAGCTTCGCTTGACAATGGGTTGGCTAAAAGCAGACGCTACGCGTTGTACAGCGATGATGCTTTCCGTCTTGTCACCTGAGGATGACCGGTGCAGCGTTCGAATGTGTGAGGATCGTTGCATTGTGTTCAGCGCCGGTGCCCTGGCTGTGCGGAGTGCGGCACATGCATTCGGTGCACCTTGAGAACATACTATCAATAAAATAAGTGCATCACCACTTGATGGCCTCGACTATCGATGAGGAGACGATTGCACAGCTGCAAGCACCGGAGGTGGTCAACGCCACAGCGAACTCTCTCACGTACTATCGTTCTCAGCCCGGCAACCTTCGATCATACAGCAATGTCGAAAGCGTATCGCTCGGAACCGGATACAGTATCTACTCATCTACGATACTGCCGGCTATCAGATCCACAGACTTCGAGCTAATCCTCGTGACGTGTTTCTGGGCCCGATCTGCCACCTTGGACGCACTCAACGATGCCCTTCTCGAGCTCTCCGCAAAGGGGCTGAGTCAAGAGAGAAAGATCAGAATTCGCATTTGCTTCTCCAGCTCTTCATTACTGCAAAAGCTGCTACATACGCAGTCACTTCGTGGACAAACCTGGACGCCATCGACATGGAAGTCCAAGCTAGGTCTACCGGCCGCGAGCGAGCTCTCAGGCCTCGACATGGAAGTTATCAGTATTTTCCAGCTGCCTTTTAGCGTAATGCATCCGAAGTTTGTTATCGTTGACCGCAAGAGGGTGCTACTTCCGAGTTGTAACGTGAGCTGGGAGGAGTGGTTCGAGGGTTGCGTGAGCCTTACGGGAGCTGTAACCGAGCAGTTTTTGACCTTCTGGTTGAACTTCTGGGCAGATGAGAATATCGCAGAACTTCCGCCTGTCACGCAGGAGAGGGAAACCAGCTCTCCGCTGGTCGCGGATGGATCAACCAACAGGTTACTGGCTGTAAGAATGCTCAGCGGACAGGATGTGCCATCCACGCTGCTACCGTCACCACATCAGCGATTTAATCTGCCGTGGCTGTCCTCTTCTGCGGCACCGCCGACACCGCTCAACATCTATTTGCTGACACTCTTCGCTCGTGCAAAACGCTCCATCTACATTCAGACGCCTAACTTTACGGCCGAGCCGGTGTCGACAGCAGTTTTCGGTTGCTTGGCAAGAGGGGTGGATGTCAGCATTGTGACGAGCCGAAAGCTGATGCGTCTGGAGCAATTGGTGACCGCTGGCACGACCACGCATCGATGTGTCTCTGAGCTGGTCGAGCGGTACATGCGCTTGCACGAACAAGTCAAGGCTGCACGTACTGATACTGATGCGGAGACGGGACTTGTACCACGCGCCGTTGGGCAACTAATTGTCAATTACTACAAGCCGCGCAATGAGTGCGATCACGAGCCTGTGCAGTCTCACCTTAAGCTGACGATCGCAGACCAAGAGATCGCTGTCTTTGGAAGTGGCAATATGGACAGAGCGAGCTGGTACACGAGTCAGGAGCTTGGTCTGGCCCTGCGATCTAGGAAGCTCGTTGACGACATCTGGCATTGCTTACAGCAGGCAATGGCGGATCGCACCACAACAGTGTACAGCAGTGCGTGAGCGGTGCTTATCGACGCATCCGTGGAGGGAGCAGCATCAGTGCTCGAGGTAAACGTTACAAATTACACAGTGGCGGCTCCATCTATGGCTGCGCCTCCTCTTCCTCCTCATCCTCGGGCTCACTATCACCGCCGCCGCCTTGATGCTCCATGCCATCCAGCGGGTCATCTTCGCCTGCGAGCAGACCAGACCTCCGTTCTTTGGATCGGCTGAAATGGCTGGCCAAGGTGAGGACGAGCACGCTTAATCCATGGATCATCGTACTTCCAAACACGATGAAGCACACTAACGGCCATATGGTCTCCACAGCCTTTTCTCTGGGCGTATACGGCCGACCATATCGCGGCGGATGCGGATCAGGGGTTGCTGACTCGTTCTCGAGCATAGCGCGGGCTTCGATGGCAAGGAAGAGACCGCCCAGGCCCATCGGGCCAAAGTGACCGCAGAAGAGCGCTTCTTGGAACGTCCTGATGTCCGGGATCCAGCGATATAGCAGCAGAACTATTGGTATACGACGGAATGCAATGACCAGTGCGAGGAAACCAATGAGTCTGCCCGGCGTGATCCACGGAGTAATGCTTTGAGGTTCGAAAGCGTACCACGGTATCACTGCGCCAAGGAAGACAAACATCGCACTGTTGAGCAGCAAGTCAATGACGTTCGGCAAGTGTGTGGAGTGCGTCTTCTTGCTAAACCAGCCGTCTCTCGCGAAACCATATCCGGCGCCGAATGCAACGAGGAAGTCATCGCTCCCGAGTGTGCTGCCAATGCCGACACTTACAAGTGCCAGCAATAGGTAGAAAACCGTGAAGCCGGCCGGGTCAATGTAGCCCCGGTTGTCGCTGAACTTCAATATTCTGTTGAAGACGGTTCCAAGAATCAAGCCAACAGTGATCCCGAAAGCACACTGCCATAGGACTGTTATCAAAGTCCACTCTTTGATCGCACCACCAGCAGTAGATTGGAGGATCGCAAACACGCCGACGTAGAGAAATGGGAAGCTTATTCCGTCATTGCACCCAGACTCGGCGGAGAGCATATCCTTGATCCGCTTCGGCACGCGATTACTGAATTGGCTATTGCTGAGAATCGAGGACGCCAGGACGGGATCGGTCGGTGTCAAGCAAGCACCCACAATCAATGACGTCGCGGCGTCTGTCTTGAACAGAAGAGCGACAAAGCCGGCGCAGACGAGCCAGGAGAACGTCATGACTGGTCCAAGCATCATCGCCACCGACCTCCAATGTCGCTTGAAGTAGTATTTTGGGAGTTCGACACCGATGGCGAAGACCTGGATACCGACGATAACCCGGGTCGCTTCTTGGATCACATCGTCGCCCCAGCCCCAGCCGCCCAAGCCTTCAGTGTCGCCATCGCAGCCATTGACGCCGCACACGTTGGGACTGAGCCAGCCGAGTCCTCGTGGCCCGAGTAGGATGCCGAAGAGAAGTGCTATTGGTGGTTCGCTCAAGTGTAGACGATTCCGGATAAAAGAGGAGAATAATGTGTATCCGATGAGGAATGTAGGCAGAATCAAGTAAGTGATGTGGGCAGGTGTTGGCTCCAGCTGCTTCCAAGCCATTGTGGGTAGTTTAGTTCTGCAGGACTATATAGCCCAGCTTATGTTGCGGTGCTTAGCATGTGTCTTTGAGCAGCATACAATAACGATCGACCTAGACAATGACTGAGATGGCAATTATTGAAGGAGAGGTTGCAAAGCAAAACACCTCACTGAGTCGGCCATCTGAGAACTCTTCAAAGTGTCGTCACTTGAAGCTAAGGAAAGCGGTACGACTAAAGGGCAGGGTTTGACGACCGCCGCTAACCCCAGCCTGCAATAACGGTGTCACATTAGGTAACTACAGTCCTAGTAATTGATGGATCCTGCTGTTCAATCAGCATCCATTTCCACGTCGCAATCGAATGAACATCTTTCGCTCAGTGTTAGCAATACGCGCCATGACCATTCCGAGAGAAAGTAACAGCTTTAGCGACGCTGGTGGAAGCGGTTGTGGCTCGCAAATGTGCCACATTGTGATGTGCCTCAGCTTACGACATCAGCGCAGTTGGTCTTTGCATAGCCGCACACTTCAGGTGGTCAGCTCAGCGACAGCCACATTAGAGACGGACTTGGTACATGTAAGTCGCAGACGAGACACGCTTTCGAACACACACTTTCTCCTCCACATGTGTACTTTACTTCATTCTCGTTCCGCGTTGTGAGCTAGAACACGCAGCCACAAAGTTCGACCTGCGTCTAGTCATGTCGAGGCGCTCATTCATCACGAACATCACGCCTCTTCCGCAGCATATTACGCGGGACAGAGCGCTCGCGTTACTGCACGACCACCAGGAGATGATACAGTTAAATCCGCTCGTAGTTGGATTCGAACGAACGAAGGCGCACCCGAACGCAACACTGGAAGAAGAGCACAATTGCATCTGGTATGAGATTACGGATGTCGTTCATTATCTACCTGGCGGAGTCGCCAAAGGTCAAATCAAATACAAGGCTGGTTTCCATAATTTGCCGGATGGCATACAAACGCACTGCTTTGCTCCAGCCGGTGTTGATCTGAAGGCACGTTGGCGAGTGGGTGGAAACGTCTTTGGCCAGAAGCCAGAGCCGGCAGAGCTGGGCGTCAACAAACCGCGCGAGGGTCTCTATCTACGGGAGGATGTGGAGATACGATGTAATGTTTTACTAGGAGGAACAGTCAAGGGCAATCTCAAGAAGTCGCACGCGGTGCTTGTGGAGAGGCTATTAAGCGAAACGAACGAGGAGCAACTGGGAAGACCACGGTACAAACATCCGACTCCCGCTAAAGTGGTGAAGATAGCCGCTGATTATTAATGTCATGCTTGTAGACCGTCGCGGCTTACAACAAGTCCGACTTATGAAGCACGAATGGTTGGACCATCGAATCTGTCTGCGAGAAGCCTGGGGTCCGGCTCGACAATACCGTCTTTCAGACCAATGACAACCAATTCCTCACAGACCTCGGCAGACGCTAGCCCCGTGTCTGCTACGCTATTTGGTACCTCTCCCAAAGAAGAGCCTTGCTCCTGTGCTGCAGGCGGCCATGAACCGATGTGTGCCAATTACCGCTATGGGGGACCCGTTGCTCCTAAGCTTGTGCCGGCCCCTCTGCCTGCTACAGAGCCTGAGCGCGAGTCGTCCAATGACTGTCGCTGGCCTCCGCAGGCGAACAGGCACGTCGCAGGCGATGACGGCTACTCGCCTGCGGGAGAGCATCCATGGATGCATTGCAACTCCCCTCAAGTACCAAGCGTGCCGCACTCTATCCAAGCTCCAGCTGGATCATACGCCACGTTGAACCACGCACGAGTACCGAGCGCAAACTCCCTACTACACAAGCAAGCAGCCAGTCTGAACAGCTTTGGCAGGTTTGTATGGCGGTTGCCACCTGGTGGAAGCGAGCCGACTGTCGCATACCGCTCACCGCAGTTGTTTGGCGAACAAGCTGAGCTTCCAGACACAACAACAACGGAGAGGGACGAAGACTTTGCGGATCCGAGCCTTCGCTCAAATCCATTGCTGGCTAAGAAGCGTGCGCAAACCGGCATTGCCGAGCTAGACAGCACAGAGCTGGCATATTGGGAGAATGGTGGATTACGGAAGAGCAGCCAGCAGCCTGACTGGCTTTGAGTTTGCGAAATACCGTCCTAGCAACAGAGCCGGAACGCCTGGAATGTGGCATACGCTACTGCCAAAAGTCTTCGCCAAGATCGTGCGATGTGAACCAATGTCGCTTGGTCTACCTGATGGAATGCAGGAGCCCTGACTGCACATGAGAGATGGCGGACGTAGATGTACGCACACAAGTGAAGCCGCAATGCTCTTCACACAAAGCTAATGCTAACAGAAGGACAAACTTTTGGCAGACTTTGAGACACGCCGGTTGGCGGACGTCGAACTTGCTGCACAGCTCTGTACTATAAGTACGGATACCACAGCTCCAGCATGGCACTCTACGGCCATAACATCGATATCCAAATCCGGCCTCCCAACAAGGAGCCTGAATGGTCCAGCATCTGCAACAATGTCTTTGACCAGTACCTTGATACCGCTGATTTGTTCGGCTTGGAGCCCGATCCGCATGAAAGAAGCAGCTCAAACGACTCGGCCAACCTCTTCGACTTTTCCACGGGGTCCGAACAAAGCCACCAAACAGCCGGGACCTCGCCAATACCTTCCTGGAAGCACGGCAGCACGAATGTGATACCAGGCGCAGAAGCCGTAATGTCAATAGAGGCGCGTCAACCAATAGCGAAGGAGCCGTTGAACTTCTGGGCCAAGACGTTGAGGGCGCTGGAGCAGAATGCAGCAGCTTGTGAAAGGCAGCAGAGATTACGCACGGTAAAATCCAACCCAGACTTCTTGAGCCTTGGTGGCTGCCCGTCACCACCTGCCCTCCCGTCCTCGCCAATCGACCAATCATTGTCGACGCAGCGGCGAAGGAGTCGACATAACAAAGCCGCAAACGGTAGGCAAGCCTCACAAGCCAGGTCGCTCTCACGTGGTCGGCCTTCAGTAGCTGCAGGTGTTACGAAGTGTATCGCAGGTATTGCAAACCCATACGCCACCGTGCGCAAAGCCAGCGCCAGTCCTTCAAAGATGATGACCCCTTCCCGCTTCTCGGCGCGAGCGTCTGGCTTCAGAGATGTGTGGGCGCAGCGTGCCGAACGCAGCCCAAAGAAGTACGATCTGCGTGTTTCGTTGCAAGCGTTACCCGCCTCTCCGCCGTCTTCAGCGAGGTTGCCTACTCAAGCAGTACACCACGGAGACGATCATGCTGCTTTCGGGAATTCGCCAACCTTCGTGCCTTTACCGGCACCGCCGTATACGGCAGGGTGTGATGATCCGCTGTCGCCACTGACAAGCACTTTCCAGCATGCGCACATTCACACGCCCGTTGCGTCGCCGTCGGCGATAGCGTTAAATGCTGCAGCGCATACAAACAACGCATACTTTGGGGACGTCGTACCTCTCGTTCAGCCAAATCTTTATGCCGTCACGCAGAATCTGGCGGTGAATGACATCGTGCCGCTGTTTCCGGAGCGGACTTCGTCGCTTGCTGCGAGCAAGATACAATCTTTCGATTTTGGCTTCTCAAGCTCGCCGGACTTGGAGGCCTTCTGCTCCACAGCGCCTTTCGTAGAGCCTGTTCCGGCAAGCTACTCGGCGAATTCGCTGTCATTCATGGATCCTTTCCGTGGTGATGACAGTGTCTTGCAGTCGACGGAAACTGGTGGCCTGCCTCTGAACGGGTTGGGCATCAGCTGTGACCCAACACTCGTTTCCGGTTTCGCCACACTACCACCCACTGTCTACCCAGGCGGTCTGCCATCATCCTCGACTCCATACTCTCGGCCAGTTCAGCAAGCTCACGGCGCCTTCACAATGCCCAACATACCTCACCATCAACGCTCCATGTCCCACCTACACTCTCTCACGCCATCTCCGCCCCCATCAAGCACCACTCGAAAGTCACGGGCGGCGTCTGCTTCCCACAATCGCCGCTCGAGCCGCCACCGACGGACAAAGTCTGCTAGCTCGTCACACAGACATGCGGGCTCATATCACGGGAGCCCAGAGAAGGGTTCTGGTGGGTTTGTGAACTTCACCCCTCAGGATAGCAACAAGATCTTGAGTGGCGTGGCGCCTTCGGGCAGCTCGAAGACGAAAGCGAGGCGGGAGAAGGAGGCGGCGGATAAGCGGAGGAGAATAAGTCAAGCGGCTGTTCGGGCTGTGGTGGAGGCTGGTGGAGATTTGGATAGATTGGCTGAAGCAGGGTTGTTAGGATAGTCCTTGGCTGAACACTACAATGATGAAGCTATGAGCAGGTGCTATGCGGGTGGAAGGAGGCTTTGAGTCCATACGCGCAAATTCTGGTGTTCTTCGACCCCCAAACACCTCGCTAAGTGTCCGCAAGTGAATCTCCTGTCATCTAAGTAGCCGTGCTCGAGTCATAGGCAAAGCTGTCATAATACTTCAGTGCGGATGCGCGCCTGGCGGTACAGTAGTCATCCCTGGGGGAGGACTCATGTGACTTCCGCCGCCCATGGGAGCCTGGAAGTTTGGTGGAGGCATGTTCGGCGGGAATGGCATGTTTGGTGGTGGGAACGGCATATTCGCGGGCGGCGATCCGGAGGGCATCGGCATCGGTGGCATAAACGGTGGCATACCAGCCGGACTCATGCCTGGAGGAAAGCCTTGGGGTGGTGGAGGGAAGCCAGGTGGAAGAGGTGGCATCCCTCTTCCGAACGGCATAGGTGGCATACCTACGAATACTGTTAGTGACGGATTCGTAGCAAGCTCCATTACTTCGACGACTAACCTGGTGGCATCCCAGGCGGCATACCTAGTGGCATGCCCGGCGCACCCATCATGCCTGGCGGGGCCATCCCCGGCGGCGCACCCATACCGAAGCCTCCTTGCTGCAGCATTGGGTTCTCCGCTCCTTGACCCGCAGCGTTGTAGCTCGAAGTGATCGAGTCGATGACTGACTGCGCCTTCTCGTGCCCGATCTGCTGGTAGTAGTCGACTACATTTCGAAGGTGGTTGCGGCCGCTGTTGTGAGCTTTCCGCACGCTCATCGAATCGTGGGTGAGGTAGACATCGCAGTAGTCACAGAAGTACTTCGGCATGGCGAGTCGTATATCGATGGGTTGCTACAGAGCTACTGCGCCTGGCGGTACTGTAAGGGTAGCGTCGCTTGGATCTCGAATATTGGAGCGGAAGGCGGCGCGGACAGTGCGGATGCTAACTGCAAGCGACGTTAGCGCGACACGCTAGGCTCACGTCGTGACTGACGACAAGGGTACCACCACTGATTCTCCTTCAACCAGAGATCTCAGGATGGGCGTCAAGGGTGTCGCGTTCGCGTCTCGATATGAAGATGGAACTCGATCACCCCAAAGCAGAAGAGAACACCGCTCACAGCGCTCAAACCGCCAGATAAAGCCACTACCTGCGCAAATACTGGATCATTGCAGCATTTGCCTGGAAGAACAACTATTTTCACAAGCCTTTAGCCTTCTCTCGAATGCTCTGACCTCTGGATCGGGTCTGACTTCAGCTACATATGTGCCACCTGTCCAGCATCTTGCACTTGCCGCCACTCTGATCGTACATCCAAAGCTTACAACGCGGACAACCGCGCCCGAGAAGCATGCAGCTGCTGACGATGCTCTGCACTATCTCATTGCAGTCGTCAAGCTACTTGGAAGCTGCGATGCTGAGCTAGCTAAAGCGTTCGACTTTGTCGGAAAAAGCCAGTCCACCTCGCGGTCTAAGCGAGCCGCAAATCGACGGTCAGCCTTAACTGTGGAATGCGGTGCGGCTGATGACGCTAAACTTCGATCGCCGTACGTTGACGGTGACGCACTCTGGACTAATGCGGACGACTTTTGGAGCGTTGTAGGGTGGGCTTTAAACTGTTCGGTAGCGCACAAGCACCGCTGGGAGCGATGGAAAGTGTGGCTCGATTTGATGTTATGTGTCTTGGACGATGACTTACAAGGACACATGGCGACGGGTTCCGTCTCAGAAAGTCTGCTAGCCCATTATCTTCACCCCATCGGGGAGGGTAGGAACAACAAGCGTAGACTTATGCGAGCTATTCTAGCGGACGGCAAACAGAGAAGCCTTGCCGAGTTCCATGAGATCTGGCCGAACGAGACAAAGCTGCCTATGGAGAAGGACAATGACACTCGGATTGGCAAGAAGCGGAAGCTCGATCTTGATAACAACGACTTCGGTGACTACTACGACAACTCCGACGCCGACAGCCCAGATGACTCTCTGCAGGAATCTATGTCTGCAACGGGCTTTTTCAAGGGTGCCCGAAGTCGACATGGGCCCGACGACTGGTCTGCAAGAGATGCTAGCGACGATGATACCACCGCATCCATATTGATGGAAGACAAAGACTCCGGTAGTCGAAGCATTAATGCATTTGGTGGTATCGAGTCGATCCACGTTCGACAGCGCTTTCTTGCAATGCTCATCGCTCTCTGTCATCATGATCCAACGGCTTTCCTGGACACTGAGGATCTATTCGATCTACTTACCGAATTCTTGCGCCCGCTGCCTTTGCCAGTCTTTCAGCAATTCGTGCTACCAACCACAACGTACCTTGATCCTGACGCTCATAGCTCGCTGAACCAGATGCTACTCCGTGCATTGCTTAGTAACAATGCACCAGCATACGATGAGAACGCTTTGACGCAAGATGACTTCGAGACACACTATGCGCCGTACCCCGCAAACACAACAGGGGTGACGGACAACGCCAAAGTGAGCTTGATTATTGAGGACCTGCTGCGTCTGCTATGGCACAGCGGAAAGCTCGCGCCCAGTGAGAAGCTACGCAATGCTGTGGAGGCGGGCAATGATGCGAGGAGAGAAAAGGTCATTTCCGGTGGAAGGCGCAAGACAGGCGCAAAGGTAGTAGACGCTGAGGAAGCGGTAGCGACTTTAGAGCATTCGGCGGAAAGGATGCGACTCTGCGTGGCTATGTTGGCTTGAGAGCACTTGGTAATGGCTGCAGCATTCCGCTACCAGCGCTGCATAGTCCGCAAAGTACTCTACAGTGACCGTCTAAGCAAGCAGTATCAAGCACGGCACATAGTAACGGCGCACCACTCATGCGCCTCAGTGATTGTGCGGCTCACGTGACATTACATAATCGCTCGATCGAGGGCTGGGAGGCTTGCAGATCTTAAAACACCCGCAGCCATTCCGCAACGGCTGATTCGGCGGACTGTTGGCCCTGGTCATCCTGCTTGCTAAAATTGCACGTTCTCTGCAGGGTTTAGCAACGTTCGGACGATGATACCGTGATGCCGCATAATACGACGGTTGCCCTAGGCCATGCTCGGTACCGGTATGATCGACATCAAAAGAACGTGGAGCCATGTGGAGGCATGGGCCAGGTAAGCCGATCTTCGAACAAATGAGAAGGGTCCGATCCTTCGAAACCAACAGCCTGTGAGCAGCCGGTTGCGTCGTGAAGCTACTGCATGTCGCAATGGAACGGGCATCGAATCGAAGTTGTTCCTTTCAGTAAATAAGCTATTCATCCTACGAGTCTATGAGCCAGAATGACACCCTCTCCTTCCTAGAGACCCTCCTGCCGTTTACGGTGAAGTGCGAAGGCATTGTTTATTGGCAGTTTCGCCACTCAGAGGCCAAGAGACGTTGTTGTGACAGTCAGATCACACAAGGCAGATGACAGGGCAAACGGCACGGACCCTCCGTGCGTCCACCGGTGAAGACGAAAGCAACGTCTGTAGAAGTGGTTCGCGCAACTTCGCGGACTCCGGTGAAGGCTAGGGTGTGCTCCTCTCTTCGTTGCAGAGAGGAAATGATCTGTCGAGCGGAAAGCCGAGATCAAGGTCGCGAAGGATGTGTGAACAACAAAAGCAAGCTTGACCGACGGAGAATTGGCGGACGTCGCGCGAGCAAGCGCCGTAAGGTGCAGGTATTGCGGTCAATCAAAGAGCAGAACCTTGCAGCTGAGAGCGATCATTCCCCTCTACATGCATCGCGCATCTCCATGTGCAACATTTCGCCGGGTCTGCTCCAGGGGCGCCACGCCTACAGGACACAGAAGGGTGCCGAAAGAGTGGGCCTGCCATGTGCCTCAACAGTCATCATCAACGCCGATCAAGATGCGTGGCTTTGATGGCCTGTATGGGAGCTGGGCCGGAAGTTAGAATGTGTTTGTTCGGCGCCCGGTCAGGCTGTGCACGTTTCATATTGCTTCGCCGTTATAATCTCATACTGTTTGTAACTGCTGGGACCTGCAGAATGATGTACTTGCGCATGTAGTTGATGCTATTGATGTTGGGGCTTGGCCGAAGCGTCCATCGCCTTGGCCAAAACTCACCTAGCGTGACGCTTCTCGGTGCCTGCCGCGCTACTGGACTGCACCTCCGCATCACGGATTGTTTCTCACTAGTAAAGAAAGCCGTGCGAGTTCTGGCGGGAGGCTGGTGGGCGTGTCGTGCCCTACTCGTCGGCACCGAAGAGGACCACATCTGTTGTCGCAGGATCGTGCCAGACGTGCTCAGCCTGTGTCCTGTGCAATTTGCTTGCCTATGAACAAGCTCGCTCTATCTTTGATCGACATGTGCGGCTGGCAGATGTAATTCCGCCAAGGGTGCCGTCTGTACATCTAGCCTTTCTGCCTTTCTCAGCTCTTCAAGGCGGTGCTTCCGAACTGTTACTATTCCCACAACCCCTACCGTTTTCGGTACAGAGCCTAACGTTCTTCTGGCTAGCAGCCTGCTTTCTGCCACCAGATTGGCCGCCGGGCTTGATGAGGGTCCATCAACTGTACATCGCTTGTGTCGCAGTCCTGCGACTCGAAGCGTTGCGACAATTCCCGGGCTATCGCGCGACCCACGCTGCTCCCCCGTCTGCGGCTACTCTGGCTCTCTGTTGGTCAGAGCTTGAGGCGGAGACTGCTCCCGGCTTTCCTGACCTCGAACACTGAAACGTATATCATCCGGCCATCCCAACATGCAGCCAGAGGCGCCTACCGAGCAGGGACCCTCTACTGAGGATTCCGAGAACCTTCCGCCAGCTGCCAAACGCCGTCGTCAGTCCCCTCTGGATGTGCCTGAATCAAGCAATGCTCCGTCTGTCGCTAAAGGATTGGTCGACGTAGTAACTCATAGCCCCCAAAGCCGGGAGGAATCCGCCCGGGAAGCCGAAATGCAGCGCTCAGCTTCACCCCAAGACAGTTCCATCAGGTACACTCGGACAGGTAGAGTCAGCAGGGCCTCAAAAGGGCAGCGTGTGCACGACTGCAAGGCTTGTGGAAAGGTCAGTCTGTGCCAACCAGGTCCAAATCGTCCTGTCTGTATCGACTTTCCCAAGCGTTAATGTTGGGAACACAACGAACCCTTATCCTACCTTGATACACTTTCCTCTACTTGCAGGATTCGGCCTACGGCGTGGTTGCTAACTCGTCGCCAGATCTATACTCGCGCGGAGCACCTCCGACGCCACGAGCAGAACCACAAGCCTGGTGCTTTCCTATGCGACGTTCCACGCTGTGGCAGATCGTTCTATAGGGAAGACCTTCTGACTCGGCACAAGGAGCGGCAGTGCGTGATGCCATAACATAGTACCAACACTATTACACCGTTGGCTGACCGGTTGTGATGTAGCAATGATCCTCTTAATCCGCCGACGCGTAGGGCGTCCATAACCAGTCATATATCCCCGACAGATGGCGGTCCACCAACCATTGTTACCGCAGGGCAGGCTACGCCTTCACTACCAGCGCCAATCCGTGGTGATCTTAATGGCGACACCCTCCCGGACGTCTTGCGCGCCAACGGTCCTGCAACAGCACCACAAGCAGCGCCGTCGGTCAGGTATGATACTCCAAGACTATTTCGTGAGCCTCAATCATTGAGCAGTTTCTTCGACTTTCTTGCGTTGTGAGTTTCCTACTGTTCGGTCTAGTGCGAACACTGTTGGTGTAAGCCAACATTTTCTTCCTCTATTTAACCTCCCTTTCTTGCTACATTTGCCCGCAATGACAATCACCGCTCAATAACACTAACAGATGGCGGTACAGAGAGCCTCGCGCAAAGGCACCCTGGGAGCTTCCGGTAGGGCCACCAGTGATCATCAGCGTTGAGACATCCGGCGTTCCATATGCGGAATATCCATATGGTGTGCTTTTTGACCCATCGCCGCCCTACTCACCATCCGGCTACACGTCGCCAACAAATGAGTACTCCTACTCCTGGGGCGGACCTTACTACAATCAGCCGAGCTCAGGACGGACGCGACATGGCTCAAGCGCTGACGTTTACGGACAGGCGCTGGCTACCTCTTCACGATCGCCGCTTTCAGCTGGGAGCTCATCCGCGCATATGCATCACTGGGGTGCTTGTAGTCAGAGCCCGGCTGGTCTCCAGCACTTGCCGTCCACGTCAAGCTCAGAGGGCGTCTTCGCGGCCGACCCTCTAGAACGCATCTTGAGCGCACACATGGTCCCGGTTTTCTCCAATGGCGTACTCCGTATGATTACAGCTGAAGAGCGAGACCTAATTGAGACGGATGAGCTGCTGATACCGACTGGATCGCCACCAGTGTCAATGGAAGACTTCACTCTGGATACGAATCCACTAAGCAATGAAAGCCGTTATGCAGAAGCATACTGGGAGCAAATTCATCCTCTCTTCCCGGTAGTACACAAGCCGACCTTCGACCTCCGAAGCGCATCTCCCCTTCTTCGGGCAGCTATGTTCGCCCTTGGCGCACACACGCAGCGGAACCATGTGGATATGAACAATGCAAGAGTTATACACGAGCAATGCACGAGAACGTTGAAGAAGCGGAGCGCGAGTACATGGCATACCTATCGCCCCTGCGACATGCAGGCGATCTTCCTATGCGAAGTCTTTGCCGTCTTCAAGTGTCGCCGGCCGCCCTTACACCTCTCAAAAAATTTCGAGGACGTCTACCGGCTGTTAGTGGCCGACTATGACGCTATGACGCCCGAGACAGCGACTCCATTGAATGATAGCCCGCTTCAGTCACGAACCTACAGCAGCAACCTAGCAGACTCCATGCAATCAGACATTGACGCCCAATGCAAAAGGCGGTTGCTGCACGCATGTTACATTCTAGACCAGCAGCACGTGATGCTCTTTGGTCGACAGCCGACGGATTGCCTTTCGAGCTCTGTAGGTGGCCTTATTGGCTTGAACCTTCCTATGCTGATGGAACAATCGTTCTTCGATGCGCTACCCGAAGACCAGCTCGCCAAGCGTCTCCAGGATGGACGCCCTGACCTAGCCCAACAGCAACAGGTATACCATGTCCTGGCAGCAGTACCAACAATGCTGAACACCTTAGCCCAACCGCATGACACCCTGCAGTCGATGTTGATGTTGGCCTGCCTCACAGATACGAAGCATGACTTGATAACGCTGGGTTTTGACGATGACGCGGACCTCAGCGCTGTTCTCAATGCCATCGAACAGACACCACGTATGCGGCTCGCTTATCACACGCTCATGCTTGCTCGGAACACGCCAATCCGAGACCTTCTGGCGGTTGCGGGCGAGTCGTGGGTGGTTGGAGAGAAGCTTAGCTCCGCAGACCAGTACATCGCGGCACAGCTCGCGGCGAGAGACTGGGCGGCGACTACCGTCCTGACAGGCTTGCCTGGACACGGCGGCGCGGACCAGGCCCGGTCGCCAGCCCAGCGAGCTGTCTTCCACGCCCTCCAGATTCTGGGCATCCACTCATCGCACCCGGAGACTGGCTTACTGTTCCAAGAATGGAGCGTCTACCTCGCCGCAGTGGTGATCTGGGCACGCAGTTACTTTTCAACCAGTGAGGCGCGCCGAAAACCACGCCTGTCGGTACCGAGCCCTACCGAGCCGAAGCTGCCAATACTAGAGCTGGATGCGTGCGTAGCTGCCCTCATCACTGCCGGGCCGTCGGCAGTGATAAGCTGGATCTCCGCTCGCCACGCGTTGATGTGGGCGAAAAGTCAGATCGAAAAGGTTGACATACTGCACAACTGTGGTCTCACGAATGGCGCGCTCGATATTTTGGGCAAGCTCATCACCCGTGGTAATGAGGACGGCTGGTTTGCATGATTCAATGAGCCTTGCTAAGTTTATTTGGACGTTTTATGATGATTGTGCGTTTGATGGCGGCCTTCTTCTAGATACCCTTCTCGCATTTTGCTACCTTAGCATTGCTTTCACCCACAATGTCCTGATGTTCTCCGAGTCTACGAGCCAATTCCTGTAACGGACGGTATCGCACATGATGTCCATTTACTAATTCGCAGCCTTCTTGGGCATCATTGAGCTGAGCGGCCAGAGGCTGTGCCCAGCGAGCGAGTAACGAGGACGAAAACGGAGAAGGAACTTGGGAGGAAGTTAAAGCATCTGTGTGTGGGCAGAAGAGTGTCGGGTAGTCGCGAAAGAGTACATGAGCTTGTCCGAAGGCGCGTCTTTACAGATCGGTAATGCGTTTTTGGTAAGGATCGATTAACCTAACTCCTCCCGCCGGAGCTTGAGCCCGGGAAGCTGCCGTGCGGGAAGTGTAGACGCACAAAATTGTGTTAGGATGATTGCAAGCTCTGCGTTGAGGGTCAGGCAGAGAACGAAGGAGCGGAGACGGGCTTGTATCGACAGCAGAGTGACGGAGCTCACGCTGGAGATGGAAGAGAGTGATAAAGCAAAGTGGAGTCGCCCTCAGGTAAAGCCCGAGGACTTTATATACTGCGTGCACATCGAAAGTACTAGAAAGGTTGATGATCAAGCGCAGGCGCGACTTCGTTTACACTACTTAGCAAAGAAGGTCTGGAAAGCCTTGTTATCAATGGATACATTCCCCACCGCCCTCAATTTCCGCCTTCCCTCCTTCTGCTTCTCCAACAACTTCCTCCGGCGTGAGGCGTCTGCAGCATGCAGCTTCGCCGTAACATCCTTGCGAAACGGCTTCAGCGTCTCCCGCGCCACAATGCGCTTGCCCACCACCGCCTGAATGACGACCTCGAACATCTGCCGATCAACGTGCTCCTTGAACTTCTCCACCCACTGCTTGCCTAACCGTTCGGCTTGCGAAGAGTGCACCACGCGAGCTACGGCATCCACGGGGACTTTGTTGACATGGAGCTGGAGCTTGGCGATGGCGCTGTGGCGGTAACCGGCCTCTTCGTAGTCGAGGGAGGCGTAGCCTTTCGTGGCGGATTTGAGCTTGCCAAAGAAGTCATCAACAAGTCGTTCGAGGGGCAGAAGGTATTTAAGGATGACTTGGGTGGCGGTGAAGAAGGAAAGGCTTTGCTGCTCGCCGCGGTTGGCTTCGCATAACTCGATCACCTTGCCGAGGTAGTCTTCGGGTAGTGTAATTGTGGCGGTGATGTAGGGTTCTTGCAACTCTGTGATCTTGCCGTGGTATTGTTGACTGTTGGGTTCTGGGAAGTCATTCGGGTTGCTGATGATTTCTTCTCTGCCATCTTTCCAAATGACCTTGAAGGGAACTGAGGGTGGGGTGATGATGATGCTAGCTCCGTGTTCCTGTCGCAAGCGATCCTCGAACACGGAGCAGTGAAGAGTGCCGAGGAAGCCAAGTCGCCACCCTGCGCCCAGCGCTTCACTGCTCTCCTTAGTGATTGTAATGCTCCGATCGTTTAAAGTGACTTGATTGATACTGTCCTCGAGATGTGCGTAGTCGCTCTGATCGGTCGGAAAAGCGGCGACGAACACCATGCTTTGTGGCTCTTCAAAGCCTGGCAGAGGCGTGACATCCTTGACACTGCCCACCGTAGTAAATGTGTCGCCTAGCTTCGCCTCCTTAATTCTTTTCATTCCAGGATTGAAGTAGACGTATCCGACTTGTCCAGCACGTAGGCACGTCTGTGGCGTCTCAAATGGGTACAAGATGCCGACCTCGCCCACGATGTACTCCAGTTCCGTAGCGAAAGAAAAGATCCGGTCGCCAGGTCGAAGCGTACCATCAAAGATGCGAACGAGCAGTATAACACCCTTATAGTTATCATACCAGCTGTCCACAAGGAGTACTTTGAGTGGGGCGCGCTCGTCGCCTTTCGGCGCCGGTATCTGCTCGATAATCGTAGGCAGAAGCTTTTCAACGTTCAGACCCGTCTTTGCAGAGACCATGACGGCATTGCTAGCATCGATCTCGAAGGTGTCACGGAGCTGGTTCAGCGTTCTTTGTGGGTCAGCAGAGGGTAAATCGACCTTGTTCAGCACGGGCACAAGAGTAAGGTCTTGCGCGAAGGCGAGGTAGAAGTTTGAGACTGTCTGCGCCTGCACGCCCTGAGATGCGTCAACTAACAGTATTGCTGTCATCCAAGTCAGCTGCGCTCGTATATCGAACAGAATGAAATTGGGTAGTACCTCCTCCACAGCTAGCATAACTTCTACTGACTTCAGAGCGGAAGTCCACGTGCCCGGGAGTATCGACCAGATGGAGCAGGTAGTCATCACCATTGCTGTTCCAGAGCATGGAACAGGTCTGCGCTTTGACTGTGATGCCTCGTTCTCTTTCTACATCCAGCTTGTCCAATATCTGCTTGTTTCCTCCGGGCTGGATGGTGCCCGTGAGTTCAAGTAGGCGATCGCTGAGGGTTGACTTGCCATGGTCGACATGGGCGACAATGCAGAAGTTCCGGAAGCGTGATATGGGGATTGCAGCTATGCGCTGTTCCAACTCAGACTGCACCTTGCGTAGGGCGGCCCTCAAAGAGGTCGTCGAGGTGAAATGTCGCAAGCCACGGCGACCTGCGAATATTGGTACGCTTCGGTGCGCATACAAGCGTAATGCTTTATGTGTCGCTTGATAACATTGTCGCATTTAGCATCCTACAACCGCTTCTGCCAGTGATCCGTCGCTCAAAGTGTAACTACCAATATCGGGCTCATGAGCGAAGTTCAGTTCTGCCAAGACCGCGTTACTCCTAACAACCACAAGTCAACACTCGGTTCGGCGGCGACCAACAGCGGAGGCGATACAGCGCAACATCTTATCGAAAGGGATACCGACAAAAGTCCAGTGATTTGCTCAGCTACCAGAGACTCACGTGTGGGCCACTCAGCACGCCACGATCAACAACCATGCCTTCAGCCGTACCGCCACCAACCGCAAGTGACAAGTCGAAGCTGCACAAATTGGCCTTGAGGGGCGCTTCGAAAACCATCGTAGAATTCTTCGACTTCGCTTGCAATACGATACTATTTCAACGAGGCGTCTATCCTCCCGAAGACTTCACTACGTACGTTGTTCGGCCGCCCAGCCGGCTCTTGCGCTCAAAGCATTGCCAAAACACCTCGCCCGACGCTGACACTACCACAGCGTCAAGAAATATGGCCTCAATATGATGACAACGTGCGATGACCAAGTGAAAGCGTATGTCAAGAAGATCATGAGCCAATTGAGTAGATGGATGCAGAAGTCGAAGATCTCCAAGCTTGTCATTGTCATCACGTCGAGGGAGACCGGTGAGCACATAGAGCGGTGGCAATTTGATGTATGCTGGCGTGCGCATCATCGCATTCCTCTCAATTGGCAGCTGACAGGGTTTAGGTCAACGTATTTGCGGACCCAAGTAAGCTGAAACATACCAGACTTTCAGATGATAAGGAGAACAGCGCACCCGAATTACAGCAGACCTCTGTAGCAACGGAGAAAAGCGAAGAGGAGACGCAGAAGGAGATCCAGGCACTCTTTCGCCAGATCACAGCGTCCGTCTCGTTCTTACCGATGCTGGACGGCAACTGCACATTCAACGTCCTGGTGTATGCGGACGCTGACAGCGAGGTGCCTCTCGAATGGGGTGACTCGGATGCGAAGGAGGTGAAGAACGCTGAGAAGGTCATGCTCAGGAGCTTTTCGACGAACCATCATAGAATCGACACGGTGGTGAGCTATAGGTATGTAATAAATGGGGCGCCTCCGTAGCGTTACGCGGTCACAGTGACTGATTGTCGAATGGCAGGCTTGCAGAATGAACCTCCAAGCGATGCGCTGCGGCACTCCTAACATTCTGCATTGTCTAATCAGCTGCATCGTGGACATGACCCGGGACGCAGCACGATTCACAGCTTCGAAGTCTCTTACGGATAGACTAGTATTGAGATCAACGTCCAGTGTTCGCACCGTGCCCAGAGTGATCATCGCTGAAGCCGGACCCGTGTGATCCTGCCACTGTTCGGAATATACATTCCTACTTGCGCAATAGCGATAGAAGCATTGTAGGATGTTGGTTGTTGGTATGGATCGTGTGATCTGCACCTTTCGCAGTGGCTGGCTGCGGTTTCGGTTGGCCTCGGTTGTGGCGCACAAGTGCCGTTGAAGGAACGCAGGAACGCGACGTCATTCCAGATCCTAGATCCTAGGATTGCAATAACACAGATCTGTAGCCCCTCGCTTCTTTGAAGCTGTTTCGCACAGTCCTTTGCAGTGAAACTGTGATGACCTTCGCGCTCACCGTCATGTCGCATCCAGACGTGCGAGCGTCGCTCCACAGCAGCGCACCGGAGTTCGGACAAGCTTAGGGGATACGATGAATGGGTTCTGAGCCGGAATGTCACTCTCCTCCGCGGCTCACTTTGATGGATTCATCTCGCAGACCCACGTTGCCGGCGCGCTTTCGACGTTCCGCTTCCACTTCCATCGGTCTTTCTAGAGGGTAGCAATATGAGACATATTTCAGGAACGCGTCCGGTTCTCGTTGCAACGATGACGACGAACCGGAAACGGTTTCGGCGGCCTACCTTTCTGAGCTGCATCCTCGGTATCAGGCGCATGCCCAGCCTATGGAAGACTCAGATGAGTGATGGCTCAAAACACTCTGCACGGGCGGGTCAAACTCTCTGCGTTGAATTTGCATCACAGGACGAATGCGGCAAGAGCCCGGACGCCGAGAATAATTTCTTGGCACGAAGTGGAGCCGCACAGCTTGAGGAGGCACCGGCACTATGCCGAGCTACCTTCTAGTATGGAAGGCAAAAAGCGGCTAACGATTTACACAACACTATACCATCGCCGATCTGCCTATCTCGAAGAACGTTTCGTAACGGCAACGAAGATTGAACCGGGGCAACGACAACGCTAGGCACGAATTTACCTATCTCCCGGCCTCCACATACATCCCGTCTCAAACTCACACGCAGTATGCTTCCAAACAGCAGGTCTTGCTTGGTCACACTGCCTCATGTGCCTAAGGCTAGGCCGGATACCTGCATACTGCATACTCCTGCTTTGGCAAGGCGGAACAAGTCTTTCGGCTTACCAGCAACCGCTGTTCACTGTGGCTCATAACTTTCGTGGCCGCGGACAATGACGGTAGGCCTGAGCGGCTGTGGTAACGGTCCGTTCAATCCCAACGTGAGACTTCTGGTAGCCTCAAGTCAAAACCTCGAACGGCACCGCATAGACGCACGGATAAGGTAGCTGCCCGTTATCTGGAGTGGACACTGCCAGCATCGCAGAAAGTCTACTGCCGCCCACAAGTCCACATATAGCACGTATGTGGATGTTTAGAGTGATTTCGGACAGGCATTGGCTGCAATGTCACCCGTCTCGGACGTAGGCTCGTTGAGATGCCTCTTACGACTGTCTCACCCTAACCTTGTGGCAAGCTTGTCGCCACTGATCTGAATTGCGGACTACTGGATGGAACAGGGAGGCATTCCGAGTCAAAGCCTGGCGATGTTGAAGCGCTAACATGTTGAGGTAGGTCAAGCACGCCTCTTCTATGGGTCCTGCTGTTGCGAGTCGGAGGCTATAGGTAGGTCGGGCGGCCTGCTACACACTGTCCTTTGTATCTCCTTGTATCAGACGCATTCGCTTGTTCGTCAGTCACCTTCGCTTACATTACCTTGTGAACCGCTCGTTCTTCCGCACCTCGCTGTCAGCGAGTGTCTGCGCCCTGACTTCTCATTCATAACTTCCGTTCTCACTCCCTGTTAAGCTGGTGTTGGAATCTAGCCACACCACATTCAACCATGGGTCTCTTCTCATACATCAAGCCCAGCAAAAAAGATGCTAAGAAGGAGCCCGCAAAGGCAGAGATGACCGAGAAGGCATCGGCGCCTTCCGGCATCACTACTCCAGGCAGTCAAACAATCCCACCAAACCGGTCTGGGGCTGCTACGCCTACCGGCTCACGACCTGCTTCGCTCTATCCGGATGGCGAAATCAGCAGGAACTCTGCGTCCAACCTCAGTGACATTAAGTGCGAGGTCATGGTCAACTGGCTATACCAGCGCCAAATGGAGAGACTGTGGACAGCGGGCGGTTTTGACGAAGGCGTCATGCTGAAGAAGGGTGGAGGTAGCGGGTTTGCCGCCTGCCCTTCGGAACTCCTCGACGAGCCATATGGTTTCGCAAAGTCGATAGAGATGCTCAATGTTCGGGTCAGTAACCTTGAACTGCCTGTGGGGCCAGGCATATGTTAACATCTACCAGTGCGCCATTACCGTCAACACTAGAGTCATCAAGCTCTTCCTTTACAACAATGAGAAGCCCTTTGTACCGCTGAAAGGTGGGCTCCGCCTCCAGGTCCTGCCGGACATGTCATACCTGCCACGCTGCCAAAAGCATCAGTTCGCGGCCTTTATCGCCGACCGCGGTATTATGGTTGTCTGGGATGACGAGCCAAAACATCTCCTTGACCGTGCAGCCAAGATCGAGAAAGAGCTCATGGAGAAGATTTGGGAAGGCGAAGAAGGCGACGCCGACGAGAAGAAGGAGGGTGGTAACATCTCCGTCAACGAAGTCGGTTCGGAAGACGACGTCGAAATGGGTGTCGTGGAGAAGCCACGCAGTGTCGCCATGTGGACGCCGATCACCTGTGCCTTCACCCTAGCACTGACGATCATCTCGGTTGCTTCAGGTTGGGCACACATCGCCCTCGAGGTCAACATCGATCACAACTATACTCGCTTGGCATTCGCCGTGGTCGTCCTTCCGCAAATATGGCTCGGACTATTCTTCTTCCAGTCCCTGGTCTGCAACATATTCCAGCTGATCGGGCCCATTGCGCAGATGAACGGAAACAGCAAGTTCTACAGCGGCCTGAAACCGAAGCACTTGCGTCGTGATGCCAGAGCATTGCCGCATGTCACCATCCAAATGCCGGTCTACAAGGAGGGATTGGAAGCCGTCATAGAGCCTACCGTCCATTCCATCAAGGCTGCTATCTCGACGTACGAGATGCAGGGCGGTACCGCTAACATCTTCGTCAACGACGATGGCATGCAACTCATCTCCGAGCAAGATGCGAAGGCGAGACAGGATTTCTACGACGAGCACAACATTGGCTGGGTGTCGCGACCTAAGCACAACCCTAAGCCAGCAGATGGGTCCGAGCCTTTCCTGCGGCGCGGCAAGTTCAAGAAAGCTTCCAACATGAACTATGCCATGTGGGTCAGCAGTCGTGTCGAGGATCGCTTACTCACCGTCGAGCGCCATGAAGGTTGGACACAGGAAGACGAGGCGCAAGCGTACCGTGACGCCTTAGGTGCCGTTGTAGAGGAAGACCAAGGACGCACCTGGGCCGATGGCAACATTCGGTTCGGCGACTACATCCTCATTATCGACTCTGACACGCGTGTGCCGTCGGACTGTTTCCTGGATGCTGTCTCCGAAATGGAGCAGAGTCCACAAGTCGCCATCATCCAGTACTCTTCCGGCGTCATGAACGTCACCGATTCGTTCTTCGAGCGGGGTATTACCTTCTTCACCAACCTGATCTACACGGCTATCCGTTACGCCGTTGCTAACGGGGACGTTGCGCCGTTCGTCGGTCATAACGCCGTGCTCCGCTGGACGGCGATTCAGGACATCGCCTACGAATGCCAGGATGACAACCGTGAGAAGTTCTGGTCTGAGGCCACCGTGTCCGAGGACTTCGATATGGCGCTCCGCCTGCAATCCGCTGGCTACCTCGTCCGTCTAGGATCGTACCAGGGAGACGGTTTCAAGGAAGGCGTGTCGCTCACAGTCTACGACGAACTCGCTCGTTGGGAGAAGTACGCGTATGGTTGCTCTGAGCTCGTCTTCCACCCGCTGAAGTACTGGGTTGTGCGCGGTCCTTTCACCAAGCTGTTCCGAACCTTCCTCGGCTCGCGTATGCCTTTGCCCTCCAAGATCACTATCTTGGCCTACATCGGAACATACTACGCTCTAGGCTCGGCGTGGATATTGACGCTTGCAAACTACTTCCTCACGGGTTGGTTCAATGGCCACCTGGATCACTACTACATCGACAGCTTCAAGGTCTACTTCGCCATCGTCATTATCTTCTCCGGTCTTGGCAACCTTTCCCTCGCCGTCCTTCGCTACCGCACAGGCGAGAAGGGTCTCTTCCCAGCACTGCTGGAAAACTTCTCTTGGGTACCGCTGCTGACCATCTTCCTGGGCGGTGTCAGTCTGCATGTATCGCAAGCCATCCTTAGCCACCTCTTCGGCATCGACATGAGCTGGGGCGCCACAAGCAAGGAGGCGGAGAACACGACATTCTTCACGGAAGTGCCAAGAATCATCAAAAATTTCAAAGGCACCTTTGTATTCTGCTTTGCCGCTGCGGCCATGATGGCTGTGCTGGCAACGGCCGTCCCAGAACTCTGGCAGATCAAGATCTTCATCGCTATCTTCCCACTGAGCACTGTGATCATTGGGCACTTCTTCTTACCCATTGCGTTAAACCCGAACCTGATGAGGTTCACTTGGTAATCAAGGGATAAAGAGCGCATAGCCTGGCGTTCCGGCAGTCTACCTACAGTCTACATCACACTGTATTGGGCGATTTTAGATATAAATGGATAGCACGCTGCAGTGGCGGGTGTGACGAATACAGAACATAGACACCGGAGTATATTTGGCTTCCAAGCCTAATCATTGTTCATTGCCAACTTGTCAGAAACACATTATTGGCACTGCCTCGTGAGTGGCCCATTGGCGGCCCCTGTCTGCGCATTTTGGCGCACATGTCTTGGCAATGGGAAGTGGAGGTCCGAGAGACTCTTCTTATGATCGAAGATGGCGTTCTGAGACACGCATGTTTTCACCAGCTGAACCTGGGGGGCGCTGGATGACCAAGTGGAGAGCGTTTATCGAGTGGAGGACAAACTCGAAAAGGTTGACAAGGAACGTTGAACGAACAATCTGCGCTTGAAAAGAGGTCATTTTAGCCAATGCCGTTGGCGGTTAGTAGCACCGAGCATAACAAAGGCTATCTCCACAAACCTGGTACGGGTCCGTAGATCTAAACGGACAAGGTTCCACGCTATCAACCGTAACGGTGCGCGGATGCTTGGCTGCGTTCACAACAGCCGCGTGGCACACGGCACACTCTTACGTTAAGATGACCACTAGCCACTGCGCCACTTGCACTATTTGAGATACAGTACTCTGCGATATGACGCCGTAGCGGCGGCGGCGAAGGGTGGTTCAGGAGTACAGGCCCGATGGAGGAATTGCAGGCTCGGCACCGCAAAGAGCAGCGAGACTTGCAAAGCCGAATTACGCAGAAAAAGAAGCAAGCTAGCAAGAAGACACGCAAGGGTGTAAACGATGAGTGTGCAGCCCTAGAAGCAGAGCTGAACACCCGGCAAGCCTCTGAGCTTGCGGCGCTCAATGGTGGGAACTATGCTGAAGATGGCGACTCTGTTGGCGAGGAGGTTGATACCGTAACGTTGCACGTACAGCGTGAATATGACGCGCTGGCTCCGGCTAGCGAGGGGCCTGCCAGTCAGATAGATGTCAATGAACAACCGGATTCGGACGAGGCTCTTGTGCCTTCCCAGATAAGGAAGCCCAGCAGGCAGAAAGCTCGCTTAGCTAGGCGAGCAGCAGAGCAGGAAGAGCAAGCTCGGCAGGCGGAAGAAGAAGCAAAAAGCTTGCCTGATATGAAGCAGCAAGAACGTGATCGCATGTTGGAGGCCATGGAGGAACATGGTCTGCGGGAAAGGGTAATAAGGGCTGATGGTCACTGTCTGTACTCTGCTGTGGCCGATCAACTCGATCACCTGCAGATACCGCTCGTCTCAGAACCCAGCGATAAGCCTGCACTTGCTTACAAGGCTGTACGAGCGGCGGCAGCAAACTACATTCAGCAACATCAGGATGACTTCATTCCGTTTCTGGAAGAGCCACTGCCTGGGTATCTGCACAAAGTTCGCGATACTGGAGAGTGGGGTGGTCAGCTCGAGCTGATGGCGTTGGCTAAGACTTACGGCACGAACATCAACGTTCTGCAAGACTTCGGTCGAGTGGAGAAGATAGGGTCTGATGCCGATGGTGGAGAGAAGGTCATGTGGCTCGGCTACTACAAGCATGGCTTTGGTCTCGGCGAACACTACAACAGCCTACGCAAAGCTGGCTGAGTGACTCCGGTCATACTGCTAGATTACTTGAGCACAGCGGTCCAGACCATCTTGCCTCTCCGGAAAGGGACCACTTCAAGGGTACCATCAACGCTTCGGAGGATATCTTGAACCGCCTCGGTCGATTTGGAGAGCACGGTACGTTCGCCACTCTCATCCTTAAGCTGATAAAAGTCTCTGCCAAAGCGACTGAGAAAGCCTTCCAATTTCGCCTTGGTGACATCTTCAGCCTTCAACACACCGAGCTCCACCGCCTGTTCTAGAGCCTCCAGCACATAGCCCACCGCATGCGGCTGCGTGAATACACCGGCTGCAAAGCGGTCGGCTCGTTTGGTCTCTGCAGGGTGCGGTGCGGAGTCTGTCCCGAAGAAGAACTTGGGGTCCCCGCTAACTACTGTCTTCAGTAATGCTCGGCGGTCGGAAGGCAGTTTTGCAACTGGTTTACAGAAGCTGTGCGGATCGCCGGCCCAGTCATCCACAATCAGGAACATGTGGTGTGCGGTAATGGTTGCCGCCACAGTCGCTCCACAGGATTTCACAGCTTCGATTGCGGCCGCGGACGTACAGTGCTCGAGTATGATCCTCAACTTCGGAAAGCGGCGGTGCAGGTCCAGCAGCGTAGGCAGAAACGCCTCCTCTGCATTAAGGACGGTGATGTCCTTGCCTGCCGAGGGTGGAAGCTCGCCGTGCAGGTTAAGAACCATGTTTTGCCGCTCCATTTCCTCGAAGACCGGATAGAACTGCTCGTAGGACATCACGCCATGCTCAGAGTGTGTCGTCACGCCGTGAGGGTAGGACTTGATGCCGGTAATGCCAGCTTTCTTCGCCTCAATTACCGTCTCCGGCGAGATGTTAGGGTGCAAGTACAGCGACATTAGGAAAGTGACTTTGGGCTCGAGTTCTTGCAAGCGCGCCTTATAGTCCATGCAGTGCTTCACTGTCGTGATAGGCGGAACCAGGTTGGGCATCACAAACACAGTGTTGACTCCGCCGGCACGAATAGTTGGCCTATTCTGTATCAGTGGAGATCGAGATGGCTGCTTCCGGATGGTATTACACTACCAGCTCCGTCATGGCCCCGTCGCGAAGATGGACGTGCATGTCTGCCGCTGCTGGCAGTTCTAAGCCGTTCAATCTCTCAAGCACCATCTTGCGTGGCCGACTAGGAGATGTCATCGTCGCTTAGGTTCGCTTGAATTACGCGCGGAGGTCAAGATTGGATCGCAAGCTGCACTCATTCTTTGTGAGACACTGTCGGCCGAATCACCTCAATTCACGCCAGCGCCTTCAACTCTGTTCGACCGTGGTATCTGCCTATCTCGAAGAACTCTGTAGCTTGGTCTGCCTGTAACATGTAGATTCGCCCTGCTGACGGAGACGACGAGCCGTTCCGGTCGTCGATGTGGCACAGTCAGCACCGCCACAATGTTTCATCCCACTCCCAACATGAATGCTGCCGCTGAAATGAACATAGGTAGTACATAAACGACCGGTGTGTCAGTGGTCTGGACATCAGCAACCATGTCATGCAGCGAGCATCCCCCTTGCAGCAGCCTCGTACCGCTGAGATGACACCTTCGGACTACGATGCTGACCCCAGCTGGCGCTCGAAACCAGTTACACCCGCGCAGCTTCTTGTCCACGATTTGTGCCTCGAGGCATGGCGGCGGGACATAGGTCCGTTTCTGGAGATTAACGAGCACTCTACACCCGCTCTTGTACCAGAAGTAGCGGCCAAGACTACTTCGAAAGGCAATGTGAGAGCGGCAGAAGCGACCCGTAGTCCCATTGAGAAGCAGAAGTTCATTTCTCTGCGAGAGAGCAATGGTTGGACGCGCCTTCTCCGCCTGCGGAAGCGCCAGCGGGACCTTCTGCTTGGGAATACGGCAAAGCGATATTAGTATTTATCGTTGTCACCATCGCCTTTCTGCCCCTCATTTTCCTCTCGAGAATTCCCGGCATGAACACACGAGACATCAGAAACTTCGAGCAGAGCCAATGGCTGTTCTGGGCTGTAACCGTCAGCGTCACGGTCGGTGTAGTAGCTGCGGCCCTCTTCCTCGCCTTCTCCGGTGGCAATATCGTTGGAAGGATCACGCAAGCAACTGAAGTTCGACATCCGGACTCTGCTGAGGCAGACTTTTACTGGAGGTGCTGAGCACACCTTTAGAGAATATGGCGCGAACCGAAAGGATGCTTATAGCTAAGAACAACAGCCGACAACGAGCCTTTAAATTGAAGCTGATACGCTCTATCTAACATGACACCAGCATCTCCGTCGTGGACGCGGACATGTTATGTGCGTCGCTAGGCTGGTCACTACTTGCCGCCGGCGTAGTAGTTGCCTTCGACTTGCTCGACACCGTCTCCACCATGGAACCAACTCACGCGATCCTGCAACAATCAGCGTTTGGCCCACGCGGTGCCACGAAGCTGGTGGACTGACCTTTGTAAATTGCTCTATTCTTGGCTTAAGTAATGTTTCGTGCAGGCTGAAGTCATCAACGGTGCCTATGCGAGTAATGGACATTCCAGGGAAGCCGGAAGAGCGACGGTACATGAGCGTTCCGCAGACGCTGCAGAAGAAGTTGGTCATGGTGTTGCCGCTTTCGATCTGGTCTCGGTTAGCTCACGGCTGGTTATGAACACGCGGAGGGAAGGTGACACCGTCTTATTTTGCGCATATTGCGTGAGCTTCTCTTCGCCGCGGACATGTTTCATCGAGCTGTCCTTGACAATGAAGTTCGACGCGAACATCGATGCTGTGATCTTCCGACAATCTGTGCCTGAATCGGCAAGGTACCACTATTAGCGTGTGCTTGTGAGTACATGAACCATCAAGGTGACATGCAATTGCATATAAAAGAATCCACCATGTCTTCTCCTTCTGCGGGAAATTCAAGCTGCACGGCGCCGCAGAAGCACGTTGCTGTTGCTCGTTGAACCATCTTGGTGCCTTTTCTGAATACTGTAACCGGTTCACGCCTCGTATGGTCGAATGCCAGGCTTGCACTGGGGCTCCTCACATTCTTATACAAGTACTGCCCATCCGTCCTACAGACTCCAGATCTGACGTAGGGTTAGAGCTCCCTCGGCAAGAGCTGCGAACTCTCAGTGCTTTAAATCCGGAAGCAGCGCCCGAATAGGGATGGCGCCTTCACCAACCTATGGACGCCTGAGATAGAGCATAGAGTGCAGCCTGCAAGCCCAATCTGGGCCTTCCCAAACAACGAGTATCCACGCAGAACCCTATGTGCTTACAAAGCTGTTGTGCGCAGGTCTCTGGAGTGAGACGGTAAAACCCATCTCACATGACTGTCTCGGCAACAACTGCAGAAACCGCTGTGTTATCGGACTGCTTTTCATGAATTCGTCATGGCTAGCTATCAGCTTAGTACGCACCCATGCTAACGGTGCCCTGCCAAACCGGCGCTCTGGCGGCCACAAACGCAGCCGTAGCCTCAGCCTCTCTTGCCGCATGCTTCTTCGCCTCGATCTGCTTTTTTAATTGCACCAGGTTGCCCTTCAGACCACGCAGATATCGCTTTGCTTCGTTAACGAGGTGTTCGGGTTCGTTGGAATGCCGGAGTGCTTCGAGCATGGCGCGCACCTGAAACGCCGGGTATCAACAAGTCAACTTCTTGTTTAATGTCGGTTCAGTGCAGGTGAGTACGTACCTGCGTTTCGCTTTGAATGTGCGGACACACCCTCGCGTGTCCGAAGTGCGCGATGCCGCAGAGGTTGCAATGCTCAACACCTGCCAGCTTGAGCGGACAGCTGCCGGCTGAGTGGTACGTCTTGCAAGCGAGACAGTTGAGACCGTTTGGGATGGGTCTGATGAATTGGTGAAAGCTGTTACCGTTGCTGCTCTGCTGGGTTGCTGGATCTGGGGCTGGGAGTTGCTCTTGATAAAGTGACTGCGGTGTTGGGATGGTGACGCGGCGGAAGGACGGAGGTTCTGCGCGGTGAGAAGGGGTGTAAGCAATACGTTCTCTTCATTACGATGTAGATGTAGATGGCTGCTCTGATGCGGAGGGTGGAGCGGCAATATTCGATGGGATAGGAGTGTCTCTGGCTTGGGTCAAGTCGACATAGGAGATATGTTTCTTGGGTAGCTTGGCGGCTGGAAGAGTGTTGGACTCCTTCGCCGCCAGACCCCCGTTTGCAGTAGCCGCTCTTGTGGACGGTGATTCGTCGTTAGGCTCCAGCTCCAAGCTATTAGTCGCCTCATACTTCGCAGGCGTAGTCTTCTTGCCGACCCCACCACCACCGCCGGCAGATTTCTTCATGGAAGCAGAAGCAGGAGTCTTGGGCTTGATGGCGGTGGGCGTGCCAAGCTTAAACCCATGCATTTTCACTGTCGTCTTCGGAGTCTTAGGCGTCTTTGGAGGCTTCGTTGAGATAGCCTTCTTGACACCCGTCTTGTTGTTGGCAGTTGACAGTGCCGCATCGTCCTTCCTAGGGGTATGTGATTCTTGAAAAGGAGCGGGCTTCTTACCATTCTTCTGGCGGTCATCTGTGGCACGTTTAGCAACTACACCATCACTCTTCGTTCCGAAGATGGTGTCAATGTCGTCAGGATCAAGCCTGTCCTCACCTTCAAAGTCCTCGTCGCCTGCAGTAAGCGCACTGTGTCAGTAAAGAGCCACTCAGACTGTCATTAATTGGAATCGGAGGCAACATACCACTCTCCTCAGCCTGGAAATCGGTGTCGCTCTCGCCGGCGTTCTTAACCTTCTTCGTCGACTTCATCGGTGTAGCGTCCAAGCCCTCAACGCCATCAACACCATTCTGGCCGTTGTAATGGACCTGCGCACGAGCGCGCCTGCCACGACCGAAAGCCTCTGCCTTCGCCGCCGCCTCTTCAGCAGCAACCCTCTCGCGCTCCTTCAAGATCTTCGCCCATACACCCGGATCAGGCGCATGGTGCTCCTGCTCCGCCGACCCGTCCATCAAATCGTTCTGCAGCGAATCATGCGCCCACACGCGTGCGAAGGAGAAAGCAGTCTCGGCGCTCTTGTCCGGCCCAGCCCCTTGCGTATCTTCCATACGACTGCGATCAAGCAAACGTTCCACGGACATGGAGTCGAACACGATGTCTTGCTCGCCGCTGTCTTCGAAAAGCTCGCCGGCACCGTGGCGAAGGACAGATACGAGATCGTTTTGCTCTGCATCGTCGGCGTCCATCTCTTGGATGAGCACGTGGTCAAGTGCCAACTTCTTCCGGCCCATCTGCATGATCCGCTCCTCCGCACTCGCCCTCGTCACGAGCTGGAAGCACAGTACCTTCTTACACTGCCCGATGCGGTGCGCGCGGCTGAGCGCTTGAATATCCTGATGCGGGTTGAAGTCCGGATCAAGAATGATCACCGTATCCGCGGTAGCCAAGTTAATGCCTACGCCTCCGGCCCTGGTACTCAGCAAGAAGGCAAAAAGCGGCGAGTCTGGAGCGTTGAATCCATCAATGCGCTTCTGCTTTTCCAACGCACTGATTTTGCCATCCAGGCGCTGATACGGCATTGCCAACCCGTCCATAAAGTCTTCGACAATGTCGAGCATATCCAGAAACTGGCTGAAGATCAACACACGATGCCCACGCTCTCGCAACTTGGGCAGGAGGGGCTCGAGCAGCTTGAGCTTGCTGCTAGCATCAACCAGGTTGCGGTGACTGGCTGAATAAGAAACATTGCATTCCTCAATGCTCTTGTTATAGACAAATGGGTGGCAGAGACATTTCCGTAGTTGCATCAGGATATTGTTCAACGACCCGCGCTCGCCCTGCTTGAGCGAGGATCCGTCACTAGCGAAGATAGCCTTCATGAGCTCTGGATTCTTCGCAAGGATGGTGCGATAGAGCTTCTTCTGCACGATAGTCATGCTGACCGGGACGATGATCTGGGCCATCGGCGGCAGAAACGAAAGGACCTGCGCCTTTGTGCGGCGTAAGAAGAAAGGCCGAATCAAGTCATGCAGCTTGGTGATCTTGTCCTGGTCCAGCTCGGCGTATTCCTCTTCTAATTGTCCTGCATCGTACGTCTCGTCCAGGAAATGCAGCAGGTTGAACAGCTCTCTCGCGTTATTCTGCAGCGGCGTGCCGGTGAGCAGAATGCGGAAAGGTATCTTCATATTGCCCAACGCGGAGTACAGTAAATTCTTATCGTTCTTTAGGCGCTGGCCTTCGTCGACGATGAGACCCTGCCACGCTACGCCGCGGAAGAACTTGCGACAGTTTTCGTCCGCCGCAGCATCGTAGCTTGTGACCACGACGTGGCAGCGGAGGTCTTTGCTCCCTTCGGGAAAGAGCTCGTAGCGGTACGCCAGGTCTCGGCTCTCTTTGCTGCCGTAGTACGCCACCACTCTCAGGCTCGGTGCCCAGTTCTTGATCTCGCGTCTCCAGTTCGGACAAGTGCTGTTCGGCACAACGATCAGGAACGGGAAGCAGTTGTGATCCTGCACTAACGTCGCCAAGAACCCAATGATCTGAATTGTCTTGCCTAACCCCATTTCATCGGCAAGGATGGCGTTCTTCTGGCTGAACCACTTAAAATATAGCCAGTTCAAGCCTTCGACCTGATAGCGCATCAACTCGCCGCCAGTGAGGTTGGCGGGCTGTTCCTGCTTTTCGAGCTTGCTGAAGTCTTGCGTGCGTATCTTGTCGAGCGTCTTCTTCAGCTTGCCGGGTGTGGGGAGGCGCACATAGCGGCCGGCCACCCAGTCATTGTACGCAGTCACGAAATCGATCCAACGGTCCCCATCATCAGGCGTGGGCGGTTTTTCCCAAACGGCGTCTTCGTATGTGAGACCTTTGTACTTGATTAGCGCTTTGTCGATCTCCTTGATACGCGCCTTGTCAATCTCCTCGGTACGTATGTCGACAATACTGGTAAATTTAATGTCAAGCACGATGTCCGTGCGAAGGTAGTCTTCAGGGATGGCGTCTTCCGTACGCATCTTGGGATGCTGACTGTCCTCCCTCTTCGCGAACGCCTTACGCATAGAATGGTTCGTAGCACCCCAAACCCAAGCGCCGGGCATCCACACGGAGCGGAAGTACGACATTCCATCCCACTTCACCAAATACGCTTTCTGGTCTTCGTCGATCTGGTCTACGGACTTGCCGGGGTCGTAGTTGTCCTCATCCACCGGCTTCCACGCTACAAGCGCGCCGACTTTGGCGGGCGCGAGCAGGCACTCTCTGCACTCCCAGTCGCGGCTGTATTCGCGAAAGCGCTGCTCCACATCAACTTCTTCGATTTCAATCATTTCTGAGCGCGAGGGGAGGTGCTCGAAGTGGAAACCGCGCCAGCACTTGATGCAGCGGAAGAGAACGTTGTCAAGGTTGTTCATGCGCGATTCGTGGATCTTGTAGATCGGGTCTTCACCGTCGTTCTCGTCGCGCTCTTTTTGCTCCTGCGCTGGTGTCTTGCGGGCCCGGAACGGGCGGCAGGCGTTACCATGCTCGTGGCAGTCGGAGCACTTGCCTTGATCCGGAGCGGTGGGATCCTTCTTGCGTGGAAATGCGACGCAGCGGCGACACTGCAGCACGAAGTCGCCATCACCAATCTTTGTGACGAGGTGCTCACGACCCGTGCGATGGCCTAGGCAAGACTTGTGATAGGCGAGCGTGCAGCCCTGGCAGCAGATGAGTGGTGCGAAGTTGGAGCCTTGATTACAGACTTCGCAGAATTGCATGTGACGCATGCGGAACTCATCGTTACGCGGCAGCGGTTTGAATGCTTCACGAGCACCAGTCACTTTGGGCTTGACAGGCACGCGTGCGTCGTTGGAGTCGGAGCGGTAAATGTCATCGATGCCCTTCTCCTCCATACCTCCTTGGTGCCGCGTGGAGCGACCCGATTGGCGCTCTCCTACGCGTTGACGCTTGTTGCGGTGATACGAGATGCCCTCATCTTCGAAATCTGCTACTTCGCTGTTGCGGTTGCGCCTAGATCTGCCCTTTCTAGCACTGGGTAGGTCTGATTGCAGGTAGACGCCGTCCTCATCCTCATCGGACCCGTCAGACGGCAGCTTGGCACTACGCAAGGACCGGCCGGCACCTGCCACCCCATTTCGCAGGCTTCGCCGCAGGCCACGCCGACGAGACTTGCCTTCCTCTTCCGAGTCTTCGTCGATGCCGAGTTGATCGTCATCGTCCTCTGGCTCGGCATCGTCTTCGTAGTCAGCTTGGGTGTGCTTGCGCTTGCTCCCGCGCTCTGTGTTGACCACGATTTCGTCATCAGACCGCGCGTCGTCATCTGAAACAGACACGGCATCTACAGTACTGACGAAGCCTATGTGCTGACGATGGCCGCGACCAGGGCGAGTCGAGCTCATCCTGCCCTTCCTGGGTCTGCGGACAGGCCCTGGTGTTGTTTCAAGTTCGACTTCAGACTCCGGCTGTGGTGACGGTGGATTAGTTGTAAAGTGTTCGAGTGCTTCTTGGCCGTTCTCGTACTGGATTAGCTGCTCGAATGATATCTAGTATTGGTTAGAGAACAAATCTCGAACCGCTTCGTTTAAGACTTGATGTTGGTGTAGCACACAGGAAATAAGAGGAAAATTGCAAATTTGTATGTTGCAGCGGATGCCTAATATAGACTAGCCGGGGTCATGTGAACGATAGTGAAGTGAATATGTGAAGTCTCGTCCTTAAAATCGAGGCTGGGAAGTGAGTCACCGCTTCGAGCCAAACCGCAGTGAAACTGAGCCACAAGGGTCCAGACTGAATTGTAGTCTTTCAAGACGAGGTGTGTCGGAACACGCGACCGCCACCTGCCGTGGCGCGAATACCTGCAGAAGGGACAGCATGTAGGAGAAGAAGTCGATATAAGGAGCACAAATGGATCATCGACGCACCTTCTGAACAGAGTAATCCTCCATCTCCACCTTGAGCGCGACGGTGCCATCGTCGTTCTCATACTCCTTGATAACGCGATGAACAACGTCGTGACCGGCAGTCAAGTCAACAACCTCCTTAATCCAATTATCCAGGTTAGTCCGGGGCAGGAAGGGCACCAGTAATCTCTCCTCACGCGTTGCGATCTGATCTTCCACTTTTGCAGCCTCGGACTCATCGGCCATAATATTTGCGTCAAACTCTGGCTCCGCATCATGTCTGACGGCCTGTACGGGCGCAGCAGGCGTCGAAGACGGTGCGTTGATCGAAGTAAACGCTGGTCTTGGCGATGCAATTGGAGGCGTTGTACGTTTGCGCTTCGTACCAGTCTGGAACGCTGCCAGAGCCGATGCAGCCAAATCATTATCCGAGCCCTCATCCACGGTCATCGCCATTGGCGCAACCGGTGCAGGCGTTTGCAAGTCTTCTGCGGGCTGCTTCGTGCCGGCCTTCCATGCTTCCAAATCTATTGGTGCTTCATCATCCGAATCAAGCTGTGGTTCAAAGTGGAACGACATGGTCGCCGCCCCCACGCGATCTCAATGAGATGGCAACCAATATGCAGATGTAGAGTGTCGACGCAAAAGGTTAATTGTGAAGTTAGTAGAAGCTCGCGATCCGACGCGATGGTAAACGCCGGGGAGAGTTTATCCGCTCCGAAGCCCTCTCTGCTTGTAGTGAGCTCGATGCAGACACGGAACATGTGACATGCAATGAGCGTTTCGAGGTTGCAACGGAGCCTTTATCTCGATCTCTACTCCGTTATCACACAACACATACGCCCGCGAACATGTCGATGCGCCTACAGTACAACTCAAGGCGATCGCAATGCCGAGCGGCCGTCTCTTCCGCGGTGGTTTCGCAAGGTCAAGCCGGAGGCGGTTTCGCAGCCAACCATCCCCCGGCTTGAGCGCAAGACGAACATCACTCGGACTGGTGAAGTCAACGATTCCAATTCATTGAAACCGGACGACATAGCATCTGGCGAGCGATCCCAGTTTAACGCACGAACTCAGAAAGACAAGGAGGACAAAGCATGGCCGGGCAACGACCGCCCTCAGCGCACCCGCGCCGAGCATCTCTGCAGCCTCCTTGTGCGTATTCGCGACATGGCATGCACCCCATTTGCGACAGCAGAGAACAGGCAGGAGTACGCCGACACCGCAGCCAAGTTCCTTAGCAGGATGGGTTTTCTCACCCTCGTCTCGTCTTCGCCGGAGAAATTAGAAGTTGCCGCACTCTTCCAGCAGGCTCGACTTCGACTGTTGCGCACGAAGGAGCCGCATGACGAGAATGCGTACTGGAAGTTGAGGTTCAAGGTCATCATTTCCGATGAAGGCGGCGACGGTTGGCAGATTACGTTTAGGCCACGACCAGAGCACTCGATCAAGAGATATAATATTGAGATCACTGAGTCTTTGCCGTCTGTGTGGCCAATGAAGCAAGACCACAGGCTTCGAGAGGACAGTCAAATGTTGGAGAACTTGGAAGCACGAAAGTCATCAAACATGGACGTCTCGCGGACAGCCTTCTGGGAGCACGCTTCTGCTCCCGCATTATCTCCGAAAGAGGCCGACGGTGCTGCAAATACCAAGACCGAGCAGCCACCACCGCTCACCCAGCAGCAATCAGAACTACAATCCCATCTGGCGCCGCTACCGGACTTACTCCGCACCCTCCACGCACCCTCCTTACTGCCCAACCGCGCCGTCGTCATCGTGCAGATAGCCAGTATTCTCACAAACATCGGCGCGCTGACCTCCGAGCCTCCGACCTGGCGCGGCACAATCCGGCCTGCGATCAGCCACGCGGTATGGCTGGACGGCAAGGGCTTTAAAGTGCACCGCAAAGTCATCACCCTCCATGACGTGTTCACGCGAGATCAACGGTGTATACTCATCCAGCCTGTCTGGCAGGCCGAAGAGGTGAATCGCACACTGACGCTAGTTTTCACACTGGATGCGGGTGGGAGAGTGGTGATGCTAAAGGACCGGAGGGTTGACCGGGAAGAGCAACCGAACTCCAACGGTCAGGAACGGCCGCCCATGGATGCCCCTGCCGCTCCGGCTCCAGATACAGCAAGCTCCGCCCCAAACTGCGAGGATCGACAGCGCCATGAGCTCAACAGCGCCAAAGGAGCTGCACTCGCAGCCGGGCCTAATTCCAAGCACGTGGATACGGGTGCGCTTTCTTTCTTCCGGAAAACGGACGGTGGGAAAAACGTTGTGCCTGCGCCTCACTTCCGGTTCCATCGAGTCAGAGAGGAGCCGTATCAAGAGAGTTCAGTTGCTGCTTCGGAAGCGAAGGCAGGCTCGCCAAGTAGCTATGCGGCACCGGCCGCAAGAACTCCGACCAATGATGCTGGCGAGACTTCTCTTGTCACCAGCTCACCGCGGACACGTCAAGCAACAGTTGACGATGACGTAGGGCAAGCCTCGGAGCCCCCAGCATTGCGGCGAACCGCGTCCAGTGATGGTGACGCTTCTGTGTCGCGGCAAACGCCGCCAACAAGCGTACCGAAGCTGACCGTCTCCATTGGCGGAAAGGGCAGAAGAGGTCACCGGCGTATTGTTACTACACCGGAAGCATCTGTCAGCGAAGATGATACCGTGGTGGACGCTCCGAAAGCTGTGCAGGCGCAGATGGGCAACACCTTTCTTGCGGAAGCCTATGCTAGAGCCTATGCTAGAGCCTTCAACGACACTATCACTGCCACTGACAAAGCCGCTGACGCCACCACGTTGTCCGAGGAGATCGCATCGCAAAACGAAAGGCATGGGCTCTTACAGGATGCATCCTCTTCACCCTCGGCCGTTACCGTCAATCTAACTGCCGAAGGTTCCGTTGTCCGCCGTCCAGCTTCAATACTTGCACCCGCAATTCGGAGCGCATTGAGCGTCCTCGACGACGCCCGAAGACGCCAAATCGTAGCGTCGCAGGTTCGCTACGCGTCTGGCTACGCTAGGGCTTCTGCTCGCAGTCCTGGCGGAAGTGGCAGCGCTGCCACTGTCAAAGAGCGGCGCGCTCCGGCTCGACAGCCTGCTCGGTCAGGCAGACCTGCCAAAGCGCGTGAAAGTAGAGCCTCTGGAGGCGGCGATAGAAGTAGCAGATTCGCCCAGCCATGGGAGGGGAGGGGTTCTCGAAGACGTGGTGAGATTGAGCACACTGTCACGGCAAGCGAGAGCAGAGCCCCTTCCCGTACCGAAGCAAAGTGGAAGTTTTCTGGCCCGACAAGCCCTAGCAGGTACGGCGGAGACGCGCGGAAGTCGGTGAGAGCTGCTGCTGCTCCTCGACGCTCGGAAAAGAGTGAGAGGCCTGCCACGGCAGCCAGTGATGGCAGGGTCAAGTCATTCGCCACAGCTGGGAGGGAGCCGTCTTCGGGGAGCTTCAGGACTGCTAAAGCTAGGGAGCCAGTAGCGTTCTCCGACGAGCATAGCGACTCAATTCCACCCAAGAAAGACCGGGCAGGATCCTTTGAGAGACGTGGGACTCCAAGACTCACCACTGAAGCGGACATACAGGCTAGCCCCTCCTATTCGCGCAACGATCCCGTCTCCATCCCGTACACGACGGCCGCCTCTCAATTCCTCTACGGCTCTAACGTCATTTTCGCGGCGCTACGCGCTCGCCGGCGCAAACTTTACCACCTCTACCTGCACCCACGCTTCGAGGGACGAAGTGACACAGACAAGCACGACACGGTCATCGCCGCGGCCAAGCGAGCCGGTATTCCAGTCCAAAAGCACACCGATCTCGCGCTTATGGACAAGATGTCCGGGTCCCGGCCGCACAATGGCGCCGTACTTGAGGCGTCGAAATTGCCGGCACCGCCTGTACTTGCGTTGGGCAAGGTCGAGGGTGGCAGGGTTGCGCTGGAGCTTGAGAGGCAAAGCAGAGAGGAAAGTGAGGTTAATGGCTCTCCCGAAGCGTTTGAGGTTTTAAAGCGGACTTGGAGGCAGCCGTTCCTGCTGTTTCTGGATGGCATCCTCGATCCAGGGAATCTGGGCGGGATACTACGATCGGCACACTTCTTCGGCGTGGACGCTGTGGCCGTTGCGACGAACACCTGCGCGACCCTCGATAGTGCTGTCGTTGCCAAGGCTTCCTCGGGAGCCTGCGAAGCTTTGCGCCTCTTCTCAATACCGAAGCCGAGCGCTTTCATCCATGATTCGAGGGAGGCAGGGTGGAAAATCCATGCTGCCGTTGCGCCCGACGCTGGAAACGGTAGAAGGCAGATCATGAGCGCAGAGATTGCTACGAAGAGTCCGTTGGCGGAGCATCCGGTTATTTTGATGCTGGGCGCGGAAGGCGCCGGTTTACGAGCGAATCTGGTCAAGCATGCGGATAAGCTGGTCAGCATCCAGCAAGGTGAGAGGGCTGGTAACATGCCGGACGTGGGATTGGATAGTCTTAATGTAGGTGTGGCCGCTGGCGTGCTCATAGAAGCTTTCCTGCGGAAGCCCGTAGGTGCGCAGAGTCGAGCGAGTGAGGAAAGGACAGCTGATACCGGCGACCTGGGATTCTGAGCGCCGCGTCTACGAAGCTGTCTACACATAGTTGCTGTGCGTTCTAGCGGGAGTCGCGTGGAGCACACCAGCACGATTGAGGGTGTCATGTATCACATTTCGAAGCATAATCAGCATGTCGAGCAAGCATTACACTTTCTTTACCTTACGGCGAACGTGCCCACTCAATGGTCATCCCTTTTGATCCACTGCTTACACGCCTCATAATGCTTCGGAAATGCCTCGTCGAAATTCATCCCCCTTCCAAACATATCACCGTCCTCATCCAACAACTCGACGAAGCGCCAGAGACCCACGAGAATGAAGTCCGCATAGCTTACCGTCTTGCCCATCACATACGGCCCCTCCTCGTGCTCATGCAGGATCGTTTTGATCTCTTCCATGGCCGGCTCCGCCTTCTTCCACGCCGTCTCCCCGGCCATCTGGCTCTTCGCAAGCTCCGGCAAGGACATCCCAAACCGTTTCGATCTTGTCTCATTGAAGTAAGGCTGCGAGGCCTCATTTAACAACTTGACCGGGATCCTCGGCATCCCAATTGGCGCGAGCGACTGCAACACCTTCTGCGCCGCAGACTGCATTCGCTCCGTGTAGCCGTTGTCCAAGTGCAGACTCGGCTCTGGCTGGAGCTTCTCCAGCGCTCGCGCGATCTTCAGGCTTTCCATGACATACGTGCCATCGGGAAGCTTGACGGCTGGGGAGCTGTACTGGGCAGTACTGTCCTTGGGATCGTTTGGCGGGACGCTGTAGGATTTGAGCGTGGGGGCAATATCCGGGTACTCGAGCCATTCGGTCTTGTAGGGAATGGATTTATAGTTAAGTGCCAGGCGAGCTTTCCATGGATTGAGCGACCAGCAGACGCCACCGCGAGAGGGTATGTCGTACAGTGTGACCTCGTTTGCCATTGCGGTACAGAAGGAAGCCCAGCTTAACCACTCCTACCAGTCGAGAACAACTAGGTATTGAACCCTTCCGTAGGTTATGTAGACAGGTTTCAGAGCAGACTAGGGCCGCCTGACTCAGCGCGGACAGCTAACACTCATAGCCTAGGGTAGCTTAGTAGCTTGGCGGGGTACGAAGACAGAAGGCACGAAGCTGCAGCAAAGTGAATGCCAGTCTCAGTAGTCGTGTCATCATGTACATTACGCAGTAGGTGAGCATCTTACGCTGTGAGACGGGTCAATGCTTCTTGAAGATACGAAAGATTTGGATCGCAGGTTGATGTTCACGACCTTCTCTCAATTTTATTTATCTGTTTAGGCGTCCAATCCTCATTGTTTGCGCTCTCCACTCTCCGGTCTACACCATCAACTATGTCTCCACGATCTGGGATGTTTCTATTCTCTCCTACGAGCTCCAGGCGAAACCAACACGGTACGTCTGGGACAATTCAGTGCCGCGCCGGACGAGTGAGACCTGCTCAACCGTGCATACAGCCTCAACGCACAACACAGGCATACAATACAGCGCGTGTGTTCCTTCTTCACCCTAGAATACCCGCCCCTGAAGACTCTCCCATACGCATCGCCGACGTAGCGTGCGGTACCGGCGTCTGGCTTCTTGATGCAGTATCCCAGCTTCCACAAGCCCATGGCTTCAACGTCCCGAACAACGAATTCCCGGCCTCCATCAACTTCGGTAATCGCGTCCGTTTCCACTAGCCGACGCCACCTCACCCGCAGGTTTCGGGGCTTTACTTCAAGGGCAAGTTCGATATCGTGAACATTGGCCTCGTGCATCTTGCCCTAAAAGGAGTCGAGTGGAACCGCATGGCTGCCGAGGCCGTTGCCCTGCTCAGACCGGGCGACTACATCCAATAGAACGAAACCCAAGCCGCGCACATCCGTCTAGTCCAATTCGGCCTCGATCTCAAACGAGCCGCGATTGACGATCTATGGCAGTGTATGAAGATGCTGCACGCGTCACTGGGGTGTGGGCAGGCTGCACCAACTCCCGGCCAGGCTGCGCGACTGCATGCGCTAATTGACCTTTTGTAAAGTGACTCCTATCCCTGCCGCAATACGCCACGTTCAAGATGCACGTAGACGTGACTTGCAGTCGTAAGCACGGTCTCGGTAGGAGAGTAATCGAGATGGCCAACCTGAGAAGGCCGAGGTTGGTATCATCGCCGTGACGTTTGTTGATACGTCGCTGAGCTTACGGTAGCTCGTTAGGATGAAGCCCACTAGCTTGGTAACGTCTTTTCACTCACGTTGTAACTGGGCGCTCCGCGGCATTGTCAGGGTACGGGTTGTGCTGGTCATCAGTGTCGGAGCCTGAACGGTGTAGCGAGTGAATGCATCGCTGGACAGGCCAATAGACGAACAATACGGCGTGTGATGACCTTGGAAATTTGCACGTGGCCTTCGGCGTCAACAAGGACGTCACATTTCCAAATCGTGCCCAACTGTGCAGCTGCTGTATTGGCCGTGACCACGAGATCTGCTTGTTGGCACTCAAGGCACCTCACTGCCCAACTCCTTCGCAGCTTGCAGCTCAAGATGTTTGAGCAAACCCTTGCCGAACCGCGTGACCTGCTCATAAGCGACCTCAAAGCCGTCCCTTTCACCATAGTACGGATCATCAACTTCTTCATCCCCTGCCTTCTCGTCAAAACGCCCGTACAAAGAGATCTTCTCCATCTCCCTCCCACCCGACAATCCCTGCGATTTTGCCGCAGATCGCAGATCAAGCACGTTCTCTAGGTCCATGCCAATCACGTAGTCAAACCGGTGAAGATCCTCTGGCACCTTTATTTTACAAGCTTTATGTTGGTAGTTCGTGATACCGTGCTTTTCTAGCACAGATATTGTACGAGGATCCGAAAAATCGCCTGCATGGTATGCACCTGTGCCGCACGAGTCTATGCTGGCTATCAACGGGTGCTGATTGAGAGTGCCATAGGCTTTGAGCTGACGGAACACGCCTTCTGCCATGGGACTGCGGCAGATATTGCCCAAGCATACGAAAAGAATAGACACTCGCCGTCCTGGCAGATCCTGCGCCAGCGCCATTTTCCACTCAGAGACCAGCTCCGAAATTGGTCACTCGTTGGCTATCGACTATTCTGTAGGCAGGGCGGACGGTGCGGTAGTACTCCGGGTAATTTCCGTCGGCCGGGACATGCCGTCCATACAGGATAGCGCCATTTCCCTTCCATCCCTCCGCCAGCGCTCTCGACGTGCCAGCAAGCGGCTTGTCAATATGCAGCCTGGAGAAGCAAAGTCACGACTCAGTGCATGCAAGGCTTACAAGTCTAATGCCCGAACGGCAGCACATCCTTGCCAAAAGCGCATACGGCTTGGCGACCGAGGTTGGTGAGGAGACTTCACTGCTATGCCGACGTCGGCGGTGTCAGCCATCTCTTTTCGAGCGCCGATACAGTCAGAGTACCACCGCCATAGTGTACCATCACGGTCTGGAAAGGCCATGTTGTGAAGCCTCCTGCCATTGACGAGATCTAGCAAGGACCACTATCTTGATTCTCCGCGAGGTATAATTCCGCACCTTGCAGACTTGGAAGATCGCACGGCTATCGGCACTGCATCTAAGCAATCCCGCACTACAATGGCCGGCGGCAAGTAAGGTACGCATATTACCGTACTCTTTTAGGCGTGCTTAGCACCTGCTGCCCGCTATTGCATTGAGTCACGGTGCGGTACACCATCGATTTCCTTTCGATCTCGTCAATTCCGATGCGGAAGGCGTAGGTTCCTTTCAATCTTTTCCTTACCTCTACTCCTCCCCACCACCTAACAAGACACCCTATTCCGCCAATGGTGACGACGAAGGCCATCGTATGCTAACGTACTGCTTACCTCACCTCATCTCTTATTGCTAGAGATTGTACTTGCAGCAGGATTATAGAGGCCACCGTCGTTACCGAGGCTCATATCGGCTTTAGCTTGTTTGTGCCGTCCAAAGCCAAACAGTCTCTGTCTTTACGACCTTCATGCAAAGACGGAGACATGGCAGTCCCGATGTCTGAAAAGCTGGTCATTGAAGAAACCGTCACCACCGCCCCAGACGTAGCCGAGCCGAACAGCGATACTACCGTAGCGGAGAAGGAACTGAACGTTGCCACCCGAAGGAAGTCGCATATGAGTTTCGAGGACCCACTGTCACCCGCAGACAGCTCCGGTGATAGTATCCTCACCGAATCAGAAGATGAACGTTACCTTCGTAATCCGTCCGAGAAACGGCCAAGCCTACATCTCTGCCGTACCACCTCTATACGGTCCACTGGCGCCGTAGGTGGCGTAGTTCCAACACTTTATAAGACCGCCACAAACCACACATCAGCTTCAACGTACACGACTAATGACCCAGCATTCGAGATCGACTTCGAGCCCGGCGATACCAAGAATGACCCGCAGCAATGGCCACTCTGGTACAAGTCTCTCGTCATCTTCGCGATGAGCTACGGCACCACGTGTGTCGTGCTTTACTCGACCAGCTACACCTCTGCCATTCCTGGCATGGAAGCCACGTTTGGCATCTCCGACACGCTGGGCGTGCTAGGCGTAACGACATATCTCTTCGGCATGGCCACAGGCGCGGTCATTCTGGCGCCGCTGAGTGAGATGTACGGTCGTCGACCAATCTACGTGGCGAGCCTCTTCCTCTTCGTGATCTTCGTCATTCCTTGTGCGGTGGCGAAAGACATCGCCACGATATTGGTAGCGCGCTTTTTTGGAGCGTTCTGCGCCAGCGCCATGATCTCCAATGCGGCTGGATCGGTCAACGACATAGTAGAAGAGCAATACCGAGCGCTGGCCTTCTCCATCTGGTCCGTAGGCCCGATGAACGGTCCTGTCCTCGGTCCTGTGATAGGCGGCTTCGTCGCACAGAACCTGGGATGGCGGTGGACAAACTGGGTCGTGATTATCGTCGCAGTCGTTGCATGGGTTGTTGTCAGTGTTTGCCGTGAAACCTACGCCCCAGCAATTCTTCGTCGCCGCGCAGCCGCCAAGCGAAAGGAGACTGGCGATGAGCGCTGGTGGAGCCGTTACGACGACAAGGAGGAATTTTGGCCTCTGCTTCGTGTCAATCTCTCAAGGCCATTCGTGATGACCGTCACAGAGCCCATCTGCATCTTCTGGGACTTGTACATTGCGTTGGTGTATGGGATCCTTTATCTATGCTTCGTCGCATATCCCATCGTGTTCTCGGAACTGCGCGGCTGGTCCCCAGGCCTCACCGGTTTAGCCTTCTGCGGCATAGGAGTCGGCTCGATGATCGTTATATGCTGCGAACCGCTCATCCGCCGAATGATCAACGCCCATAAACCGGATCCGGAAAGCGAGACGGGTGACGTTCCGCCCGAGGCGATGGTGAGTGTGGTCTGCATAGCCGCAGTCCTCATCCCTGTCGGCGAGATCTGGTTCGCATGGACAGGAACACCGAACGTACATTGGATCTTGCCAATACTGGCAGGGATACCATTCGGCATGGGCAACTGTGGTGTTTTCATCTATGCGACCAACTATCTGGTCTACAGCTACGACGTCTACGCCGCTTCTGCGCTGGCGGGCAACGCCGTGCTGCGGTCTATATTAGGCGCGACGATACCTTTAGCTGGGACCGCAATGTATCGGTCTTTGGGCCCGCATTGGGCAGGCACACTTCTCGCTCTGCTGGAAGCCATATGTATACCTATCCCTTTCATCTTCTATCGGTACGGCGCGAAGATAAGACGGAAATCTGCACTGATCAGGCAGATGAGGGAGGATAAGGAGAAGCAGAATGCGAGAAGGCGCAAGGCGGAGGAGAAGAAGATCAAGCAGAGAGGGCAGGCGGAGGTGTCCACGGGCGCCGCAATGGAGACAGGCGCATTCGTGGGAGAGGTGGAAGATGTGGAGAAGGGTGCTGATAGGGCAGTGCTCAAGGAGGTGTGAGGTCTGAAAGGGTGTCTTGCGCCTGTCATTGATTCATCTAGCGCTGAAGCGTAGCGTTCCAATCATCAAACAATCATGTCCTACTCATCAATGAGTCTCTAAAGACATGGTCAGAATCATAAAGCCGGACTGGCTGCCGTACCACTTAGGCGTTATGCACACTGACAGTGTCGTCGCCACCACCACCACCACGACCACCTAAGGCACCCGTCTGTCACCCTCGGCACATGAAGCCTCGGCAGCATTCGGAGCTCGAGCCAGTGCCGCAGACTCTCCCTCGGATACTCCCGGCCGCAAGCGACAGCTACACATGCCCTCTGACCTCGCCAACGTTCAACTTTCGCCCATTTGTCCGAGGCTCAGGTCCGGCCTTGTCCCTCGGTTGCGTTTTGTCTCATACGCGTCTGGCACCAGAGGCCCTACGACTATGTAATAGCAATGACCTGGGCTCGGATTGACGGGCGACATCGGAAGGTTTGTCGCTGTCTTTAACGCTTGGAGCTGTGCCTTCTCCAGGCCTTGTCTCTGGTGACGTTTGAGTTTGTCCAAGGTTCCATCTACGCTCCAACTCCTCTCCTCTTGTTCTTACGTCCTTTACTGTTCGAGTCATTGCAATATCGAAAGGTTGTCAAGCTGGCAGACCGTCTCAAGCAAGTTGTTGCTGCCGTCTCGTCTGTGTTACCGACTAGTGCTCATCTTGGAACCATGGACGCCGAGGAGCAGCGCTACCAAGACGAGGTCAAGGAGCTGAAGCAGTGGTGGACCGACTCAAGATGGCGACACACTCGTCGTCCGTTCACGGCCGAGCAGATTGCTTCGAAAAGAGGCAATCTGAAGATTGAGTACCCGAGCAATGCAATGTCGAAGAAGCTGTGGAAGACCGTGGAGGAGAGGTTTGCCGTATGAAGCACACATGGGAGAGAGAGAAGGCGTGAGCACTGACAATCATAACTTAGAATCGTGATGTCTCCTTCACCTATGGTTGTCTCGACCCCGTGATGGTGACACAGATGGCCAAGTACCTCGACACAGTGTACGTCTCCGGCTGGCAATCTTCGTCGACTGCCTCTGCAAGCGACGAACCAGGCCCAGATCTCGCGGATTACCCTTACACGACGGTCCCAAACAAGGTAGCACATCTCTTCAAGGCGCAGCTTTTCCACGACCGCAAGCAGCGCCAGGAACGCCTTGACACGCCCGTTGCGAACAGGAGCAAAGTCAGCAACACCGACTTTCTACGACCAATCATCGCAGATGCGGATACCGGACACGGTGGTCTTACTGCCGTCATGAAGCTGACGCAACTGTTCGTGGAGAAGGGCGCGGCTGGTATTCACATCGAAGATCAGATGCCGGGAACGAAGAAGTGCGGACATATGGCTGGTAAGGTCCTGGTGCCCATAAGCGAGCACATCAACCGCCTGGTCGCCATTCGTGCCCAGGCGGACATCATGGGCTCGGACTTACTGGCGGTGGCACGCACGGACTCCGAAGCAGCCACTCTTATCACCACCACGATCGATCCGCGAGACCATGCTTTCGTTCTTGGTGCCACGAACCCAGCGCTACAGCCGCTGAACGACCTAATGATCGCGGCAGAGCAAGCTGGCAAGCAAGGTGCCGAGCTGCAAGCGATCGAAGACAGCTGGACTGCGCAGGCAAACCTCAAGCTGTACCACGAAGCCGTAGCCGATACTATCCACGCTGGCGTGCATGTAGACAAGCAGGGTCTGATTGACGAGTACACGAATCTGTCCAAGGGCAAGAGTAACTCCGAGTGTCGCGCCATCGCCAAGGGCTTGACCGGCGTTGATGTCTACTTTGACTGGGACGCGCCCAGAACCAGGGAAGGCTTCTACAGATACCAGGGCGGCTGTCAGTGTGCGATCGTCCGGGCTTGCGCTTACGCGCCGTACGCGGATCTCATCTGGATGGAAAGTAAGATGCCGGATTTCGCTCAGGCGAAAGAGTTCGCAGAGGGTGTGCACGCTGTTTGGCCGGAGCAGAAGTAAGCTGTATCACATCTTCATTCAATTAACTATCGCATACTGACTTGGTCCTGCTGCAGACTCGCCTACAACCTCTCCCCATCATTCAACTGGAAAGCCGCCATGCCCGCCGACGAGCAGCAGACCTACATCGCCCGCCTCGGCAAGCTCGGCTACTGCTGGCAATTCATCACGCTCGCCGGCCTGCACTCCACCGCCCTCATCAGCAACGCCTTCTCGCGCGACTTCGCCAAGCGCGGCATGCGTGCCTACGGCGAGACGGTACAGGAGCCGGAGATGGCGCAGGGCGTTGAGGTCGTCACCCACCAGAAGTGGAGCGGTGCGAACTACGTTGACGAGTTGTTGAGGATGGTTAGTGGTGGTGTGAGCAGCACGAGCGCGATGGGCAAGGGTGTGACGGAAGACCAGTTCAAGCATTGATGAAAACGGAACGAGGTCGGCTATGTAGCAAGATTGTTGAAGCGGTGTATTCTGGAAAATGCTATTCACCCATTGCCTTTTCCATACGCGCATCCATGCCCACTCGCCACCTATCAGCGTACGTCTTCATCGCCCATATCGTCGCGATGCCTGATATTAGCGCTACGATGCCAATGATCGTAAATAGCCACCCATTGCCGATTGCGTTGATCAATGGGCTCGCTATAATGGTCCCCACGCAGCTGAAAATGTTGCGTACGAAGTTGTTCAAGGCTACACCATTGCTCGCTTTCCGCGGCATAAATTCTGTAAGCATCGTCGTCGCCAGGGCGAAGATCAGCATGCTCCCTATGCCAAAGAAGAAGTTGGCTACCATGGGAGCAGCAATGCTTTCTCCGAACTCCGCGGTCCAGCCGTACGTGATGATGGCGGCGGGCCAGAGTATGGCGCCAAACCAGGCGTTTTCCTTCATGCGGTCTTCCGGCCTGAACTTGAGCTTGCCGTTCTCGTCGTAGCGACCGGCCTTCTTCGCTTCCCGGTGCATGATGGCATCGACCCATCTGCCTCCGAAGATGGAGGCGAAAACATAGCCGGCCGAGTTCGGGAGGTAGAGCAGGCCGACTATAGTTGAGCTGTAATTGTACGGCGCACTCGAGAATGTCTGCTGGATCGATATGTTGAGGACGTACAGGGATGCAAACGTGACGGTGGCGTAGTAGACGGATACAGCCACGGCTGGGAATTGTAGGTAAAGGATGATCCGTAACGGGTCGACGAACGCTCGTCGTGCCATGACCCAGTACTTGCGCGTCTGGACTTGGACCGATTGTCTGGTAGACGTCCGCGTCAGCTGGGGCCTGCCCGACCCGGACTTCTCCTCGTCCGTCTCGACTACGGCTTCCACTTCCTGGACGGCGGCGGCGGCGAACTGCTTCTTTCTTCGTAGCGTCTCCGGCAGTGCGAACAGAATGAAGGCGCAAAGAAGCGCACCGAAGATGGCCAAGAACCATTGCGTCGATCGCCATCCCAAGGACTGTGAAAGCGCACCACCCATAATTGGTGATATAAGGGGTCCACACAAGGGGCCCAGGTAGAATATGCCCATCGCACGGCCACGTTCCTTCACTTCCCACACGTCAGCGACCGTCCCAGCGCCGACAGCCTGCACCGAAGCTGCAGCACCACCGGACAAGCAACGCATGACGATGAACATGGCAATGTTTGGGCTGACTGCCGCTAGGGCGTTGAAGACGACAAAAAGCGCGAACGAGACGATGTAGATCGTTCTCCGGCCCAGCGTCTCACTGAAGCTGCTCCACCACAGCGGAAAGATGCTCATAGACAGCATGTACAGCGCCACGCTGAGATTGACCACGGTGGCGTCAACCTTGAAGGTCCGCTCAATATCCTGCAGCGCGGGTAGGATGAGTGAGGAGCCCATCGGTGCCGCAGCACCAGCGCACGCAATGATGAAGGTGATGAACCATTTCTTGCCTCGACTGTAGTCGTAAGGCTCGATCACTTCCGCGAAAATGCAAAGTCGGGCAAACAGACCTCTTCGTTCCGACACGGGCACTTTGACGGCTTCGCGCTTCACGGATCGTGTTGATGACTGTGCTCGACTTCGGGTCCGGTGGGTTGGGACCTGGTGGTCGTGTGCTTCATCATCGTCGTCTGTCTGCTGTGAATTACCGGACGACCGTGAAGCATGCGATTCACGTGACGGGTGTCGCCTCCCTCTAAAGACCTCAATTACATCTTCGCTGTTCGAACATGGTGCACCTACGGCGGTAACATCGGGTTCTTTCGAGAGCGCCTCGTAAGGCTCGGCCGGTGTCGCTAACGTCGTCTCGCTGGATGTAGTCGGCTCGATTGGCTCGAACTCCTTTCCAGGATCGCCTTTCTCGATGTCGCGGTCGTCTTGGCTCATCTTGGTTTGCTTCCAGTATCAACGTTCGCGTATCATCCATTCAGGCTTCCTCATTGCAGACTCGTCGCCATGAAGTTCGTCCTTTCCATTGCCTAGGCTCAATGCTTTACCTCGGTCGAGCTGCTGCACGATGTACTACAAGCTTGCACCAAGAGGGACAGAAAGACACATAGGGACGCTTTGGGGGTGAGGACATGCTAGCCTACCTTACCTTGACTGCCACTAGCCGGCCAAGGCTTCTCCAGCTTGAGTACGATGTCTGCAAGCCCATGCCGAGTTTACCGTGTAGCTTGTCGAGGCATTGTCAATCTTGGCCGTGATGGCGGGCAGAGATGTGCCGCACAGGCCGAGCGATCTCGGCTTTGGTGAGGTTTGCCGCATCATGTGAGGGGCAGATGAATTGAGGCGTGCCGTAACGAGGTCTCACACAGCCGCTGCTGTGGAATGTGTCCAGTTTCGAAATCGCAGGCGCCAGTGGCCCGTACAGAGGTTTGTGTAATGATATAAGAGATATGAATGTACAATAGTGGAAGTAGCGGCGAAGATTTCGGCGGTAAAGCAACATGCGCGGCCATTCTGACCGCTTTGGTTATCGATCATACTATTCTCTTCTCTCGTATCATCAGCCGAGCATAACATACACATAATCTGTTCTTCCTTCGAACATTGCAATAAATTCGCATCATACAGCCCATCAAGACCAACAAATCACGAGATCTCATAAATACAGAGAATGAGCGAAAACCCGGAGCGCGCCCAACTCCGCGAACACTTCCTCGATAAGCCATTCGAGCAGCACGCTAAAGGGTGGGATGACCTGTGGAAGAAGAGCTTCACCCCGTGGGATCGTGATAAACCAAGCCCAGCGCTTGTTGATACATTGAATCAGAAGGGAGATATCCTTGGTGGGGCGCTGATGCAGAATGGCGAACAGTCTCAGCAGAAATCTCGCAAGCGCGCTTTCGTGCCGGGTTGCGGGCGTGGGTACGACGTTCTTCTGCTGGCATCGTACGGATATGATGCGTACGGACTAGATGTGTCGGAGACCGCACTCGAGAAGGCGAACCAGCTCGTCAATGACCCGAGCCTGGTAACGACATATCCAGTGCGTGATGGTGATGTCGGCCGGGGCTCCTCTAAGTTCGTCAAAGCCGACTTCTTTGCCGACGGCTTCCTCTCTGAGACGGGTGGTGGTTCGTTTGACCTGATCTATGATTACACCTTCCTCTGCGCGCTGCCTCTCGACATGCGGCCGCGCTGGGCCAAGCGTATGTCTGAGCTCTTATCACCCGAAGGACACCTTGTATGCCTCGAGTTTCCTCTGGGCAAGGCGCTGAGTACGGGAGGTCCACCGCATGGTGTTCAGCGTGAACTGTACGAGCAGCTTCTTCATCATCCAGGACGGGAAGTGTCATACGACCAGAGCGGCAATGTCAGCGAGGATAAAAGCGACGACAAGGCGACCGACGCTTTGGTCCGAGTAGATCGATGGATGGCCGAACGGACGCATGCGATCGGCCAAGGCAAAGACCATGTTTCTATCTGGCGACACGTCGAAGTCCGATAGCATTAGAGCGGTCGCCTAGCGGAGCGGGAAGCCGTGGAAGCCGCCTCCAAATCGGATTGATATCGTGGATATGCCGATCACAGACACATCGGCTGCGTCCACATGGCAGTCAGGAGGAGGGGGTCGGCGTAGGGTGCGCACTGGTTCGGCTCGATGACCATGTCGTAATCAGCTGCGGCATTTCTGCTGCGCTTAGCGAACGAAACCGAGGCCTCCTCCTCCTCATCAACCCTTCTGCCCCTCTTTCGAAGGACAGTGGCGGGCTTGACGACGCTCATCGCACGCATGCGGATGTCTGCGGCGACGTTCTCAGCGAACTCGACCTTTTCTGCGAAAGGACCCGTCTCAATGCCGGCTTGCTGAATCTGGTCATAGGTGAGTCCGCAAGCGGCTTGAGCGTCGCATAGCAACTGGGTGATGGCTGAGGTGAGCTCTGGGTAGTCCATGCAGATTGGGAATGGTGCGGCCTTCGCGTCCTGGCCGACGGTATTGAGGAGGTTGGAGAGCTTGGCCTTCTGCTCGAAGAAGAACTGCTGGAAGCGGAAAGCTGTTTGGGCGCGCGGAGTGTACATGGTGAAGTAGTGCCTCCGCGTTTGCGGGACCGTGTAGGTGTGGTCATACATGAGTGGATGAAGGCCGGTCATGGTGTCTTGCGGTGCAAAAGAGCGAATGGTAAAATGAATGTGAGTGAGATCAGAACAGGAAGCTTCAGAACACGCAGAGCAGAGAATTGGGTCGGAAGGGAGGACGAAAGTGGGACAGTGGGACGATACCAGCGATCCTTATCAATAACCATCTCGGCCTCGCTCTTTGACCATCGCGACGACCCGACGCGTTGATTGTACGCATTCGGGAGAGGCTGGGTGGTGGTGCTCGGCCCCCCAAGGCCTGTCCGTTATTGGGTGACTGGATATAAGCACAGACCATGTCTTACTTGATCTCACCAGCCCTGCGCTTTTCCGTCTGGAGAGATCCAGAAATGGAACCTTTTGCATGAGAGATTTGCCTGAGTTCCCGTCCTCCTTTTGATGCGAGCAACTTCTGCTTGTGTAATACCGAGATCTGCAGAGCAGGTTTCTTGCGAAAGTCTACAAGATTTGATGGCGCAAACACGAGAGCCTCCTCCTATCTCCGCTTGCGGCGCCACACCCCAGAGACCGTCTGGACCACCCTCAGAGGAAAACATGCTTTAAGTGTCACGTCCCACCTCCTCACATACGGGCGTGGTACTTCGCTACATCTCCTTTCTGTCCAAGGAATCTCTTGGGTATTGGCACATGTACAGCTCGGATCCACTCACAGAAGCCTTTGCCAAGAGCGTCCAGTATCTTCGAGCTGCTCACGCCTCTCCCCAGAGGACCATAGACGACAAAATGGACGGCTTTAATGTCCGGGAACTCGCAGCGCTCAAGGTGGTACCACTCTTGCCAGTCAGACCCCATCATCTTGCGCATCTGCGCTTTCGTCATTAAGGAACGTAGCCAGTCCCATTCTTCGTCGCTATGGACGTAAAGACCGCAGTTAACGTTGGCGCCCTTGTCACCGGAACGACCAAGCGCGATGTCTCCAAGCGGTGCCATGATCGTCTCGCCGAATGTGCGAAGGTCAACCGGATCTGTGGGCTCGTAGTCTTCTCGGTCTTGGATCGGCTCGGTCTTCTTCGGCGGTCCCACCACGATCTTGCGTACTTTCCCAGACGTCTGATCTATGAGGTTGATGCTCTCTTCCAGCCCGCTTTGGTCAATGACAGCCGGGTAGAAACCTAGGAACGGTCGAGGCGCTGCAGTCCGGTAGTCGAGGGACGAATGGAAGCCTGCAAAGTGTTGCCTATTGAGGAGTTAGTGCGACCACTTCTAACGCATAGGATGCCACCCACATTGTATTGTAACCGAGTGCCGGCAGGACCTTTGCAATGGCGTCTCGGTCCCGTGATTGTGCGAATATTCGTAGGTACGTGGTGGAGGCGAGCTGACAGGTAGGATTGGCCTCCGGCCGGCCCACCCATTGAAAGTCTACGATATCCAGCTTGTCGAGAACACCCCAATCCTTCAACTTTCCGCGCAATTGCGCTTCTAGCAGTTGGAACTTTTTCTGGGTCGCATAGCCAGTCGCATTCACCACCATCTCACATTGCCATCCGCCCTTGTAGAAGACCGCAAGCTTGGTCGTCGCCGGCGGCGGAGCACCGATCGTGCCTGACACACGCACGCGGTCTTTGGCTTCGTCCTCAACGCGGACGTGGGTGATGTCGGCCTTGACATCGCTGTTCAAGTATATACTCCCCTGAAGCTCGTAGAGAAGCTGACACTTCACAGTGTCCGCGTTGACGAAGCCGTTCAATGCATCGTGCTTCGTCACGACACAGTCGCCGCTCGCCTCAATCTCAACGATCGGCAAACCTAGGCTTAACAGCTCAGAGATGTCATGCTTGAAGAAGCCCGCAAAGTTCGCGCCGGTAATGTACGTCGAGCATTCAACCAAGTGGCCTGCAATCAGCGCACCAGCGAGGGCATCATAGTCCGTCTCCCGCCATCGATGCCACCACGCTGCCGCGCCAATGACCGGACTGGCATCGGCAACACGACCACAGATAATGATATCAGCGCCTTCATCCAGGCCACGCTTAATCGCCCGCATGCCAAGATAAGCATTAGCGCTCACAATCGGCATCTCACTGGGATGGCCGATGAATTCCTTGGTATCCTTCGCAAGCTGGACGTTCGAGTTGGCCTTGTCGAGATGAGGAAGAGCTTCATCCTTGGCCAGGAGATCGTGGATCTTGTGCATAGAATCGTCGCCGTGGACGTAGGCTACCGTCAGCTTCAGGCCTTTGGATTGCACAAGCTCGTGCGTTTTTTCGGCCAGGCCTTTCGGGTTCAGCCCGCCGCCGTTGATGACGATCTTGATCCGCTTCTCGTTTGCTATGTCGACGGTCTTCTGGATACCATCCCATGCCGTTGGAATCCACCCGGGATGTCCGCCTTTGGCGTAAGCTTCTGCGTCGTTGCCGAGATTGATCTCTTTGCAAGCGTATTAGCCAGGTCGGTCGCAACTGGCATGTATTAGTCTGCTCACCTGCCAGATAGTCTCCCGTTATGACATCCACTTGTCCATATTTCGCTTGGTTCAGCATATGATCGCCAGGGTCAGGGACAGCACCGCTACAGTTGGCGATTCGGACGGGGCGTTGAATGGAGCCCATTCTGGCCAAAGTACGCTTCTACCTGCAATAAAAGACGCCAGAACTTATCCTGGCCTACATTGCAATGCCGAACTCAACTTTTGTCGCGCCATATTGCCATTGCCCGCAAGCGACAAAGGTGCTCTGACGGTCCCTCGGGTATCGTGCTGGTATTTGCGGGGCTGGCTGCATCGTCGACCCGACAGATGGATGGAGAAATCCAAGAACAACCATGCAAGGGTGCTGCTCGTGGATAGCACCGGGTTTGTGTATTGGATGTCCTGAGTCACTGCAAGCTCTGTGAACCGGATAGCAAGTCAACTCAAGAACAACAACCTCGACACCCTTCCTCGTTCTGATCTATGTCAAGGACAACCCGTTACCAACTCTCCCGACATTGTGCGAGAACGCATCTAGCACACCGCCGCGTTCAACTCACATTCCCGAACATGGGTCCTATCGGCGAACAATACGACATTCCCCCGAAGCCGAGCAGCTCTTGACCAACAAGATCCCCCACAACCCACTCTTCCAACACCCACCCAACGATATCCAGTCAACAAGCCGCCTCGCCACCTTCACCGGCACCGCCAACCCCAGCCGCCCAATGCCGTGGCGCTTCGCCGACTGACACCCCGGCCCTAAGAGCCTCGGAAGCATCACCACCCAACGTCCTGCGATCCCGCAGCTACAGCGTCCCTATATCCCAAAATCACCATCAATGTCGATCACGCCTCACTAGTCCTCAAGCACACCTCTTCCTGGACCAAGATCCTGGGCTAAGAATTCGATTCCAACGGCTTTGATTCCCAGCTCCATGGTTGAGGTCGGGGTTTCCGGCGGCGTGTCCCCCGGATCTGGACGGGCCATGGGCAATGACGAAGCTGTCACACCCTTCCTTCCCTCTACAGCGGTTATTGAACCGGTACCTTCGGGTCGCCGGGTGTGCTGCGACGCGCTGCCCCGGAAACGTACCCCCGAACAGGGGTGGTAGTGTTCCGGGCTTGCCGTGAGCTTGTCCGCCTAACCCTGCCTTACCTTACCTTACCTTATCTGCTGCGCAAGTCAAGCCGACAACTCCTCCACATCGATTCGGCCCGCCCTGAACGATTATTCTCAGCGGCTCGGCAGCTCCGCCGGCATGTACGTATCCTATTGAAATATGGAACCTACGGATGGGGACGCCGCGGTCGACCGGGTATCCTGACACGACTATGCTGCGGCGTATACCATCCTTGCCATGCTTGGGACACTGCGCTAATTGAAAGCCCGACGTGCTTCCAGCAGAGAAATCCGAAGGCAGTTGGGCTTGCATTTCATACAGCTCATACCTATTGCGTAGTCTGCCGATCATGTTTTTTTGTTGGGGTATAATCACAATGTGGGCAGTAGGGGGAACGGTGTCGATCGGCCGAGATGGCCGGACGATTTGAGGACAGAGGTTATATGTTAGGAGCGTTTTCGCGCTGCGTTAGGGCAATTGGGTGTAAAAGCGTCCCCGTTAACCGTTCTTGGATTCCGGTAAGGAGTGCATGTACTGTAGTTGAGAGACAACGACGGTAGGAGAAATGATTGCAGCTGTATGAGCGCTTGCTGGTAGCTCAGCCGTCGAGGACAGATTACCAGCTCATCTGCACCCCTCGAGCGTTAAGAGGCGTTGCAGCCGTTTTTCGAGTACATGTACGGCAAGACCACTTTGCGCACTGTTAAAGGGGAGAAACGTCTGAGGAAAGGTTGGGGATATTACTGTGGTGGAGGTGGTGGTGGAAGAAGTACAGCCAAGGCCCAGATCTATCTGCATGCATCCTTCGACGCACTTCTCGTGTCGGCGTCGGGCAGTGCATCTGGGTGCAAGAGTGAGGTAGTGGCGCTGCCGGTACATGCATTGCCGTCGACTAAACGGAGGTGATAAAGATTTCCAGCTGGCATCAATTACTGTGTAAGCCGGTGTCGCATACCGGTGTAAACCATGAGAGAGTTTACAAGAATGGGGAAACGTGTATACGCATACGGCCAATGCCCGAATACTCGTTACATGTACATGTATGCCTGCCTGCATGTCACCGCCACACCGCAACGGGCGTTAGAGTGGGGTTGCTAGCACGCTTGCGGATGGGTAGAGAAGTGAGAGTAGAGGACGCCTCAGGTGCCAAGAGGTGCAATGCCCGGGTTTTGACGCTGTGATTGGTGGCGCGATGGGGCGCTCAGCTGCTCCACGCCTGGACGCTGCATTCGGGGGGGGGAATTCGATCCACGAGCAGGTCGGGCCCATCAGCAAGCACTGCCTGGTTTCCATCTCTCCATTCCCATTCCCATTCCCATCTCGGGCTGTGGTTTGGGGTTATGCTTCAGCGGTAGATGCGATGTAGGCAGCATGTTCTCCCCAGTAATGATAATCCATCGTAATCGATTGAGATCAGGAGATATTGATTAAACGGGCGTGCATGATGATCCAACCGTATGATTGAAATGGAGGGAATATTGAATGGAAGTGCCGGACTATTGAAAAGCGGCGAGTGGCTAAAGCAGGCGTGGAAAAAAGGTTCGCTCGCTCCTGACCCTGGCCCTGGCCCGGACACTCATCCCTCACTCACCACTTACCATTCACCATCTCACCACCCATCTGAGGCTGAGCCAAGGGCTGACATCGGATCGCCTTACCGCCCTGCACCACCTTCTGCCACTCTCTCGTCTGTCGTTCGTACCCTCACACACACGGCCCTCCAGCCCAGGCAGTGTGGAGGATCACCGCAGCCAATCCACTTCAGCCGCTGCATGCCTCTCACCGTCCGTCCTGCCCCCCGAGCCACACCCACACCACACCACCTCTCCCACCCAATCCAACACTTCTGGGGGCCCCCCATGTGTGGATGTCTTCTATGAATCAGCGCTTCCGCAAGCTCGTGGGTTCGACGCGCCGCAGCAGCAGCAACACCAGCGTAGCCTCCTCCCAGACCACCGCCAACAATAGCACCACCTCCGCCCCGCACAGCAACGCCAACACCTCGACCACCACCCTCTCCCCGCCCACCAGCAACGCCGCGGCGAGCACAAACGGCACCGTCAGCACCTCCGCCACATCCACCACCACCGCCACCTCCTCGCCCGCCTCCACCCCGCAGCCCCAACAACAGCACATCGTCCCGCCCCCGCTGAACCCTTCCGCCTCCGCCTCCTCCCTGCCAATGGCTCAGCAGCCCCTCGGCCGCCCCCCTTCATACCAATACGCCAACACCGCCAACAACCTCGGCGCACCGCAACATCCCAACCCCGGCCGCCCCCGCAGTCCCATGCCGCCCCCACCCATCAACACCGGCGCCGGCCACGCCTACGCCCCGGTGCACCAGCAACAGATGTACCAGCAGCAGCAGCAGCAGCAGCCGCCGCCGGGGTACGGTAACCCGATGCAGCCGCAGGCGTACGGATATGGCGCGCCGCAGGTGGGCGCGCACCCACCGTATGCGCAGCAGCAGCAACGGCTCGCTGAGGTGGAGGGGAGTAACCGGAGTAAGGCGCAGTTGATTGTGGGCATTGACTTTGTATGTAAATACCCATTGAGGTGAGATGGGTGGAGTAGAAATGCTGATGACTTTTGCAGGGCACGACTTTCTCCGGTGTCGCTTTTGCGTTTGCGACCAATACTGAGGCGAAGGAGGATATCATTGTGGAATGGCCTGGCGCGGGCACGCAGACGAAGCAAAAGGTTTGCATAAACTAATATAGATGCGGGATACGCTCCGACTGACAGTGTTACTTTTAGATCCCCACCGTCTTGTATTACGACCAGCATCAGCAAGTCGTTGGCTGGGGTCCCGACATCGCGGAAGCGCTTGCGCCTACCGGCTACCCCAAGCCTGGCGTACAGAAAGTGGAATGGTTCAAGCTGCAGCTAATGATGAGCGGAAACACCTACATAGATCCCATCAACCTCCCGCCACTCCCCCCGGGAAAGTCCGAAATCGACGTCGCCGCCGACTACCTCTTCAAACTGCGCCAAGCCATGCGCAACCAGCTGCAAAAGACATTGGGGGAAGTCTTCAACCGTGAAGAGCGCAACATCCGCTACTTCCTCACCGTCCCCGCCATCTGGAACGACGCTGGCAAAGCCGCCACCCGCGCCGCCGCCATCCAAGCCGGCTTCCTGCGCGACGAAAACGACAACCGCCTAACCCTCATCACCGAGCCCGAAGCCGCCGCCATGTTCTGCTCCAAAACGGGCCTGCTGAACCTCAAAGTCCACGACGCCGTCCTGATCGTCGACTGCGGCGGCGGCACCGTCGACCTGATCGCCTACGAAGTCGAGGAGGAATCCCCCTTCACCGTCGCCGAATGCACGGCCGGTTCGGGCGACTCCTGCGGTTCCACAGCCCTGAACCGCAACTTCTCCAACATCCTCCGCGCGAAGATCCGGAAAATGAAGTTACCCGACGGCTCCAAGACGGCGGGGAAGGTGTACGCGAAGTGCATTATGGACTTCGAGAACCGGATAAAAGCCGACTTCCGCAATAATGGGCAGAAGTGGGCGGTGGATGTCGGCATTGAGGCCGAGTTCCCGGAGGCGGGGATCGAAGAGGGTTATATGACGTTCACGAACGAGGAGATTCTGCAGTGCTTTGAGCCGGTGGTGAATCGCATTTTGGAGCTGGTTAGGAACCAGATTATCGCCATTCAGGCGCAGAATCGGCTGTTGCAGGTATGTCAAACCCCCCATACTCCCATTCACACCCCACACGGCGGCGATATGCGAGCTAACGGGAATGTGTGTTTGGCCAGAACGTCCTCGTCGTCGGCGGCTTCGGCGCCTCGGAATACCTCTTCCAGCAAATCAAACTCCACGTCCCGCCGCAATTCCAGAACAAAGTCGTCCGCCCCATGGACTCCGTCGCCGCCATCGTCAAAGGCGCCGTCACGGCCGGCATTACCGAACGCGTCATCACGTCGCGTGTGGCGCGTCGGCACTACCTCATGGCCACGCTGCAACCGTTCAAGGAAGGCCATCACCCGGAACAGTACCGCGTGCCGAGTCTGGATGGCAAGGATCGGTGTAAGTATACCCGCCAGATCTTCGTGCAGAAGGGGCAAAGAGTGAAGATTGGCGAGCCGGTGAAGGTGAGCTTTTTCCGCCAGGTCGCCCCCGGCGCGACGTTGATGTATGAGGATGTGCTGTATGCTTGTGATGAGGATGTTTGTCCGGAGTACACTAAGGATCCGCGTAAGTTACCTCATCCCCATCCGACCGACAAACAACAGGGCTCTTTGAGTCCGGGGTGTGGTTGTGAGAGGCCGTTTTTGCTGACAGGATTGGGGTGTGCTTGTAGGGATCAAGGAAGTCGTGACGCTCACTTCGGATTTGAGTCGGAAGAACCTGGAAAAGGACTTCGAACGCATGGACACGCCGCAGGGGACTTTCTACCGCGTCTACTTCGACATCTACCTCACGCTCGACGGGTCCGAGTTCAACGCCGAGTTGGTCTGTCAGGGCGAGGTGATGGGGAGGTGTTCGGCGCGGTTCCGATAAGCGGCGCCGACGGCATCCCATTTTAATCCGATCGAAGCCCTACTCGCTTGCGATTTCTGACAACAGGACAGCCTGGTGTGAGGGCAGCGTACGACACCCCTTTTTCTTGGATAGAGGAACCGCTTTCCCCGGACCCCGCAAGAGAGGGGGGCAGATCCAGTACGTACGGTCGCTCAAGGTGCGGGTGTGGCGGTTCGTTTCACAGCGCCTGGCGGTGGGGCCGCATCGACTTAGTACAACTCGGTAGAAGATGGAGGAAGAAGTCATGGCCCCCGATCCCACACAACACGAGAAGTAATCTATCCATCATCCCCTGCCCTCTTTGTTCATTTTTGGCGGAGCGGACTGAATGCGAGATGGGATGGGGGGAAAATGTTGTTGCTTGAGTAGATACCATTGGCTGCATGTACTTACGGTTTCCTCCGGTAATTTTGCACGTCTTGACAAGAAGGGGGCAACCTAAGCTTTCACGCGTACTGTGGGTTGTGATGTGTTGACAATGTGGTTGTAGGTGTTTGGCGTGGACGAGGCGACCAGTGGAGATCCACTGCCTCTCCTCAAAAGATGCCAGCTTATTCCGCGCCGGCCACCTTCCGCAGCACGCCCAAGTCGAAGAATGGGGAGGCCCTAGACACGTCCTCAAGCTGTGTCGGCGCAGACAAGACCGCAGCAGCTTGTCGGCAGGGCAGAAACCGTCGCGACTCGTGCCTGCTCTTCGAGCGGCAGGCAAGACCAGAGCCGCGACAATTTAATGTTCTGAGCGAACCAACGGTAACGGCAACATTCTTGTGCTAGCCAATTGTACTCTGGGCCTATCAATCCGCACCAGATCGAAGCCGGGTACTGTGAACGTCTACCAAGAGACCAAAAGGCATGCATTTCAGCTTTCTCCAACCGAGCCGTCGAGGAGTTGCGTAAGCTGCCGGCCGCTTGAAATGAATACCTACTGCCCTTCACAGAAAGGCGTGCCGGGGAAAGCGTAGTCTCGGTTGGGGACATGTGCGCCAAGGGCTGCATGATCGCGTAGCACTACCTCTCACCCACACGTGGCCCGGCCCTGGTGGGTCGTCATCGAGAGTGCCACCGCTGCAGGCTCACGCACCTACAAGGCATACCTAGAGTCGTGGGTCGTGCCGTTGCGCTTGCAGCAAAGTCCACAAGAATCGTAAAATACACACCTGTTCTCGAGCAGGATATGGCAGCAGACCAGACTAGGCGACAAGGTACTCTCCGCCGTTTCCCCAACTCCGGTCCGTAATCATCTTCTTCAAGCGGCCGAGTCATACATCCAGGGGTATATCGAATACTTCTACAATAACACGCTCCACGGAGATCAAGATGAGCATACCGTCCAGTTGCATTCCTACTCGCACACCCCATCACCCGCTAAACTCTCCACCACCCCATTTCACTTCCAGACACCCCTCTCCCAGACCTTCCACGACTCACCCCCTCCCTCGCCCCCTGCATCATACCTATCTCCCCGAGTCCAAACAATGAATCTCCAATGCCACCAACACCCCACCTTTGTCCACAAACGGCGTGCGCGCGACCCGTGCAGAGCCCAAGTCTGGATCCATGAATTTCTGGATTTGAAGTTGGATTGGTGTCGAGCTTGGCTCTATTGGCGGTGCGGGCGGCGGCGGAGGTTGTTGGTGATGCTGCTGGTGCTGGTGCGGCGGAGGTGGTGGTGGTGGCGGGGGCAGGTTTTGTCCTCCCGCGTGGTTATGCGCCGGATTTACCGCGGGTGCTATAGCCATTGCAGCATGGCCGCCATCTCGCCCCGTCGCGGCAGCAGTCACGACCCCAAAATGCGCCGCATGCACCCGACACGCACACACCACCCTGACCACCGTCGGCTTCTGGACCCCATCATCCTCCTCCCCATATGCCCCCTTCAACCCTCCCCTACCCCTCCGACTCCTCCCAACAACAGCCATAGGCGCATTCGCCTTGTGCAACTCCAACAACTGCCGCTTAAACGCCATATCCTCCCCCGGCCGTCGGGCATCAACGAACCGCATGAACTCCACTTCATCCATTCCATTAAGCGGTTTACTCGTCTCGCCCTCCCCATCGCCACGACTGACCGATCGCGCGGGCGGGGGCGGAGGGGGGTAGAACACCTGCCTCAACCCGCCCACGAGCTCCTCCAGTTTCCCATCCTCCGACCAATTCCGCAAATTCTGATCAGGCGACAAACTGTGATCCCACCGGTTACTCCGAAAGCGCACGCTCAACTCCCTCAATCGCGGGAAATCCGCCCGCAAACCCCGACACCCGTCCGCTCGACTCGTGAGGTACGGCATCCAGAGTCTGGTGTCGCTGGCGCGGATGTGGAGGTGGAGGGTGTGGGTGTGGGTTTGGGCGAGCGGGGTGTTGGCGAAGGCGCGGACGAACATGTTGGCGTCGGAGGGGTGGTGGAAGAGGAGGGGGTTAGTGGTGTGGAGGAGGGGCGCGGTTTCGGAGTGGATTACGTGGCAGGTGCGCAGGAGTTGGGGGTGCAGGGTTGGGAGTTTGTTGTTGGTGGTGGTGGGAGGGGGTTTGTGGAGCCAGTCGATTGTTGTCCCGGCGGGGGAGGTGAGGCAGTAGGCGTAGATTTTGTCCCTCAGCTCTCGCGGTAATCTGAATAAGCCGCATTGTGCTACGCTGTCGGGGAGTTGCTGCTCAGGGACGGCGCTTAGTTGACGGTACATCGACCGCCTCGTTCCGCTCATTTCGAGGTCTTCTTCCCCTTCCTCATCCTCCTCATCCTCCTCTTCCTCTTCTTCTTCTTCGTTCGTGTCGGTGATGGTGCGCATGGGGTGGTTGAAGTAATTGCTATTGGTCAGACTCCCGCTTCGGCTACGAGTGGGTATACCTGGCGAGCCGAGAGCGTCGACGGTGAGGGAGGAGAGGGAGCGGGTGGAGAGGACGGATTCGCGCCATGGGTTCGCGTTGGCATACGGATCTGCAGGGGCTGGGGAGAGATAAAAGTTGGCCATGTCGGTCGATTCTTGTTGCTGGGGGTTGTTTACGCTTGTTGTGTGTTGATGAGCGACGGTAAGAGGGCGATCGCCGTTCAGGCTGTCGTCTGAAGCTTCGCCCGGGAGATGCTTGGCACTCATACTGCGTCTTGTATGGCGAGTCGGATGGGGGATATGAGAGAGCCGGGAGGGTTGTTGTGCTTGGGACAATCAGAATATTGCAACACGATACCAACAGTGTTCGTAACCAAGTGACTTGCTTTACAATAACTACATATATGGCTGTCCCAGACCAACATCGTAACGCTCCCGGCGCGAACACTCAAGAGCTGATAGATCACTCCCACACAAGTCCAGGTACCCTCCCAAATCGACGTTGCCGACACTCCTTCACCGTCATCCTCATCGCGCGGTCCTTCCGCGTAGTTTTCGCACTTCCAAGCACCAGATGTCCGACATGTGTGAGAGCCGCCAGCTTGCCTCACTCAGCCGTCGAAGCCCACAAATCCGCCGTCCTCCCCAACCCGGCCAACGCACCACAAGCCCCCATAATGCCCAGATTGAACCCCGGAATGCCACTCTCCAGACTAAACTGCGCAGCAACCGGCAACCAACTCAACGGGACAACCATCTGAGCGTACCACTTCCGATCCACCTCCTCATCCTCCTTCACACTAACCTCACTGCCACCCTGACTCTGAGCGCGCTGACTCCGCTTCACCCGCTCCAACTGCGCTTCCCGGAACAACCTCACGAAATCACACAACACCCCACCCATCCACGCCCGGTAACTCCAAAGGTATATCTTAGCAGTCTTCCCCCCCGACGCAGCAGTCCACCTCGCCGTGTAAGCAGCAGGTAAGATCTTATGGTCCGTCAAGACAGCCACATTCTCCAAAAATTGAAAGGTAGTATACAACACCGCCTGCGTGACGGCAGTCGCATACAACACCTGATCTTGACCCGGCTTGGGTCCCTGCGATAACTGGCGCAACCAGGCGTACATGGGGAATAAGCCGAAGAGACGGAGGGTGGTGCGTGTGCTGCTCAACAAGCTGCCGAGGGCGGCGATGTGGGAGGGTTCGGTGTTTAAGGCCGGGACGGAGGAAGTGCGGTTGAGGAGCTGATACAGCCTGATGCGCAGGGGAGTGGACTTCGTCTCGAGGTAGGCCAGCAGGTAGAGGGTGTAGTTGAAGGTGCTTAGGAAGGCGCTGAGGCCGCCGGGGGAGGCGAGGAGTCTGGAGGGGTGGTTAGTGGGCGGGCGAGAGTTGGAGGGGGAGGAATTAGACGGCGCGTAGCCGATTTCTGTACTTACTTGTTCAGACGCAGGATGACGCGGTCGGGGGTTGCTGCGAGGCGGGCGAGTGTTGGTGCTCTCTTCTTCGTCTCTGTCGCGATGCTCTTCTCCTGCGCCGGGGGGAGCTCGGTCACGCCGCTGGATGGCGCGCCAGGCTCGGCTACTGGGTCGGACATGGTTGTGATTTCTGTTCTGTAACGTCCAACGAGGCGAACGATGAGATGGGCTGCGTTATGCCGTACGTGTACGTGATGAAGGAGACGACAGCGAGAACAGCTCACCATTGCCAGACCTACACCATCCCGATCGACTACCTCGGCACTGACTCCTCTCCACTCAAGCCCGTTACGGTTAGATGCAAATAAGGCCCTGGAGAGCTCTGGCCACCCATCGCCGACGACAATGAACGATGATAATGAACAATACATGTATATATCACACACTCTCTCTCCGTTCTACCCAACCGATGACGTTTGAGAGATGGGCAGGCTAGAAACATGCTCTGGACAGGCAACCTAATGGCTCTTGCACCCATGATATCGGCTAGAACACTTTCCCCCCTCCCCCTCTCACTCTCCTCCACCATCATTTCTGCATCAACTACTCCTCCTCCGCAAACTTCCCAAGAATCGTATCCGTCCCCCAACTAGCCTTCCCAACCCCAACACCACTCCACCACCTCCCCACAAACTCCTCAACCCCCACTGTCTCCACCTCCGGAAAGAGCGCGTTAAGCGTATCAGGTACCACACACCATCCTTCGGCAATAGCAACCCGACACTGATTGTAAAACACCTTTCCCTCATCCCTCCTCATCTCCTCCTCCATTTCCTCAACACTATTCTCTTTAATCAAAAACTTCCGCCTCTGGACTCGCTCCACGATAGCAACGATCTCGCGGAAGGACTTGACATCCCCTCGCATCCCCATCTCACGCGGCCAGTGATCGAGGGAAAGGGCGTGGTAGACAAAAGTGGCGATATCACGCATATCCGTTAGGACGAGTTTCGCCGAACCATCTCCAGGGTAATCAGCATTACCGGCTTTCATGTTTATAACAAAACTCCACGGCCTCAGACCGGCTAGGGCTTCTTCCTCGCCTGTCTTACGACCCTCACGCTCTCCAACAGCCGTGACGGGTTTTGGCGTACCGGTTGCAAGGATGGACATGAAAATGCCCGTCATGAACTTGGTGACTTGCATCCCCGTCTCTTCGGACACTCGCTGAGCGGCTTGCCAGACTTCCTCCTTACCGGCGTAGTAACCGATTAGATCATTCGATATGCCGGCATACTCGCTCGGCGCGAAGCGCGAAACGCCTGCTTCTTTTGCCGCGCGCAGGAGGGCCATTTGCCCGTCACGGATTGCTTCGGGAGAGCCGCCTATGGTTGAGAGTACAGTGTGCACGTCTTTCAGCGCGTGGACAAGCTGGGAGTGGTCAGCGTAGTCCACGACGCGGACTTCGATGCCAAGGGCGGTAAGGTTGGGTTTGGAGGTGCGGGAGAGGAGGACGAATTTGTGAGGGTGCTGGGAGAGCGAGTTGAGGTGAAGGAATTGGTGCAGCATGGTTAGGCCGAAGCCTGTGCTTGCGCCCGCTAATGCTACCGTTGCCATATTGAGACTGTCAAGGCTTTGAGTGTAGCGGAAAGGCAGATGAAGGTCAGTGAAGGAAATGTCAGTGGGAGGAAGGGCTGCTACTTATGTGAATTGAAGGAGAAGCTCTACCACTACTCTAATTGACGGCATCAGGAGATTACCCTCTCTAGTTTGCGGTCTATCACTCAGACGGTCAGTTTCCCGCCGAAAAGGCCTCGTTGAAACTGGCAACAGTGGGCACGCGATCTGAGCAGCGGACCTTATATCTATCCGGTCTGTCACGTGACTGAGCAGGTTTTCGGGAAGAGCCGCATGGAATAGCATACAGTTGGCGCAAAAGCTATAAACATCTGGTAGATCGTTGCAATGTAAGACGGAGGCTTAACGTGCCGCGCAAGGGTCTCGCATCCGGCTCTGAGATCAGCAGCACGATCGTTATAGCATGACTTCATGTGGCACGGCCCTGCGACTGCCGCACAACCGTCCACCCTTGATGTACGCTCACAACGGCATGCATAGCTGTCTCAGCTCTCCATCATATTATCGAGCCCATATGTCTTTCGTCGGATTCCTAAGCTACTTATACCCTGTGCAGACAGAACGAGCATGGGCACTGAGGATGATAGCGCAACCTGATGGCCAGTGTACTTTTAGCCGGTCTTATTGCTCTTAAGGGCCTATTTAGATCTGTCAGGGGGGCGGTAAAATCCACCACCGGCACAGGGCACGTTATACAGTCATGGAAACGCCACTTCTGCCTTTGGTTGTTTTACCCAATACGCAAACGGCCCATATCAGTATCACAGTTGGTGGTGGCACATCAATGTCCTTTCGCCCCATGAATGTCGAGCAGGTGAACCATCCTGTGCAAAGAGAAGAATCTGCAGTATGCTGTAATACTTGCTTACTCAATAAGACAAGCGAAGGCCTCGCGCAGCTAATAGCATCATGTGCCAGCGCTCTGACATTGCACCGTTGCGGCGAGTTGGTGCTGGATGATGCCGCGACAATGTCCGGGTGACGACGGCGGCGGACCGGTGTGTTGCGAGAGGAATCTCACCGGAATGTGGCTCCCCGGAGGCCTCAATAGCGTGTGCATTCCACATTTGATAGCTGCATAAACAATGCAATTCAGCGCCCACGCACGACGCTTGTCTGCCCATATGCTTCAGATGCTCCATCGAAGCCCAAACGACATACTGCCTCGTGGCCATCTTCAGCCGTCATGTCGTTCTTCGAAGACACGCCATTATTCGGGACGGATATTGACAGCACGCTAGACATCATCACTTGGCTCGGCATCGGGGGCGCCATTGCGGTCGTATATCGTGCCTTCAGCCACGCGCTCTGGAAGCTCCACCACGAGCGCTCAGGTCGACATGCGCGGGTCAAGGAGCGAGCGGTTGTAGTATTCGTGGCCGTGGCCATCCTGTCTTTCATCATCGTGCATTGGCTTCGCCTGCAGCACCGCAAGCTGAAGCTCGCGAGTTGGGACGAGATCCAGCAATGGAGGCAGCAGCTTCCGCATGTCCCCGTCATCGGTAAGGAGGCGAGACGGGTTGATATGCCGTTCATGAAGACTGCGACGGATATGGTGTCTGAGTGGGTTGATGCTCAAAGCTCGGCCCGCTGATGTGGTAAATCGCTGACTATTTGGTACAGTCTTCCGGATAAAGCCCGCTCGCTCGGTGCCACTATCACGGACAACCTCCCCTCTTACGAACAGATGACCGACGGAGCCAGGCACGGGTACCACAGCGGTTCCAGTCTATCCAGTCAAGCCAGTGAAGCAGCAAAGGCCGCTGGAAGTACCATCGATGCTCTGACTAGTGCTCACCCGCCAAGCATTCACGAGCTGAAGCAGCAAGCCTGGGCGAAAGGCCAGGAGAAAGGGCGCGAAGTGAAGAAGCATCTGTGGCAGAAGGGCAAGGAATTGGCTGACGGAGCTGTCCCGGCGGCAGAGCGAGGGTGGCACTTCCTCAGAAGAAAAGCTCCGCAGGTAGCCGGAGAAGCTTCCGAAGGCGCCAAGCATATCGCCAGCGAGCTCTGGGAGTGGTTTCACGAAGAGGCCACCTTGTCCGAACGTATCATACATCGCTTCCCGTGGATCGAGGAGCACTTTGTGCAGAGGGTCAGTATCTGGGACTTCTTCAAGTCGCTGCTGGAACCTCGACTGCGATATTTTTGGACGCAGCAGTGGCTTGCTGGGTATATCACGTGGTCGATCTTCGTAGGGTTGGAGTGTAAGTCCGCACACAACGAGACCACTCTGCAGCAGACTAATGCGGTTGCCATGTAGCCCGCTACCGGAAGTTCACCCCAGGCACGGCACTGGCCTTTATGGTACTGAGTTGGTGCTTCAGTCTCGCGACCATGCAGTCGCTCTACTTCGCATTGATATTGCTTCGGCCTGACACCTGGGGCTCCACAAGGCAACGCTATGTGCCGACAAAGATGCTCGTGCTACTGCCGACTGTAGCGGAGCTTCTGATTCTGGTATGGTTGCCAGACCAATTGCATCGAGGCCACGGCGACCGCATGCGCGTACTGAATGCGTTGCAAACGATATTAATGGTCGGGCCGTGGATCATGGCTGAGGTGCTGCAAGTGAGTGTTGGTTTTGAGAACGCCCGTGGTTTGTTCGCTAACGCGAGGCGCAGACCAGAGTTTCAGGGTTGCTCTCCAGTCGATTCGGAAGGGGTTACTTTCCTACCAAGGCGAGGCGCATGCTGAGAACCACTTGGTACATCATCGGAATCTGCTGTATCGTCGGGCACTCTGTGACGATCTATGCTGTCTTCTTCCGGCCGCAGCCCAGTAGCAAGTCATGGCTTTCGTGGAATGAGCGCCATAAGGAAGCCGCCTCTGTACGCTCGCTTGTGTCCGTCCTCACGACTTTTGGTGACCATCCTTGGCATGATGCCGTTTGCTGGGACGTTTTACTGTCAGCATTAACCTTGAGTATCTGGGCGGCAGTCAGTTCTTCAAATGTAAGCGAGATGATCCAATGCGCAGTTTGGCCATGGTTGGAGGAGACCGTCGACGAGGTCAAAGGCCTGACGGACTACTACTACGACTCTATGCGGGACAACTTCGAGATGTTCAAGTATATGGTTGAATACGAACCCGCAGACAACGAGGCCGACGACCGTGCAGATGTGTCCTGGTGGTTGATGGCGGAGCTGAGGAAGTTCGGACTCAACGCTGAACATCTAGTCGAGGGTATGCTTGACGGTCGTGATCACGGACTTGAGCATCTGCACGAGAAGGGCAGAGAAGCTGTGGAAAGCGCCGTCTCGTTCTTGTGGGAAAATCGTGACGTTGACCGAACCTATGCGCACCAGATGCAGAGGGAACAAGCGGAGATGCAGGCACTTGGCTGGGACGGAGAAGATAGAAAGGGCTACCGGGAAATGGCTTGGCGTGCAAGACGCGGAGGGTTGGCCAGAACCGGAAGGGGAGTGTACAGCCGTCAAGCTTCAGCAGATGGTGATGCCGAAGTTGAGCTGATTGACGACAAAGATGAGGAAGACGGCTGGGCGGAAGATCCTCGGAAGAAAGCCCGCTCAATTTGGAAACGAGGAAGAGGACGGCCACCGAAGACCAGCAGATCACCATCGGCCGAAGGCAGGAAGCAGCCAGTCTCACGCAAGAGCTCACGTTTTACAAGCAGAAGTCCAGCACCAAGCAGACGAGCATCGAGTCGTTCACGGACCAGAGCTAATGGAAGGCCAGAAAATGGCGGCCTTAAGAGAGTGGCCAGCAGTGGTCGCAAGATGATGCACAGAATGCAGCAACAACTGCCGCCGACAGCAAACCTTCGTGTCTCGCGCGAGACGGTCCGGGATGCTGTTAACAGCGCGGAAGGGGCGGTGTTAGCCTGGGGATTCTTCGTGGTTGGTGGGCTTGGGCTGGCAAGCGTGAGTGTCTACGGTGCCGACGAGATCCATCAGGAGAAGTAAAGCACCATTTCCGCGCGACTTACGCGGTGCCGTACGCTTCGCCGGTTCCGCGGTTCTGCAGGTTCAACGGCTAGTTCCGTCGCTGGCAGTTAGGGAGCCATACCTACCTACTGTTCATTCGAGTGTTGAGGTTTCAGAGTAAGTCACCCAAGTCAAGGTTGCGCGTGAAAACTCAATCCGAGAGACGCTGCAGTGACATGCGGACGGGCTTGTAAGGAATGCGGTCACCGTGGAGCATTCAGCAGCCCTGTTGTCAGTAGTACGTGTTGGGCTTATGCTCCATCAAAGGCTCAGACGATACACTGCTTGCTGAGTAGTCCTTCGCCTGCTCAGCCTCCTTTCTCACGGCCGCGAAAGCGTACGTAAAGACATCGCAAGTGTTGCCGTGAGCCGTGTGGTGAAGTCGGCAGCATTGAACCGTAACAGCGAGCATCTCAGGAACAGGCGGCAGCATTCTGCATAACTCGTTTCGGCCGAACACAATATCGTGCTCTGCCATGACGCTTGGCTGCAGGAAGTGGCTTGCTTAGGCCTTGGAGAACGTCGGCCTTCCGCGGCACCGCTTGCCCACAGAAGTTCCCACACAGCTTCCGTGCCTGCCACTTCCGCCAATCAACGTGTGGTAAGGCCAACGTTCACTGTGCCTCGATCGGGTCTTGGCAAGATCCGAAACGAAAGAGGGCTGTGCAGTGTAGCGACACCCGGCCGGAACCCGTCTCACCCAAACCTGTGTCCTCTGCGTGTATTCTCCCTTTCGCTCACTCCATCATCAATCTTCCATCAACAACATCGACCCCTTCATCTGCACGGGAGAGGGTAGTCACTCGCTGTATCGCAGATCGTGATATTAAGGCAGGAACGAAGGGCTGCTTGGACTGTTATCGGAGGAAACAAGAGGCCGCGTCAGCAAGCGACCACGCCTTGGAGTGGAGGCTGAGGATAGCAGGCACCCAGATTGTGCGACTCCAAGTACCGCACAACTGCAGTCTGAAACACTGAGGAGCCATTGAGTCCACTTTCGCCACGTACTTCGACGGGAACCGCTCGGATCTTACCGCTATGAGCACCACGGCACTGAAACAGGAGCACTTCGACATGGACTCCTTCTTCGACTTCAACCAAAGCACTACCCAACAATCTCCAATGACCGCTTCATCATCGTCAAGGCTGGACGCTATGTCTCCATTCGATAAGTCTGAGGAGAGGCTACAGTTCAACGGCCCAAGTCATGACTACAACCAATACAAGCAGCAAGTTGGCGTGGCAGTCGGGAGCATGGCAAACCTGCCGCCCATGAGTCAGCCTCAGATGGAGTATGGCTTCAACTCCGGCGTCGGTGACGTGGGCTTTGATGGTGGCTTCGGCGGATGGTCTTCGGGTATTGACATTGATGCCGACATGACCATGGACTTCAACAACCCTCAGTCTTCCATGCCCGCAATGTTCTTCCCACCACCGGGCACCGACAGTCCATCCGACAACTTCATCAACCCAAATACCATTGGCGTCGCCGACGAGCCAACTAGCAGCGTTGGTCGTCTGTGGCCAGGCATGCACTCTCAACAAGCCCAGCAAGCCGCGATGCAGAAGGCCGCCCAGGCCCAAGCCGTCCAGCAGCGCCAGATGAAATTGCAGGCCCAGCACGCTCAGTATCGTCATGCAAGTCAAAGCTCACAGAGTCAAGCCTCGGTTCAAGGCTCAGCTCAAGACCATGCCAACGCCAAGCGCGTCTCTCAAGTGCCCGAGGTGCACGTTGAGGAGAGCATCTCCCGCCTGTTGAACCAGATGCGTCAGCAAAGCAATGCCTCTGCTGACGACGAGGACTCACCGAACGGCATGCTACCTAGCATTGCTCGCATGAAGAAGGACGAAGAGGAGATGGACGAGGATGAGCGACTTCTGGCGTCTGAGGAAGGCAAGAAGCTTTCCAGCAAGGAGCGCCGCCAGCTTCGTAACAAGGTGTCTGCTCGTGCCTTCCGCTCAAGGAGGAAGGGTATGTCATGCCATTTCACTTCAATTATTGTTGTATCAATGTGTCGCTAACTTATTGTACAGAGTACATTGGCCAGCTTGAAGGTGAACTCGCGCACAAGACTCAAGAGTGCAACGACCTCCGCCAACAGAACGTCGGGCTCTTGCAAGAGAACGACCGCTACCGCGGCCTCATCGAGACACTGCTACGCCACCCAGCATTCCATCCCTTCATCAACGACCTCTCGAAGGATCCATCCGTGTTGGGCATGCCGCAATCACAGATGCAGGCGCCGCCGCAGCAACCGGCTCCTGTTCAGCAACAACAACCTCAACCTCAACAGCAGCCTCGGCAACAACAGAACTCCACGCCCCAACAAGACGTCAAGCCCGAATTCCTCAACTGGGATGCATCGCAGCTGGAGATCCCACAACAGCAACAACAGCAACCACAACCACAGCAAAACCAACAAGTCGGCCTCGCCATGATCCCGGAAGAAAACTTCAGCAAGCTCAACCTCAACGGCTTCGCACGACCTCCGATGAACTTCAACGCGTTCAGCAATGTTAGTGCTTACGCTGTCACCGAGGTTCCAGCCGGTCCGGATCCAATCGACTTACTTGCTGCCTCGACCACTCGCCTGCCTGCCTATGACTCTGCTGCTACTGCTCCTTCGACCTGCGATATGACTCTGCTACTTGCGAAGTTGGACGGTGCTGCGAGGAGGCTTACGGCAACATAATGTACCTACCAAGTTTGGTATGATGGAGTTTCGTGAAGCTATGTTTCTCGTTCGACTTAGCGTTTACTCCATAGGATGTATGTCGATCTTCTCGGACGAGTCAATCAGAGCGTGCATCTTACTCCACTTGCTCCTCCCAACACAGTAGCCGTCCTTTTTTGCCTCAATCGTTCCAACAGCTCGTAGGCTTGCGACCTTCCTGCCATCGCCACTTTGTAACAAGCTCACGATCTCTCGGAAAAGGCCATCAAGCTAAAATCCCTCCATGGGATGCAGTGTGGCTCACCGCATGTGCATCGATTGCGTAAGGTATACTACTTCTTTAGGCTCCTCTTAAGGTACCAGCGCATTGCGCATTGATGTTGCATCAGACGTCATCAGTTCGTCTAAACCTGCGTATCAACGATGGCGGCAGTAGATATGCCGACTCGGGAGTCACTGGACGTCGTGATTGTGAGTAATCGGCGCAAGACTACATGTACGATCCCCGTACAATGTTCATTTCACTCAGAATTAGGTAGGCGGCTCCATTGCCGGCCTCATGCTGGAGATCCTGCTCAAACGTCGAGGCCACAATGCACGCATCCTCGAACGAGCGGTGCACGATGAACGCGAAGCCCAAGCCGCGGGAATCGCCATGGCCGCTCACCTCCAACGCTTCTTCGACGAGCATGATCGCTGAGCGCACGTACCCGTTCACGGTGAAGGACGAGGCATTCGTTTTTCTACATCATGACACTCTGGAAGCGGCGAAGGTGGTTCCTTACTCGGGCCGGATGGCGACGTGGGACGGGGTGTATTACCGTCTACGAGCGAACGTTGACGGGCTGAGAAGCGAATATGGCCGAAACCCGCCGGACTTGACGAGTGATAGCGGCACGGGCGTGTACGAACATGCGCGGTGTGTGGTGAGCGTTGTAGAAAGTGGAAGGCGACTTGTGGTTGAGTCGCAGGACCATCGAACTGACGAGCGATGCATTCACGAGGCCGACATAGTTGTGGCGGCTGAGAGTAGCCATTCGGCTTTACGCGGTCTGTTCGAGCCGGTCACTGTCCGCGAGTATCAGGGCTACGTGTTATGGCGTGGCACCGCGCCCGTTACTGCCATGTTACCTTAAGAGCATTCGGGGCCGAGCGTGCGTGTACGAAGGCAGATGCACGTACATAACGCTTTTCAACGTCCCTGGTGACTTCCGCGCGCTCGAAAAGGACCAACAACACATCAATTTCGGCTGGTACACCTGGCCGGCTTCCCGGAAACATATCGACGAGATCATGACCAATATCAAAGGCCATAGGCACCGCCAGACTTGGCCAAAGGGTAAGATGAGGCCAGAAGTCTGGCGGGCGCAAATAGAGCTAGTCAAGAAGGCCCTTCACCCTGATTTGGCGGAATTGATGGGTATGATAGAGAAGCCTTTCGTGGCTCTCGTGACGGATACGACGGCAAGGAAAAGCGAGGTATCTGCATGCTCGGCTGTTCTTCGTGTGCGCCGCTCTCATGCAGCTACAGCCCAATTATGGTCAAGGCAGCGATCCCGTGGCGCTGGACTGTATGAGGCTGGCCGATGTCCCTGTTGGCAAGCTGAGCGCGCAGGAGTGGGAAGAAGAGGGATGGGCGGAAAGGGAGAGAGTGAGACTCTTCACCAAGGTCTTCACGGCGCCGAATACCAACGGATGCTGGGGACGTGCGGTCGCCATTGCCAGATGGAAGCTCTGTCTTTGGCGGCAGAGCTTGTGGGCTGTATGGACACACGTGTGGTAACGAAGGGCGGGTTTGACCAAGGCGAAAGCAATGTTGGGACGTGAATTCCATCATTCGACAGAAGGAGGGCTCCGTTGCTACTCCCGTAACGTAGACGTTCGTCCTGGAGTCAGCGACGTGTCTCCCGAAAGACGGACGGACTAGCATTCTCTTTCAAACAACGTCTTCGGCTTCTAAAGGTTATATTCTTTTACTCTGCTTATTCTGGAAGTCGGCATGCCATGCCAACGCAGGCCCATTTAATGTAGGTGGCGCAGGGCTCGGTGCGCTCCGCCAGCCACGCAATCGGCTTGTCGCCAAGTGGATCGCTCAGGTGCTATTCTTTGACACAAAGATCTCATCGACCTCACCTCAATGTAGTGCATGTTCAAAGTGGCGATGCTCGCCTCCGTCTTTCCATGCTCTATGACTTTTGTGTAACTTCTTTCCACATTCACTCTGATACCCATTAGCTTGCGACTTTCTGCATCACTGTACCGTTCTACGTTCATACCGGGAGCAGCAACAATGTTCAAACTCCTATACACCCTTGCGGCGCTCATCTGCTCTGTCACTGCTCAACAGACGCCGCCCGGTTACGGCGCTGCAGGCTCGACACTGTCATCAGCATCAGCATCTGCACTAGCATCAGCATCAGCATCTCCTCGATCTAGCTCCGGGTCTGCGACCAACTCCGCCAGCTACCCAACAAGGACACTCTTTCTCCCGCTCAGCAATCTCGGCAACATCGCTGCCTCAATAGTGACTGCAGCGCCGGACTCCACCGTCTATGGCTTAGCATGTTTGCACGTTACACCTAGCATCTGTCCCTACAACGCCTCCGTTCTCATCACCGAGGGTCCAAGCACGCTCATCTACACGGAGACGTTCGACTCGTAAGTACCCTTAGATCCAGGGTCTAGAGCAAGTTACTCATAGGAAATTTAGGAGCGGAGCAGCCTCACCTACTCGAGGACCCATCCTCATCAACTGCACTATGTCCGGCAATCCTAGCGTCACGCAGGCCGTATGCGCAGGAGCAACATCTCTAACCGGGCTGGGCAGTGTTCAATCGACATCAACTCTGTCTGGTGCACAGCTCACTTACGGTACGATCACGATCACTGCTGGAGCGGAGAAGCTCTCGAACGTTGCGACGCAGACTGCAAGTTCGAACCGAGCAAGCTCCACTTCATCCGGCGGAGCGGCACCAATGGCGACTATGGCAGGCTGGCTTGCCGGTGGCGCTGTCGGTGCAGTGGCACTTGCGGTTCTGTAGAGACAGTATATAAGGCGCAATAAGTGCTCAAAACCGACGTTCCAAGCCATGATCCTAAGCGCACGGTTTTGCCTAAAGGATGCACATATATTCAGGTGACGTCGATTGAGAATATGGAGTCCCTTCGTTGTGACATTGGAGCTATACTTGTCTGTCATGCACGTGCTAATGTGGTAAATGCGTGACTTCCAAATCCGGAATGATTTTGGCACATGGATTGACCTACAGCACGACTCTTACTGCTCGCGGATCTTTCCTCGGCCCCAAGCGCAAATTCAACGCTCTCAAGGCTCTCACCGCAATAGAGCTCGACTGTAGGCCTGATTGCAGCCGATCAGGCCTTCTCGGCACTCGCTTTCCAACAGGACCGTGAACAACCCTTTCGCCACGTCACTGTTCAACACATCCTCGACTCTACCGCTCAACGCAGTCCAGCTTCTCTGCCTCCGCAAAGCGCTCTGGACAGCTTACTACATCGAGACCCAGTACAGCTACGTCCGGGATGTCCTCGCATTCTGCATCCCTACCCTAGCCTACATCACCTTCCGGATTAGCTCCCCAAGCGGTGCGCAAGCCACGTTCAACAGCGCAAACAAACGTGCCACATGCTGCGGTGCCGCAGTCGCACGCTACAGCCTCCTTGCCCTCGCCCTCTCGGCGTTTACCACGCACGCCTTCACAACGTTCGTGCTCGATCTCTCAGTCGTCTCAAAGCCGATGTATCCTCCCTTGGTTTGCAGTAGACGTCGACTAGTATCCAGAGCTGAAAGGAGGAAACCCTGGATGATGTCCATTCTCTTCATAGACTCGGAAGGCACGCTCGGCCTTACTATCACGTTGCCTTTCTCTGCCTTGGCTGCGGCCTGTGCCGACAAGTGCCGATCGCTGGTCTAGGATAGCTTTTCATCTTTCGCCGTGGTCAAAACCGTGAAATTAACATGGCTCATGACAAGCATTACCATCATTGACGGCCTGCTGCATGACAGTCTTCTTGTTAAATTCTCTGTTCCGTGCCTTGCACACGCGCTGGGGTTGGCGTAACGACAACGTATGTACTTGCTGCCGGACCACGCTACGCTGCATGCAACGGTACCGAGCCTAAGTAGGCTGACTGGGTACACGGTTGGTCATTCGGATGCATATGCCTGGATGGGGGTGACAGCGGTAGTACGTTGACCTCTAGAAGCGTGCTGACATCGTCTGCAGGCAAGTTGAAGAGGAGGGCATCTTCTCCACATCCGACTGAATGCATGCAAGCAAGCACCGATCCCCGGCGTGGTTCATGTAGCGCCCGCCCTCCTCCTTCCCAGAACCTCCTGCCGTAACCGCTCCCCAGCCGCTTGCGCCTCAATCATCCTCCCAACACCAGTCCGCCAACTCTCTTCAAGCCCCCGCATTTCACCAGCAGCATTACCTTGCACAGCCCTTCTCGCTTGCTCGGTCTCCTCCAGCTCCAGCTTAGCGGCTTCGACATCTCGCTCAAGGCTCCGTAGCTCGTCCTCCAGATTGCTGTTGCTCACTAGCCACGCAGTCTTCCCGAACGTCTCCAACAGGCCGAGATTGACCTCACGACCGCGAAGGTATTCTGCCGAAGCGTAGGCTTGACGCAACGCCGCGCTCCAGGATTCCTTGTCCGAGCCATGCGCCGGCGCTTCCGGCGCGTCGTAGCGTGAGAGATCGATGCCGGTGTCCGCATCCTTTGGTAGTCCGGCACCAAGACGAGTGTACTCCTGCTCGATGAGGTCTGAAGGCTTAGATTTACGAATGGGGGGTAGGGATGGGTGCAGCGCGCTCGTCTGCTCTGGCAGCATTTCTGCTCTAATTAATGCTTCCGCCGCAAGCATGGTTTCCGGACTTGATTCTGGTTCGATCAATGGAAGAGCTGTCATCGCCGGCGGGAGGATTAGAGGCATGTTGACTCCTCCACAGCCAATGCGACTCTGTCATCAACGGTGGGTTTGATGGCGGTGGATATTGGCGGAGACGAAGTGTCAGTCCGCAGTGTGCGCCACCCGTGCTGAAACGTACGTACTGGAGCGTCTGCTCAGGAAAGTTCACTTCACTCGCCATTACACCTACGTACTACGCTGGTACTCCACGGTATCGCAATGGACCTGCACGTATGAGTAGTCGTAAACAGCGGCGGTAGGAATCATCTCACCGTGTGCCTTCTTCGACCGCTCTCCTCAATCACGGTCCCGTTCTCATGCTTTTGAAATGTTTCTCAGTTGTCACTAATTCTCTCCCTTTGAACAATGACTAGGTATGTAACATTAGTACAGCTTTTCAACAAGGGGTATCAACACCGTCTGGCGCCCAAACACAAGCACACTGCAGCATCAGCAGCCGCCATGCCCGCCCAAACGCAAGCCCGACCCAACTTCCACACCACACAAGCACCACACCCGCGCCTACATACTATCACTTAACCATCTCACTTAAGCTTCTCCGCCAACCTCTTCAAAAACCCCTTCTTCTTCTCCGGCGCTTTGCTACTCTCACTAGCCGCACTCCCCGTACTCTTCACGCTCTTCTGACTCTCCGGCGTGCCCTTCTCCCTCATACTGCTCATGCGTCCCATGAAGCTCTGCCTCTTCTCCGGCGTTGAGTTCGTCATGCCGGTGCCGCGGGGTGTGCCGATGGGCTTACCCGCCGTCACAGGCGCTGCAGCCGGAGCGGTCGTGGACTTGCTCTCGGCGGGCGCTTTGCTGCTTTGCACGCCGGTGGTGACCTGTGGCTGCTGGGTCGTCATGTCCGAAGGTCGTGTCATGGGGCTTACGTCTCTGCTCTTCTCGTTCGCGGGAGTTGGGGTGGAGAGCTGAGCGAACTTCTGCGTCGGTGGCACGGCGGGCTCGCTAGCGGGTGCGTTGAGGCCGCTGCTGGTGGTGCCTGCTGCTGCACTATCCGGCGCTGGAGTGCGTGCGGTTGTGGTTCCTGATGCCATGGTACCTGCTGCAGCCGCGGATCCGGACGAGATAGGCTCCTTGTCGTCCATGCTGAGCGCAGCCACGCCAGAAGTCGGATCGGCAAGCTGTGGTGCGCCGCTCGTCGCAGACTTGGTGGTCGAAGTCATCTCCGGACCAGTAGAAGACAAAGCGGCCGCAACGCTTGAAGGAGCCGGCTCACCCGCTTGCTCCGTCTCTGGCACGCGCCTCATCAACTCCTGCTCCATCGCGCTCTTCTCGTGGACAGCCTCCTTGTTCGTAGTCGCCTCCGGAGCCCACTTTGCCTCCTTCTGGCTCGACAGCACTTCCTGTGGCACCTCGTCTGCGACCGTCCGCTCATGGTTCGCCTCCGCCGGTACTTTCACACCCTCACCAACAGCAGTCTGCTGCGGGAGTGCCGAGTCGCTAAATGCAGACGAACCAGTTTGCGGCCGGAACGAGGCACCGCCGAATGAAGGACCAACCGAGCCCTTCTGGTTCATGTTGTTGATGCTGTCCTGCACGCTCTTTGGCAGGAAGGATACTGGATCCCTGCCCGTCGCCTCTGTGGCCTTGTTTCGCGCCATGTAAGCTGCACCGGCTGCAGCAGCGCCCGCGGCCGTCACGCCAGCCGCAGCCATGCCCAATACGCCACCTGTGGATTCGCTCGCCGCCGGCGCTTCAGGAACCTTGCTTTCGAGCTCCTGCTCCATTGCCGACTTCTCTTGCACTGCCGTCGGGTTCGCACTTGCTTCGGGATCCGCGTGAGCTATATGTTGGCTCTCCTCAACTACATGCGGCGGTTGCGCTGTGCCGCGGTTCTCACGTGGCTGCTGACCGGCCATTTGCTGTAGAGTGCTGCCGAGAGCGCCGCCAGATAGCAGGGCCCCAGACACGCCACCCACCGTCGACTCGCTCGTGGCCGGTGCTTCGGGAACTTTGCTTTCAAGCTCCTGCTCCATTGCGGACTTCTCCTGCACTGCCGTCGGGTTCGCACTCGCCTCCGGATCAGCATGCGCAATGTGCTGACTCTCTTCAACTACCGCAGGCGGAGAGGCTCCTGTGCCGCGGCTTTCAAGTGGTTGCTGACCGGCCATTTGCTGTGTAGTGTTGCCGAGAGCGCCGCCAGAGAGCAAGGCTGCAGACACACCACCCGTCGTCGACTCGCTCGTAGCGGGCGCTTCAGGGACCTTACTCTCCAATTCCTGCTCCATCGCCGACTTCTCTTGCAGCGCAGTTGGATTCGCACTCGCTTCAGGGTCAACATGTGCCATGTGTTGGCTCTCTTCCACAACGGGTGGTGGAGACGCTGCTGCGCCGCCGCGAGGTTCAAGTGGCTGCAGTCCAGCGAGTTGCTGCGTAGTGCTGCCGGGGGCGACACTGGAAAGCATCGTCCCAGAGATGGCTGGTGGTGAACTGACAGGGCCGGACTTGTTAGACTCGATTGGCGCAGGCGCATCTGCACCCATGGCCATGCTTGACTCTGGAATCATCGTTCCACCCACCGGGCCAAGACCGCCGAAGATGGACTTGGTTCCAGCCGCCTCGGCCATCTCTGTAGGAGTGAGCGCGGGAGGCAGCACAGGTGCGCCGGAGTCGGGCCGGTTGTAGGAAGCTTCGTCGAGTCGCACAGCGCTGTAGTCGGCATTGCCCGTGAAAGTGCTGGGGTGGGGCACCTTCTCGCCGGGCTGCAGGTGAATGGGGTTGCCGATACCGCCGGTGGCGGGGAGGGGGTTGACGGAAAAGGTTTGCTCGTCGTCTGCCGCGGGTGTCTGTGGGAACGCGCCGGGCGGTGAGCGGGTGTGTTCGAGGGGTTGCGAGCCTGCCATAGCGGTAGTGCTGTATCTAGTCAGCTTCGAACCATCGGCATCGTAGGTAAAGGTGGTTGCTCACGACGCGCCAGGAGCTACTGATGACGTGAATGCGCTCGCAGGGTCGCGTGTTTGCTGGATGTCGCTCGGGTATAGTACGTTGTTAACGTTGCCGGCGTCGTCCGTCTCAGTTTTGGCCGTGTGATCGTGGCTCCAGTTACCGTCGGCCACAAACTGCGGGACCCAAGTTCAGCTTATGCGCTTCATATGACGACACCCTCGGCCTCATAACTACCCGATCTCGTGCCTACCTTATACAGAATCTTCGGAGAATTACTCGGCAACGGCACCGTTTTCTCGTGCAATGTCCCCTTCTTGTCCAGCTTGATCGTCTTGCTCCAGTTGTCAAAAGTGCCCGTCACGTACACCTCCTCCGCCGGGTGCTCCCCTGTGACTGCAGGTTAGCATACGGACTGGACTGGATCCACAAGCAACCAACGCATTCAGGCTGCAGCATTCGACAGCACTTACAGCGAAAGTTATACGACCCCATCGCGAGTGTCAATTAGGATAAGCTTCGTACGCGCAATCGTCTCCTCCCAACAGTATGTACGCAGTGTAGATAACAATTAGGAATTGATAGGAACGAGAGACAAGAGAAGGGTATGATGTCGCGCAATGACGAAGGACAGGTAGACCCAGCACCGGCGAGTGCGAAGAGGCGTTGACGGCGTTCGAGGGAGAGCAGCCTGAAGCGCTTGGCTGGTGTCGCGATGGCCGAAGCGCAGGAGTGGGGTCGAAATGAAACGGCGACTTTGATTAACACACAGAAATAGATCGACACGTCTGGATACTATAAGACACGTACAGCGACAACATCATCACTGGGTAATATATGTTCACTCTTGCCTCGCCACAGAACTTCTAGTCTTCGGTCAACTGCCCGAGACAGCTCGCCATGTGCTGCACGAACAGGCATGGAAACAGCGCGATCTTGCGCACAGATCAACGGCCATGCGCAAGCGTGGCGCCATGCATTCAACGCGGCCGAGGTATCTAGTGAGTGCTGCCTCAGTCAGGCTCATGTCGAGGGACGACAGCAAGCACCCCCTTCGCCACCTTAACCAAGGAGGAGCTCCACTCTCTCAACCGACCAGAAGCTCTCCCCCATTCAACCGACGACGAGCCCCGCCCTCCTTGCATCCATCGCCGCCCTCCTCTCCTCCACACACCTCCCCCTTCCAGCTCTGAAACCCGGAAGCGTGACCTTCTTCTCCTCCTCCTCCACCCCCAACGGCCTCACAATTCCCACACTTCCCGTGCCAATCCTAACCGGCTGGCCCATAATAATACACTCACTAACCCCCTTCACCTCGTCCCTCTTCCCGCCCACCGCCGCATCGAACAGATGATCGGGCGTCTTCTCAAAACTGGCTAGCTGTAGGACACTATCCCTCATCTTACTCAACCCGAATCTCGTGATCCCCAGTACTTCGCCCCGGTACGTCATGACGTCCGCCAACAACTGCATATGTCTGGGATCAATGTCCATCCCTCCCATCACACTCGAGATCTCGGAGATGATGGTGCGACGTGCCGCTTCGATGCCGAGCACGGAGGCGACTTCCATAATGGAGTTGGTGGTCGTGTGCAAGCCGTCGATGCCGGGCGTGGTCATGCAGAGTTTCAGGCCGTAGCCTTCCACAAACACGGAAATGGGCTCGCGGCCGGTGCGGTCGGGTTTATCGTCCTTCTTCAGAATCGCGCGGTGAGCGTCCGGGTAGCCTCGAATAACCACATTCGGTAAACGTCGCTTAAGCTGCTGAATCGTCATGAACAACTCATCCGTCACCGCCGCATCTTCCCCATCCGGCGCAGCAGCCTTGCCCACCGCGCCACGCCGCCGCTTACTCTTCGTCTGGGACGCACTCGGCGTATCGCAAAAGACCCTCAAATGACACCCCCCCACCACTCGGGCCTCCACATTCAGCGTCTTAAACCCCTTATGCCTTTCCACCGCATCTTTAACCTCCGCCATGCCGATCCTCAACCCCAACCCCTCCACGGTGCGCCAATCAATCCGCATATTCAGATAACATCCGCCCACAAACCACACATCCTCCACGTAAGCCACGATATCCTTCAGATACGTCTTCTGGATGATCGCCTTCGCGAACCGGCCCGCAAGCTCCTCGTACCTGCTATCGAGCGCGCACGTGATGACCGGCGTGCTGATCACGCGACTGGCGTTGATGATTTCTTTGATACGCGGCACGCCCTGCGTGATGGACATGCCCGCCACGCCGGCGAAATGGAAAGTCTTGAGCGTCATCTGCGTGCCCGGCTCGCCGATAGACTGCGCGCCGACGGCTCCCACCGCGTGACCGGGTTCGACTTTCGACTTCTCAAACTTGCGCAGGCAGAGTGTGAGGAAGAGCCGGAGCGCCGTTTCCGTGATCTTGAAGCTCGTCGGTAGGCGGCGCAAGTCGCTATTACCGTTGACGCTACCGGTATACTTGGCCTGACTGCTGATGACCGCATTGACCTTCGTGCCAACAAACACCCTCACCGTCTCGAGGAACCCGCGCACGCTCTCCAGCTGATCAACACCCTCGTCACTCGTATCGCCAAACGGCAATTCCCTCCCATCATCCGCAAATCGCACCAACTTCCTCCGCTCCACATCCAACATCTCCGCAACAATATCGCTCGCCTCCTCGCTCATCAGACCTCTCTCACTATTATCCCACGTGCTAGTAACAGCATGCATCCACGTCCGCTCGAAATGGACGGGCTTGGCACTCCCCTCCATATCCAGGGGATCCAGCCCATCATCTCCAAACCGCATCTGCACGACACCTTCACTGCTGTTCCGAACGGTATGGTCATACCTCGCGCTCAAGTCCTCCAAACTCTTCATCAGCCGGCGGGACATATACCCCGTCTCCGCCGTCTTAACAGCCGTATCCACCAACCCTTCTCGGCCGGACATGGCATGAAAGATGAACTCTGTCGGGTTCAGCCCACTGAAGAACGAGTTTACCACGAACCCCTTCGCGGGCGGGTCGCGCGAGTTCTTGCTGAAATGTGGCAAAGTGCGGTCCTGGAATCCATCAAGCACTCGCTTACCTCCGATGATCTGCTGGCCGACCGCGGCAACCATCTGGGAGACGTTAATGTTGCTACCCTTCGACCCGCACTTGGCCATGGTCAATGGCGCGTTAAAGCGCGAGAGTTCGCTGAAGCAAACATTACCGCACTGCTGCCGCACCTCGGACAAGATGCCAGAGATCTGGTTCTCCATCGTCTGCTCCTCGTCGCAACCCGGGTCGCGCTGTAGCTTGCCTTCATTGTACAACTTGATCAGGTGCACGCATTTGGCGTAAGCGGCTTTGACCAGGTTCTCCTTCTCCTCCCTCAGCTTTCCGCTGGGATACACATCCGAGATGCCGATGGAGAAGCCCTGCTCCGTGAGCCAGCGGGCAGAGAGTTTCGCCAGCCGGTTCATGGCCGCGACAGCGTACTCGGGTCCGAAATCGCGCATGATGACGTAGAAGATGCTGTCCTTTTTGCCGTCGCCAATGACGGCTTTGTCCATCGTGCCGCACATGACTTCGCTGTTGCGGACGACGAGGTAGGAGTCGTTGGGTAGAAGATCCGGGGCGGTGTTGCCGAGCGGAGCGGAGTACTGCTTGCCCTTCGCGTCAAGGTTGACGTTGACGGGGTAGCTGGGGTGAGGCTTCATGAGGACGTTCCAGACTTGCTTGCCCGTCCAGAGGCTTTGCGGTTTGAAGATGGCAGGCGGTGGGATCTGCACGTCACGCTGTTCGCCTGTGAGCGGGTCGTCGACGTGCATACCATCGAACATGAAGGTTACGATCTGGCAGAACTGGCGGCGGGTGAAGAAGCGGTCTTTTTGTGAGATAAGGTAGGAGCCTGTGATGAAGTCTTGGATGGCTGCAATGATGGGCGTGCCGTTCTTGGGTGTAGCGAGGTTGTGCTTGACGCCCATTAATTCGATGGCTTCGGTGCGTGCTTCTTCCGTTTGTGGGACGTGCAGGTTCATCTCATCACCGTCGAAGTCGGCATTGTAGGGATTGCAGACACACTCGTTCAGTCTGAATGTCCGCCATGGCCGCACTTTGACCTTGTGGCTCAGAATGGATAGCTTGTGCAGAGAGGGCTGGCGGTTGAAGAGCACAATATCACCGTCTTCTAGGTGCCTCTCGACAACATCGCCAATCTCCAGCCGGTCCACGACTTGCTGAAGCTTGCCATTCTGCTCCATGATCCGAAGCATGATCTTCCGGCCGTCGCGAGCCTTGACGACATGGTTCGCTCCGGGATGTTTCTGCGTGCCTCGCAAGATACGCTTGCGTAGCTTCTCGATATTGTAGGAAGTGACTCGCTCAGGATAGGTCATATGCATCGCCACCCGCACGGGCACCGCTACCTCATCGATACCCAGGTTCGGATCGGGTGAGATGACCGTGCGTCCGGAGAAGTCGACACGCTTGCCTGACAGGTTTCCACGAAAGCGACCCTGTTTGCCCTTCAGACGCTGGCAGAAGCCACGCATCATTCGACCCCACTGGCTATCTCGACCAAGTCCCGGGCAGTTTCCATCTATGTACATAGCCACCTGAACCTGCAAGAACTCCCACATCTCCATCACCTTGGTGATCGGTTGGCCCAGAGTCAGTGCTGCTTTGAGGAGGTTGTTGATCTGTACAATGTCGCCCAGCTTGTTGGTAATGTCGTCTTCCGTGCTGGCTGCGTCCTGCGCGACCGACGGTCTGATAGCCACCGGCGGCGCTGGCACATGCGTCCACACCATGTACTCGGGTCTACCGCCTCTGCTCGGGTCTAAGCCTAGCAGCTCCACATCCATGTCCGGCATCTTCTTGAAGATGTGTAGCACCCTTAGCGGCGTAAGGTCATCCAGCGCACGCCGCATATTCCGCTCAATGTCCGCGCTCGCCTTCTTCGCCTCGGTGAAGCTCTCCTCGAACTCCACCATGGCTTGCGGCTTCTGCTTGCTCTTGGCATTGCTCGAAGTATACTTCGCAAAGCGATGATGCATGATTTTGACCGGATGATGTGCCTGCCGTCTGACGGGTCCGTTGAGACCTGCGCAACGCGGACATACTTTGATCTTCTTGCAGTCGGCGCTAATCTTCTTACAGAGTGCCGCCTTGCGTAGGCTATCAAGGCCCGGCCTGCGCAACTGCCTAAGTGCAACACGCCGTTCCTTCTCCGGTAGCAAGATGCGACTGCAGCCTTTGCATACACAACTCAGCACGTCAACAATCTTTTTCATGTATCCATAATGTAGCGCCGGTAAGGTGAGCTTGACATGACCGAAGTGGCCATTGCACTCTTTCAAGCCCAGTCCGCATGTCTGGCAAAGCGAGTTCTTGCCGCTTGTGCCCAGCTTTTCGTCCAGTGGCCCATGCTTGGTTAGCGGACGACCCTTACCAGTCTCGCGGTCCGCCTCGAGGTCGTATAAGTTCCGGTCGTTGATGTTGACCACCGACTGGGCGACTATATTCTGCGGCGAACAAAGGCCAAACTGCAGCGCGCCGATGCGCTTGGGTGTGGCGGAGACGACTTGCTCTTTGGCGGGAGGCAAATCTGCCTGCTGATCCACATCCATCGCGACTGCCATGGTCTCCTCCTACCCTGCTGCTGTCGTACACCCCACCACTTTGTCTTTCGAAGTTGAAATACATCTCGAGTCATTCACGCCCCGTTTGACTCGTAAAAGTCGATCGGCGCAGGCTAATCGATAAGGCGGATGCGGGGCGAGCTTTGAGTGAGTGCACGGGCGCGTGGCTGCTGCCTGACCTTGCTGACTCCCTGCATAAGGTACGATAGATAGCTAGCAGCTCGCTGATCATCCCCCAAACCCTCCACCTTCTCTAATACTCCGACTGCTCCAACTGCTTACGATTACCTGAGTCGGATGCTGTGACTCAGTCCTCAAAGGCGTCCTCGCTTCCGGTGAAGGAGAAGTTTGGCTCCAGTGGAGGCCGAAGTGTTAATTACATGCTCCAAGCTGCCCCGCCTTCAGCCTGAAGCGTACCACCACACTTGAACTGACCTTCATTCCGTGTCTCCGTCTTCCCTTCCCCGACCTGCTAGCGAGACCATCGCATATTATTGCGAAGGCGAGCGATCAACAGCAGTACGTGCTGTAACTGTGCTAGCATTTCCGTCTAACGAACCAACACCACCACCACCACCACCACCACATCACATCCAACTCCACCCAAGGGTGCGACCTCAGCCTTGCATCTCCCTCAATCGTTATCCAAGCTGAGATGGACGCATTCATCCATCCTACTAGGCGGTCGACAATCAGCACCTACAGCAAGATGTTCCCAACCCTTCCGTGCAACAGCCAGCCCGGCGCGAAGACAACTCAGTGTACGTACCACGCTGCTGAGCTGGCAGAGAAGCTGCCCGTTGCTGACCTCCATCTAGCAAGGCAGATCACTCTCTCGCCCGTCGGTGCAAAAGGTTTAGCTCGTCACATCACCATCTATGCCGGCCTACACCAAACAATTGGTCGTGCCTCCCGCTCGGATTCCAAGTACTCCGGCCCATCAGCGAACAACACCCTCTTTGAGTGCCCCGTCGTCTCCCGTCAGCATGCTGAATTGCGCTACAACCCGTTCAGGCCGGTAGACCAGCAAGTGACGATCATCGACAAGGATAGCATGCATGGCACGTATGTCAACGATGAGCGCCTCGATGCACATTCACCTTGCCCGCTTCGCTCGGGTGACTTGATCCGCTTCGGTGATAAGGTGGTCCGTGCTCATGGTAATACACTCCCACGAACATGCTTTCCAGATATTGTCGATACTGATAATACTTTCCTAGACATCCACGAAGGCGTCGTTGTGCGTTTCGAAATATCCGACAACTCGGCATTTGCGTCGACCAGCCAATCCGCAAGTCAAGTCAAGAGCAAAGGCCGAGGCTATACTGTTCCATCTGATGATGGTAGTGATGTCTCGTCCGATGACGATCTGTCTATTGAGGACTACATGAGGATTCGTCCGCTCACTCCGCCCATTAAGAGCCAGTCACACAATAAGCCTGGCTCGCAAAACGAGCCCATCGACCTGGAGGCCCCTGGCGCGCCAACAGCTGTCATCGAGCTCGATGACGACGATGATCACGAAGCTAGAACGGGTGCTGTCGATCCTCTCACTACTGCGGCGAGGCAACCGAACCATTCGGCGGACGTCATTTGGCCATCTGCGAGCCAGTCCACCACCAAGGCCGGAGCTGAGAATGTGGCGTCCCAGCTCAAGATCGTCAAGGACACCTACGCGGATGACGACGATCACGCTGAGAGTGTTTGCAAGCACAATACCGGGCTTCGCCAGATCCTCAACCATCAATCTCCAGCCACAGCTGACGGCGGGGATGATCATGACGACGCTCCGATACTGAAGAAGGGAGAAGGCACTGCGGATGATGGCGATGCGAACAGCATCGTGTTGTTCGATCATGGTCTGACAGCAGACGGAGAACTCTCACCAAGTGAGGCATCGGATGACTCCCACGATATTTCTGAGGACGAGGACGAGGAAGACGATGACCGCCCCGAAGCGCGGCCATCTCACCGCAGACCGTCGACTGAGCTCGGCTCACCTGCACCGTCAGTGTTTGAAGATTCCGCTGCAGTCGACGCCTATCATGGCTTCGGCTCGCCTTTCGCAAGTAAGCAGGTCCAGCGCGTAGCAGAGGAAGTAATCGTGCCAAGAATTAAGGTAGACGACATCGACAGCGAGCACTGGGCTTCCAAGCCGCAATCAGGGTCGCACAAGCCGGCCACGAAAGCGCAGACTTGGTCGCTGCCCCATTTTAGCGGTCCACTACCCTTCAGCACTGCGCCGTCTCAGCCACGCTACGACCCTGTGCGCGCCTCACTCTATACGACCAGTCCACCGCCACAAATGCATCAACCACGTGCGCCAGCGAGTGCAAGCACCGAGCTGCCGAGGAACAGTCGCTGGGACGTACCGGCGCAAACAGTCACTAATTACTCTGACCCACACTACTCGCCCTTGGGTTGTGTTCCACTGCCGAGCGACGTCAACCAACCTCTGCAGACCTTCGGTTACGGTCAGCCTCCCCAGTATTCCTACAGTTCTGACGTGAGCCGGCCACCGTACGTAAACAAGGCTTACCTCACGGAAGGACTGCAAGACAGTTGGAATCGTTCCGAGTTGGCTCCGCTTCAGAGCTCGCCCTCCGCCAATTGCATCCCCACTTTCTCCGCCAGAAACCCCATGGCACACGCTGATGCACTCTCAAGCTCGCCGGCAGCACATGCATCCATCCGAATGCACTCTTCGAACGCTACGGAGGCACCGGTCAATGAGATCTCCGGCGATCTAGATGCTGAAGATCGGCCAACTCTCTCGCAGGGCAGCAGTCTTCTTGTCAAGCTGGCTACGCTGAAGACGACTGCGGGCACTAAGCGCAAGGCTGCCGAGATATCTGGTAACGGCATCGAGAACGTTACCGAATCGCAGTGGGAAGACTTGTACCAGACTTTCACCAGGGGCTATACAGCGGCCCAAGCATTCGCATCGAAGCAAGATCCCATCGACATAGCTCGAGCGACAGTCGCTAGCAGGCAGGAGGAGCGCGCGGCTCTGAGAAGTGCAATAATGACCTGGCCTGTAAGGAGGCGCAAACTCCTGAACGGTGTCGCCAAGGTTGTCGGAGGAGTTGTCGGTGGCGCTGCGGTGGGCAGTGCGGCTACGGTGGCTTTCTTGACCAGTCCGTATGCGCAGCAGTTGATTGAGTGGTTAGGTTGAGCAGATTTAGAGGCGTTCAAGGCGGAGGTTTATGGTTGATGAGGATGCGGAGTACACGATGAGACGGGCACGCGAGGCTTCGAGCGAATGATGCACATGCGCAGATGACTATGATGATCTTGGTGCGTTACATTACGCTTTCGGTGCTGTCGGGGTGGCGGCGCACTTCCTGGGACGGCGTTTGTGAGCTATACCCGGTCAGAATGCGCTTCCGTGGTAATCATCACTGCAAAGCAGGTAGCAGATAGATTGATAACAACCATGCAGTTCATACCATTTTGGACAGCTACTCTCGTTAATGCAATCACGTAACCATATGGCAACCGATCAATCATCGCCCGAGGATGACGAAGCGACACTCTCACTACTCCGCCTCACCCAGTCGAGATCCTTCTTACTCAACACAACCCTCTCGCACCACGAACACCAACTTCTATTACTTCCCCCCTGCTCCCGGCCCAAAAACTTCCCACTCACCCGCTCATCCTCATACTCCTTCACCACCGCGCCAACCAACGCACGCTTCTGAATCTTCGTCTTCACCGCCCCGCCAATCCCCACAATCTCCTGCGTCGCATAGCTCCCGCCCCTCCACTCCCGTCCCTCGCTCTCCGCCCTCGCCATCTCCGCCTGCAAACTCGCCAGTTCATCGGCATCACATTCGATTTCTTGGTACAATTCCCGAGCGGCCTGGCAGTCGTAGCCGCGGCCGCATTCGACCCCTTCGTTGCCTTCGCCTAGTCCCGCGCCCAGACCGCCGCAGGTGCTGTAGCGTGTTCGCCACGCCCAGCCGCGGAGGTAGGTCGTGTCAGCTGCGCGGAGGGAGTGGCCGCAGGGTTGGCAGATCCAGATGCTGTCGTCGCAGGTACAGGGAGAGCGGGCGACTGGTTTAGTGATCGCGCTGTTTCCGCCGTCGCTGGGGTTTATTTAGTGAGGCTCGATGCGCGATACGCTTGCTTACTTACCCGTCAGGACTGGGATAGCGACGCTCGACGAACATCAGGCGGTCGATGGGCGACTTCATGTCTGTCTTACACAGCCTTCTATGTCGCTGCCTTATGCTGGAAGCCGGGGGCGCTTTCAAAACGCAGTTCTGCAAAATTATCAGCATTTAGAAACTGCCGTACACGGCGTGAACATTACTTGCGAACACTCACTCTACAGATGATCTTGCCACACCTTCTGCAAGGGCCAACCAGGTCATGAGCGCAGGCTCCAAGCTTGCCACTTGTGATACGACCAATCTTAGTTCCGTCCCTACCGTACGCGGTCCAGACATCGAAGCTCGCATGAAGCGCATTACCCAGGCGTCTGGCAGGGTTGGCGTTTTCGTTCTCACACCTCAGCGTTTGCTCGATAAGTTGGGAACGGTATTGCAACAGATTTGCTCGGAATTGGCGACAAGTACGGGCTAAATCGTGCAAAGAGTTCAGATCCAGGTAGCTGGCTAGCTGAGATACGATGCTTCGTTAACCCATTAGCCAACTTTGAAAGGTGTGGCCACGAGAGCAGCGCTTTTCAAGTGGTAGCTCACGGGTAGCATGTCAGTGCCGCTGAAAACAACCCAACATTTGGATTCTCTTTGAGGTTACTGGCATCAGCAGCCTCGCCACCCTGATTGTTAGCTTCGGCCTCTGCATCTTCGTCTCCTTCCAGGTCGACCAGCCTCGCCATTGTCATGAGGCGAGCACGCTACAGGCGGCATTGAAGCGCGAGCTAGTTCGCCACAGATACTGTGAATTGTATTGTCTTTTAGACGGACAACATCGAACAGATGATGGTATAAACGGTCACGCAAGCGGGACCTGCCGAGGTTGGTCCGTCGCTATGATCGCGCCATTGGTTGTAGAGGAAGGCACGTTAAGAGCAGTACAGCCGACAGTTTAGATGGAGAGACAGACGGATAGTGTTCTGATGGTGCTGTATTGTTGCATGTAGGAGACCCAATACACATCTGCCTGGCCAAAAGTATCTAGCCATCACATTCCACTGGGTATCATAAGACATTCAAGGGTACTCCTCAGACGGCAACTAATATATAAAGGCGCAAGACGCTGTCAATAACACTCGACAGTGGCACGCGTTCTTAGCTAACCGGTAAACTCATTTCGGATAAGCCAGGCTTTCCATGCCGAAGCCGTCGCCCTCTTAGCTCGGTCCTTCTTCAGAGCACATCGGCAGCAGTCAATGAAGTCTTGACACGCACTGATCCGCTTCTGTGCTTGCGGATCCATCCGTGCAAAGCCGATCGGATCACCACTCTTAACAGCTTCCCGAAGCATGAAGACGTTGCCACCACAGGATGCAATGTATGGCGAGCCACCAACTATCAGCGACAGCAGCGTCAGGCCGAGACTCCAAACATCACTTGCAAAGGTCGGAGTATTGAGGTCTTTCTGGATCCGCATCTGCTCCGGCGCCATGTAGTCCCACGTACCGCCAGCGTTTGCGGTAGTATCTTCGGAATCCATGCGGAAAGATGCTGAGAAGTCAATATAGCGCGCTCTAAGGACCGGCCGCTGCGAGCTATAGTGTTCTGAGATGTCCAACAGCACGTTCGCAGGCTTGATGTCTGCGTGGACCACCCCAGATCCATGTACGAACTGTAAACCGCTGACGAGGTCGTCCGCTAAGCCTGGGAAGATGTTCACCAGCTCAACATGCCGCGCAACCTCTGTCATTTGCCTGAGACGGCTGCTGAGATTCTCAAGCGAGCCACCAAGGACTGCCTCGAACACCAAAGCAGAGTTTCGCTCGTCCAGACCGTAGAAACGCACTATGTATTGAATGGCGCTTGGATGCTGCATGAGATGCGTAAGTACTTTGGCCTCCTGAACGAAGACGGTCCTTGCATCTGGTCTGGCGGGCGTCTTTACAGCGAATAAACTCGACGGTGCAATCTGGCGCTTTGAAGCAGGCGACGTTGGGGGGCTTGGGGGTGCTCGCCGATCTGGCAATGGCGACATCACCTTGCCATCTGCGCGATAGACCGTGCTCCAGAGACCCTTCCCTAAGATTTTGGCCCGTTCAAGCTCGTAGTCGACCTTTGAGATATCGTACGTGAGAAGCTCTGTGGCCGAAGCAGAGTCGGAGGAGCTCGTGCGACGCCGATTCTGAACCGGTGTAGCTGGTGGTGATAGCAGGCCAGTTGATGTGAAGAGATCAGACACAGGGACTTCAGGAATGCTCTCAGGAGACTGGAGGCTCAAACGATAAGACTTTGGGGAGTCTTCGCTTTGCTCACTGGCACGTCTACCATACTGAGCTCCGGCGCGAGATACACCAGATGCCAGCGAGCTTGACTTGTGCCGCGCATGTGTTTGATATGCCTTGAAGTTGACTGTTGCGATCCCGTCTGAGTCGCTATGCGTACGAAGAGGCTCTGCAGGCTGTCTCCGACGGCCTGCTAACGTTGACGTCCGGCTCATGGTCACTTGGCCAGCTCTGCACAAATGCGTCCTATGGTGAATGGGATTCTCTCTGTTGTATTGTGTATATCGTCGCGTGCTCAAAGAGAGGATGATGACGAAGTAACAACCACGCAAGGAAGAATAAGCAGTGACCTCAGCGTGCTTCCATGTACTGATCGCAGATAGGCCACCTACCTAGCTACTACCTAGCTAGTCATGCATGTCAAAGCTGAACCGGGCGTCAAGCGCCACCCGCAGTCTAGTCGCCGCCCGTCGATATACCTCTGATTGGCGAAGTCGTATGTCGTGGTCGTCACAGGCATCTGGGCGAACACAGAAGATATCCAGGATGTGTCCCGCTGAGCGTTGTCGAAGCTGCGGAGGGCAGCAGCGTGCGGCAGTGATTGGTTCTACCTTTCGCGGCGAAAGTTCATGGGTGCCCCAGACGGAACTGGAATCCATTGCGGCTCGGCATACCAGGATGCATGACTAGATAGCAAAATGAAGCTATACCGACAGCGGAAAGGAGATAAAGGCGAAAGGGAAGCGAGATAGGAAGGCAGAATCTCGGGCCGTAAAGTGTGTACTGTAGCGCTTCGAACTAGACCCACTTTCTCATCGGCTCGGCGCAAGAACTGGTTAAGGATCATACAGCGGTGACTTCCATGGTGACACGCTGGTCTGACAACGGAGTGGGTATCTCGAAGCAGAGCGCAAGGCTTTTCAAGCAAGGCCAACCTTAGACCTCAAACACCTCTTCCACACCAGTCCATTCCCCCTTGACACGTTGTTCCCAATAGCCACCATGTCGCTTAAGTATCCAAAGGTCTTCCTCCGTACCCTTCGATCCTTCGCCTTCTCCGCCGCTTACCTTCTCGAAGAAGCGCGGTCGCCACTCTTGTCCGTGGGTCTCGCGCACCTTCCGCCTCGCACGCTGTCGTTCTTCGAGACGCGCCTTCAGCGCCTCAGCTTTGTCTACATCGCCTACCTCCAGAGCGCGCTGATCGGGTCGCAGTCGAGAGTCCGTCGGCGGGAGATGGCCATCTTCGACCGCGGTGATCTCATTCAGCGCGGCAGCGAAGGTTGTAAAGCCGTAGACCTTAGCCGCATCCGGCACAAGCGGGCCAACCGTCCAGACGTCTGCGCCGGTATCTGTTCGCTTGAGACCTTCGGTCCATTTGCCTGTTAAGCCTAGCGATAGCGGTGCGTCGCCTTTCGCAGGGTCGAAGAGTTCAATCTGGACGTCTTCGCTCCTGCCAGAGAACATGCCACCAGATTTGAAGGTGGCCACGGCGCGCATGCCGCTCGTCTCACAATGCACGGTCATACTCTGGACCGGCTCCACGTACTTCTCTCCCGCAATGACGTTGCGCAGAAAGCATGTTGCCTGACTCCACGAATACTGCTCCCTGGGTGCTTGCAGGACCACTCTCGCTCGTCCTTCGGTGTTGAGCTCGACACTCTTGCCCCAGAACTTCTGCTCAGGCTTGGGAGACTGTGTGAAGCACCAGCCGCCATTGGTTAGACTTTCAGCTTGACATGCCATCCGCACTGGATGATGCGATACCTTCTCTGCCAAGAAGCGAAAGCCAAGATCTTCCCGGACGAGCTCATACGTTTCACCCAGCATTGGATTGAACGGCTTTCTGAGAGCGCGCTCTTTGACGCGGTTATTGGCAAAGTACGAAACGGCGAATGCAGTGACATACGCCAACCGCTCAGTTGGTGGAAGTGATGCGGAAGCAGCGTGATCGAGGAGTCGAGAGTACTCCATGCTCTCAGCCAAGCGTTGCAACAGCGAAGTGGGCTCGTTTGCCGTCACTGGCATAGACACAGTAGATAGGTCCTTTCCGGCGTTTTTCCGCAAGAAGCTGATGATGCTGGGTGGCGCATGCTTCGGTGTGTGGACGTTCAGCCTCCGCTTGACAAGTGGCAAAGGTAGCGGTGGCAATGTATCTGGTAAGCGAGGGAACGATCCATTGTGTGCCGTTTTCAGAGTCGCTGCGAGAGCCTGTCGGTCAACATCTCCCGTGTCACTGCTGGCGTCTGAGTCTGCATCGGTATCGTGGCCGTTCTGGCCTTCGTCTTCTTGGCTGTGTCGAATGTTGAATAACTGCGTAGGGCTTCCGTCACCGTCCAAGGCGTCGAAGTACTCTTGGTTGTCTGTTGACTCGAACGAGTTTCGGGACGCCGTCGTCGGCAAAGGTGGTCTACGTCTTGCCTTGCTCTCGGCAATTAGCGCGCTGAACGCGCTTACGGCATCGTCAAGGTCGCGAAGTAGAGCCATACAGCGCTCGTGGACAAGATCGTCGGCCACATGAGCTGGCGCGCCGCCAATGGCCGGCTTTGGAACACTAACGGTATTAGGAAGAGGTGACATCGGCGATGGCACAGCAAGCTGGGCAGAAATGCTTCGTCTGCCTGTAGGCGCTGCACTCCGCTCCGCGCTTGGCTTACGCTTCCAAAAAGGCCTCCTGTCCGGAGTGCCATTGGTGTCAGGGAAGTATGAATGGTCTACATCATGGGATGTGGGACTCGGTGCGTTGCTGCTTCTGCGCGATGTGGTTAGACCAAGTCCCAGACCGGTTGAATGATACTTGGGATCTGTGTCCTTGGCGAGGCCTCGGACTGCGTCCCTGGTGCCAGAGACCTTGCTGACTATCTCCTCGATCCTCTGCCACTCTCGCTCTGCAATGGGATCATATACTGCTGGCTTCGGCAATGAGCGCACCTGTGGCAGAGTTGAAGAAGCAGGCGGAGGAGTAACCGTCGTTTCAGACGCGGCGCGTTCAAGTGCAGCTCTCCATCCGTCGAACTCCTTCCGATTGTGTGCCTTGAGGTGCCATACCTCGGCTCCGGAATCGATGGAGAATTCGCGCGTCTTCTCATTGACACCGACCGCAGCTAGAGATAAGGGTACAGCACCACGTAGAGCGGACGAATGTCGATCGCGGTAGTAGGACAGGGTTGAAGAGGTGTAGTCCAACGAGAAGAACCGCTTAGCGTAGCCTTGGCCTTTCTTTCTCCGGCGCTTGTTTAGCCTGCCGGTATAGAACGTGGTTCCTTCAGCACCACGGAATTCCATGCCACTGCCTGCCTTCGAACTCGGGCGCGGGTCAGCGCCGACCGCACGATTCAACGGCGATCCTACTGGCAGCGACTCACTTGAGTCTGTTATTGGATTCAAGGACGGGCTGTAGTTCTTGCCAACTGCGTTGCCTGCCGAGACAACCTGGGAGTAGTGTAGACTGTTCCCAGATTTCGGCGGCGCGTTCGTCGGATGGGTCATCAGGACGAAGTGGATAGTCTTTGCGGTTTGCTTGGAGAATGTGTTGTCGAAAACCAGGCCGAACATGCCGCCGTCACCCTCGGGCACATCGTAACGACCCATCGAGACCTTGTCTGCCTCGCATTTGCCGGCCCAAGCAACTTCCTTCAGGCCAATGCTGCGCAGCTTTTCGACTGCCGTACTGTCTTCGCTTTTGCCAATTGAGCCTTGTCTTGGCCTCTTTCCGGCCTGCGCATGTCCATCGAGGCTAGGCGTCGGTGGGAATGATGTTGCTGCATCTACGGTCTCATGAGTAGGCAAGACTGGCGTAAGTCCGCCCTTAGTTCCTGGGTGCTTGAAGATGCCAAAGTTTATGCTCTTTTTGTGCGGCTCGACCGACCACGATATGGAATGGTGCTCCTCGACTCGGATCCATCGCACGAGATAGCTCTACACGCAGCATTGAGTCTTAGTGCTTGTTCGTGAATACATACAGAGACACGCAGAGCTCAGATTATGCTTTTTAAGGTTGGCTTACTCTCGCATGTACGACGATCTGCTCAAGCCCTGCCATTTCGATCACGCGCAGTATCTCAAAAGCAGCAGAAAAGCCAGGCTCGATTCGCTCCTGATCTTTCCACGGGCATACCTACGCCTCGTCTAATAGTCGAAGAGCCGGCAGTCTCGGGACTAGAAGCGACAGGTGACCGCAGGATGCATTGTCACAATCTCGCATCGGGATGTTTGGTTTTCCGCTCCGCACCAGCGAAACCCGTGAATACAAACACCGACGCAAACCAAGCGCTTAGATCAGCACCCGTGTCAGATGCTGATGCGGTGAAAGTACGATAATGTGCCTGCGTGGCATGGTAGTACGTCTACTGCCCCTGTGGAATGCGACAGCCTGAAAGTGGAGCTTCCACCTTCATGCCACTTGCCGATCCATGAGGTTTCAGCCTTGCAGATGCGCCATGCGATACGTCCGATAGCGATGCAGTTAATGGCATGGTGAACACGAAGCAGAAATCTACTAAACATAAGTGTATGCCTTCTGAGAGAGGAGGATGTCAAGCGTGCGTTGATCAAGTCAGCGTGACGTGAAGCACACTTTGCAGCGTACTATGCTATGCTATTGCTAAGGTAGATGCGTAGCAATGCTCCAGAAGCTCCGCAACAACGACGTTTCGGGTAATACAGGCGAAACCGCTCTCCCTTTAATCCACCCAACACCTTGCTCAAACACTTTTGTGGTCCTGGACGCCTGCGCTCATCCCAGATAACGCTTGCTGAAGTGGTACGCCAAAAACTCAAGACCATTTGCCGTCAAGCTCACTACTTCGTAAGCTTCTTGAGCCGCCCGAGCGCACCTTCCATGCTTCGTCTCACGCTACTGCTCGCACTGCCATCAGACTTCACTGAAGCCCGGGAATCGGTACTGGCAGTGCGCTCTGTCCTTGGGTTGAGGGTGGTCTCGTCAACCCAGTTTGCGGCACCACCGCGTCCGACATGGTAGATTGGTGCTGCCGACTCTCGCCTCTTCAGCATGTCTTCATCGAATTGGAAGATCTGTTCGTCGTGCTCCGTCACTCTGTTGCCGGCACCGCCACGGCCAGCCAAAACCGTGCGCTTGAAAGGTTTCGTGAGGCTGACACGGGCGGCTGGACCAGTCGCGTTGGGTCCGTTGGTAAGCGTCTCGCTGCTGTAGAGCCTGTAGTTTCCAGCACCACCTCTGCCGCTACCGATGTAGCCGCTAGAGCGGACGACTGAAGGGTGTGGTTCGGTGACTGAAAGGTTGCGAGACATTGTTCAGGGCGGGTTTGCAAAGGTGATGTGATGGATTGTGTTTGGAGCCTGCTTGATGAGTTGTATATCAAGATGGTCTTGAATAACTGAAAAAGACTTGTGTTTGATGAGTATGGACTACCACTTACAGCGTACCGACCGCAGCATTATAACAGAGGCGGAGATGTACACGCCATTTCTCGCACGGATTCTGCAAGACTCATCACGCGCCGTGGACAAAGACTTGGCTGCCCAGGTGATGAGGAGGAGAGTGGAATGAATTGCAGTTAACTGCTTAGTGGCTGCAGTTAACGGCATAGTCAGTGAGAACGTGGTTTGTCAAGGTTTGCACGCAAGCGGAAACTTCTGCGTGACCCACCTCGGCTGCCACCTTGCCGGAGTCGTGACGCCTATGTTCTCTGCGCCACTTTCTCCATGTTTCTGGCCGCTGATTATTCAGGTCATTTGACCGTGGTGTCGGAGAGACGGTGTTCAGTCGGTGAGACTTTCGTCAGCGCATGGAGAGAACACAAATCAGTCTGTCACCTAGAGGCGCCAAAGGAAGAAGTGTAAAGACATGTGCTATATGTAGGTATTCTGCGTGGCCTTTTTATTGGCTATCACTGCACGGTCCGGGACGCATATTGCATTTCCTGGGGGTAATAGAAACTCTATTCCAGTAAATCCATTACCCCCATCTAATTGGGACTTTACGACATCCAAGACCTAAGGTTGTGCGGTGAGGTTTCCAGCTTGTGCCACTGCGCACGTTCGCAGGCATTCAGCTGTGCGCTGAGCTGACATTCGCTTGGAAGATTGTCTGGCTAATCCAGCGGTAGGCGCAGGCTGTTGACCTTCATCGCAGTATTTCACTCGAGGCCTATATGCTGCTGATGATCTCTGATCATCCCGTTTTCAGTCTCTAAGTGGCTCGTATCCACGTATAACGTGGTACACAGGTACTCTTCCCCGCAAGCACAATGCCTATTCGATCCGTCTCCGCACGGTGAGTTCGGTAGCTTTGTGGAGTACCGTGGCACTTCTGCGCAGATGGGCAGGTACCACTCCGCATCCTGGGCAGGGCATGACCTTGTGCAGCGCTGGTCTCTCGGTTGACGCCACGTGGTGTGGCGAGCCCATTAGGAACAACCCATGTCAATTACGAGATAGTAAGCGGTACATTGCGACCATCGGTAATCTGGCCTTTGGATTGGACGGAGAACAGCTCATCCAGTCATTTTCAGGCAAATTTCTGATGTATGATATCGGGGTCTGCCGACCAGTCAGTAATGTATAGGAAGCAGGTCGGCGTCCCGACATATACTTACTTTCATGCCAATCGTCTATACTGACGTACATCTTCCGGAACGTACTGAGACCAGCCAGGATACTGCCGCCAATCCAGGTACTGTACAACCTCTCCGGTGGTGCAAAGATCTTGATGCGCATGTCTTTGACGGCCAACCTCTGCAGCTCGTGTAACATGCGATCGCCGAAGCCTTTGATCATGGTCGAGCCGCCCGAAAGCACAATGTTGCCGAATAATGACTTGCGTAAGTCCATATCTGTACGGTTGATGGCATCAACGACGATCTGATGCAGACCAGGCCATTCGGAGCCGATGATTTCCGGGTCGAACAGGATCTCAGGTGCTCTGAAGCGTTCCGGACCAATCTTCAGATGCTGTCCGTCAGGCAGCACGTAGTCAACAACTTTCGTGTCTCCACCTCGGTTGTTAGCTACTAGCCAATCCTTTTTTTCTTTCTTCGGATCGAGCGCAATATAGCTCGTCTTCTCCTTGATCTGCTTGACGATCTCCTTCTCCGCACTAGTATGAAAGACGCTTCCACCTTTGCGCAGCAACGTTTGGAGGTGTTCGGTCACATCACGCCCGGCAACATCGATCCTGCGGATGCTGCTGGGTATCGCGAAGCCTTCATATACAGGCACGGCGTGCGACACGCCGTCTCCTGCGTCTAACACGACGCCTGTTGTCCGCCCAGAAGCATATAGCGAAAGCACGGCCTGAATCGAAGTGTACAGTGCCGGCACATTGAAGGTCTCGAACAAGATCTGCGCCGCGGTGTCGCGGTTTGACCGAGGGTTGAGCGGTGCTTCGGTCAGCAAGACCGGATGCTGAGCGAACAGTCAGCCCCATGTGAAGATCAAAGGCTCCTGTCTGCACTGACCTCAGCCGTCACATACCTCTTCACTTAGCGTCTTGAGCTCCTCTGTGTAGATATACTGCCATATCTTCTCCATGTCATCCCAGTCGGTGACGATACCATGCTCTAAAGGGTATTTGATCTTGAGTAATCCGCGCAACTCCTGTGCGCGGTTTCCGATAAAGATGTCACCCTCCAGTCCACCTGCTAGCACTCGTAGATGCTTGGGCCGGCCAACATACGAAGGGAAGAAGCACTTTGGTAGGTCTTCGCCCGCGTAACCTGCTCTGATGGTGCCGCTGCCATTGTCAATGACAATCGGCGTGTTATGTAGATCCGTCATCCCATGGGACTCGCGCACGCGATGCAGCGTGCCTTCCTAAAGCGCGCTCTCCCGCTGACGGTATGACATATCTGTTAGCGGTACTTGTTCGTCAATGTGGACATTTGAGCGCGGAGGGCGCGTCGAGCTAGTGTCTGCTTACTAAAACAAACTGCCTCGATCTATTCGCTCTTCGTCCGCAATGTGCTCTCCATCCAGAAGTTCAGTTATATTTATTCATATATACCTCACGGTGCTGCTACATGATCTAATGAAGTGATTATCCATTTACGTCTTCGATGGACTCGTATTACACACCGATCGAAATGTGCTTCTGGGTCAGCATTAGGTTGCGCGAAAGCTTACATATAAGCACACGATGCTTTTCCGGTCACAGGCCACAAATGGGCAAGGCATCGAACACTCTCCCGACCCTCAACAGGAGAGGAGGGCGCTGTGTACTCGATCGTACGTGTACTTAGGATCGCTCCGGACAGATGATGTTCGCTCGGCTAGCAATCCTGCCAGGGCGGCCTCACCATGCTCACTCCGCAGTCGGCACATACCGGCATCGAAGGCGGCAAGGCAAATGTCATGCGGTCCGCAACACCCATATCAGACTGCAGCCCGTACGTTTGGATCACTGAGCCTCTAATTTCGTTCTAGTGTCCGATACATGCGTCCAATGGCGTGTTGTATGCGTGCACATGAGGTCAAGCTACTCGTGGAGTGATCGCGCCCTCATGTAAGATGCTTCCTTCGAAACATCTGCCTTGTTTCGTCGCCCACATCGTGACCCATAGGTGTCGCAATGTCGCCACAGTGCACGGTATCTGACAGAGGCCGCCCTCTGCACATTCCTTGTGCTCAATATCTGGCCAATCCAGATGTGCGGATTCTGACACCTGCCGCTTCCTGTTACGGAGAACGTCCTTGTACGCGGTACGAAATACTCACACCACTTTATCTAGTCGAGATAGGCTGGCCTTGTCCGTGCAGATTGTGTCTTGGCAGGTTGCCATATTTGCGGTAACGGCTCGAACTTAAGGCCACTGGCATTCGCAAGCCTCGCGTAATTACTGGTTACTGCAACATCCTTCCATCGGTGCTGTCGGCTTGATAGATAGGTTTGGACAGCTCCTCGCCCTTAGCCTGGCAGAGGCCGCCTATATTGCTCTTCAAGCCTCGCAAATTGGCATGCGATGTGGTGGGTGAAGACGACGCCTTTGTCTGCCTTTGCTATGCCGATTTACACAAAGTACTCACACTCGATGCCTTCTTGAGAGACAGACAGTATAACAGTGCTCTAGCTACACCAGTCGCCATCACACCAGACCACGAGCACCACAACCAAGACATCTACACATCGCGATCTGGACCTTGCCAGCATTCCAACAGCAAGCATCAAGCACCGTACCTGACATCAATTGCCTCTAATCTCAGGCAATGACGACGGCCTGCTATACGACTTATCAGCAGTATCTCAACGGCATTCAGTATCCTACCGAACCATACCAACCAACATCACCCACGCTTGGGCCAACATCGAAACAGTATGTCGTGCATGCCTCTTGTGGTTGGTATATGTAGCTCACAGACCCCTCTCGATGATAGCGGAGTGTACTACTGCCTCTATTTGCAATGCAACGGACAAGGCTTCTCCCGGTACGCCGATCTGCAACGACATACCGCTGTCATACACAATCCAGAGACACTGGAGCGCATCGACTGCGACTATCCGGGCTGTCTGCGACGCGGTAACCTCGGCTTCTCGCGCAAGGACAAGATGATCGATCACAAGCGCGAAGTACACAAAGTGGCCATCCCTAAGCGAGTGCTGACACGGAAGTGATTGTGGCCGCGTGAACGAAGATACCCCTGATTTCTTGACAGACGGACACAATAGGCGCTTTGCTCATTTCGAATTTCTTCATAATGAGATGAGGTCGTCCGGCCTGGCCTTCTTGATAAGGCTTGCGTCCGTGCTATGGAGTTTGGTGGTCTTCGCGTTTTGGGATGTGTAAGATGGATCGGTTATTGACAGCTGTACAACGAGATGTTACTGAATGCGCAGACAACCAGGACCAGAGGAGGCGCGCCGCAATGGCAGGCTTAAGGTAACGATGCTGCATTACGAATATTGTAGTTGTTATGACAAACACGATGTCCCCCCAGATAGCGAGATGCTCGTCGCCAGGACTTGAGCTCAATATAGTATGCGCTATTGCAAGCGCTTAATCAACTTCAAACGAGTGCTGGCCTCGTGCTGGGCCGTTTGATATCGCTCGCGCCAGGCAAGTCTGATCTCCGTTTCAGTGAAAGTGGTTAGCCATCCGTCCGTGCCATGCCGAAGAGCATGTTTATCTGAAAGAAGGAATCAGTCAAAACTCTGTAATATTCATCACTCACTCGTACCATCAACGCGTGGTAGGGTGATTGTCATCTCCCGTGACCGTTGCCGTTGCCGTTTCCGGCCAAGCGGACAATCTGTTGAAGGGATGGGTCTTCCGCGAGCCACTTGCCCGCCGAGGTATCGGCTGAGCGTAGAGATAGCTCGACCCGTTGATCTGTGATTGATGCAAGCTCCTGTGGCGAGTCGGATGTTAGCGCTCTCCGTGACTGCTTCGAGAGAACCGTCGCAGCATTTCTCATGTCACGTACAGCTCGCAAAGTGCTACGTATCTGCTGTAAGGCTGGCCCATGTCCTGCATGCGCTCTTTGGCCTTGCAAGATTGCCGCTCGTGAGTTAATCCACCTCAAAGCCGCTGTAGCCTGCAAATACAGCTTCTGCGCCCGGAACCTTCGGACCGCCGCGTCCATGATTATCCTGCGACTAGCGTCAGATTAAGCTCTCGGTGTTTTGGTAGGTTTACCATACGGACCTTCGCAGATGTTGCTTGTCCTGCTCTGCATCCCGATGGCCGCCGTTGAGTGGCTGGAAGGGTTGTTGAAGTAGTGCTTGTGCGGCTGCGACGCATCTCCGCAAAATCACATAGCCTTCTTCGCTATATTCCTCCGCTGACGGGCTGGCTCGGATTGCTGCGATAAAGTTCTGGATGTTCCGATAGTCGGCCATTATCTCGGCCACCCGCATGGCCCGCGCCTGGTTGACTGTTGTAATACCGGACGATCAGCTCTAGTGACTTGTTGCAAGATTGGCCCGATGGGGAGACAAACGACCGTCCGTCATCATATTACAATTACCCAAGAAAGCAACAACACCCGAAGCCTGACAACGCTATGCGGACCTGAGCGGTAGTGCCAAGGAAAGATACGGGAAGGAAGGAAGCGATCGCAAGCGCTCAACGTGCGACTGCTCGAAACGGTTCGTGAAGTTGGCCTGAGTATGTTGGCCACCGGAGAGACCGGTATATGAAGACTCGAATGCTTGCCTTTAGCGAGAATCATCCACCTCAGCATCTTGAGCCGCATGACATGTGGCTTGATCTAATGGAGCGTCCCCTAGGAGTGCGATCGAAGGTCCAGTGGTCCGGAAGGTTTGGCAGCATCTGCATTGCAGGTCGTTGAGATGAGATAGCCCAGTCGATTGAGCTTGGCAAGGGCATAGTCCAGCATAAGCGGTCTTGTTACAGCCAGCAGCACAGAGGAATCTGTGCTCATACAAAGCGTTCGCTAGGTGAGGAGAAGCGGAGGGTTACAGCTGGCATGTTGCAGCACGAAGTATCAAGGGTGAACGTCACTAGGGCTGTCAACCGATTGAAAACCTCATCCTTGCCGGGTTATAGGTCGGCTGACTACGGTATGCTTTGACTCTCAGGCAGCCTTCAAAGCGCCAAGGCCGCTGAAGTAGAACCTTTGCGGTTTTAGTACGGTATGCATTGGGACGAACAACCACAAGTATCTGCGGCTCCGCGAAGCGCAACACGATACGATTGGCCCACTGAGCGTAGTTGCGACTCGCATGGTAGCCTTCGTCGGTTGCGGTTAGAAGTGAAGTGGGTTGGAAGCTTGCTTCGCGTGGCTTTTGGCGCGCTTAGGGTTGACCTAGCGTACCGGCACCTAAGGCACTGGTCGCCGTGAATGAGGGTTGTGGATCCAACGAAGATTGGTGAATCGAAGATTATAGTACAACAGGCCTGCGTGCAAGTCATGCTAGCTTGCCGCGAACTACGAACTTACGCACTCTATGCGGGTGTTCGCAGCAACCATGTATGAAGCTGAGCGTAGCCAATCAGAGGCACCCGGAACGACCGACGATCTTGTCCGCATTCAGCGCAGACCCACCTGCAGGGCTGGCTGTGTCCGATGCATCAGGCCCGCAAAATAGTGACCGCTTCTCGATGACGATGGTCCTGCTCGCGTGCTGTAGACGATACAGCTAATCACCACACCTTCCCAGCAGAGCTGAAGATATGACTCTCAGTCCTTTTCAGCAATAGCGTTCAACCTCGCGTCTATCTCCTCCTCGGTCAATGCGCGGAAGCCAGGATCGGTACCCTCCTTGCCGTCCGCGCGAGGCCCGCCTACGATTCCGATCTCCAATTCGCCCTTCTTGAAGTCGACGCTCAGCACGGTACTCAGTGCTGAAATGCCGAGCTCCACTACCTCCTCCCAATTGCCGTCCGCGCAGTCCTTGTTCTTGAGCTTCTTCTCGAGGAAGTTAAGCGCCTCCTGCGCCTTCGGTCCTGAAGCGGTCGCCTTGTAGCCAACGTAGTAACCTGCTGGATCGCACTTGTATAATTGCGGTCCGTATTCGGAGTCGACGGAGATGAGAGTGGTTGCCACTCCAAGCGGTCTCATGTATGCCTGAACCAACCATCAGCAGCGCGTTTGACATCTCTGGCACATCTCAGGCTCACCCTTTGCGTGTACACTTGTGCGATATTGGCCAATCTCTTCGCCAGTACGTCGCAGGGCATCTCGTACCCGAATTTGTACCTAAACTCAGCCGCCTCTCCTCGCGCTCGGTTTACTGATGCTCGTGCATCTGCTATTGAGCCCGTCATAACACAGCCGACGGATGGTGAGAGCTTGTAGACATAGGACACGGAAGCCGGGTCGATCAGTTTGTCCTGGGACATGGTGAGTATCCAGTCTTGCGCCAACGGCCGTGTGCTACTGCGTAACACATACGGGCACCTTCTTTTGTGATAATACCACTGCGCATTCCTTCCCTCGCACGCCTACGGATGTGATGTTCGCAGCTGTGATAGCCTTGAACGCATACTCTGAACAAATGGCCGAGTCAGCGGCGTAGTTCTCAGATCCTCGTATTTCAGAGTCACGAACCGACTTGGTATAGGCGCCCTTGATCTGAGAAAATGGTGATGTGTCGATCAAATCCTGCGCTTCCTGTACGTAGATGGTCTGTTAGCTGCCATCGAGCCGTTTGTTGGCAAGGCAAGACTTGCCGGACATCTTTGCAGAATGTGTCCTGGTAGGGTCACGAGAGCGTAAAGCGTTGAGAACGACAACAATCTACCAAGTCTAGTAGGTAAGTAATGAGTGAAAGCGACCTTCGTTGTCGTGTGCACGCGTACAGTCTGCTTGCCTGATAATGGCCGAAGCTCCTGTACTCGGCTTCTTCCGAAAGCGCCAAGCATCGATGTATTCACACTCCCTTGCAAGCTTCGCTCACTGTCGTGTGTCGAAGTGTAAAGTTCAATAAGATGGCATCCACCTCCACAACTCAGCATGTGCCAGCGTGGAAAAGACTTGGCTTGCGATTGAAGTATGCTAAAGAGTCTGCCGAGCCAACACCGCCGGAGCGAGCCACGCTTTCAAGTCGAGATCTTGCCTCGCCTCCGTCCGTGGCTAACAATAAACGCTCCAACAACGGAGATTTCCATTCAGAACCAAAGCGGATCCGACTGGCTCAGAAGCAACAAAGTCACGCTTCGGACTCAGGGCATCGTCAGGACCGCTCCACTCCCGCTTCCAAGCGTGATCACTTCGCACCGGTTGAGGTTGCATCTGAAGCCGTTGGTAGTGTAGAGAGTGCACCAGACCAAGCCACAGTCATTCCCGAAGCGTAAGTGGCGAACAAGCATCGCAGACAAACTGTTTCCTGGTCCTCCCGTGCTCAAAGAGCCTTCCGAGCATTCTTTTATGTGCCCACTGATAAGTCGCTGATTAATCCCAGAGCATATGCGAACCAGTTCAATGTGGAGACTGACACGGGCGCTACGGTCGGTGAAAGATCTCGCAGGAAATCAGTAGCTTTCACACCTGACACGAAAGCTGAAGACGGTCACAACGACGAGTCATCATCAGCGAGGAGCACGGCCAACGAAGCTTCGACTGACGAGGACGTCCCAAACCAAGCATCCTTTCCGGGACCGTCGGCCGCTCCCACTCGAAAGCAGAAGAAGGCCAAGCATCCAACGGCCAAACTCTCGAGCGAGGAGTCTGCACGGACCGAGGACAGCAAAATTCAAACTCCAGAGCCTAGCCAACCGGAATACGTTCGTTATTTGGAGCAGTATCACAACAACAAAGCCGATTGGAAATTCAACAAGAACAAGCAGAAAGACTTGCTCAAGAATTTGTTCAACGTACACCGCTTACCGACCCAGTTCAACAAGGCTCTACTTGCGTACGTCGCCGGACTTCAGGGTGCGGCAGCTCGCGAGCGGGTTCTGGACGACGCCGAAGCTGTTTTGAAGCAAATATTGAAAAGGCAAGGCAACGCGCCCAACATCGACGGTATGGAGTCACGGCAAGATCGAAGAGTGGCGTACGAGGCTGCGCTACGACGCCAGATCCAGATCTCCGAGGACAGTGGGACTATGCGAAACGAGCACGACCAACATAATCTCCACGAGATTCGAGAAGAAGCTGAGCGCGGAAGACGTGCGGAGGCGGTGCTCGCGGAAATGCTTACGAGCGAAACGAGCGAGCTGTCTCCGAGCCAGGTGCAGCGTCCCTCCTCAGAGGTAACGACATCGCAACCTCGAGCGGCGTCGGTTGCATCAGCTCCAGCCACGGCCTTGGGATCGAATACAAATCGTAGAAAGCGAAAGGCACGAACGGAGGTCTCATCTGACGAAGAGAGCAGTAGCGACAGTAGCGAGAGTGAAAGAGATTAGGCATCTCCTCGCCCACCAACTACCGATAAGGCTGCTCTGAGCACTTGTGAGCAATATATCAATCCGTATAATATGTCCTTTAGCGCCGCCAAAGAACGGCCAAAATCGAAGCAGATGACAGTTTCCGCGGCCATCTCCAGCGGGATGCAACCGACATCGAACGGCCATGCTCTCAATGGAAAGGCAAGATACCATGGCAGACGGGGCATCTTCGACGACGCTTTCCTCGATATGTACAAACCGCGGCCAATGTGGTATCACGAGGCAGCGCCTAAAGAGGAAAGGGTGAGAAGTCGGGTCTATGAGGGCTCACCTCCCTCACGGCTCAGCGGGGCATGGGAGTAGCATCAAAGACGACTCGATACACAACCATCATTAGAGTCTTTACCGGTGTCCCAGCCACAGCGCGGCACGGCTCATTGTTTTATCCCATTCGCGCCCTTAAGTTCCTGTGATTGTGTACTGTGTACTGAGTTACTGTTCGCCCCAGAAGCATGCCTAACCCATATACCCCTGGACAAACAGTTCACGGCTGAATGCAGAGCATGGAACCTGGACGAAGCAGTAGCGAACATTGCATGAAGTGGAGCTGCTGTTGCTCTTCGCCAAGGCGCCTTTCGGGAGTCTCTGCCTTGGCAACCTCACTCCCTCCGTTCAATCTTACATCTAGCATTCGTGCTGTAAGATCCTATCAATCTGTTCGTCACAGCAGCTCACAAATGCCCCACCGTCCCAGCAAGTCGGGCTGCGGTGATAGGTGGCCTCGTGGCTCGCTTGACCATGTTCGCCGGCGAAGTTGTAAGTCCATGCAAGCTTATCTATCTTGCCCGTTCCTGAACTCCGGACGACTCCATGCGGGTTAGACCTGGGCTTATCGCATGCGGAGAATCGTTGACTCAGGTACCACTTGCACCTCTCCTGCCATATTGAGCTTTGGAGGAAACGCTCTGCAGCCGAGCAACACTAGAAAATCCGACGACATCTGCTTACACGCTAGTGCAGTACTGTGCATCCACCGCACGTGGAGCCAGGTACCACGTATAAGAGTAAGCAAGGGCGCACAAGGTAGGGCAGCTGTAGGAACAGCCTCAAGCGTTTTCGTTTCCATCACCATGTCACCGTCCATCGTGTTCAGCGGTCTCGCAGCGCTGACTTTGGCAATTCCCGCGTTCTCCTACACCTTCTCTCCCACAGGACAAACGGTAGACCTTGATGGGATCTCGTACTTCGTACCCGCGACTCCAGTCTCAACTATTCGAACCTACGGGCCGCTACATGGCTGGGCACAAGGTTCCGGCGGCCTTACACCGGTCACAGTGGTCACAACGGCGAGTACCAACTTCAGCAGCCTAGCAAGTACCATCGCCAACTTCACCAGCGTCGATGATGTCTACTCAGCAGGCTTCCTCGAAGCCATCTATGTCCAGTTTACCGGAAGCCAGCAGTATGGCGGCATCCATTACCCGACCGGTAGCTTAGGCCTCAACGGCACGCAAGCAGTATATGGCGAGTTCGTGAGCACTACCAGCGCCATCCCACAGGGGCCCTACTTCATGTCGGGCGACGGATCGATCTATCAAGCTTGGAGACTGTACAGCGACTTCCAGGGAGCGTTCACCGAGACGCTGATGTCGGGCACCAACAACACGTATAGCGTTCTACCTGCCAACGTACCTGGTCAACAGCTTGCAGTGGCTGTGCCGAGCCGGCTGTACTACACTCCTAGTGCCGCCAAACCGCTCGCGGGTGTACGGCTGGGTGTGAAGGACATCTACGATGTTGCCGGTGTGCGAACAAGTAACGGCAATCGCGCGTGGTACCATCTCTACCCTCCCGCCACTGCCAACGCGTTGGCAGTCCAACGCCTGGTGGATGCTGGGGCTATCATTGTAGGCAAGATGAAGACCTCGCAGTTCGCCAACGGCGAACAAGCCACGGCCGACTGGGTGGATTACCACAGCCCCTTCAACCCACGCGGTGACGGCTACCAAGACCCGAGTTCATCCTCTTCCGGTCCAGGTGCGGGAGCTGGCAGCTATCCCTGGCTTGACCTCACCATTGGTAGCGACACCGGCGGCTCGATCCGCGGACCATCGGAAGTTCAAGGCCTTTACGGCAACCGGCCATCTCACGGCTTGGTGGATCTGACTGGAGTCATGCCGCTTGCACCCGAGCTCGACACCGCCGGCTTTCTCACTCGCGATCCTTTCCTGTGGGCCACCGCTGCGCAGGCGCTATACCTGAGTAACGTGACAATATCCCACTCCTACCCCAAGCAGATCAAGCTGCAGGCCTTCCCGGGCGTCGCACGGGTACCCGGTGATCAGATCCTGATCGATTTCGTCAGCAACGTCAGTGCTTTCTTAGGGGCAACGACCGTCAATTACTCTATCACCGATGACTGGAACGCAACACATCCGGCTGGAACGCCAGCGAGCCTTACCACGCTACTCAACATTACCTATCCCATCCTCATTTCTCAGGTAAGCACTTTCGCTTAGCCATCGTCAACCACAGCCACAAAGCTAACCTCGCCTTTAGGAGCAAACCCGCCTCGTACGAGACCCCTTCTACGCCGACTACAAAGCCACCCACGACAACCGCCTCCCCTTCGTCGACCCAGCCCCGCTCGTCCGTTGGGGCTTCGGCGATACCTACCCCGCCAACACCACCGCCATCGCCAACACCAACCGCACCATCTTCGGCGACTGGGTTAACAACCACGTCCTTGTCCCAGACGCCGCAACCTGCAGCAACAGCCTGCTCTTCTACGTCGGCAGCAAAGCCAGCGTGAACTACCGCAACCAATACCTCGGCGCGCCTACAGTACCTTTCGGCTTCAGCATTGGCAGGGTAAGTCCGTTTTGGGGCGGCCCAGATTTTGTGGTACCGCTCGGGCAGGCAATGTATAATTCGACGATTACGAATCATACCGAGTATTTGCCTGTGACGGTGGATATCATGGCGGCGAGGGGGTGTGATGGGATGATTTTCGGATTGGTGCAGGATCTGGTTAAGGCGGGCATTCTAAAGTACAGTGTACCGGGGTATAGTGATGTCAATGGAGGACAGATTTTGTTTAGGCGGGGTGAGGTGATTGAGAGTGAGCACCTCTGAGCGGATGGCACGTGAGCAGCAGATAGATGAAAAGAGCGAGCTCCCACAGCGATCAATCAAGTAGCAATCGGTCTGTTGACGATCTGTCTGTGTTGGCTACGAGCGAGCCGCACTGATATCCAAGGTTGCTGTTGGCGGTCTCGCTTCTGTTGAAAGTTCAATTTTGCTTATGGATAGCCTCAGACGTCTTTGCGTGCCGCGAATGAAGAGGGTTGTGCGATGGCTCGGACAATGTGCATCCCAGATGCGTTGCCACCTCTTCCGCTACCGTGCTACGGACGGGCTGCTGATAGCGAAGCTCGTGTAGGCGACTATCAGAAGGGGTCGCAATATCTATAGCAAGCCATGGGGTAAATGTCCCACAGTCCGCTGGCCGTCACAATCACAGCTCATCTCCATGATACTGCACATTCTCCGGCGCAAGCAACTCATGCTGCCATAGAATGACAACCGCAATCGCCGTATTAACAGCAGGCAACCAATACGGCACGCCCATCTTCCGATGACTATACACACCCCCTCCGCTCAACGCCATACTCAACAAAGTTCCCATCGCGCGCATGGGAGGGACGCAGATCAAGATGCCGGCAAAGATCATGAGCCCGCCAATGACATGCTGGAAAGTCTCCGCGTCGTCGACGGGCAGGAAGTTGAGCCATCTGTAGTAGCCGGATGCTTTGCGCGAGGCCTGTTTGTGGAGGCCGGGGGTAATGCGGTCGGTTAGACGTGCCTGCCCGCCCAGGAAGAGTTCGAAGGCGAGAATTAGTGGTAGAGCCGTTTGGGCGAAGATGGTGAAGGTGCTGCGCACTACCTGTTCTGCCATGCTGGGTAGTAGTCTTCGCCCGGTTCAATGCTGTGCGGCTGTGCGGCTCAAACGCAGCGATTGTATCGGATGTAGTCAACGGTGTCCAGTCACCGTCGAGCAGTTTGACAGCTATCTACTGTACTACCTTTCCTGTAGTGGAGTTCTTGCGGAGAGAGCTCCGGTTAATGGGAATGGTGCCCCACATCAATCGTGCAGCGTGCTTTCGCCATGGCGATCGAGCTGTTAAATGGCCACATCTATGGGCGCAAGAGTTAGTGAACTAGAAGAGGGTTGCATGGCTGTACAGTAGTGGTACCACAAAGTCGATGCTCTACATTTTATGGGACATTGAACAGGAAGTTGATTGTAGAGGAGGAGAGAGGGGTGTTGTAGGGATCTTCGATCTGTAAAGCTTCCCTTCACTCAACGGCAAAAGCGGACAAATCGGGCTCGCTTATGGAAGCTGGCCGATGGCAGGGCTTGGCGCGACGTGCAATTTGCTTAGAAAGCCCGCGCGCCTCCCCATTTCCATCGCCAACCTTCTACGTCACCACCGTCACCTCCGTCATCTTGCAACTTCGCGCAACGCACGGGGAGACAGCGTGGCAGCCACAGCGAGTCACGTTGTACCAGCATATTCCACTGCCAGCCTGAGGTGTCAGTTTGCGGCTCTGGAAGAACAGACATTGGACGCGAAGTTGAAAGCGAACGAAACGAACGGTGCCGTCTTTGTTGCGCTCGCCCGCGGCTTTTGCGAGGAGAAAGCACGCAGCGACATTGCGTCAGCGGCCATTCGCGAGTGCTGAAGCGCATCGATTGACAAGCTTGGCTCATCAGGACTCTCACTGGAGTATCATCGCTTATACGGTACGTGCACTATTTGTTTGTTGCGCGCTCATACTGTCGCGATGGCCTCGAGTCGACTGATGGCGAGGAGCGAGCGCTCCTTTTGCCACCCTCATGAGCCGGCACCGAGTAGCTCTCACGCGCCGGCGTCGGGTCGAGTGCCGATGCATGCATAGTCCTTGAGCCGCGTGCAGCATTGAAGCATTACAACAACAACAACTAACGGATCATGTGTTGTAGTGTATCGTCGTGAGGCAAGAAAGATTCATTGCAAAAGTGAAGTTGGGAAGGAGAAACGCGAGACAAGTCAAGGAAAGCGCAAAGGATCACCCGCCTGTACCACGCATCAGGAACTTTTGACGTCATCCGCATCATGGCAGCAGTCGCATCTCGACATTCAGCGACCAGTTCGCCTCATGTGGGTAACAAGAGCATGACCTCGTCGCCGCGTACTAGGAGTTCAGCGCACAACACAGGTACGTCGTCGCCGTCGCCCGCCACTACCGCAATCACCTGAGCTCAGTCGCTTGACCTCCGTTGTCCCTAACGCCCACCACTGCGCCAATGCGACATGGCGCATTGATGTTTGATGTTCGTTCGCATATACTAACATCACGCTAGAAACTACGAAGAAGGAGGTACCAGCTGCTCAAGACATCAAACCAGGTAAGCACCAAATCAGTTCGATGTTCCCACGTTCACATCCATATCAGTAGACTAACAATGCCCCATGATCAGACCCATCCATCCCCACCATCAAGCAACCCGAGGACGCTCCCAAAGATCTTGCCCCACCGCCCAATGCCCCGCTCGCGCCGCCGCCTAAGCCTCAACCCAACGGCGACAACGACTACTTCAGCGGACAGCACAACCAGAGCCATCTGTCGAAAGAGCCGAATCCATTCGAGTTGCAATTCGGCGCACCCGCAGAAACACCAGGCAAGACTCAACTGCCTGGGGTGACAAGCCTGACCTCGCCAGCGTCGCTGCTCCCTGGCAACACACCTGGCTGGGGCGGTTCGCTTCGTTCCGGTCCACTAAGCCCGGCCATGCTTACCGGGCCAACTGGGTCGAACGACTACTTCAACAGCGACCATCATTTCCCGGGCAGCTTCCCGACGCCCAACGAGTCATCGCTACGGACTGGACTCACACCGGGTGGCGGTGGGTCTATGTTCCCGCAGCCGTCACCAAACTCGCAAGCATTGTACAACCAGCTACAGAGTGGTGGCGCAACGCCGGGCACGCTTGACTTCCACCGGACTGCTATGACTGCGCGAGCCCAGACGCAAGCGAACAGCTACAACATGCCGCAGAACGTGCCGACATCGCAACCTCAGCCCAACCCTAATATCCAACCTGATCTTGATGTGAAGCCTTTCCCACCTGGCGCACAGAACCAGCCACAGGACCAAGATCCTTTCGGTACGCATCAAACCAACGATGCTGCCAATGGCCTCTATATGCTTGCCCAGGCTGGTGGTCAGCGCGGCGCACAGCCGTCGATGGGCATGCCGCCCCAGCCGCAGCAACCCTACCCACAGCAGATGCAGCAGGACCCTAATATGAACAAGCGCGCAAACAAGAATAGCGTTGTCAGCACCATGTCCGGCAGCACCGAGAACGGCCAAGGAGAGTACTCCGATGGTAGCGTCGAGACTAAGCCGCAGACACGGTCGGGTCGCGGCAAGAAGAACTCCATCGGCAAGGCGACCAACGGTAAGCGCAAACCCGAGGAGACGCCAAGTAAACCCAACAACAAGCGGCAGCGTGGGTCGAATGGCCAAGTCATGCCGCCTGAGGAGCTCGATGACGATGAGATGATGGACGACGACCAAATGATGGATGAGAACGGGCCGGACGGCAAGAAGATGACTGACGAGGAGAAGCGCAAGAACTTCTTGGAGCGGAACAGGTGGGTCCACTCCCCCCGACAACCAACAATTTCCACACATGCTAATCCGTCTCACAGGATCGCCGCGCTGAAATGTCGGCAGCGGAAGAAGCAATGGCTCGCCAACCTGCAGCAGAAAGTCGAAATCTTCAGCACGGAGAACGACGCGCTCGCGGCGACAGTCACTCAATTGCGCGAGGAGATTGTCGGGCTCAAGACGCTCCTGCTCGCGCATAAGGACTGTCCCGTTTCGCAAGCGCAGGGTATCTCGGGCATGGCTATGCAGCAACTGGCCGGCGACGCGCAGCATTATGCTAATCCGTATGGGATGGCGATGGGTGGCGGTCCGCCTCCGGGGGTGCAGCAGCAGCAGATGCAGCAGGCTGGTATGCAGAGGAGGTGAGTGTGTAGTTGATTATTGTGTAAGCTTGACCTATTCTTCAGTTCACATCACATACTGACGAGCTACAAGTTAGGAACGCCTTCCACACCAGCCGGTAGCTATGGCCGATTTGCGCGGTGATGTTGAGGTTCGCTTCGTACGCGAGAGTCCGCAGTGGATGCTTACGGAGCCTGTCGCCTTCGCGCCGGTGCCAGCGCCGCTCATGCTGCAGCAAACCGGGGAGTGATATGCATCAACGTCCGATGGCGGTGCCTGTCGTTGAGCGTGCGCACCTGTGTGTTTGTACATATGTTGTGGACTGTCCTTTGGCGCCCCTGCACGTACATACGGGAAGTGGCGTTTTTGGTTGCGACTTTGGATGGTGGTGAAGCAGGCACGTTGCTTCACTGGAGGCAAGCTGTGAACGGCGTACAGTACATATGGGCCGGGCGTGTTGGCGTACAGCAGGTGGCAAGGCACTACGGGGTGAATGACGGAAAGCAATGTTGATACGATAGCAGCAATGCCGTGAGTGAATGAGTGATTGAGCGCATCGCTTCACGATGTCGTTGAACATATCTGTACTGAGCGAGAGAGGACAGTCAGCCCCGCAAGCTCATCCCACTTCCGTCGCGTCTCCCCACACCCAAGCGCGTCGTGTCACACCTCTACCTCCTACCACCACCCCATACCATACGTATGCACAATGCCACCGCCCCAACCCCGCCATCATGAGCAACACGAGAGAAGAGCGCGTAGATAACGCTCTTCAAAAACTGCTCGAGCTCCTCGTCCCGGCACAAGCATACCCCGACGAGCCCGAAGCGCACGCGGATCAACGCTGGGACGAAGCCAATGAACTTGCCCGTAACTTGCTCGATGATGAGGCGGAGGCAAGTGTGGCGGAGGATGTGGGGCTTGCTGGTGATAGGATACAGGCGAGGTTGTTGAGGGGTATGAGAGGGGGTGTAGGACCGGAGAAGGCGGCGCAGTTCCGGGGATTGTATTCGAGGTTACTCGCGCAGCCGGTGTTGGGGCAGAAGTGGGGAATCCTTCACTTCTTGCTTAGGGTGGCGGAGGGTGTTGACGGGGCTGGGAACGGACAAGCGGACGGTGATGGGGAGGGAGAGGTGGAGGGTCTAGGGAAGATGGAGGACGGTGCGGGAGTGTACGATGAGGCTTTTGCACGGAATGGTCTGCCCAAAGTGCCGGAAGCTGAGGGCGCGGATGCAATGAGGCAGACACCGTTGAGAGGAAGAGCTGTGCCCGGACGACCACGGCCAGTACAAGCTGAAAGTCCGGCTACGGGACAGGGACGGGAACAGGATACGGCAGGCAGTTCTTGCCCTCCAGAGTCTGCTTTACTGCGAGATCTGCCTTTCACCCTCCAGGGACTGTCGTCCACGAACCTGGTGTTCTCTTCCGACAAAAGCTCATTGAAGCTGCCACCCGCTTTGCCTGTCCCGCTCATCGCACTCCTGCATACTTTGGCGGAACCCTCATTATTGTACAGATCGCTGTCAGAGTTCGTCGACTCGGCAGAAGGCGGCTTGGTAGGCCAAAGCCTGCGGTCAGCGATCGGACAGGAATTGCGAGCATATCTTAGCCTAGTCGCCACGCTCGAAGGCCAGATCCGGCGAGCGCTAGCTCAGCTGGACGAAAATCTGCCTCGTGGTGGATTGGGCACAGCTGGCGTGACGCTAAAACGCTGTGTCGTCTGGACGAGAGAAGCGACGCTGGGATTACGGCTGATGTCGCTCATCGTCGAGTCGGCGCGTGGCAAGAAGGGAGGCGAGCTCATCAGTCTGGTCCACAATTTCGCCACCTCGCACGGCGACGCCTTCGTCTTCACCTTCGCCGAGCGCCTACTATCCACCATCACGCGACCGTTCTACCACATGCTGCGGGCGTGGATCTACGACGGCGAACTGGAGGACCCATACCAAGAATTCTTCGTCGCGAAGAATGGGGACTACGAAGACAGCGGCGCGACAAGTGTCTGGGAACACAAGTACCTGATCAAAGACTCCATGATCCCCAGCATCATAACCCCGGACTTCGCGAACCGGGTCTACCTGATTGGTAAGAGTCTGAACTTCATCCGCTACGGTTGCGGCGACGGCGCATGGGTGGAGAGCTACAGCAAAGCTGCCTCGCGCGAGCTGCACTACGGCGATACGGCTACGCTGGGGTCGAGTATAGACGAAGCGTACAAGACCGTGATGGCGCGTTTAATCAGCTTGATGGAGACGAAATTCGCCTTGTTCTCGCATCTGAGCGCGTTGAAGAAATACCTCCTCCTCGGACAAGGCGACTTCATCTACTTGCTTATGGAGAGCTTGTCATCGAACCTCGACCGACCCGCCAACTCGCAATACCGACACACGCTCACCGCGCAACTCGAGCACGCGATCCGCAACTCGAACGCGCAGTACGACAGTGCCGACGTCCTACGACGACTCGACGCGCGCATGCTAGAACTTAGCCACGGCGAAATAGGCTGGGACGTCTTCACGCTTGAATACCGGGTCGACTCACCATTAGACGTCATCGTCACCCCATGGGCGAGCAAACAGTACCTCAAAATCTTCAACTTCCTCTGGCGAGTGAAACGTGTCGAATTCGCGCTTTCCAGCACTTGGCGGCGCGTCCAAACCGGTGCCCGAGGGGTCCTAGGAGCCGTGAGCGACAAACTGGGCCAAGACTGGAAGACCGCCAGGGGTGGGTTGGCGGAGATGGTACATTTCGTCGATCAACTGCAGTATTACATTCTCTTTGAAGTCATCGAGGCCGGATGGGAGGGACTACAGAAGTCTATCAGTAAGTCTGACGCTACGCTCGATACGCTTATTGAGGCGCACACGCTTTATCTCCGCAGTATCACGCGGAAGGGGTTATTGGGGGGTGCAGGCGGGGTGGACTTCACAGCGCAGTTGCATGAGTTGTTGAAGGGGATGTTGGCGTATAGGGATGCGGTGGATGGGTTGTATAGTTATAGTGTGGCGGTGTTCACGGAGAGGCAGGAGAGGGCGGCAAAGATTGAGACGAGGACGCGGGCGGGGAGGTGGGGGATCGTGGAGGGGGAGGAGGATGAGTTGGGCTCACCCTTATTTGCGAGTGGTAGAGGGCGGAAGGCGAAGGCCGGGGAAGGATTAACGGATTCGCCTATCCCGCCTTTACTGTCGTTTGCTGGTGGCGGGGTGGAGGGTGAAAGAGATGTGCTGGAGCAGCTACGACAGAGGTTGAAGAGTGTGGAGACAGACTTTCGGGCAAGGGTGAATGTGTTATTGGGCGATCTGGCGTATCAGCCGGATGTGGACATGCGGTTTTTGGGGGTGGTGATGAACTTTAATGATGTTTATGCTCCAGTTAGGAAGAGAAGGCAACATCAACATCAGCATCAGCATCGGGCGGAGAGGGAGAAGGACAAGACGGTGGTTGCGGCGTAAGGTGTCGTCGTGATGGGAGCGAGTCACTTAGGCTTGATATGATACCCAGTCTTAGCACGTTGTACTTTCACGAATCCCAGTCTTTGGAGGTCTTCTATCTCTTGTTTGGTGTGTTGTACAGGGCGCCAGATACTTCTTCAATGGCGTGACAGACATCAACGCCCTGCCTGGACTACGGGAGTACTGCTGCTGCTATTTCGGGTCGCATGGCGAGTCAGCCCAAATGTGGGGATTGTTGATGTTGATGGCCGAGGCCTTGTCCGTTTACCGATGGCGTGGTGGCGTGACATTTCCAATGCGTCGCAATGACTGCCAATCACGAACCAAAGTAGCAGAGCCTTTTTATGTCGTCTGTGTTGGTCGACGACTGTAACGCTGAACTCCTGGTAGGCACAACAGTGTAAGCGGAGATTGGGGTGGGAGAGCGCTGCCCGCAACGAGGTCGCCCTCATCGGCGGAGTCAAGCCACAACGGCTGCGCGTTCCCTTGCGCGTTTGAGGGTTCAACTTTGCCGCAAGGCTGTGTATCTATCGAGGCATCGGAGCGTCAGCCCATCAGCAGCAGGCTAGGCTACCGTTGGAAGCGCAGCTCGACTGTTCAATAATCTCTTCCGATCCTTTCTCATAGATTTCTTGTTGCTTGGCCTGCAAGATCAGGTAGATCTAACAATCACCGCCCGTCTTACCGTTGCCAAGCGGGACTCGAAGAGGGAAAGCAGCTGTCGCCGATCTTGTCAACAACAGCTCCACAAGCCCGAACAAATAGCTTGGTCTGCCATACCTCACAGCCGCTTGAAAGGCAGTTGGTCATATCCCTCGCCCTGAAGGCGATAGGTTGTATAGTGACGGGAACGGGGTTGAGGCGAGCAAAGTGCCAGGATGAGCTACGGGCGACCAGGTACGTTGACTGCACATGAGCGAGGAGTGCATGAACCGGAGGAAGAGGAAGCTGCGCAGGTATGCACGCTTGGTGTGTTGGTAGTGAATGGGCGCTGGTAGATCCGACGTTGCCGACAACCACATTCCAGCTGAAGCCGCAGCGGCGCAGCGCAACGTTCGCCATTTGATCAACGAGCTGAGACCGGGTCTCCTTCTTGACATGCTGGACAAGGAGACATTGCTAACACATGCGCGCAGGTCGCTACGGCGACATTGGCCTGCAAGAGCACGAGGACGAAGATCCACACAACCCATTCATGGACCCGCGCAGACAGTCGCCCGAACGATACCAAACGCCCGCATACCAACTCGACGATCGACCATATACTCACCATGAGCCGCTCTCGATACCCGTTGGTCCAGGCCCGTTCGGTCCGCAGGACAGGCTGCAACCGCAACCTACATACTCCGTAGAGAATATGCCAAACACATTCGGACACAGCGAGGCATATGATGATGTACATCAGCATGCCTACACGCCCGACCCATACCAGACCGCGCACCATGGCGCAGGAGAGTACGGCTTGAGCCCACACCACGAGCATCCCCCGGGATACGGATATGAGGGTGGGCAGGACTTTGAGCAGCCGCAGCACCCTTACTACCAGGATGAGCCAGACACAAGACCCATCCTCCAGGCGGGAACAAGCTACGGTCCAGACCCGACCAACGTCGGAGGCCCATCACAAGAACCAGCAGGCCAAGATCTGGAGCAAGGCTTCGCAGACGTGCAGCCTCCGCCCAATGTGCGCATTCGCAGGTGGAAGACGGTGAAAGAGGTGCAACTGTACAACGGCAACCTAGTGCTTGATTGTCCTATACCCCCACGGCTGTTGAATCAGGTCCAGCATGCGCAGCCACCGGAGAGAGACGAGTTCACGCATATGCGCTACTCGGCAGCAACGTGTGATCCTTCGGAGTTTTCCGACAAGCGTTTCACACTCCGCCAGAGACTGTTTGCCAAGCCACGGCACACGGAGCTGTTCATAGTCATTACCATGTACAATGAGGAGGACGAGCTACTTGCGCGAACTTTGATAGGCGTGATCAAAAACATCGAGTATATGAATTCGCGGACGAGTAGCAAGACGTGGGGCAAGGAGGCGTGGAAGAAGATCGTGGTATGCATCGTCAGCGACGGACGCGCCAAGATTAATCCGCGTACGAAGGCAGTGCTTGCGGCAATGGGTATATACCAAGACGGCATTGCCAAGCAGCAGGTCAACGGTCAGGACGTAACAGCACACATCTACGAGTACACCACGCAAATGAATCTGGAGATCAAGAAAGGCATAGTCAACGTCAAGAAGGGCAACACACCGATGCAAGTCCTCTTCTGCTTGAAGGAGATCAACCAGAAGAAAATCAACAGCCACAGATGGTTCTTCCAAGCCTTCGGCGAAGTCCTACAACCCAACATCTGCGTGCTCATCGATGCCGGTACCCGGCCGGGTAAGAGCAGCATCTACCATCTCTGGAAAGCGTTTGATCGCGAGCCCATGTGCGCCGGTGCTTGCGGCGAGATCAAAGCCATGCTGGAGCACGGCAAGAACCTCATCAATCCACTCGTCGCAGCGCAGAACTTTGAGTACAAAATGAGCAATATCCTTGACAAGCCGCTCGAGAGCGCCTTTGGCTTCATCTCCGTTCTACCGGGTGCCTTTTCGGCGTATAGGTTTGTGGCGCTACAGAACGACAAGACTGGTGCCGGACCGCTGGAGAAGTACTTTGCCGGCGAGAAGATGCACGGTTCGAATGCTGGCATCTTCACGGCGAATATGTATCTGGCCGAGGATCGTATCCTCTGCTTCGAGCTCGTGTCGAAGCGGAATTGCTCGTGGATCCTGCAGTACGTCCAGTCGGCGAAGGGCGAGACGGACGTGCCGGAGGGGATGGCCGAGTTCATCTTGCAACGACGACGCTGGCTGAACGGCTCCTTCTTCGCGGCTGTATACGCCCTGGTGCACTTCTACCAGATCCACCGAAGCCATCACTCGGCTGTACGAAAATTTATGTTCTACGTCGAGTTCATCTACCAGGCTGTCAGCATGATCTTCGCCTGGTTCGCGATTGGGAATTTCTTCCTCGTCTTCCGCATCCTCACCACTTCGCTTGCCGACAAGGATCTCCTCGGCACGGCCGGGCTCGTCCTGGCGGTCTGCTTCGAATGGCTGTACTTGGCTTGTCTGATGACCTGTTTCGTGCTCGCGCTCGGCAACCGTCCCGCCGGAAGTGGCCGCTTTTACATGACCCAGGTCGTCTTCTGGGCCATCCTCATGGCCTACCTCCTCTTCGCCTCCGTCTTCATCACGGTCAAGAGCGTGCAAGAAAAGGTGCGCGAGGGCGGCTTCACCTTCGCCAAACTCTTCACCGATCGCCTCTTCTTCACCCTCATCATCAGCATGTGCTCGACGTGGCTATTATACCTAGTGACAAGCATCATCTTCCTCGACCCCTGGCACATGTTCACCTCCTTCATCCAATACCTCCTCCTCACGCCCACCTACATCAACATCCTCAACGTCTACGCCTTCTGCAACACCCACGATGTTAGCTGGGGTACTAAAGGCGACGACAAAGCCGAGAAACTCCCCTCCGCCAACGTCAAACCGGGCGGCAAAGTGGATGTGGTCATCCCCACCGACGACGCAGATCTAAACTCCCAATACGAAACCGAACTCCGCACCTTCAGCACAAGATTCCAGAAGGAAAAAGCGGTCATCGACGACAAGACGAAGCACGAGGATTACTACAAGGGATTTCGCTCGGCGGTGGTGTTGGCGTGGATGTTTTGCAATCTGGGTCTGGCGGCGGTGGTGCTGAATGCGGGTGGGTTGCAGAATGTCGGCCCGAACACGGATACGGCTGAGCAGCGACGGGCGACGATCTACATGGGCGTGGTGTTGTATAGTGTTGCTGTCCTCGCGGCAATACGGTTTGTGGGCGCTTGTTGGTTTACGGTCGTTAGGTTGTTTAGGGGGGTGTGATGAGTTGGTTGAGTCAATGGAGTGAGCTTTCGGGGGCGTGGAGTTGGATGGGCGTGGGGCTTGAGGTGCGTATGTATGAGATACCACTTGAGTCAGTTATCGGTATCTATGAAATGCACGGCGGTGATCGAAAGAAGTCGTCGATTGGGCTCATGTTCTCACAGAGCAACGACTTCAAGTGCTAAAAGATTGCATCGCTCCTTCTTCTTCTGTACTGTATGTAAGCTGGTAATGGCAACGGCAACTCCTACATATTCGTTTGTTTCCGATATTATCTACATCTTGCTATCCACCGCTTACTCACCCCTTAGATCACTTATCAGTACATCACAGCACTCACGGTTGCTCGCAGCCTTCGAGTCTGCGAAGGAAGGCCGGAAGGAAGACTGGAAGAAGGACTATCTGGTAAGACCATGGTCCCTCGTGCCTTCCATTTCAGTCGAACCGGCAAGACCCGGTTGAACTGCGTTAGCTTCTGCGCGTCCAAGCTACACAGCTCCAGCAGAGTCTGCCAACGCCACCAACTCGCACGACAAACAGGAACTTTCGCTTGACAACACAACCATCACCCGTCAGCTACAATCCCACCGCCAACATGTCGGGCTGGGACATGAACCCCGCCGTCGAGGATGACACCGGCTTCCAGGCGGATGGTGGCGCCGGCGGCTTCACTGCTGACGATGAGTTCAACGGCATCGGTCAGGAGAATCTCTCGCGCCATCACAACGCTGACGGCGATCGTCCGCATGATGGCGGGTGCCGAGTGTAACTCTGCTCGCCTCCCAACGCTTAAATGACCTTCACTGACTGCTTGGTAGCTGTGGCCAGGATGGTCACTTCGCGCGTGACTGCCCTGACAAGCCGGAAGGCTACACCGGTGGCGGCGGCGGCGGGCTTTCCGGAGAATGCTTCAACTGGTAGGCTTCGGACATCGCGCCTTCGCTCATTCATTCATGAGCTTTCGCTAACTGTTAGCAGCGGCCAAGTCGGTCACAACAAAGCTGATTGTCCGAATGAGCGCGTCGAGCGTGAGTTCACTGGCACGTGCAATTTCTGCGCTCAATCCGGCCATCGTGCAAAGGACTGCCCGGAGAAGCCGCCAAGCAAGTGCAAAATCTGCAATGAGGAAGGCCATGAAACGGCGGAGTGCAGCGCGAACCGTTTGTATGCGGTGATGAAGGTGCCGGAGATGTCCGCTGAAGACGCTTGGAAAATGCTCGAGGAGGCCGACGCCGAGAAGGATGTTGACGACATTCGCAACGTGAGTCTTCATACTGGTTGTGCTGAGGCCTGCTCTTGCTGATGTCGTGCAGGCTATTCTGGCGTACGCTCGCGCTTATCCTGAGGTTACGCTCAAGGAGCTGGAAAAGACCTTCCGCGATGCAGAGATGAAGACGTACCTCATCGCCAAGCAGCAAGAGGTTTCCGATACTCACACGATCGTCAACTTGCAAGGCAAGCCGGATCAGACCCACGTCATCTCCATCCAGTTCACGCAAGAGCCACGTCGCGCCAAATTCGCGGAGGGCTGGCCGAAAAGTCCAGAGGAGAACAACGAGCGCCTGGAGTCTGCTGGGTTCGTGCTCGATCGCATGGTTCAGAGTGAGTTCCGCCTGCTAGGTATATCATGTTGACAATGCTGACCTTGTTTCAGAATGTTCGAACTGCAACCGTAAGATTCGATTGCCCTACGCTGTTTGACTGTTTTGCTGATGGTGATCAAGGACTCGGACATGGGTCGAAGCGTTGCACGGAGGAGCGTCGCGAGTTTGACAAGCCAACCATCACCTGCGCCAACTGCAATGAGACCGGCCACTACGCTCGTGACTGTAAGGCTCCTCGCAAGAGCGGCAAGAAGGGCTGCCGTAACTGCGGCGCCGAAGACCACATCGCCAAGGAGTGGTATGTCGAAGTTGCGCTGATTGACTAGATACCTTACTGACTTGCACGCAGTCCCGAGCCGCCAAACCCGGACAACGTCGAATGCAGAAACTGCAATCAAATGGGCCACTTCTCCAAAGACTGCCCTGACCGTGAGCCTGAGCTTTGCCGTAACTGCGGCGAAGAGGGTCATCGTGAGCAACCAAAACCCAGAGGAAACATTGTCACAACAAGCTGACAGTAACCAGGCGCCAAGGAATGCACGGCGGAGCGCAAGATCATATGCAGGAACTGTGACGAAGAGGGTCACACCGGCAAGGAGTGGTGCGTACCAGATAATCCTATCCTTTGAAGGTCACCCCTAATGACAGCTTCACAGCCCGAAGCCGCGTGATTGGAGCCGTGTAAAGTGTAACAACTGCGGCGAAATGGGCCACGGTGTAAAGCGCTGCCCGAAGCCGGTGCCGGAGGAGCCGGAGGAGGACGCTCAGCGCGGTAGTGCCGGTGCTGGCGGAGACGGTGGGTGGGCGAGCAACACTGCTGGCCCCAGCTACGGCGAGGGCGAGGCGGCTACTGCGAGCGCGGGCGGTTGGTGATCATATTCGATCTCATCCAATCTGCCACCCGGGAGTGAGACGGACTGCCGGGCAGAGACAGACGTGGAAGACAAGGCGAAAGCAAGCGGTTCGGAGTCTTCATGCTACATCGATGGCTGTGCTTGATGGATGCATCAACGGGATCTTGCCGGTGGCGTTTGCTGCACTTGACGGTGGTATGAGGATGCTAGCATAACGCGTAGCTCAAAGCGAATAAAGAGCATAGGCAGTTTGCCGGCTGTGGATAAGTATTATGTTGCTCAGGCCTCATTTACATGTTTCAGACAACCATCCTAAGTAGCACGATCGCCATGTTGTCGAGTCTAAATGGTGTGCCTGAGGACATACCGGTTGCTGCCTGATATGACTTGTAGCTCGTGTGACACCATCAATTGCGGCATTACCCAGTACTATCACCTACTCTGTGCGCTGTAGGCGCATCTTTCGCCGGCAAGATGTTGAAGATATGGTCGATGAAGCAGCAGCAGCAGAAGAATGAGGCGGCACAGGGTCCGACGAAGAAGAAGAAGGTGACGGCGGCGCAACTGCGAGTACAGAAAGGTACGATAAGCGCAATACAAGTCGTCTGAATGAACGAACAACAGGACTGAGACATGTTACTTCCATAGATCTTTCCGAACTCGCCCTCCCCCAAACTATGAAAACAACCTTCCCCAATCCCGACGACATCCTTAACTTCGTCCTCCACCTCACCCCCGACGAAGGCCTCTACAAAGGCGGCGCCTTCACCTTCTCCTTCGCCATCAGCCAAAACTTTCCCCACGAGCCGCCAAAAGTGAAATGCCAGCAGAAAATCTACCACCCCAACATCGATCTCGAGGGGAACGTCTGCCTCAACATATTGAGAGAAGATTGGAAACCGGTGTTAAATTTAAATGCGGTGATTGTCGGGTTGCAGTTCTTGTTTCTGGAGCCGAATGCGAGTGACCCGTTGAACAAGGATGCCGCGCAGGATTTGCAGGCGGATCGGGATCGGTTTAAGAGGAACGTGAGAAGTGCTATGGCAGGAGGGAGTGTGGGGAAGGAGACTTTTGATCGGGTGGTGAGGTGAGAGCGGGAGCGGTAGGGTGTTGGCTGCAAGGGTATCCAGTCAAGCGCCTGCATATGCCAACCGCGTGGAAGGTCGTGGGGCTCGAGACGCTGTCGCGCGGTTGCTGGGTCACGAGACGAAACGGCGCATATATGATACCAACGAGCATATGGGCGGTGGGCGTTTAGCGGAGTGTGTCTCGGGTGTTGCACTTGCATAGCGGCATCAGCTAGAGCTAGATGGCGAATCCTCATAAACGGTTTGATCAAGCCATCCCTATACCCGCTAAAGCATTCGTTGAGCCCATCAGTCGGAACGCCGCGCTCCACCACTGGTCACCGCAACCGCTCCACCTGATTCCTGTCATTCCTTACAACTCCGCAAACCTCGTCGTGTTATACAAATGCTTATCCGTCGTCTCCAACACCTCCAACGACGCGCCCACCTTAATCTTCCCCTCGTTCTTCGGAATACACAACATACCAAAACACGGCTTATACTTCGCCACCCCGCCTTCATCCACGCGGCGATACTTCATCAGCTCGTCCCACGGCTGCTTCGGATGCTTCTGCGCCGTGTCGGGATTCACATTCGGCACCTGGCACCGCGCACACCGCGCCACGACATCTAAATCGATCTTGTATATCGCCGATTCATCGGGCAGCGTCGTCATGATCCGGATGCGTTTCCACGTATCCTCTTCCCACGGGTGGTCGTCGCGGCCACGAACAATGATATTAGGGCGGAACCGTTCGATGGTCCAGCCACCGAGACTCGGGTCTTTCTCTCGTAACCGGCGGTTCAGGTCCTTGAAACTCGCTTCCGACGCGATCTGCAGGCTCATGACGTCGGCGAAGTGGTGGGGGACTGCGGCGCCGTAGAGTTCTTCGCGGCCGTTGGTGCCGGAGTTGCGCGCCGTGGGGCCTTTGTAGACGAGGGCGACGTCTTTGTTGAAGAAGTCGCAGAACATCTTGTTGATGGAGGCCGGGTACTCGTAGGCGTCTGTTTCCGCTTCCCAGATTTCCACGGTGGAGAGGGTGGTGTTCTTCTCGAGGTAGTCTTTCGTTGGGAAGGCAGGTATTGTGACGCGAGCATCTGTGCCGTGGATGCTGATTTCGAGCTGTTGTTGAGGTTTGCCGTCGTCGCCTTTACCGTCAATGATCGCGGTGTCGACAAGGGTCATGCTTGAGTCGGTGCGGATGGTCATGAATTTGCGGTCGGACTTGTCGATGAACATCCAGTTCCGGTCGAGCGTCAAGCCGGTCTTTCGCAGTCGCGTGTTATCGACGACAATGCCACGGCAAGATTTGACCGGGTAGATACGCATGCTCACGACTTCGGTGGGTGGCGGGAGTGGTGGTGCGTCCTTATGCTGAACTGCCACAGAGCCAGGTCCTAATGCTGAGTTGATCTTGGATACTCCAGGTGCATCGGCAATCTTTGTGAATCTCGCAAGGATAATCATGCCGATGAAGCCAACGACGACGGTTCCCAGGAGTACGAGGCCATAGTCAATGTTGTTGGAATCAATGTTCTTGATGTCGAAGTGGCGTAGATCGCTCCATACTTCTTGCGCTCCGGCGACATACTTCTCGATCGAACGCTGAAAAATGTCCATGATGCCGCGTTTCTATTATTTTAGTGGCTACGAGAGGAGAGGCTTATGTGAGCTGTTCAGGACACAATCGTTCCCTCGTTGAATGTTGGGTAACTGACTGTCTGCGCACTGAGCAGTATGCTCCAAACGAGATCACGAACACCGTCTTGGAAGCGCAACGAATAGCGACACGACTGGGCTCGTCAACTCGCTGTCGTTGCTTCTCAAAAGGGCAACTACACAGCGAGCAATGTCGAGTGGAGAGTGTAAGAGTGGAGTTGGAATGCTGGAGTGCATGGAGAAAGGGCGCTAGCGCAGGCTGGTGTCATACCAAACTCAACTGCTATACGATGTGCCCTACATGGTGCCGCGTGCTGCACCGCGAGTTTTGCAAAGCGACTTAGAAGCGCTCCCAATCTTCGATAGATGTTGGAGAGTGCTGCTGCTAAGCACCGTACACGAACGACCAATGGAAGACTCTGCTAAGCCACGAGGCCATGTTGCACTTGACTCCGGACCAAGGGTATGATCTTCGAGCAGCATGGATCGATCGATGGGGAGACGAGTCCTCGACCGTATTCGGACCCTCCATACTTGTCAATGATAGTACAAACCAAATCATCTTCAACCCCTCCGAAAGGACGGTAGGAAGAGCACCCTCATTACGATCCGTCTATGTTATATGGAGATCCGGAAGCCTTCATTGCGCGAAAGTCTTCCGCATTCAGCTCTTCTTGGTCGAAGTTCTTGAGCATGCGTGCCTGCGACCGCTTGAATTGCAGCACTCACGCCGTCCGGGAGGAGTGGTAACACCTACATTGATAGCACATCGCGCTTCCCCGTTTGGCATACCGAGCTGAGCATCAAATTCCTCAGGTTCGCTCCCAGAACACAATGACACTGCCCACAAGCCCAGAATGGGTTCTTCTTCGCACCAGCACGGTACTCACGTCGATGCTCCAAGCCCTTCACCCATTCGATGTCCTTGGCGAAGGGGTACAGTGCCCAATAGCCGATCCGGGAGCAGTAGCTGCAATGGCAGTTGACCGAAATGGAGCGCTCTGGATGCTCATTTGTAGTTTCGGATGTATAGAGCGGAGGAGACAGCTTCATGCGGAAGCGCACAGCACCGCACTAGGAAGATTAGCACAGGCGCCGGATGCAGAGCCCTCGCGGTTCTACCGACGTGACAATGAAGGTCGTAATTGCCATAGACACCGTTTGGTGGAGACCATGGTAACTCCAAGCTGGTGTTGTTCGTGCTGCTTTCGCTTGACATGGCTCAGGGTCTTGAGCAATGACGGCCGGTCAGTGGACTTCGAAAAAAGACTGAAGAGACAAGAGAGTGCGGAAGACATGAGTTACAATGCAGACTTGCGACCCTCTTATGAGGCAGCCTTTGCAATGTAGGGTGGTGAACCGTCGCATCCAATCCTACATTAACAAAGTCCTTGACCTGGATATTTCGATCGGGCCCACGGTGTGTAGGCTAATGACCCGCCCACACTCGTGCTGTGATAGGGCAAGTAGGATCAGATTCGACAGTTTTGGGTAAATGCTGAGGGGTGGACGCGTCCTGATGTGCCCTGAATGCATTGCACCTGGCGCAAAAGCATGTATTATTGTAAAGTTTAGTGCGTGACGATATATCATATGCTATGCTGTACGTTCACAGACCAGGAAAGTTGCAGTCGCAAGTCTTGCCGATTTGGGTCATTATGTAATGATGGAAAGAGTCAATGGCTCTTATATCTGACAGATATTGAATGAGACGAGCTATGACACGGCCATAAAGTTCCCTAGTGTGCCGCAACAACCAGATGGAGTTGACGATACGAACCGTTCTTTAGCATGATGCCATATATCGTCCTCAGCCCGCATACACCCCAAGAGCATCGGAAATCATGGTTCCGGTTACGTCTTGTTATGGTGATTGTTGGCTACGGCCGATCAGGTTGGTGCAGTATATCCTTCTTCATCGAGGTCCGGCTAGCTCCACGGCATGCAAGTAGAGGCAGCAGCTCGGTGTACACCTGCCCCAGGGGTATGTGGTCAAACAAGCAAACTCTCCAAAATGCGAAGTGGGTATCTTCCGTAATGGTATACTCGAAACAGCCTTATTCACCACCTTTCGCAACAACAGCACAGACTCATCGACCGATGCATTCTGATCCCAAGAGCTTGCATCATAATCTCGGCTCAGGTATGGGCTCATAGTCGTCTTCTCGTGGCATCAACAGCTTAGCCAGTAAGATGCCAAACATATCCACAACCAGAACACTCCAAGAGACTGTGCAGAGAATCCAGGCTTTGTCCAGAACCCAGCCTGGGAAGAAGCGCTTGTCGTGATCATACAAATATGCCTAGGCAGTATTAGCACACCAACCTGCATTCTCCGCTATGTTACGACAGCGTACCACAAGCGCCATAGCGATCAATTGGCCCGCAGCCACCAACCCCAACAATACCGCCAGGATCTTCCATCCTGCCTCCCTGCTCGCTCGTCCGCCTACCAAGATGGTAATGTAGGCGATTACACATGCCAACTCCATCACCACGCTCAGGTTCATGAAGAAGCCCGTACTCCTCCACATGCTGCAGAAGTAACGGTCACCATCCTGGCAGTCTTCGTACTGTGGGAACTTGGTACATTGCCCGGTCAAGCTCGAGCAGCGCTTATGGAGGCCATACGCGATCTTGATGGGAGTAGAGCTTGGGGAGGACGTTGGCGCGGTGTAGGTGATCCATTCTGGGAGAGCTATCGCGGCTATGGTGCAGGCGGCGGCGGCCACGAAGACCCAAAGAGAGATGCCGTAGATTATGCGACGCATCTCGAACAACGATATAAATGACTGCCAAACTTACGAGAGGATGGTTCCGAGACAATCTGGGTCGCTATGGTTGTTGGCTGCCTGAGGAGGTGAGGATCATGGTGGGGACCCCTCGGATTGGCGTCACTGGCTGAATCCTTCTTGTCCGCTCTCGTTCTGACTCCTCCACCATTGCTGCTATCAATACCCTACTCCCGGCTATCCGGCGGTGCATGGCTAGATGAGTAACAAGACCCAATCCAACACTAGTAGTCGATCTATCGTTGCTATTCCCGAGTAGTGCACCAAGGTTACATGGCTGAACCGGACTACACACCAGATCCGCTGCCGATGGGACGCCTGACTTGGATGCCCAGCGACCGGGCAGCCGTGACGGTTCTAGTAGCGGTCCGCCAACAGCGTCACGCTACAGGGCCTGGTATCCCTGCGGCTGTGAGCGCCACCAACGTTATCAGTATCCGTATATGAAGGTTGGTTGTTTCTACTCATATACATAGTAAACTCACAATCACTGCACCAGCTTCCCACTATATCACAAGGCATAGGCTATTCAGTGGTAATGGCGCTCAAAAATGGCACCACAACATCCACATCCGCAATGTACTCAAGGAAGCTCTACACCAAATGGATTCTCGTCCCTCTCTGGATAACCCACATTATCTTCGTGATTGTCTTTATCTGCGCTCTTGCTTACCTTATGTCCGAGTGGGTAGGGAATACCGACTCCAACATGCCAACGTGCGTAGAAGCTGCTATGAAATGAGGGACACCAAGTCTTGCTGACAGACATTCAGACAATGGTCCATCTACATGGCCTTCTTCTCCATTTTACTGGTGATCGAGCTTACGGAAATGGTTCTCCACTCCTTCAACCTACTCGACCCGTGGCTCTACCTCTCCTTGCAGCTGTTCACAGGTCTCTTCTGGACAGTGATCATCACGATGACCATTTTCGCCTTCGCTACGGAGCCCAAGGGCGTTCTCTGGTTCTGGAGCCTGTTTGTAACAATTCTAGCGACGTAAGTGTAATGTGTGATGGCGGGAGAATGACATCTTGTTGACCAAGTCGCGCAGATGCTCGTACTATGCAAGCCTAGTCTATGCGTCGATCGTTCTGCATCGCTGGCGCAAATGGAGGCGCGAGCACATCGACATTGATGCGGACAAGGTCGAAGTCCGCGACGGTGCGATCACGAGCTTCGAGCTTGAAGGCACCAGGAGAGAGCGACGGCTACCGAGCATATAGTTACAGCAGAACAGTTCGATAGTTGGGCACCACATAAACTTGACTTAATTTCAGCAAGGTCGTCATCACACCATATTGTACAATCCCATCGCCGCGCTATGCAGACCTACACTATCCGGAACGATCCACTTACACCCTCGAAAGGGTTGATACTTCCACCCAACGCCTTGGCATCTCCATAGTACCGTAACCTGTACGACCCACGAAAGTTAGGCTTGCCTCTCGCCATCAGGTCACCGTGCGGTTCGGAAGTTGCGTCTTCAGTCTCCCACTTCGTCTCCCAGGATATCGTTACCTCGCTTGTGCCGGTCACCTCGCTCGTGCGCTTCCACTCATACAGCAGGCTCCAGTCACTGTCATCTCGTAACCGCCGCCACCTTCTCGTGGACAGGTCATATTGCTCAACTTCAGCGAATGTGCCACCGAGGCGAAGATTGTTCCTCGGGTTTGCGCCAACGAAGGTTGCCGAGACAGTCTCGCCCACGCGGTACGTAGGCTTGACGTTCCTTATAATGCCGCCAAACTTCTTGAAGAAAGGTGCGCGGTCAACTACGACGGGGGTGATGAATGACAAGGAGTCGTTGACTTGGATGGGTGGCCGTGGCCCGAGCTCGGAGTTTGGGAGCTGTGAGGCAGCAGAGGAGGAAAGCAGGGGGAGGTACGTCAAGCTGAGGTTGACGAAGGCATCCAACGTCCAAGGGCCGTAAAGGGTTGAAGCCCCTTCGTACCGCTGCACGGCGTACTCTTCCGGCGTGCTGATGTAATGCGTGTAGGTATTCGCGGGGCCGCCGAGGACAACAATCGGCTCTTGCGCTACGTCGGCATCAATTCTTCCTGCTATAGCCTCGTCTGCAAGTATGAGCGCAGCAGACTCGTGGATAGCTTCCTTCCATCGCCGCCCAGCCATAGTCGTCGCCTCGCCTGGACTCACAATGATAAACAGCGGTCCGACACGAAGAAGCTGGATGTCGACTATATTGGGGGTCCACTCGTATGGCCTGTGACTTTCGCCCACATCAAGTAGAATGACTTTGTCGCCGTGACAGACTTTCTGCGTGTCGTTCGGGCTGTGGACGAGACCGCCTACGTACGCCCAAAGAGGGTTGGCATGAGGGTCGTTAGGTTGTGCCTGCTTGAAGTCAAAAGCGCCAGGGCCATCGGATGTGCCGGCTGCGAAGGAGTAACCTAACGCTGCGGGACAGGTTCGCACCGCCGCGCCATTTGGTAAGGCGAAGTGATAGCTGCTTAAGTCTACGAAATGATGTACGCTTTTCACCACGCTGCCGGTGACGGGTGTCCAGGCATCGCTGTCCGAGAGGAGATCCGCAGCTGCTTGATACTGTCGTCGACCAATTTCGTAGGTACTGGCGGCACCTCCATCGTGTAAGCCCCAATGCGGCCCCCGTCCGTGACACGGCTGGCTTGCATTGCCGCATAGCGATGTCTTGAAGTTGCACGTCTCGCCCGCGTAGGCGCCGTACTCACAATAGGCCCCATGAATATTCGGGCTTGTGTCACCGACATTGGCTTGACTGAAGCCGGCCACGAAGTTGGGATCGTTGGTGGACTTTTCGAAGAGCCAGGCTGCAACGCCTTTATTGTCGCCTGTAACAATGCTGTTGTTGCCGTACATGCTTGTGCCGTGGACTGGGAACCAGGTGAGCATACCAATGTCGTCATTGCTCCTGGCGTTGATGAAGCGAAGGGCAGTCATGGTCTTGTCGACATCATGGTCATAACGAGCCCTCTCCTCCGCAGGGTTGGCAAGGTAAGCGTAGGGGCTGCGATTGACGTTCGCATCGGTCACATTGACGTGCCCAACGGCCAACCGCCCTGGTGCGAGACTCTTATGCGCTTGAACGATCGACGCGACTGTTCCGTCGACGATGGCTTGGTACGATGGCTTGTGGAAGCCTTTGCTCGTGATTTGGGGCAGCAGGTAGTTCAACCAGGCTCCTGGCCCGGAGTGCGAGTGCGTGCCTGTTAAGGCGATGTTTTGATTCCCATAGACGGCGTACTCGCCACCAAGTGCTCTCAAAGCTTCCAGCGTCCCATTACGAATAGCTGTGTCGCCAGACTGTGTGTCAAGCACAAGGTAAACGAAGCGATCTTCCGGCTTGTCAAGATCCGCGACGATGAATGCACGCGAGTATAGCCTCTGGCGAACACCGGATCCAAGTTGGCTTGCGTTGGCATAGCCCATGAAGTTGATCTCAACAACAGGCCCGGTGATGTCTGCCTTGCCCACGCCAATCAGATAGTCCGCCTTGCTGTCTTCAGACTCCTGATCATAAAGAGGACTTCCGGCAGGAGGCAGATCCAACGGCAGCTGGTGGCCAGCATGCGTCCATAGAAAGCTTACATCAACACCGCTGTATTGATGTATTAGGTTCAGCGTCGACAGGATGATGAGAAGGCCGGCCGCTAAGGCGAGCACGAGCGACGAACGTGCCATCTTCTGAGATGCTCCAACACGGATATGATGGTCATTGAGACATACGGGGACTGTCGAACATGCTTATCCGCGGATGTCAATGCAGGAAGCACAAGACGAGACGATACAGGTGGACGACATCTCACGTGACAGGACGGCTCGGCTGCATCAGTGGCGTGACCTTCTTGGCAGCGACATAAAGTTACATGGGTGACTATGTACTTCACTGCTTCTTGCGCGTACAGATGCTGTGGTACTAATACTGCTTTATGCGACAAATTTCTATAGCACCGCAGACCAAGGGCAGTATTCGCTTCTCCGTGTCCCCTCAACTAGGCGCATACAGACGCGTGTGACTCAGGACCTGGACACCACGTCCAAATAGACAGGACGATGAGTGCTTCGCTTGAAGCCTGCATCGCAGCCTCATTAGTCGTGACATGCCTGGACCGAGTTGATCACTCAAACGCTATGATGGACGTGAGCGCTACCCTCTCAGTGCTTTGTTCGAAGCAGCTTCCACTTCCGGCCTCGCGGCGGCGATGGATCGAGCAGCGCGCTTCCTCCGGCCCACATCTCTTATCAAGATCCATCCGCGCACAACGGTAATACTACCGCATGTGTGACCGCATCGCAAGCGTAACCCCGTGCTTGCAGGTAGGTGGAGATGCACTTGTGACGGGACGAGAAGGAGACACTGGAGTCGCGCGGCGTGATTCGCGAAAGGAAGTGGTTCCTGCGTACAAACCACCAATGCAAGGGAGTTTGCGTTATCTCTTGACTTCCAAGACTCTGGCGGCGAATCCGTAGAGAGGACAATGTAGGCATGCGGGCACCCATGACTATGGGTTTGTCGCTCTTTTCTTAACTCCATCCCCTTCACTTCACGCTCACCCACTCCATCCTAGATTCTGCCAAGCAGACACATCCCAGCCCATCATCATGCATCTCCTCTCACTCTTAACAGCGTGCGCCCTCGCAAGCAGCGCTCTTGCTCGAAGCCCTCAACATGTCCGCAAAGCCGGCAAACCTGAACCCCTACGTGCCAATTCCGGGCTCGAAAAGCGCCAGACCCCACCAGGCTACGGCGGCCCAAGCACAAACACCACCATCATTCCCCAAAATGCCAACACGACCAAATTTGCGGTGAACGGTTCGGCCATTCCAGACGTCGACTTCGACATAGGTGAGAGTTACGCGGGTCTGCTACCCATCTCGAGCGCGCCGAATGCGAGCGAGCTTTACTTCTGGTTCTTCCCATCCGAGAACGCGCTGGCAGGCGATGAGATCCTCATCTGGCTGAATGGCGGACCAGGGTGCTCGAGCTTGGAGGGTCTGCTGCAGGAAAATGGGCCATTCCTTTGGCAGTATGGGACGTTTGCGCCGGTTAAGAACCCTTACACTTGGGTATGTAGGATGTGTCCATGTTTGTGTGGATAACATTGTTTTCTGACTATTGCATTCTACCACAGGTCAACCTCACGAACGTCGTCTGGGTCGAGCAACCGGCGGGTACAGGTTTCAGCCAACAGCTTGGCACGCCACCGGCCACGAACGAGATAGAGGTTGCAGCGCAGTTCCTAGGCTTCTTCAGGAACTTTGTTGATACCTTCGGCTTGCACGGCCGTAAGGTCTACATCACCGGCGAGTCTTACGCGGGTTACTACGTCCCTTACATTGCAGACGCCATGCACAACGCTTCTGATCCTTGCTATTACGACATCGACAGTATCTTGTTCTATGACCCCTCTACCAGCTATACCGTCGTGCAAGACGACATCCCCGCCGTGCCTTTCGTGGATTACTGGTCCGGTCTGTTCAGCTTCAACCAAACGTTCATGGACGACATACACGCCCGTGATGTGGCGTGCGGGTACTCTGCCTTCAGGGAGCTGGCGCTGCAATTCCCTCCGAATAAGACTCTTCCCACGCCACCAAACGTTCACTACAACAAGCCCGGGTGTAGCATCTGGGACGACATCTTCGAGGCCGCACTACTGGTGAACCCATGCTGGGACGTCTACCAAGTTGCTACCACGTGCCCGCTCTTGTGGGACGTTCTAGGCTTCCCAGGCAGCTTCGACTATTTACCCGCCGGCACCGAAATCTACTTCAACCGCTCCGACGTCCAAGCAGCTATCAACGCACCCATTGGTTACGACTGGGCAGAATGCTCAGGTGGTGTCTTGGACATCGATACTTCGCCTCCGTCCGGCCTTAGTGTACTTCCACGCGTGATTGAGAAGAACAACCGCACCATCATCGGGCACGGGATGCTCGACTTCATTCTATTAATGAACGGTACGATCATGATGATCAATAACATGACCTGGAACGGGGCGCAAGGTTTCTCTGTCCCGCCGACGCAGTGGCAGGACTTCTTCGTGCCGTATCATGAGGAGCTCAGTTTGGGGACTTTGGCAGGCAGTGGTGTGTTCGGCAGTTGGCATACGGAAAGAGGGTTGACATTCTGCACGGTCGATCTGTCCGGGCATATGGTGCCGCAATATGCGCCGAGCGCAAGTTATCGGCAGGTGGAGTTTCTGTTGGGCAGGATTGGAAATCTGAGTGAGCGGTCCGACTTCACGGTACGATCTTGAAGTCTTGTTAAGAGTGAACGTTTCACTGACTTCTAAGCAGACGCAGCAAGGCGACTTCGGCAACACCTTCAACTTTACGACAGCCAACGTCACGGTAAATACGTCGAGAAATGCTTCGATGGTGATGATGCTGTAGCCTGGCGCTGCCATAAACAGCCTCCGATTGGCTTTTTGTACACATAGCTACAGGCTGTGGCGCAACAGGCACATACTGGGCACAGCCGCATCGTGCACCAAAGTGTAGCCGTCCGAGAAAAATATTTGGGTCTTATGCTGTACTCAAGCATCCATCCCCCACAACTTTTTCCTCTCCTTTCTCGCCTCGCGCGCCTCCGCCTTCCGCCGCCCCCACTTCTTCTTGATCTCCTCCAATGCCTTGTCATGCTCGGCTTTCACCTCTGGTGCTGAGCAGCATAAGCTGATGAAGAATTGCGAACACTCAAATCTCTCCGCTAGTCGCACTCTCGTCCATTGCCGGGGATCTTCTTGCCGTAACCGGCGTATCTCCTCTACTTGCTCAGGGGTGACGTGGTATTTCTTTTCGTATGTCGGTCGCACCGATGGTAGCAAAGTCCGGTCCTTTGTCGGTGGTACTGTAGCTGTCGCTGATGGTACGCGGGATATTCCCGGGGTAGAAGGGGGGTTTGCGCCGGCGGAAGATGCTCGCGTGTGCACCCTCCTTCTCGGATCATCCTGAGGCAGAAAGAGGGAGGGTGTGTGGTATACGCTCGGCGCGCTGGAGGGCGGATTAAAGATAATGTGGTCTTGGGTTTCGGTTTTGGAAGGCAGGAAGGATGGATCTGGTTTCACTCGTAGTGCCTTTCTTGTGCGTCGGTAGGTGGACTCTTGACGGCGGCATGATTGACAGATGTAGCCCGTAGACTCTGCGGCAGTGATGGATGGTCGAAGTGTGCGGGCGAACAGTGTTGAAGCCATGGTTGGTGTTGGTCGCGTGCGTGTGGCATGCTTCAGGAGTTTCGGCGGAACCCTTCCAAAGTTGATCGGTTTAATGACGCACGGACCATACAAAGGCACACGACATGTCTTCGTTTACATATGACACTGTTCATAAGGATACAACATTTGATCAAGACAAGTTCATAATACAGATTGGATACGTAAAAGATATAGTTACCCAAGCTAAGATACACAACTTCTTCCAAACCCGTATCATCCCTATATCAATTCCCCGCAAGAAGATCTTAGTGTTATATGAGCGATGCTGAACGATTGATGGCGGAAGAGATGGACCGGATGTTCGAGTGCTATCTGCTAGTTGATTGACTCGTATGTACGCTGGATTTGGGCGATTTAACGATATTGCGGGATGAGAGCCTGGATGACATGCTAACGGAGCCGACCCAGGTAGCTGCTATCTCGGTTAAAATTTCGCCTGTCGAATAGTATGTAAGGTAGACAACCTCCTGCACTATCAAGCGTGGTTGATAGGCGAAGGGCCGATGCCGATGTGGATGGTGAAAATCTAACTTCTGTGTTAGCACCTCCAGCTTAGTCAATGCCATCATATTCGCGAGACCCACATCAAGCGGCTTGACGATTCGACTGGTTCCGTTGTTATATCTAGCATGCGATCAGTCATTGATGTGTCTGAAACATGGCGTCTTTGACCTACCCAGTGCCACGATTCAACTGGTTAGCTGGCATCCACAGTGTGCCATTCCTGTCTATCCACATCGCGTCGACTCAGAGCAGCCTCGGATCTTGGACCAATGTGGTCATGGTACCGTTGGGGTTGATCTTGACCACTCGCTGGCTGTCAATATCGCTGTTGTATACGTTGCCCTGAGCGTCAATGGCAGTGTCGCCTGTAGACGGTGTATGGGCGAAAGGCTGTACATATCTGTCCAAGATGCTGTTGTCATTCAAGGTGCTATTATAGAATGCACCATCGAGCCACTTGGTCTCGATTCTACTCATACCGCCAGACGAGGGCTCGTAGTACAGCCACTGGCCGTCGGGAAGCACTTCGAGCTGATCCGCGTAGGTGTAAGCCGGCAGACCCATGGTGTATAGCAGGTTGCAGAGGCCGGCATGTACTCCCGAGTGGAAAGATCGTTCGACAAGGCTCTTCGTGTATCACCGCTGGCCAAATTCAAAACTATCAAGCCAGGGTAGCCGGCGTCCGTAGGGTAAGCCTTGCCTGTTACGTTGTGAAAGCGCACATCATCCAGGTGGCTGCTGGAGCTTGTTGCGTTGCCCATGGGATAGATGCGCGTTACGGTGTTGGTCGTCACGTTGATTTGAAGAAGCTTTGGTCCGCTAAACGGGCGTAAGTCTTTCGGACTTTACAATGTGCGGAGCCGTCCACGTTGGAGAATGGCACGAAGAGGCCTGCAGACTTCTCTGCCAGGAAGTAACTTACTATGGAAGCAGCACAGGACCGCTACCACCAACCTGACCAGTGTCGACAACGTATAAGTTCCCATCTGGTCCAATACGCTGCGCATTTGCACCAACGAAGTTCGAGCCTGGGTCTGCGCCACTGGTATAGTTGTTCCACACCGCATTCGGATAGGCAGTAGACGTACTACAAGAGTAATCAGTACTGGCATCTTCATACCGGGTACGGCAATAGCCATTACTTGGTCGTCCGATTATACTCCACAATAGTTAGGCCGGTGGAGTTGTCGACGCGTTGAAAGACTAGGAAAACCCTACCCTCTGGGGTCAAGGAGATGCCATTTACAAGGCGTGTCTACCGTAATCGCTGGAGTGATCTGCGGGTCTTGCGGGCCGATATAGCTCTGGGCTACCGAGAGAAAAGGTGCAGAAACCGCAGCGCAGATGGCCGCCAAACTGGCAAAATGCATCTTATTGAAAGGAACGAGGTCGACTGCTTCCTACCTTTGTGGTAATACAGATACGCATGGGATAGGGAACCTCTGCTATGAAGCCTTCCTCAGTACGGCGTCATTCAGCAGGAGGGTAATCTCATGGTGGAACGCGTGGTGGCCGAGTTCCGAGTGCCTCGCATGAAGTAAGTCAGTATAGCTGAGCATTTTACAAGACATGCTGGAGGTGGCCACGACCGCTGCTCAAATGATTCTGTCGGCTGAAGGACGATTTCAGCTTACTGTGCTGCTTTGCTACGCCAATGTTCTACGGAGTAACACTTCGGTTGAAAGAGGTCAAGGAATATGGCGCAGAGGCCCACAGCGGCTACTGCCGGCTTACATGCATGTAGAGGTCACGATCTCAGATTGATTGTCTTAGATCTCATCTGCAACTCGTCCCACAAACAAGTAAGACACCGTGATCACTGGGCAGCCTCGTTGACAGCGTTGTCTCTTGTCTCAGGAATTCTATTCGCGCTCTGTCTCAGACCTTGCCTGACCAGTAGCACTACTCAGCCTCTGTGGATCTGCGATCGTGATCTCACCAACCGTCACCATGACCCTCTGTAATCCGCAACCCCGTGTTGGTCATTCCCCCGCCATCACGGTCCGCACACACTACCGCAGGTACAATGCACCCCGATCTCGATGTTCGCGTGCTGTCTGCCAAGGGCACCCAAGATGGACGCCGGGTGAAAGACGTAACGACTGCAGCAGAAGGTTTGCTTGCACGTCATTTGAGCTCCGGTGACTACGGATCGCCGGGTAGTTGTCAGTCATATATCGCAGCCTCATTGTTGAACTCTCGTCCAAATATATCGCAGCCTCATTTCCATACTCACATTTCAACAGCCTAACAGAAAGCAAATCAGCAACAGCAAACATGGAGAACACCGCTGAGGACCGCATGCACGCCGCCCAAGGACACAAAGCGAACCTTAGTAACCCAAGTAAGTACTCGCTCCCGCACGATCATGCAATGCAGAACACAGCGCTTACAGCCTCTACAGACACTTCGGAGGAGTCCAAGAAGAACAGTCGTCAGGCTCTGGAGCAGCTCGGCGGCGAGGATGCTTTCTATGGCAAGAAGGGTGACGACGCGCCTGCAGCGGGCATGGGCGATGATAACCGAGTGCTCGGAGGTCACAAGGCCACTTTGAGCAATGAGGGTGAGTCAACGTTTGATTGCGCGAATGGTCGGACGTTAATTGCTGAATGTTTTCTCTCAGGTACCTCTGATGCCGCCAAGCAGCACAGCAAGGAAGTCTTGGAGAAGAACTCCTAAACGTTACCTTTACGACATCGCACGACACGACGAATAGGTTCGATATGTATGAATATCAGATAGCAGTGTATATTACGGTCAAAGGTCGAAAGATCACCTAGCAAATCACCTGCATTCCCGTACCTGACATCAGCTATCCGTCGCCCATTCTTGTGCTCGTATTCTCGACATCGACCATAATCTGTCGGCTGAAGGTGAAGACAATCCAGCCTGCGGTTCTATCACATTGCCCAGACAGGTATATCATACGCACTTCAGAAAGATGAATCAACTTCTACGGCTGTGCATACCCGCGAATCTAGCTAGGTTATGATCGATGAGCTAGAGCCAGGTCGTCGGAAGACGTACGATATAATGAAGGGTAGGGGCGACTACGCCGGTCTCTGTAGTACTCAGCATCTTGACAAGCTGGAAGGATGGTTTTGCAGATAATTGATGGACCGATGATGAGAAGACGACGTTTGTCGAGGCCACGCAATTCATTATGCCCGTCTTTTATAGCATATAGAGCGGGATCATTCGTCTATCTATACATCCATCGCGTGCTTCCGCCGTAACCCTTGATAGGCTGCCTTCCAACGCCTTGAAATGCTGCGATAATGCGCTAAGATAATCTATACAGTCTTCAGGACCTTCGGAATCGGTGGCGGCGGTAGCTCGGTACCGAATATGCGATCCCAGAATCTGCTCGTGACGCCAAAGCCGTTCTCATAGTCCATGAAGTGATGCTGAAGGTGATACTTCTTCAGATCCCGGTAGTATGACGGCAGGTTCTTGTGGTGCAGGAAATAGTGGGTCATGTCATAGCAAACGTAACCGAAAATGCCACCACAGAAGACGCAGACGGCAGCATACCAGTTGTAGAAGAAGACCGTGTGCGCCAGATGCCAGAATGGAGTTGCGAGGATAAGGAAAAGTGCAGGTGGCATCACGAGCCGGAGTCGGTCCATGGGTAGGTAATGGTGGATGCCGTGGAGGAGGAAGTGCAAGGTCAGCGCGACGCGGTTGTCCGGAAGATAGGAGTCCACGTGGAATAGGCATCTATGCATGCCGTACTCGACCAGCGTCCAGAAGAACAACCCGAATAACCAGTATGGGGCTACCGAGAGTGGGTGTAGATGTTGCGCGGTGAAGATGGTGCCGAAAATTACCGGTGGTATCCATAAGGTAGGTACGATCCACCACGGCGTCTTCGAGAGCGGTTCAAGGAAGTTGCCAAACAGGGGCGCGCTTTCGCCACCCCTGTAGTGTCGTGGTCGGTGGACTTGCTGGAGGTAGAACTCTTTGGAGAAGCCGCCGTTCCAGACCTGCATTAACAATGGCCGTTCGAGGTCGAGAAACTGATGTCGCTTGTAGTCTGAAGCAGGGTCTGTCTCCTTGTTAAGGTCTTCGGCAGTGCTCATGCCTGTGGTCTCATACACCGCCTTGTCCTCGCTCTCCTGCTCCGGGCCTGCCGTTTCAGCTTCGTCGCGAGCCTTCACTTCCTGCGCCGCTTCTGCGTTCGTATACTCAAGTTCCCGCATACCCTTCTCACTCGGCTCCATTGGCAGCACAGCGAACGGATCACTGCTGTCCTTCACTGCCTCTAAAACCTTATCCGTCGCCACGAAGCCGATCAGGTACTCATCCAGCATCTCCCAGGCTGCGCCGCTATGTGGGTGGGACATGGGATCTTCCATAGCCTTTTTCACATCCTTGCCGGCATACTTCAGTATCAACTCGTCAGTTCCCGGATGGTCCTCCAGAAAGTCCGTTACATCGTAGACCTTGGTCCCGACAGTGACATAGCAAGACTCGGCGGTGTTATGCGAGGCAACGTCGGCTTGCGGGAGAGTTGGAAGCGTTCTTCCAGGCATGGCGAGACTCTAGTTCATATGGAGTCTCAGTGCAAGAGGAAAGGAACTGATCACCTGCGCTGCTGCGTTGGACAGAGAAAGAGCGTGATGCAGCTAGGCAGAAATGGATCCGTTCTCCTTTCCGTGGCGAGACTGCTCGCCTTCTCGTCAACAGTAGGCCAGGCCACGCAGGGTCCAATCAGAGCGGCAAATTGCCTAAAGCTCGGCGTTTCTGCCTTCCGCCGCCTCCGCGCTCCTTCCTTCTCCGACTGCACTTCACTTTCCTCAGCTGCTGTGCTTTCCGTATCTGACTGCCATACTCGTCATACCATGAGTCTCAGAATGCACAGGAGATCGGAGAAAGTGAGCTCGGAGTGTACGATGGTTTCAAGCCTACCATATTGCAGTACTGATGCAGTCATCCCTGGTCTTGCAGGTCCACCATCTGCTGGCACATAGGCCAGGCGAGATGTTTCGTTGTCGCACAAGCTACGAACGCGACCAAAACTTATTCGTGGTACGATTAAAAAAAATAAGACTGTCATTCAGCCCATGCTATCACGGCATCGGCTTTGATGCCTCCCAGGCTGCTAGCGTGTAGGTATTGTCGAGGCAGCGGCAAGGAACCGTGACCTCAGTGCGCAGATGAGATGAGATGTTCGCAAAGGTCATCATCGCCCGGCCGGGATTCGGGTGAGCTCAGAACAGCACAAGCGAACTTCTGGCCATCAGTCGCCTACACACTGAGCCCAAGAAGGATAACGTAGACTCACTTGTTTTCCAAGACACCATGCCGTCTCCCAATATATCGCGGCGCTGTCGTTTCAATGGTATATAGATCTTGCCGACTTATTCTTTGCGCTCCTTGTTGGCTCATTCTGCTCCCTTGCTGCCAAGGCAGCATGTGCTGACCCTACCTTTGTGGTCTCGGTGCAAGCAAGCCAAGCTTGTTTCGACGCCAAGACCACCTCCCAAAACGCTCGCCACGGATCAGACACGTTAGTAATCGCACTACCGCCTCGCACCGGTCTTCGCTGGGTGTTCGATGGACAGCACAAAGCGACGAGCAAATGGGCGGCCAAAGCAGCAGCTGGTACCAATCGACCTGGGAGCCAGTCCGCTTTCGTACCTGGCACCATCGTTATACGAGGAGTCTTCAGTTCGCTATACGCCGCTGCTATGCAGCAAGGACGCTCATGGACCGTTAGATGCGCTTCGCGAGCCCGCGACCCGCCCAAAGCGTGCAGTCAAATCAACAACGTATCCACGAACCGCTTGCAAACCACGTTACACCTCTTTCGGATGTTGCAGCGAGCATTCAGCTGCGCCTGACTCTGTTCTGATACCGTCTCTTGCAGTCGCAGATGACGATGATGATGACGATCATCATAATGTTGGCGATGGCGTGATCTTCGAAGCAGAGACGTCTGATGGCGCAGACCGCGTGTACATGCTCAATGCCAGGGCTGACAGCTTTTGTGGTACGCTTCCATTTGATGATGACCCAGCAGAATGGGCAAGGACGTCAGATCTTGCTAGCTCAGCTCTGCAGCGTTTCAAGAGCACACAATCTGTGGCTGAGCAGCAGCAGCATCGCAGCACTCCAGAGCATGTCGGTGGCAATGGATCAAAGCATGCCCTTAGATTGCGCGAAGACGCAGTCTTACGCGACGTCATGCACTGTATCAAGCAACGCCTGTCTACCACCAGTGATCATCTAACGCTTGAGCGCGTGGCATCGGCAAACAAGGATGTAAAGTGTGCTCATCCATACTGTCCGGCTTCCAGCGGCAAGATTTCCGTGGGCGCATACTACATGATTCTTGGTCAGCCGACGCACCTTGAGAGCGCTGAATGCTATTGTCTCTTCTGTTTAGAGCAACTATGGGCGGGCAAAAACATCCTGCCTCCACTGCCAAACGCCAAGGTGATCAACGCAGTAACCGATGGCGACAGCTACTTTGATGAAACCGGGGCGGAGCAGCCTGCTACGCCCTGGAAGCTCTATTTGGACGGAACGATGGATGACGCAAGGCTGTCAGGTGCAGGACGGGCGCCAAATCATACGTTGAGAAAAGACAGCGGTGCAAGCACCGTGTCTCCTCGACTGCACGGGACCGAACCTACGGTGCCTAGAACGAAACAGCAGCAAAGGCGTGGCAGTTGTAGGGAGATGCTCAACCTCAAAACAGGCTTCGGACAAGCGTTCGTGGACGGCCAATCCAGACTTGCAAAGAAGCGTGACCCAGCGGGTGATAGTGGGCGACGAACTACAAGATTACAAACGAACAACGGCAATGATGCAGTGCCATCTACGCCTGACCCCCGGGACCTCTCGTCATCTCCTACGGCGGCCCGCAACATGCAAAGCGCAATCGCAACTAAACCCGCCAAGTCGACAGAAGGTCTTGCTAATGAAATTGCGAAAGCTGAGAAAAGGCTAGCAGAGATGTACCGACAGCGTGATCGCACGCTCGCCACTTTGCAGCCTGGCCAAAGCAGTGAAGTGAGCCTCCCGCGCTATCGAAAGGCTGGTGGCGCCCCTAGGATAAGTGTAGACATGTTCGGCGTGCCATATACAGATCTGTTAGCCGACCACGTCAAGTACTGGACGAAGCAAGGACCGCTAGCCGTTGATCAGTGTGGTACAAGACGCACCGAGCGGAAGGAACAAAGATTGAACAAGCCAAAACCGTTGGCCTGCATTGAGCACCGAACGGATTTTGTGTCAGTGTACAACGAGGCTTATGAAAAGCAAGACAATAAGGAAGGGCATGAGGACGGCGCCGATTTCGAAGCTCCTGACGGTAACGAAGACGGAGTTCAAGACGATCCTAAAGCACAGAAAGATGGCGACAACCAGGCCTGCGGGAAAGTTGCGAAGCGAATTACGTTGTCGCCGCTGTTGAGTGCTTCACAGGTCGAGCGACTGTTCATCCCAGCGTATTTGCAGCAGGTCAACGTGCCTTCTATGGCACGGAATTACATGCTCTTTCCGGAACATCAATCTGCGGAGGTCATAGATTCCACTGCGCCACTCAACAGCGAAGTGTCAATGACTGACCTGCCACAGTGCGACGGTCCTGCAACCTTGCCGCTAACGCCGCAGCACCACTATCGGCGCAGCAAAATCAAAGCAGCATGAAGAACGTTACGCTGTAGCAAACGATGTCCAGTCACCTCGGCATGACCCGGCTGAAGCAGAGGTCCCAACGCGCTGTCCAGAAACACCAGGTGGCCCTTATTTGTCGCCTTCTTCTACCAACAGCGTTGAAACATGGCGAGAACCACCCACACGATTTCAGCATCTGGCAGCATACGTCCGTCCGGGCAAGAGTCTGATTACAGCTGAGAAAGCTGCGATTACATTATGGCGGGGAGCGAGCTTGGAGCAAGTCCAGTGGGAGGAGCACCTGCAGAGAGCTGTAGAGATCAGAAAGTGTTATGCTAAAGGAACATTTGAGGAGCTCCCGGGTAGGGTGCGGATGGAGAGTGAAGGCAATGACATTGATGGATCTGCGCAGACGTCCGTGTCGGACGTACCGGACTGCTTCGAAGGTTACGCAGACAACAAACGGCTCAGGGTGGTATAGAAGGGATAGCGTATGCAGCAAGCACCCTTACGTGGCAGGCTTGCAGGGGGAAAGACTTGAGCGCAACCCCCGCAGCACTACGTGCTCTTAGTGGGTGATGCATTGAATGCACATGTGTGGTGTTACAAGCACGATCAGGCATGCTTGCAGACTTAGCTGCTTGACACCACAGATAGGGTTGTGCTCTTGTCGAAGCAGCCTATATCGAAGGCAAAGCACGCGCTGTGATTGGCTGAAGTTGTGCGGCCATCAGCGGTTGTCCTCAATCATGCCTCTATTTAACCATATCCCCAGCGACATACTAGCATGTGCATGTGCTTCCATCAATGCGGATCGAAAGCCGCGTGGCCATCAAGCAGTGACATTCGCCGCCGTCGTAGCTTACAATGACAGCACTTATGCAATTTTGAGTTCCTTCACTATGGAGTGCTGTACGCAATGCATGAGATCATCACATTGCAATTCGGCCAGCAGGCGAACTACATCGGCACTCACTACTGGAATATCCAAGAGTCCTACTTCACGTATCCAGGCCAGGCGGAGTCGCCGGTAAACCACGATGTATCCTTTCGCGCCGGTATCGGCGCCAACGGCGAAGATACCTACACGCCACGAACACTCATCTATGATCTAAAGGGTGCATTCGGCACGCTCAGACGCGAGAATGCGCTTTACGAGCTCCAGCGCCAGGAAGGCCAGAGTCAGGCCCAGCGAGGCGGATGGAGTGGCGTGACCGTGCCTTTGCAGCTCCCGCCCATCGCGCCGAGCAGCTATCAACAGGCGCTTGACCAAGGTGTCCAGCCACCACAATTGACAGCGGAGACTGTACGCTACTGGTCGGATTATAACCACTTGTTCTACCATCCGCGGAGCGTCGTTCAGCTCAATGAGTATGAGCTGAATAGCTCATTGATGCCTTTCGAGCGATGGTCCAGCGGCGAGGATCTGTTTTCCAGCTTGGACCGTGAGCATGATCTTCTGGACCGAGACCTCAGACCTTTTCTGGAAGAGTGCGACCAGCTGCAAGGCCTGCAGGTACTGACGGGTATCGACGATGCGTGGGGTGGCTTCGCAGCACGGTATCTTGAAAGAATTGCAGACGATCTTGGCAAAGGGTGTCGATGGGTTTTTGGACTATCCGAAGGGAAACGAACGGCGCGAGAGCGGCAGATGTTGCAGCTGGTCAATACTGCGCAGTCGCTGCACACTATAAACAGTTGCGCTAGCATGCACTTACCGCTAACTTCGCTACCTTCGTCGCTGCCCTCGTACGCCTCGATCAATGCGGACAGCCGATGGCATACTTCTGCGGTGCAAGCGGCTCTTGTGGAATCTGTCACTCTGCCGATGCGCTTGGGTCAGGCGCAGAGTGGTAGCAGCACATTCGCTGCGCTTGAGACAACCTTAAACAATGACGGCAACCGGCGCATTGCAGAAACTGGCCTTACGGTTGAAGCTCCGGTGGACTCAGAAGGCGCTATGCAGCTTAACGGTCACCACGACACGCGGATGACCAACGGTATCTCGGACGGCACTGACGCCAACGAAGACGCGCGGATGGACATGAACTTCTTCCCGAGTATGACGGTTGGTTCGTCCGCTCGATCGGCTATTTCAAGGTCGCACGTCTTCAGCGTTGCAAGTATCATGCGTGGAAATTACGATGATGAGGAGCATCCAGCGGGCGATGCGCTGAACGGCGACATACGTTTTGCAGAGAGCTCGCGAAGAACAGAAAGCAGGACCGAAGTGCTGTTTCCAATGCTGTCTTCGTATCCGCGCGTTTTCCGCTTTGCTGAACACCCGGATAAGTTGAGCATAAAGTGTTTAGTCTCCACAACATCGGCTGTCGCAAGCCGCATTGGCCTCGTACAGAGCGCAGTACGAGAGATCATTGGGCTCGAAGACAGGGAAACACTTTGCGACAGCCTTGCGAGTATTGCCGAGGAATACGAAGAGGGATTCAGTGACGTTGAGAGCTACGACGAAGATTGAAACCAGGTCGTACGTAATACTGGGCTTCATAATGGGCTGGACGTTGGCTACCAGGTTGATCCATCCACGACGGCACAAGGTTCGCTGCACGATACACGGGATGCAAGAAAGGTCTACGAATTCACAGCTTGCATGAGCATGGCGTTTCATATTCGTTCTACGCTGGAGTACCCCGTGCCCATAGGCACCATGGCACCTCGACAGAGTCCGGAACTCATGCTGCTCGTCAACATTGTCTTGCATAAGCGTCTGCACTTCTCCCCGGCTACACGATGGACACCCTGCGTTGTGCGAGCTGCTGCCGGGCGCCGAGGGAAGTATAGCGGTGCGCCTCGGTGCACAGCTTGCCGGAGATCTACGCCAAAGGAGCAGTCGACTGCTTTTTCCTACCTCTTGGCGCAAGCCTCGTATCTGAGAAGATCGGCTTTAGCTCCGCGGCCTGCGTGCATTAGTGATCAGATGGCGGCTCAACTACTGTCCCTTGGCACATATTCCCATAAAGCATCGTGTTGCAGATGCAGTCCTGCCATGATGAACAATTGGGTCGCTATGGCGTGGCTGCAACTCTACAGACGAGGAGCGGGCAAAGACACGCGCTGTAGACCGAGGCAGAACTTCCATTCGTGAAGTCAGGCCAGCTCGCTTGGCACGTGGGGTAGAAGCACTGAGATCCCTACACGTCAATCGCCGATGTCCGCGAAAGGCCCCGCGAGATTTCGCAGTCTGGTTTCGCTCGATGTTGTCTCGCTGCGACTCAGCTCTCAGTGACGAATCGCAGCGGCAACGCTTCACCCCGAGACGACCTCACGTTGTTGCCGTGAAGCGGCGTGCAGTACGAGAAGTGGCCGGGCGGCGTTCCTGCATAGCCGCTAACAAAAGCAATCACGATTATGGCCGTTTGCTCCCTGTCAGCTACACTTCAGAGCAGTGGAGCTCCGAGCACGTTGTCAGCACCAGAAATGCCGCCATTGTCCACTTTTTGCTAAGGCTTACGGTGAGTAATAGTAATGCTTTTGCCATACGACCCCACATATTTGCAACGCTTTCCAACGAAAGCGCGAGACTACCTGAACTTTAGTGACGAGGGTGGCTTCCGTGCATGTGTCAAGCTGAGCAACGGTGTCTTCTCCATCCCCACATGATACGAGCTCGAAGCCAAATCGACACACGCTGTTTCAAGCTCTGCGTTGCTCTGATCGCCGTCCCTAGCAGCCTGTTCCTGCGTTCGATCGTCGCTGGCTTCCCGACTTCGGCCTGACACCGTTTCCATTATTGGCCCGTTCCCAATATTGGCATCATGAGCTTTTGCACAGCTATGCTACGTGCTGGTGGACACGGCTGGGAGAAGATGCTCTGCCTGACAATGTCTCCCAGGTAACAGCGCAGGCATGTCCAACACGAGTGTCCGACTCCAGCCCAGGCCGCAACGCCACACCCGTCTCACGCCGCCATTAAGCGTCAACGTGACAACGTTCCACGAACCAACAGCGAGCCTTGCATGCGACACGGAAGTGTCGTGGAAAGTGAAAACTCTGGTCTTGGCATCTTATTGCCTAACTCGGTGGGTGTTTCTATTCCCACAAACCACGATGGGACCTTAGTCCGCTGTAGCGCATGCGCCAGGAACTGCCCGCCGATGCAACGTCGTCCCACAGCAAGCCAAACTGCAGCGCTATCACAAAGAGCGCTGTCCGCAACGATGATTGTGTGCTTCGCTTGTGCTAAGGCGTGCTGCGTGTTCACCGTGTTGCTATGCTGGACCATAAGATAATAGCGCTCTAACAACAAGGATAGTTCGCAACAGCCAGCCATGCGAGCAGACTTCTACGCATAGCCCTGGGTGCCTCGACTGAGTTCCTGCATAAGCGTTGCTCAAGCGCTGCAGAAATGCTGCCACCCGTGCCGTTCGTAAACCTTCTCTCAGCGACTGCCGACGGCCTTGAGTTAGTGCGCACGAATCGCATCGCGCCATTGTGCCCACGACCTTGTCTGCCCAATCATCTCGCTCGCGCAAGATCGCCCGTCTCCACGGATGTTCGAAGATCATTATCGAACGCTCGGACCAGGCACATCGGCGAAGGCAACAAGCTTCCCTTGGGCTCTCTTCGCGGCGCCGCAACGGGTTCATGGCTTGCTAAGCTCAGCATGGTTGAGTCTCGGCAGGACCGCACGGACAAGGTAAATGGACGTCACCACGATGTGGAGGAACCACTCAACCGGTAGGTGGGTAGGCGACACGCCAGAGGTGCAGGTTCTTATGCACCGCAGCTCCTCCAACATCCGTCCGTCCCTCAAGCATCTGAGTCTCGTCCTCGTTGCCACATACACTTGGTTGTCTGCTTGGAGCTAGTGCTTTCGTTCGCTACTCCAGTCTATCGTTTAGCAACACCAAAACACACAATCGTTGTAACCATGGTTCGCAGCCTGTTCTTGCTCGGCCTTGTCGGCCTTGCGATCGCTGGGGAAAGCCAGGGATGGGGCGATGATGGCGTTTGGGGAGATGACAAGGATGACAACTGGGGTGGTGAGGGCGGCAACGGATGGGGTGACAACAACGGTTGGGGCTCCAGCTCCGGATGGGGTTCGAGCAGCTGGACGTCAACATCGCTCTCCACCACATCTTCGCGACCATACTCGTCGTTCTCCAACACAACCACACACTCGACCACACCGTCGACAACCACCTCGACCACTATTACGACCTCAACCCGCCCATCTACGACCACGATAACCACCACCATCACCTCGTCCAGCCCGCGCCCGTCGAGCAGCACGCCATCATCCAGCAGCCCGCGTCCGTCTTCCAGCACCCCCGTGAGCAGCAGCCCGCGTCCGTCTTCCAGCACCCCCGTGAGCAGCAGCCCGCGTCCGTCTTCTAGCACCCCAGTGAGCAGCAGCCCGCGCCCATCGAGCTCGACACCAGTGAGCAGCAGCCCACGCCCATCGAGCAGCACGCCATCATCCAGCAGCCCGCGTCCGTCTTCCAGCACCCCCGTGAGCAGCAGCCCGCGTCCGTCTTCCAGCACCCCCGTGAGCAGCAGCCCGCGTCCGTCTTCTAGCACCCCAGTGAGCAGCAGCCCGCGCCCATCGAGCTCGACACCAGTGAGCAGCAGCCC